TCATTTCCTTCTGATGAACTCAATTGAACTGGGGTTTCAAAGTAGGGCAATCTCTTGCATGTGCTAATAAAGGGCTGCTATATATGTACATGTTGCCGTGTGTCATTAGACGAATGCACTTTAAAATAATCTGTTTAGGGTACATACTTGTATTATGTAAGACCGCGGAGCCAAAAGTGCGCGATGAGAGCAAGAATAGGTTCCATGATGCGGTGAAAGGAATCAACGTCCGGTGTAAACTCATCTCAACTTACCACATTTGACCTTGAATTATCACGCTTCTTCCAAGCGAGTCGGAAGGCTTAGCGATTATAGCTTTTGCATCATGATCTTGAAAGATTGCAACAACAACTGGTATAAGAAGGCAGGTATATGGGATAAACTATATCTATGCACTGTAATCAGTTTATCAAATCCAATTAGAGCTGCTCGAGAGGAGCAGATTATATGTACAAGGGTTTCGGATTGAATCATTGCAACATATTTGCAAATGATGATGATAATTCCTGGATACTTTCAGAGCTATCGACCAAAAGAAAATATTTCATTTGATACCTACTTAATGAATCCATTATCCCATCTTTGTAAATACAATATAGTACGCGCTGTGACTCGTCGTCATTCTCTACTTGACCTTTTCTTACTTCCTATGGTTGAAGAGACAATTCTACTACCTAGAACTGATGTAGATTATTTTACTCATCCTAATAGAGCTAATTCATTCCCTAAAGTAAATTTTCTCTCTAATCTGAAATCGTGATAAATGTATCATTTGTGCAAATATTGAAAGTTTGAAATTTTTCAAACTTTCTTGCAATGTTCAGTCAACTTTCACGTCAAGCACTGAAACACAGTTGAAATTTAAAGAATTACTTCAACTTTAATGAGCCTCGTAACTAGAGATTTCGAACATTGCAGTCAAGGTCATTTCAATTTTTAGAAAAGTTTCGATGCTGTGTGGGATACTTGACAAAAGTATATTTCGTTTCAATTACGTTTAAATCTATCATACACGAAATTAATTGTCCAATTGGACAATTGCGTTTGTCTTTGTTATTTCTATTAATGGAAATAACAAACAGACAAACAAAAATCTGCATTTTTCTCTGATGAGGATACCATAGTAACATCGTACGCTCGTTAAATATAATCCACTTTTCTGCCATGTGTCCTGTAATTTGCGGATATGCTAGAATGTTGTTATTTTTTTCTCTCACATTCTATACACAACGTTCTCACTAATGCCACTTCGTAAAGTATAGTTACCCATGCTCGAGCAATTAAATGACAAAGCACGACATTCAAACTGAGCCATTTTTTCTTAAAAATATTAAAATTATGGACAACAAATGTCATTGTAATTAAATTATTCTGTTGGCTTTAAAGTTTTCCCTTATAATATTTTCTATTAAACAAATAAGACTTTTGGTGATGAAAACCTAGAAAGCATTGATTTTTATGAATAAATAAATCCTAATTTCTTGATTAGACAAAACCAGTAGTCTAAAATGAATTGTCATTTTTTCGATACATATAAATTTATACACTTTAGTCTTTTCGACAGAAAAAAATTCTCTGATTCACTCTAAAAATGATTAGATATACTTAAAAAAATGTTTTATTTAAAATAAATATTTAATCATTATTATTTTATCATAGGAATAAGGATTATTAAAAATTTCAAATTCAAACCTTTGGGGCTGTCCATAAATTATGTAAGACATTTTTTTTTGGAAAATTTGACCCCCCCCCCTCCCCCCTTGTAAGATATTTTACATACATTAGCAACATTTTTTCTATTGCGTTTGTAAGAACTTGCTGACCCCCCCCCTCCCCCTAAATGTCTTACGTAAATGGACGGCTTTTTGTAGTTCAACAACTTTTGATAATAATTTAAAAGATGGTCGAGTGATAAAATCATTATTTTATATTATAAGAATATTGTTACTGTAACTTTTTCAATATTATTTTCAGCATTTCAATTTAATTATTATTTTATAGAATTATTAACTAAAATTCTTTAAATCAATCATTTTTATAATAATTTTTGAAAAAATTCTTTGAGAATTTCCAAATCCATTTATTTACAACACAAATTTACGAAATTTCAATTATTTGGAAACTCTTCAATTAAATATTTATATTAGAAAACAAAAACTTCAAATGATTTTGGAAAAACATTCAATTCAACTTTTTCAAAAAAATTAAATCTACTGAATTGTTAATGAACAGTATGAAAAATTCAGATTTTCAAAGATTTCAATTTGAAACCTTTTCAAAATTCAATTATTTCTAAAAATTCATAATATTCAATTTATTATCTAAAATTTTAACTGGAATTCGTTTTTAAATCAATTTTTATTAGAAAATTCTACGAGAATCCAATTATTTGAATACTAAAGTAAATAATTTATTGAATAATTTAATGTTTCTCAAAATTGAATCCACATTGAGAATTTCATCAACAAATTTTTAAATAATTGAATTCTTTTGACAAATTTCAATAAAATTTTTAAGAATAATTTCATTTTTCAAGAAATTTGATTAAAATTGTGTTAAAAATATAAATGAAATTCTGCGATGAGTTTTATTATTTATTAAAATAATTAAATTCATAAAAAGAATTTTATTATTCATGAAAAGAATTTAATTCTTAAGAAGATTTTTACAAGAAATTTTTTAAATAATTGCAATGTGTTTGGAAATTTTATGAAAATAGTATAGATATTGAAAATCATTGAATTGCAAAAAGTTTTTAAAAATAATTAAATTTGACAAAGAATTCAATAAAAAATTTTTTTCATTAATTTAATTCTTGCGAACGATTTTATAAGAATTTTTTTAAATAATTGAATTTCCCAGAAGAAATTTATTACTTTTAAAAATAATTAAATTCTTGTGATGAATATTGTTATTTATGAAAATAATTGAATTTTGCAAAGAATTTTTTTTTAAAATGCCTCAAAATAATTGAATTTTTGGGAAGAATTTTGTTATTTATCTTTAATAACTGAATTCTTTCGAAGAATTATTTATGTAAATAATATTGAATTCTTGGGAAGAATTTAATTAAAATCTTTAAGAATAATTGAATTATTTCAAAAAATTTATATTAAAATTTGTAATTTAAATAATTGATTTCTTTCAAACAATTTTATTAAAATATTTGAAAATAATTTAATTCTTGTGAAAAGTTCTAATATTTTTGTAAATAATTGAATTCTTCCAAAGAATTTGAAAGAACATTTTTTTTAAATAATTGATTTTTTCGAGGAATTGAAATTAAATTTTTAAGAATAATAACGTTTTTCGAGCAATTCCTGTAAAATTGTATTAAAAATAATTAAAATCCTGCGATAAATTTTAGTATTTATGAGAATAATTGAAATTTTGCAAAGAGTTTTATTAAAATTTTCAAAAATAATTCAATGTCTGAGAAGAATTTTATTATTTAAAAAAATAATTGAATAATTGCTTAGAATTGTGTATTGTATAAAAATTTTGTTAAATAATTGATTTTTTCGAAATTTTTTTATAAATTCTATTGAATTCCTGTGGAAATTTTATTATTTATGAAAGTAATTGAATTTTATCAATTTGCTTTTTAAATAATTGAATTCTTTTGTGAAATTTTGTGAAAATACTATAGATATTGAAAATAATTGAATTTCGAATATTTTTTAAAAATAATTGAATCGTTTTTAAGAATTTGAGTATAATTTATTTTTGAGAATAGTTTTTTGATTTCTAGTATTTGCGAATTTAAAGTTTCAGGAAAGCTTTTCTAAATCTTTCAATGGAAAATTAACTTTTTTAAATATTAAGGATTTTTAGTGAAAACTCCCTTGAGGCGGAAGTTTTAATCATCCTGGTAAATTTCAGGAACTTTTCTCCAGAGTCTCACCAATATTTAAATAATTTTTTTTTGGAAACTGACAAATTATACAATTGAGTAGAAGATTGAATAGTAGAATTTAAAAAGATTTATGTAACTCAAGATTATTATCAAAACGTAAAAATTCGTAAATTCTTCTGTTGTGATAAGTGATAGGAATGTAGAAAGAAAGAAAGAAGAAGAAGAAAAAGAAGAAGAAGTTGAGTCTGGAAATAGATGAAAATTGGTGAAAAAACATTCGACCTTCAGGTGTCGTATCGCAGCTGTGAGTTTGTACTTGTTGCCGGTTTGTTTGCTGGTGGCGGAGGAGGAGGGTGTGGAAGAGAGGGGCTGGAGGGCCACAGGTGCATCGCACTCGCACGCCCTCCTTTATTACACATTCTCTCTGCTCTTTCCTCCTTCTTCCTTGGGCTTCGTCCGTCCTCCACCTTTAGAGAGACTAGCTTTAGCCTAACTCTTATATGCTCTAGCTGACTTGCTACTCATTCCCCCAACACTTCTTCAGCAATACAATCCGATGTTACAAATTCTTTGACAATTCCCAACAAATTTCATTTTCTCCACAAAATAATGTCAAACAAAAACAATGTCAATTTTCATCCAAAAGTATAAATAAACATTTTTGTATCCAAGTTTAAAATATGCTTTTCACTTCTTCAAGTATAGCCGGAAGTTGATCCAGTGAAGTGTTTTTTTAAGTTCCTTTTTAATGGTCAAGGAGTAGCTGTTTTGATGCAACGAGTTTGTGCTAAGTTTAATGTGATTCCTCGCGAGTGTTTTCAAGAGTGAAAAAAAATTTCATTTCAGTGCAATCGGCTAATTTAAAAACGGAAATTAACAGTGAATAGTGTATATAATGCAAAAGGCTATTAAAATCCCCAGGAATTAGTTAAATAAGGAAAAGATAATAAACGAGTGATTTGAATGCTTCGAGAAGACGGTTGTATATATGTAGTGTACTAAAACGATATTAATGGAGGCAAAAAGATTTCGCCAATAAATAAGACTTAGTATTTTGTTTTTTATTTTTGAAAAAAGAATAGTCATTGGTAATGCAAAGAAGCGAATGGCACTCGCTAATGGTGCAATTTTTCTTTCTTTACAGCAAAGATGAAAAATCTTTGGCCGTTGGTGGTGTGGATACTTTTTTCTTCGTGTCCGGTGAGTATAAAAATTTTTCTACTATATTTCTACAAAATCATAAGAATTTTTATAGCGTGTAACGGTTCCAATTTGAAATTCCAAGTTCGTTACAGAGTGAGGCGTATCTTAAGTACGTCCCTCTGGAAATTGACCACTTCCGTAACCACGAGCGAATCTGCTGTTTGATTTCATGCTTCGAAACGCATAAGAAATAACTTTCTTTGGGATATGTATATATATTATATTCTCTGACCTTTTCTCGGAAAATTTCTTCAATTCTTATTCCCTCTTATTACAGATTAAATTATATTGTCAAATCACAGAAATTATGTAAAACAGGAATTATGGCAAAACGGTATATCAGTGATTTTTCTCTCTCAAGTAGTCGAACCTCCATTGGGTGAGACTAGGAAAACTTCTTATTTCTTCAGTATCAACTATTGTTTATATTTCTTCAGTTGATACTGAAGAAATAACAAGTTTCTTATTAAACTTATTATCTCTTATTTAAAAACTTCTTATTTCTTTAGTGTCAACTGAAGAAATATAAACAATAGTTTATACTGAAGAAATAAGAGATAATAAGATTAATAAGAAAAACTTCTTATTTCTTCAGTATAAACTATTGTTCGTATTTCTTCAGTTGATATTGAAGAAAAAATAAGTTTTTAAATAACAGATAATAAGTTTAATAAGAAACTTCTTATTTCTTCAGTATCAACTGAAGAAATATAAATAATAGTTTATACTGAAGAAATAAGAAGTTTCTTCTATACGAAAGCTTTCAAATTATTTTTAAATATTTATTTAATTATAAATTTTTTATTGAAATTAAAGATAAATTTAAATATTATAGCTGGTAGAATTAATTCGTGGTGCTGGCTATAATAGCGCGGGAACGCGTTTTTGTGGCAGTATATAATCTAACACTGACAGCTAGCGCCACGAATTTTTTCTACCAGGATAGATAGTTTGATTTATAAAATAATTAATTGCATCTCCTGTAATTATAAACAAATCAATCAAGCCTCTTGTAACTGGAAGTGTGAAACAACATTTGAATGGTAAATTGCAGAGAACTTCCACTGCGTCGTGGAGGGTGCGCATTTAACGTGACAGCGCGGATTTTAAACCCGAATAGCACAAAAAATATCATTAAAGTTTAATTCAAAAATTATTAAAAAAATAAGTATCATGTTAAATAGGTATATAACTATCATTACGAAAATTTTTTAATTTCTGTACAATAACAGATAATAATAATAAAATATAATAAAATAATTTTGAGATATTATTTGTTATTAAAAGTGTTTCTTTATTTCGCTATGAACTATAGATTTGCATAAATGTTTTACTTTTACAAAAAACTTTTAAAATATTTTATTTTGGGTACGTGATTCACTTTAGTCTTGAAACATTTAAATTCCGTTGACACATGCCTTTTCTAAATCCTAAAAAAAATAATTCTGTACCACCTAATGAATTTATTGATTTTAACATAAATAAAAATCGCGTATTGGACCCAATTTTTTTAAACTGGCAAAAAAGCTGCCAAACTTTTTAAAACAATATCTCATGACGTATTTTACATTAATTTTATCAATTAAAATTGTTTTTTTAGAAAAACATGTCATTAAAAACCAAAAAGCATATCATTTGGACTCTTGAAAGCTGCTAATATAATTCTGTCAAATATTCGAAAATAATAGGTTTAAAGAGATTTGGCATTTCTTTATTTCAATATAAGATTTTTTTCAAATTACTGAATTCAAATCAAATAGAAAGATGTTTTTCTGTTCATTGAAAGCTGTCAATAATTTTGGCAATCTTTTAAACACATATGTGAGTTTTTAAGGGATTCTACAATAATTTACTCATAAACAAGTGATTTTGACAAAACTAATTTTAAACCAAATTGCATCATGTCAACTTGTTATTTGAAAGTTACAAAACGAGAATATTTAATTTCAAATATGATTTAATCTATTCCACATATGTTTATACTTAAATTACAATTATTTAATAAAAACTAATAATTTAAAATTATTAAAATGTATTTTGTGTTTTAGTGTCTATATACAGACAACTGTCAACAGACAGAAAAACATCTTTTTATTTGATTTGAATTAAGAAATTTGAAAAATCTCTTACATATTTAAGTAAGGAAGTGCAAAATGTCATTAACATTTTCGAACACTTGATAGATTTTAACAGTCAAAATGACATGCTCTTTCGTTTTTGGACATGTTTTTCTAAAAATATTGAAATTGATAAAATTAATGAAAGATAACTCATGAAATATTGTTTTAAAAATCTTGACAGATGGTTGCTGTCAAAATTTATTTTTGATATCAGATTCATGTTCAGCACATCCAAAATTATAAATGTACATAATATAAAAGTAAATGATTATTAATAAAAGAAATTTATGATACAAAGTTTAAAAAAGTGCACTAATTCTATTTTAAATCAAATTTAAAACGTTAACCCTTGGGAGGAAGGAGTTAATATTTATCAAATGAACTGCCCTAGAACATATCTTGTTTTTTAATTTTTGAATAATAAATTAAACTATTAAATGCTAAATGCAATTTCCATTTCTTTAATTTTTGTATGTTTTACCTGCAGAAAATTGAAAGAGCTAAGCAACATTTTTTTATGTTTTGTACACATTACGCATATTCTTCTTTAAATAAATGAAACATACAGTTTAAAAAAAATTGACCCACTACGCGGTTTTGATTTATGTTAAAATCAATTCAGTAGGTGGTACAGAATTATTTTTTTGAAGATTTAGAAAGGGCATGAGTCAACGGCATTCAAAATGTTACAAGACCACCGTGGGTTTGGCCCACATCAAAAGACTCAGAAATTTACCTATACACTCAGAGAAAATGTTTATTTCTCTAAAATAAATTTTACTGTAAACCCACTAAATAATAAGAGCCTATTAACAAAATAATTTTATTTCATTAAAATAAATTTTCTTGTATGAAACAAAATATATTTGTTAACCTGTTTGGTTCATTCAAATAAAAATATCCAGTTAAAAATCTGTTTGAATAAAAAAAAAGTTTTGGTTGGCTTTCTTTGGTTTTTTCAAAATTCCAAAATTTGGTTCAAAATTGGGTTGTTAGAAGTAAATTTTTTTCTGTGTGTTTATCATTCTATCGATTCCAAAAAACTACGTATTTTCCTAAGAAATTTGTAGGATAACAATATATATTTGATCTTTGAAATGAAAATGCTGTTATGTTATTATCGTGCAGTAATTATCTTATATAAATAATGTTGTTTGACACTTTAAAGAGAAGTAACTTTTCTATCCAGTTCTAAAGTTAATATACTGGTTCTTCTTTCAACAAAATTATTCCTTGAATAAAGTGGCAACGAACGTTTTAATTTGAAGAGTTATTTGCGTTTTTATTAATTTTATTTTGATACATACCCGAGAAGCAATTAGTATCAAGAAGTTGTTTATCAATATGCAGATAAGCTTGAAAGTTTCCCATACTCTTTAGTTTGCATAGCAATCTTAAAATTATATCAACTGAAAACCATTTCTTTTTTGTCTTAAAGTTAATTTTAAATTACTCTTTTCAAAAGTAGTCATTCAAATATGAATGAATTAATAATTTAGATAGTTGTACATTCAGTAGTTATTTCATTAAAATTAGAATTTTAAAAAATACTTATTTCAGTGTAAACTTTCGTCTTACGAAATTTAACAAATGAAATTTCTATTCAAAGTGTACGAATTTTTATATCTTGACTAAGAACTTCTTCTAGAAACTAAAATAATAATTGAACTAAAATTAACGATTTTACAGACCGATTCATACAGAGGATTCGGCACTGGATTGAAGAGAGAAGTGTTTTTTCTAAATCTGGAAGATGGTTACTTTGGCTGTCAAGTTAATGAGTCGACAGATATTTTACAACTTTTGGAACTGTCGAAACTCTGTGATAATCATGAAGATTGTTTTGGGGGCACAGATGAGCAGCGAGCAAGACTCAAATGCACAGGTAAGAGAAAAGATGATTATTATTATTATGTCCATATATTAGTGCTCATTTATGCTCGCATAAATATACACATATAGTCTTGTGGATAGATTAGAATCCGAGAATTAGATTTACTGATTTAAACCGCAGACGGAACAGACGTCATTACGCTCTTATTAAATCAAGCAATTGTAGAGACTCTTCCATATGAGAAACATCAATTTTCTTCATCATCATTTTATTCAAACTCTTAACTAAATTAATCTTCTCTTTGCTTATATTTTTTAACTGCTCTTGAGTTTATAATTATTCGAAACTTCTAGTATCGAAATTTCCATTTTAATTTCGATTTCTTTCAAAGAAGATGAAAGTTCTATTAAGATGTTTTCTGATTAAATAACTATTACTTATGTTGTAAATTTTATTATTGTGCTGAAATTGTAACATTAGAATTTATTTTCATTATTTTTCTAAATAAAATTTATTTTAATATGAGGAATATAAGAACATTGAATATATTATAAAATTAAAAAAAATTACTATGTCCGGTACAAGTATAACTCGGATGTACGCTCTAATGCCAGTCAAGATAGCTGTGAGTGCCTCTAGGTCGCTCACTGCTATCCGAGCGTCACCACTGCAAAAATGAATTGTAAATGTTATAAACGAAGTTAAATATTTATAAAACAATCTTATTTTTATTTGGTCGAGGAATCCCCTCCTTCCTACATATTATTCAAGTAGTGAACATTTTGATAATCGATAATACTTCTAACTTTATTTCATGTAAACATTTTTACTCCTCTGAGAGGTAATTCTACAAATTCAGGCCTCGGATCGATTTTAACGAACAAAAAAAGTTCCTTTAGTCGATTAAAAATAGAAAAAAAGTCGATTATTTAATTTAGTGTTGGCACAAATATTTTATTTTCTATTTCCCTGATTCTTCACTAATTTATAATTTTTTAACTAAACTTCATTTCTAAATCAATTATCTATATTACTTTTTAATATTTTTCCGAAAGTTCTTCAAGAATTCAATTATTTAAATACAAAAATTCAATTTTTATAATAATTGAAACCGTTCATTTTTCTTTTTAAAGATATTAAGGTAGAATATATTCAAAAAATTTTAATAAATAAATTTATAAAATTATTAACTTTTTAAAAATATTTCTGAATAATTTTTGAAAGACGCAATAGTTTTACAATTACATAACAATTAAAAATTTCTTTTTAAAAATTCAAATTTTGTAAAATCTTTTTAAAAAATAATTTAAATTTAGTAAAATCTTTGAAAAATGATTAAAATTTGCAATGAATTTTAATTAAATTCCTTAAAATAATTAAATTTGGCAAAAGTTTTAATAAAATTTCTGAAAATAATTGAATTTTGCAAAGAAATTTATTAAAATTATAGATGAATTAGAATTTTAATAAAACTCAAGAAAAAAATTAATTTTGCAAAGAATTTTATTAAAATTCATGAAAATAATTGAATTTTCAATAAATTTAAAAAAAAAATTCTGAAAATTGAATTTAGACAAAAATTTTTATTAAAATTCCTGAAACCAATTGAATTTTGCAATAAATTTTTTAAAAATTCCTGAAAATTGGATTTAAACAAAAATTTTATATTAAAATTCATGAAAATAATTGAATTGTGCAACGAATTTTAATAAAATTCCTGAAAATAATTGAATTTTGCAAAGAGTTTTATTAAAATTATAGATGAATTAGAATTTTAATAAAATACCAGAAAAAAATTGAATTTTGCAAAGAGTTTTATTAAAGTTCATGAAAATAATTGAATTTTTCAATAAATTTTTTAAAAGTTCCTGAAAATTGAATTTAGACAAAAATTTTTATTAAAATTTCTGAAAATAATTGAATTTTGCAAAAAATTTTTTAAAAATTCCTAAAAAATGGAATTTAAACATAAATTTTATTAAAATTCATATGATAATAATTGAATTTTGCAACAAATTTAAATAAAATTCCCTAAAATAATTAAATTTTGCAAAAAAATTTATTAAGCAAATAAATAATTGAGTTTTTAAGACATATTAAATATAAAATCAAATTTTTGATGAATTTTAATTATAAATAATTTCTCAAAAATTCTAAAATAGTAAATTTTAAAAAATTTTAAATTACTTTGTCAGAGAATTACTTTTTTCAAAACTATTTCAATATTTTCATTTTTTATCGAATTAACACTTGAATTATTCATTAAAAATTTAAAATTTGTAAAAATTCAATTATTTCCAAAATTTTCAATGAAAATTCTGTAATAGTTAATTTTTAAAAATTATAATAAACTACTTGAAAAAAAAGGATTTATTTTCAATTAATTTTACTAAATTTCAATTATTCAAAATCTTTTTAATTGTATATTTAATATTTCAAAAATTTAATTAGAAAAAATTTTCAAAAATAATTTTCGAAATATTTATCTACAGCTATTTTTTATACTGCACGTAAAAATTGAAAAAAGTTGCAGCATTTTATACTAAAAATATGGTATTTTGTCGCAAAATTTGGAAGAAAAGTCGAAAAAGTCGCAATTTTTTAATATAAGTCGATAAAAGTCATAATATCCGAGGCATGCAAATTGTATGTAAATGTCTTTCAATTCATTTTCATTGGTGTATAATTGTATCATGTCTGGTAAATTTGCTCCTTCAAGTTCCGAGCCGTTGCCTTTATTAATTTCCGATCTCAATTTATGAAATGTATCTATTATCACTACACCTTTCGGATGTCCTTTATTTCATATAAATCTATGTATATTAGTCTTTCGAATCCAATCACGATAAAAATCTTATACACTTCGATCATTAATTTTCTTTTTGTTCTTTGCCGTTCTTCTCCGCGAATTTATTAGCATTTTTTAAATTTTGTTTCTTTACAAGAGTCAATTATTTAATTATCACTTCGAATAATGAGAAGAGTGATATATCTGTTCAGGTTGTTAATTTCAAATTTGAAATGTTGATTGTGATTTCTATTATTGGGTGTATATGCCTACAAAAAAACAATTTACTTTCTACTCTTTTAAAAATTACTTCTGAGGCGACCCTACTAAAAATTCTTGAATATAATCATATGCAGAAGCTCTTGTACAGGAACTTGTACATGATCATGTACAAGAATTTTTAGTAAGGAAGGTAATTAATAATTGAGTTGAAATACCGGGATTTTTGAAAAATTTGTTACAAAACAATGATAACTTTTGTTTCTCCACCTTTTTTATTGTCGGCTTTAGAGTGTATAATTCAGTTCAAAATACACAAATTTTATTAATGAGAATGCATTCTCAAATTTTTTGAGAAAATGTTTTTTTTCGTCAAATAATCGTTGGTAACTACAGTTTCATGAAAATTCAGTGGTTTAACTTAAAAATAAAAAAAAATTGTTTGTTTACTTACAGATGATTGTACAAAGGAGGATGGTACACTGTGTCAAAACGGAGTTTGCCTCGATTCAGTTTGTCACTGCAATGATGGTTTTGGAGGCTGCAATTGCCAAGTTCCAGGTTTGTATGCTTATCATTGTAATCTAGTAATAAAACAGTCAATTATATTTTTATTATTAGTAATAAAGCATCCAATTAGTCGAGTCCCTTAAAAATTAAAGCCGCGCGTTGAAGAGGGATCTAACCTTGATAATAATGTTAATTTCGAGAAAAATGAAAAAAAGTGAAATTAAATTATTTTGGATAAAAAAGTTGTTTGAAATGTTTCCCAAAGAGGAGAAATACTGTTCTATAAAGTGTATCTCTAGTATTTTCCTTATTTTTTCATAAAAAATTTATAAATTATTTTTTCCAGTGGAAAAGGGATCTAAATAACAAATTCACTTATAGATCCTTTTTACACGATGCAAACATTTTTTATTCATTAATTATTGGATTATTAAAATATTCAATGTCGAATGGTTTTTTATTATTTTTATAATTATTAACAAGTATAAAAATTCCTTTCTGGAAGCATTTTATGAAATATAGTTTTTTTTAAGAATATTTAATTTTCAATTTATCACTTTGGAACACTGCGTATTTTCTGTTAGTTTTCACTACTGAAATATCTGCAAATTCTTTGAATTCTTATAAAATTCATTCTAAATACATTTTATTTATTAATTTTACAAAACGAATTATTTAAACATTAAATTATTTTCATTTTGAAATTTGTGAATCATTGCGTTTACTAACAACTTATAGTTTGTAATAATTGAATAAAAAATTTAGAAGATTTTTATATTTTTTACGAAGTGACTATTTGGCCCGTCGGCGGGCCATATAAGCTACTTTTTTTATTTGGCCCGCCTGCTTTTTTTTAATATTTCAAAGCGGGCCAAATAATAAAAGTAACTTATTTGGCCCGCCAGGTAAGAAAATAAAAGCGGGCCAAATAGAGAGTGGTATATTATTTGGCCCGTCACAAATAAAAATTGCTTTTTTTTTTATCTGATCTTCAGTTAATAATAAAATTAACTATAAAAGAAATAATAGTAAGTGCATTAACATATTTTTTGCTTTTTATATTGTGAATTAATTTTTTTTTTTTTTGCTTTAAGAATGCAAATAATATTTTAATTTGTGTTATTAACCTTAAAACACTTATGCGTAAAAAAAGTGGTAAGCATCCCAAAAATTGTCTTTATTAGCGGGAATTTTAAATCAAAATTTTTCTCCTTGTTAGATCAAAATTATTTGTTCAATTTATATTCTTTTTTGAAATCGTATTAATTTGCAAAAATTGTAATATACATTTCATAAAGTCAAGATGAATGAAAACCTTTCCAATCGCCTTCTTTTATATTCTTGAAATAATCATTAATTTATGATAAGTAATTCAAATAAAAATAAATTTTGAAACTTAAGAGTTAGTTAGTGCTCAAAATAAGTAATAATAAAATATTTTTTCTTATAGTGTTAATTGATTGTCCATCAAAATTTACACATTTTAATAATATTCTTCTGGAAATTTTTAAAATATATTTTAAATTATATATGACTAATAAATATTAAGTATTTTCAATGTGCTTTATTATAATATTATGTAGAGAATTTTATATTTTATAATGTAGAAATTTTAATGCATCAAAAGTTTTACACCCAGAAAAAGCTTCTTTGTTTCAAAAAAAGTTTCTTTGAATCAACGAAATTTGTGCATTGTTATAGGGTCAAAAAAGTTTCGTTGATTTAAAGAAATTATTTCTTTAACTGTTTTTTGTTAACGCAGAGAAATAACAAAAAACTTTTTTCGTATATTTATTATAATTAGTATAACAATTCTTTTCAAATAACAGTTTTCACGAAACCATAACATTGAATATTATATTTATTATGTTATAATATCATTTATTGTTTTACAATAATATTTGTATTTACTATATATATTTTTTTAAATAAAATATTTATTTTTTTTAATTAACTTTTTAAAGCAAACTACTTTTAGAAGAAATTTTGATCCAAAGAAAAATTTCTTTAAGACAAATAAATGGCCAAGAACATTTAAAGGAATTATCTCTTTGATTTATTTATGTCTTTGACTTAAAAAAAGATTTGTTAAATCCAAAGAAATATTTCTTTGAGTTAACAAAAAACAGTTAAAGAAATAATTTCATTAAATCAAAGAAACTTTTTTTGTGACCCTATAACATTGCACAAATTTCATTGATTCAAAGAACCTTTTTTCTGGGTGCAAACTACTACTTATTACAATTTTTGCAAATTAATACGATTTCAAAAAAGAATATAAATTGAACAAATAATTTTGATCTAACAAGGAGAAAAATTTTGATTTAAAATTCCCGCTAATAAAGACAATTTTTGGGATGCTTACCACTTTTTTTACGCATAAGTGTTTTAAGGTTAATAACACAAATTAAAATATTATTTGCATTCTTAAAGCAAAAAAAAAAAAAATTAATTCACAATATAAAAAGCAAAAAATATGTTAATGCACTTACTATTATTTCTTTTATAGTTAATTTTATTATTAACTGAAGATCAGATAAAAAAAAAGCAATTTTTATTTGTGACGGGCCAAATAATATACCACTCTCTATTTGGCCCGCTTTTATTTTCTTACCTGGCGGGCCAAATAAGTTACTTTTATTATTTGGCCCGCTTTGAAATATTAAAAAAAAGCAGGCGGGCCAAATAAAAAAAGTAGCTTATATGGCCCGCCGACGGGCCAAATAGTCACTTCGTATTTTTTACAACAAAATTATATATGAAAGTAATATTATATTTGAATTAAATACAAAATTAAATTGGTAACAAATTAAAAACAAATTAATTAATCTGAATTTAATTTTTGCATTAGATAAACTATTTAATGTTTACAATAAAGTAAATAACACTATTTTTTAGATAGATCCATTTTCCACAATGTTGTCACTATGGAGTTAAATATCATTTTCTCTTTTTTTGACTTTTCGCTTCAAGATTCTTATGATTTTATAGAATTTTAATAATATTAATTTAATAATAATGAAAGGAAAATTTTCCTTTCATTATTTTTCCACTCAGAAGGTTTTCTTTTTCAAGACATTTTATCTAATTTCACTAAAAAAAATCGATTATTTATTACCTATCTTAAAAAGTTGAAAATCGAAAATAGATATATTCTTCTTCCACGATAAAAAATTTTTAATTATAATATTATAATATTATAATTATACAATTTTTAATACGAAATTTAAAAAGGATATGTAATAGAGTCTATTTTTCTATACAGTTAAAATTTGTTAAAAATTGAGTTAGATCCCTTTTCGACGCGCGGCTTCAATTGCATTAACCCTTTTGCCGATGAAAATTAAGACTTTCACTGTTTGGGCTAAAACAGTTTTAGTTTTTTTTCACTGTTTGCAAAAAATGTTACATTATTAAAGTTATTAATTACAATTATAAAATAGTTAATCAAAATTTCTATAATTGTATCTTGCCATTTTAACCTAAAAAACAAGCACACAAAAAGAAAAACACATTTTTGTCGTTTTCGCTGACTTCTGTGAGTGATTAATAATGCCCCAACCCCACATTTTTCAAAAAACACTTGTAAAATTTTTTGACGATGGAATATCAAAAATCTATTATGATTTTCGTACTCAACACTAAATTTTACTTTAGAAAACACGGAAAACACTTACCTGAGAATTTTTATGTCAGATTATCGTTGTTTACAATGGCACACTAAATGAGTCAAAACAAGTATAGGCGAGTATAGTCCAACGCACAATAAATTGGTTCGCGAACAAGATGCAGGAGATAGAAAAGGTCACAAATATATCTCTGTTCTTTTCTAACTCATACTTTGCGTTCGCGAACGACATTCGCGAAGCAGTTGATGTGCCTTATGTCAAAAACTCAAAATGACATTTGATTTTGCAGGAAATAAATTGAAAACCTCTCCAATCGTAATTGCGGCTTCTCAAATTGAAAGAATCACAATATTACATAATCGACAATTTATAAAAGTAACAATATTAAATAATTAAATTAATTTCACGAGTTATAAGAAAATACGTCTCTGTCGTTAATGATTTCACAGAAAGAATTGAGCGAAATAATAAAAATATATAAATTATTTATTATTGTCCCTGGAGATTTTTTGCTAATAGAAAAAAGAAAAATCGTATTTCAAAATAATCTATTCGACTTTTACTCATTGTCCGCGGAACGTTCCCAAGGGGAAATCTCCTAGAGAGATCCCACGGATTTTGGTGCCTACTGTGTAAGGTTATGTTTCGTAAATATAGTAATAAAAATACGTGATTATTAAATACATGCAAATATATTTTTTTTTGATAAATATTATTGCATCCTGTCGGTAGGGCAGAGAAAAACTTATTTCCCTCAGAACATGCGCTTAAACATGAGCGTTCTATCATTAGAGTTGAAAACAGCCTGTGGCTAACCGCTCATCGGTCAAGACCTTTATATTAAGTTCCGTTCAGAGGCTTAACTTTACTGTTAACTGTTGACTTTTTCATATATATGCATTTTCATATTTTTACAGATGAGAACGAGTGTAAGTTTCGACCCTGTGATATTTTTGCCCACTGTACAAATACACTAGGCAGCTATCAGTGTACCTGCTTCCCTGGTTATCAGGGCGATGGATTCCACTGCGAAGGTAATGTTTACTTCTATACAATAATTATGTATACTGTACCCGTGAGGGAATATTTTATTACGTTTCGTAATATCGAACCCGTTTTTTATTTTTATTATAATTATAAATTCCACTTGATCTAATACTCACTTACCGCCTGAGCCCTTGTAGAGTGAACCAAAAAAGAACTGTAAACGGTACCGTTTTGGGTCCGAATTGCTCACGTGCCAGTAACTGACCTTAGTCATTTAAATAACCCCAACAGTTCCTAATAAATTATCGTTAACCGAAGCTGTAGAAAACCATGGTACCTGTAGCGTTATTGTGTAAAAGTGTACCCCCAATTTAAATCCTATGAATTCTTTTCCTTCGAATAGAATCTCTCAGGTCTATTATTGTTGTGACATTATGAAATCAATTTTCTAAAGCTGAAGACTTTCGTAAATACTTATAATTTATAAAACGTAAATTTAAATATACTGTGAAATTTTCAATTCTATGAATATCTATAATTTTTTAAAACAAATTTAATTTAAGAAACTGGTATCTAAAAAATTGTGATCTTAAGTAAGACCTCCCACAGTACATAAATATATGGCCCTCGGATATTATGATTTTTTTCGACTATTTTCAAACAATACGACTTTAATCGACTTATATTAATAAATCGAGACTTTTTCGATTTTTGTTTCAATTTTGCGACAAAATACCACATTTTTAGTAAAACTGCAACTGATTTCGATTTTTATTAGTACACGGAAAGAAAAAGTCCGTCAATCATTAATAGACTAGTATATTACTTTGAGACGGGACACAAAATCATTCAATGGATAACATACTTTGAGTCACAATCAGTGACGAGTTGCTTGCTAAAATTTAGAAAACTGTCAGCAATATATAAAACTCGTTCACTAAAATTTAGAAAACTGTCTATTAAATTTTCTATGACTATCAAAAGCATTCAAAAAATTCAACTTCTTTTAGAATTATCCCTAATTTTAGACACTATTTGGTTCAGAATGAACACATTTTTTTCGTTGCACAGTTCCGATATTTTATTTACACTCTTAGACGCTTTAGACCAACACATTTTCCAACACATTTTCGCACTTATAATAACTACACGTAGAAACGCACACTTATAACACTTTAAGTTTAGAAGCGAACTGTTCTTATATACCAAATAACAAAATTTTTCACAACTTGTGAGAAATGATTTTGCACTAATAACTACTTTTTAATTAGCGAGAAATATAAAAGAAAATATATTTTCATCGAGGTCAATTTCTAGACGCAATTCAACTGCAAATTGTTAGTTAAGTTAAATATTCACATTACACATAATAGTATATAGGGATATGTATAGCAGACAGCAAAAACACATGGACTATAGAGAAACCGGAAGAAATGCGCATCGGTACACTGCGCAACAATGCGCTAGTGAAGAGCGCCGATTTAGAATACGAGTCAACTAACGTTTCACAAACTTTCACTAATGATTCGTAAACATTCAAACAGCCATTGATAACAATTCAGCATTAAATCTAAAACAATTGGTCACATACTGGCATTCTAATCAATCCATGACTCGTTTTCAATCGTTAAGTAAAGTTAAGTAACCATCAACGGAAAAAGTGTCCCGTCTCAAAGTAATATACTAATCCATTAATGGTTGACGGACTTTTTCTTTCCGTGTATGAAAAGTATAATAGTCAAACCTTTGAAAAGTTATTTTTTAATAATTTTTCTAATTAAATTTTCTAAGTTTTTCAATAATTTTTCTATATTTAAATATTTTCAATTTTAAAATTATTGTACATATTGAAAATAACTAAATTTCTAAAGCAAAACTTTATTTCAATTTTTTTTTTTTTTGAAAATAATTGAATGCGCTATCGAGAAATTTGATTAAAAATATATTTAAAATAATTAAATTCTCGCAAAGAATTTTAATATAATTCTTTAAAACAATTGAATTGAATTCTTTCGAGAAATTTCAATCGTATTGTATTGTATAGTATTAAAAATAATTTAATTCCCCCGAAGAATTTTATTACATTTTTTAGAAATAATTCAATTCTTTCGAAAATTTTTATTAAAATTGTTTAAAAAATAATTGAATTCTCGTGAAGAATTTTATTTAAATTTTTGAAAATAATTTCATTGTTTTAAAGAATTTCTTCAAATTTTTTTAAATTAATGAATTTTTTTTTCATAATTTTAATTGAAAAGTTTGTAAGTAATTGAATTTTATGAAGAATTTATTTTAAAAATTTTAAATAATTGTGTTTCTTGATAGTTGTAAAATTAAACATTAGATTATTGAATTTTATTAAAATATTGCAAATAATTAAATTCTTTTGAAGAATTTCTTTAAGTTTTTTGAAAATATTTTTTTTATAATTTACTTTGAAAATTGTGAAAATAATTGAATTTTTTCCAGAATTGTATTACAATTTTCAAAAATAATTGAATTCTTTGTAAAAATTTGATGAAAGTTTTGAAAGTTATATTGAATTTTATAAAGAATGTGTTTCACATTTTTAAATTAATTGTGTTTGTTAATAATTGTACTAAAAATTATTGAATGTATGTGAAAATTTTTTCTTCGCATGAATTTAATTACTTTTAATAAAATTTTTTATTAACTTTCATTATATTATTATTTTTTATGAATATAATTTAATTCATGCCAAGCACTTTATTAGTTATTAAAGTAATTGAATTCATTGTGAAAAATTTTTGTAAAAAATTGAATTGTTTAAAGAATTTTATTTAAATTGTAGAAAATAATAAATAGTAATAATTGTTTGTGTATAGTTAATAATTTAATTTTTGAATCTAAAATTAATCAAAAATTAAAGTTGATGTTTGATAATAAAAAATTTTGTAATTTGCTTAATTTAAAAATCAACTTTTGAAGAATTTCAATTATTTGCAAAATTTTAAAAATAATTTAATTTTTAAAAATTTTAATAAAATAATAATTTATAGAATAATTTTTAGAATAATTTTTAAGATTTTGGAGAAAATAGTCATATTTAAAATTTTTATTTAAAATTCTACACAAAATTAATTATAGTTTTTTTTTGTAAATTACACAAAACTTCTTTTTATAAATTCAATAAATTGAATTCTTTTCGAAAATATTTACATTAGAATATTTATGAAAAACTAATTCTTAGAATACTGTTTTATATAGCATAATTTTTTATGAACCATTTACCTTCGAACAAAGTAAATTAAAATTTTTTAAAATTTACTTTTTTAGAATTATTAAAATTTCGGAAAAATCATTTGTAATTAAAATTCTTTAAATATTTGATTATTTTTTTATATTTTTTAAAAACTCAATTATTTTTAAAATGTTTGTATCAAATTTCTATTATTTTTCAAAGATTTTACTAAATTTCAATTATTTTTCTAAGATTTTATCAATTTAAATTATTTTTCAAAAATTTTATCAAATTTAAATTATTTTTCAAAAATTTTATCAAATTTAAATTATTTTTCAAAAATCTTACCAAATTTCAATAATTATTGTTCTCAGATTAACCAGATTTCTATTATTTTTTAAAGATTTTAACAAATTTCAATTATTTTTAAAAGATTTTACCAAATTTCAATTATTTTTTAAAAGATTTTACCAAATTTCAAATTTTTTTGACATTTTTTGTCCAAAAAAAATAGTTGCTTGTAAAACTATTCTTTCAAAAATTATTTTAAAATATTTTTAAAAAATTAATATTAAAAATTATTTTATTAAAATTTTTGAAAATAAAAAGAAAAATGGACAGATTGAATTATTATAAAAAATTGTATTTTTGTTTTTAAATAATTGAATTCTCGAAGAACTTTGGTAAAATTATTAAAAATTAATATAGATAATTGATTGAGAGATGAAGTTTAGTTAAAAATTATAGAAAATAATTGTATTTTGGAAGGGTCATAGTTATAATATTTAGAAATTTTTCAATTTCAAAAGTTAAAATTTAAAAAATTTTATTTCTTGTGAAAAAAGAAATAAGACGTAGGTATTTCAATATTTATTTAGCAAAATTATTCAAGTTTTGATTAATTGAATTTAGAAATCAGTGAAGTATCAGGGAAATACAAATAAAATTTTTGCGAGAACACTGAATTAAATAAACAATTTTTTTAACTTTTTTCTATTTTTATCGACTAAGGCCACATTTTTTGCTGGTTAAAGTCGATCCGAGTCCTGTAAGTGATACAGATTTCTATTTTATTTTTACCTAGATAGGTAGTTTAAAATTTATATTTTTTTGAACAGTAAATTTGTAATTCCAGATATAAACGAATGCGAAAATCCACATTTCGCTGCACGGTGCGTCGAAAATGCTGAGTGCTGTAATTTACCTTCGAATTTCCTATGTAAATGCAAAGCGGGATTCACTGGCGATGGCGAGATCCACTGCGAAGATGTGGACGAATGTGCATTGCAAGATGCGTGTGGAGAAAATAGTCATTGTCAGAATACCCTTGGAAATTATACGTGCTCGTGTCAGCCGGGATACTCGGGAGACCCTTACAAACTTGTAAGTATAACATGCACGCAGAAAAAGAATTTATACCTTAACAATTGAACTGTTAATGCAGAACTAACAAATTTATTTTCTTGTCCTAATGATTCCAGATTTGTTACAACAAATCTGAATAAGTTTTGAACAAATAAATTTGTTCAACAACTGAAAAACACTTTTTTTTATTATTTGAAATGAATTCAGTCAAGAAAGGAAATTCCCAAGTGGGTAAAAAATACATTAACGTTCGAACGTGAATATATTTTTTGCCCACTCGGTCTTTTTTAAAACTTTTTCACCTTTTCCTAGAAGACTCCATTCAAATTCATTCTTATGATTATTATTTTTCCGTAGGAATTAAAATTCTTCAAAGAAAAGTAAATTCAAACCTTTTTGAAATTCAACAACTTATAAGAATATTAATACAAAACATGAAGAAGGCGATCACTCAGAGTCTTCGACTCGAAGTGATCGCCTTCTTCATGTTTTGTAATAATTTAAATTACCATAAAATTTTTCAAAAAAATGTTAATTATTTACGAAAATCCTAATAAAATCCCTCGCAAGAATTCAATTATTTTTAAAAGTAGTAAAATTTCTAAAAAAAAATTCAATTATTTAAAAAAATTGTAATAAAATTCGTTTTGCAAGAATTCAATTATTTTCATAAATAATAATAAATCGATTATTCGTTAATTCATTTAATCATTTTTAAATCAATTTTTATTAGAAAATTCTAAAAAAATGAAATTATTTAAATTCAAAAATAAATAATTTATTGAATAATTGAATGTTTGTTAAAATTGAATTTTGATAAAGAATTTTATCAACAAATTTTTAAATAACTGAATTCCATGGAAAAATTTTAATGAATTTTTTAAGAATAATTACATTTTTCGAGGAATTCGATTAAAATTGTATCAAAAATAACTAAAATCCTGCGATGAGTTTTATTATTATTTATGAAAATAATTAAAATTTTCCCAAGAATTTTATTAAAATTTTTCTAAAATAATTGAATTTCAGAGAAGAATTTTATTATTTATAAAGATACTTGAAATTTTGACAAAAAATTTTTCTTAATTTTTGAACATAATTGAATTTCTTCGAAGAATTTAATTACTTTTGAAAATAATTTAATTCTTCCAACAAATTTTATTAAAATGTTTAAAAATAATTGAATTTCTGTGAAGAATTTTATTATTTCTAAAAATAATTGAATTCTTGAAAAGAACTTTGTTAAATTTCTTTTAAATAATTGGATTCTTGCTACGAATTTTATAAAAAATTTTATAAATAATTGAATTTTGAAGAAGAATTTTATTTATTTATAAAAATAATTTAATTCTTCCAACAAATTTTATTCAATTTTATAAAAATAACTGAATTTCTGCGAAAAATTTTATTACTTTTGAAAATTATTGAATTATTTCGAAGAAATTTTTTTATAAAATTTTTGTAAATAATTGAATTTCTGTTAAATTTTGCCAAGAATTTTATTAAAATTTTGAAAAATAATTGAATTTCGAAGAAGAATTTTATTATTTATAAAGGTAATTTAAATTTTGAGGGGATTTTTGTTATTTATAAGGATAATTAAAATTTTGACGAGAATTTTTTTTTAATTTTTGAACATAATTGAAATTTTGCGAAGAACTTTTATAACTTTTGAAAATAATTGAATTTCTGGAATCATTTCTAACTTTTCCAAAATTCAATTTTTTTAGTGCTTTTAACTAAAATTCTTCTATTGCAATTTAGTATTTATGAAAATTGTAAAAATTATTCATTTAATAATTTATAAGTCATAATTTTATGATTGTTCTTGAAAAATTAAGTTATTTAAAAAGAAATTATTGTCAGAAATAGAAAAAATTGAAGGTTTTGTATTAAAATTCGTGGTAATTTTATTGTTTACGAGGAAAACAAAAAAATATCAAAATTCAGAGTTTTCCCATGAATTTTAAAAATTCAGTTTTTTACAGTACTTTTACTAAAAATCCCTGACTTTTCCCTGATTTCCCTGACCAATTTTACTTTCCTTGACTTTTTTCTGAATTCCCTGACCTCCCTGACCTGTGGCAACCCTGATCATTAAAAATTAAAAACAGAAAATGATTTAGATTGTGTCGAAAAAAAATTACCTGAAAACTTGTTTGAAATTGACATGAATTGAGAACCGAGGTTCATTTCTGACGTCATTTTTATCACATGTACTTGAATATGACTGCAAGTCGCTCACTGTTTTTATTTGTTGTTTATCTTCTTCAATCTACTTAAGTCACTCTCTGGGATAGTGTTTTCATAACTTCAACTTCAGTGAGAGATGGTTTATTTAAAACTGTTTGTAATTTAATTTCTTTTTGATTTCACTATACAAAAAAAAATTTCTGTGCATCAGTTGAGTAATTTTTTTTTTTTGATAATAATTTGTGTAAATGTATAATTTGTTGTAATATCATTAAAATTGCATAGACAGAGTTGCCACAGGTCAAAATTTTGTCTGTAAATCAGGGAAAAGTGAGGGAAATACAAAATTAAATTTCTGTGGCAACCCTGATAGAATTTCCGGACTATGATATAAATTACAGAATTCTACTGTGCATTGAATCATTTGCTGACTCTAGTTCACGCCTTGCAGTATGTATATTTAAATTGAATGGAAGAGTGGTCGATTTTCTTGACTCTATGCGCTTTTATAGTTGTATAATAGAATTGGGAAAAAAGAAAGGTAGAATAATGTCCCTTTGTGTTTGCACAGTGTACCGATATAAACGAATGTAACTACGAAGGTGCTTGCGGACATGGTGCGTTGTGCGTGAATTTACCTGGTGCACATAGATGTGAATGCCCCGAGGGATACGATGGAAATCCAGAGGATGGATGCAGGGATGTGGACGAGTGTCTCAGAAGTCCCTGCGGACGTTCGGCCTTGTGCACGAATATGGATGGCACTTTTCGCTGTGCTTGCCCCGCAGGAACGGAGGGAGACCCAATGTCAGCCTGCCATGGTAAGTCATATTCTTTTCAAATGATATAATCTTGATTTATACTTAACGCTGTACATAGTTTACTTCACGCTACACCTATAAAGCGGAGGAAGTCATTAATCTCGTTAATCCACACTAAAAGAGAACTTGGAATAAAAGATGAATAATAACAGCGCATTACATTACCACTCCATCCTCAAGATGAATCCTTATATGCGATCATCTATGTTCTATGAATAAATGAAAGCAAAAATTTACCTTCAAACTTGTAGAAACATTTAGTCAGTGATATTTTTCTTTCTTTTTGTTTTTAACGATCGTTTAATTGAACATCGTAGTTTTAAATTAATAGTTTTTCTTTCTGAATTATTAGACTTCCTTTACAGAAACTTTGAAATAAAATTAGTATCTTATTTTTCGTAGAGATTAGACACTTGTTTCTATTACAAAAAAATCATGAATAAAGTCTGTAAAGGTTGGTACAATTTTAGACTGAATTAATAGGCGGAAACTTATTGTTCAAATTTTTTTTTGCAAAAATGATAAATAACTTATTAAAATAATACCTTATAACATCTGTACAAAGCATTATATAATTGAATATATTATAAAGAATAGTAATATTCGTTTTTATATTTAGCTTTTCTTAACAAAATAAAATTAGCGGAACATAGTCAAGGTTGGCCCACCATTTATAATATCAATTTGATGCAGATACTTTTTAAATAAATATATACAAGTAAACATTAGCACATACATTTTGTCAAAGATATTAGAAAAATAATATTAAATCCTATAAATTCTCATTATTATTTCATTAAATTAGTTTAAACTGTTACGCTGGAAATGTCAGGGAATTTTTAAAAACCTTGAAAAAACCTGGAAAAGTCAGGGAATTTTAAATGGAATCCTGGAAAATTATTGTTTTCTAAAGTTATTGTGCTTATTCTTGAAATCTAATTTTTCTTAATTCAATTTTAAAAGAGTTGCCTTTACAATTTTTCTTCGCAATAATTCAATTATTTTCATAAATAATCAAAAAATTTATAGATTTACAATTATTTTCATAAATAATAAAACTCATCGCAAGATTTCAATTATTTTTAATACAATTTTAATGGAATTTCTCGAAAAATGTATAATTATTCTTAAAAATTTTATTCAAATTCATCAAAGAAATTCAATTATTTTCAAAAGTAATAAAATTCTTCGCAGAAATTCAATTATGGTCAAAAGTTTAAAAAAATTTATCGTCAAAATTTCAATTATCTTTACAAATATTAAAATTTTTCTCCAAAATTCAATTATTTTCAAAAATTTTAATGAAATTCTTTTTAACAAATTCAATTTTTTTTCAAAAATTCTCCTCCAGACAATGATTTTCAATATCTACTATTTTAATAAAATTTTCCAAAAGAAATGAATTATTTTAAACATTTTTTATAAATTTCTTCGCAATAAATCTATTATTTTCAAAATTATTCAATTTATGTTTACAAAGATTCAATTATTTTTATAAATATGTAATACAATTTTTTACAGGGATTCAATTATTATTTTCGTAGATAATAAATCTCATTGCAGAATTTCAATTATTTTTGATACAATTTTAATCAAATTCCTCGAAAAATGTGATTATTCATAAAATTTTATTAAAATTCGTCAAAATAATGCAATTATTTAAAAATTTGTTAATAAAATTCTTTATGAGAATTCAATTTTGAGAAACATTCAATTATTCAATAAATTATTTATTTTTGCATTAAAAATAATTAGGTATATTTAAAAAGAAATATTATTAAAAATTCGTCTCAAGAATTCAATTATTTTCAAAAGTAATAAAATTCTTAGCAGAAATTCAATTATGGTCAAAAGTTTAAAAAAAGTTATAATCAAAATTTCAATTATCTTTATAAATATTAAAATTTTTCTCCAAAATTCAATTATTTTCAAAAATTTTAATAAAATTCTTGGCAATATTTCAATTATTTAAAAAAATTTTAATAAAATTCTTGACAAAATTTCAATTATTTTCAAAAACTTTTTTCAATTCAATGAAATTTTTTTACAGAGATTAAATTATTTTTAATACATTTTTAATCTAATTTCTCGAAAAATGAAATTATTCTTAAAATTTTTATTGAAATTCGTCAGAAGAATTTTCATTACCTATTTAAAAATTTGTTGATAAAATTCTTTAAATGAGGGTTGAATTTTAAAAAACATTCAATTATTCAATAAATAATTTTTTTTTATTTAAATAATTGAATTCTCGTAGAATTTTCTAATAATAATTGATTGAAATATGAATTTCAGTTGAAACTTTAGATAATAATTGAGTTTTGAAAAGCAGGTCTCAAATTATAATCTTTGAATGTTTAAATTTTTCATACTTTTAACTTAAAATTGTGTAGATTTAATTTTTTTTGTAAAAGTTGAATTGAATTTTTTAAAAGTTTTTATTTTCTAATATATATTTGATTGAAGAATTCCCGAATACCTGAATAATCGATGAAATTTCGTAAAATTGAATTGTATACAAAAGGATTTGAAAATGTTGAAAGAAATTTTTCAGAAATTATTAATAATAATTAATTTACACTTTATAAAGAAGAATTTTAGTTAAAAATTGTGGAAAACAATAATTGAATTAAAATAATGAAAGTAATTTTGAATAAGTTACAGTAACAATATTCTTGTAATAGGTATAAAATGATGATTTTATCAGTCCAACATTTTTAATTATTATAAAACATGAAGATATCGATGCTTGGAGTGGTCGATATTTTCATGTTTTATAACAATTTTTTATAAGATGTTTAATTTCAAAAAGGTTTGAATTAAAAATTTTGTAAAATGTAAATGTAGTTTTTAAAAACCTGGAAAAATTCTGTTTTTTAACCTGGAAAACCTGGAAAAGTCAGGGAATTTGAAATGAGCAAAAGCGTGGCAACCCTGGCGTTACTTTTTTGTAACAGTAACTTATTACTTTTTTGTTTTTTGTATTTGTAACCCTTTACAAGTTGTAAACAATAAAGGATAAATTTTTCATAACGCTAAAAATGTTATTTTATTTTCTAACGGTAATGCCCTTTGAATTTCAAGCATGGGCCGACCTTGACTATAAGAGCCAACCTTGACTACATATATATTTTTTTTTAATATTTGCAACTTTTTTATTTTAAAACTAATCAATTTACTCTGTTGAGCAAAAGTGTTCCTATTACACAGGACTTTCCAACAATTGACCAAATTAATTTTTTTAAAAAAAGTTATAAACAAAAGTCAAAAGATGGGCCCACCTTGACTATGTTCCCGTAATATAATTAAAATTGCTTTGGAGTGAGATTTGGAAGTGGTGCACAAAGATACACAATCAATGAAATAAATCATCACAATAACACAAATTAATTTTTTGGTTCTCTTTGTTATATTTTAATTTTCTTCTTTTATTCGCCGGCTAAAAATGAAAATTCAATTATACGCGAAAAAAATATTTTTTTTTTTTATAAACCTTCGAATTTTTGATCAAATATATTGAAAACAGTTTAATGTTAATTTAAACAATTTTTCACTCTGTCCCCAAAATTTAAAACATTTAGCAAAACTACTCTGCAAATCACACGAATCTTAACTTTGTAAATAAATATATTCAAGAGTACAAAACGTTTTAAAAAATTTTAACTCAAGTTCACAACGTCAAATCTGACGATTTTCTATGTAAGAATATTGGAAATCTGACGATTTTGACGTTCTCAATTTTAGTACAATTTAAAAAATTTTTTTAATTAATTTTTGCATTGTTACTTTTAGTTATTTGAAAACCTTTCAATAATTTTTTAAATCTAATTAAGAAAAATATAAAATTGTAAAATAAATGTAGTATTGGGTCAAACCACGCCAACTAGAAATAAAATTTTTAAAGCTTTTTTTTTAAATAAACATTTATGAAAATCTATAGTTCACAACGAAATAAAGAAACACTTTTAACCATTTTTCAAAATTAAAAATTTTTATAACTTTTTTTACAATAACACATTTTTGCATCACTTTAAAAAAAATTAATAACTTAAAATTGTTTTATTAAAAATTAATGGGGATTTTTTTGGTAGTTAATTAATATAAACTCTTTAATAATAATAATTGCAAAAAAAAAGTTCATCTTTTTTTAAAAAAACACTCGTTATTAAATTGCTAAAAAATTATTAATTTTTTTTCAAATGATGCAAAAATTAGTTATTATAAAAAAAAGTTATAAAAATTTTAAGTTAAATTCTGGGTTGGAATTTTCATAAATAAAAAATAAATTAAAATTTTATTTTATAAATTTTGGATTCTATATCACAAACGTATTTACAATAAATAAATAAAAAATCCAAATCACAACATTTCAATTTTAATATTACATTTCTCGTATGTAAATTAAAGATTATTCAAAAAGATTAAATCACATAAGTATTTATAAGAAAATACAGCTGAGGTCTTCGATCCATTGAAGATAATTAATAATGTTGAATGTTTTCCATTTCAAAATTTTGATACTTTAGAGAATTCTTTTTTTTAAAACTATTTTTGTTAAACAAAAGTACAATTTGTTTGTTATCGTATAACTTACGTTTAATAATGACTTATATATAACACTTATATTAAAAAAATGAAAAATATGAAAAATAAAAATATGACAACAAATAAATAAAAATTACAAGTCACAAAAATTATGATTAAAGTTAAAAGAATTTTTTTTTATTTATTAGTAACTTGACAAATTGATAAAAACCAGCCTTTTCTCAGAGAGATACTTGTTATGATAAAAATAAACAATATAAACAATCAATATCGTTATACAATGCTAATGACTTTATTGAACCTAGTAATTAATTATACAAATAAGAAGTCAATGATATTGAATCTTGAATTTAATCTCGTTCATAACGGGAATTACATTTTGTTTAAGAAAATGTCAGTTTTTCAATTTAAATAATGAAAATTTTTTTTAAACTTAACTTATACTAATTAAACTTTTAAACTTAATTAAATTGATTAAAATATTATATGATTTTATCACTCGGTTGTTTTAAATATTTAAAAACAAAATGTATAATTATAAATTGATTAAATTTATACATTAGTCGGTATTTTACTGTTTTTTGAGTTCAATGAATCCAAATGTAATGTTAAAAAACAATTTTTTTTCTGAAAAAGACAATTTCAAAAAAATTGTGATTTGAGGTTTTTTGCTTTATTTTATTTTCTCATAGAGAATTATAAATTATCCTCCTATTTCAAAATTTTTTTTAAATTCTCTAAACAAATTCGTTTCTATAATTACAATTAGAAATCTTATATATTATATGAGTTTCTGATGAAATGTCATATTTTAAATAAAAATTGGTGTAGAAATATATTATTGAAAAAAAATATTTGATTTAAATATCCAATTACTTGTTTATTATCAAATAAATATTTACTTGAATCAAATAATTTTTATTTAAATCAATTAAATGGCATTTGCTTCAAATACCGAAATTATTGGTTCAAATACAATTTAATTAACTTAAATAAAAATTATTTTATTCAAATACATAAATATTTAATACATAAAATTATTAATTAAATTAACTCAATTAATTTATTTAATAAAAATTTAATAGTAAACAAGTAATCAGTTATTGGAAGCAATAAATGAAAAATTTACTTAAATATCCTAAAATAGACAGAAGGATATTGTAGGAAATGCCCACAAAATTTTTTTTTATTACTAAAAATTAATTTAAAAAAAATTTTTTACGACAAAAATTTAATTTAATTTTTAAATTTTAATTTAAAAATGGTCGAAAAATTAACATTGGAGATCTAACAGTCACATGCTGTTAAGGAATTATCATGAACCCTACAATCTAAATTTCCAATACAAAAATTGTTTTTCACACATAAATTTGATCAGAATCTGATATATAACATTTTTCTAAATAAAAGAAAATTTATTTAGAGAATTTTTGAAAATGTTTTAAATTAAAGGAGTTAAAAATTTTCTCTATAAGGAAGCAAAAAATAATTTAGAAACGTATTGAAGTTTAATTTAATTTTCTGAGAAAGCAAATAAATAAAGTATGCGTGTACATATTTATAAGATATTTTGGTGATAAATAGATAATAATGTAGTAATAATAAAAATAATTGTACAACTAACAACGGCAACGCTATTAGATATAAACGAGTGCTCGGGAAATCCTTGTGGCTTGGACGCGGAATGTGTGAACAGCGAAGGAAGCTTTGAGTGCAGATGTCGGTTGGGATATCAAATGGATGCCATCCACGGCTGTGTCGATGTGAACGAATGCGCCCAGAATAATCCCTGCGCTACTAACGCCAAGTGCATCAACGTCCCAGGAACGTTTAAGTGTTTATGCCCGAGAGGCTTTGTCGGCCAGGGACTCACCCTTTGCGAAAGTCAGTTTTCTTTCGATAAGCTCATACAGTTTCAATTCTTGAACGCAAGCCACGAGAATTCTTCCCACTTTTTCACCAAAATTTTATACCCTCCGGGTCTTTTCATCAAGTTTTCCTCTTTCTTTAATGTGATACGAAAATTTTTCAAGATTGTTGATGCCAATAATTGAACTGCTTACAAGGAAACTATATAAAAAATGAAAGTGTATACAAGCTAATTTTTAAATAAATTTAAAAAAAAATTAAAAAATTTTTTTTTTTTTAATGTTTTAAATTAAAATTATAAGCTACATACAATTAAGCTGCATTTTCAATTTTAATTTAAAAAAAAATGTATTTAAAAATTAGCTTGTATTACACTTTTATTTTGTGCAGTTTAGTTTATGCAATTTCCCTGTAGGCAACAACAACCGCTCCAAAAATCTAATAATAAAAGATTTTTTTTTAATTATAATTGAAAAATACTGAAAAAAAAATTTTTTTTTAATTTTAATAAAAAAAAAAATTATTAGGTAATTAAAAATAATTATCTTTAATTAATAATTTTTTGGAGTCTTCTAAAGTGGGTTAGTTTTTAAAATCTATATTGAAGACAACGTTAGATATTTTTAATAACATATCAAATAGTTGCGGGATCTTACGAAAGTCGTTAGTAAAAATGAAGAATTCTTATTTAAAAAGTTCTTTTTCTTTGGATTGCAGCTGTGCAATTCGTTTAACTGTTTTAACGATTAAATAATTATCGTATTTAACCAATTATCCAGGCCCATTTAAAATTATGTGTTTCTTCCTTCCTTGGATTGAATTTTAATTTCTCCAAATAATTATTAAGGTCCTTATTAAGAAAGGGAAATACAGTATGTTTTATTTTATTTCTTTTTTGGAACTTCTATTCTATTTAGTTTATTTCTTTTGGGAATTGTAAAAATAATTGAGTTTTTTCTTTCAAATATCTTCGAGGAAATAAATACCAACTTCTTATAAAATTTTTTAAATAATTAATTTCTTTCGACTAATTTTTTTGCAAATTCTAATTTAAATAATTGAATTCCTGAGAAATTTTTATTATTCATGAAAAAAAATTGAATTCTTACGAAGATTTTTACAAAATTTTCTTTAAATAATTGAATCTTTGTTTGGAAATTTTATGAAAATAGTAGATGTTGAAAATGATTCAATTGCGAAAAGTTTTTAAAAATAATTAAATTTTACAAAGAATTATATTAAACTTTTTGAGAATAATTGAATGTCTGTGTGATATTTTATTAAATTTTTTTTGAAAATAATTGAATTTCTAAAAAGCATTTTATTATTTATGAATATAATTGAATTCTTGCGAACGATTTTATTAGAATTTTTTAAAATAATTGAATCTCCAAGAAGAAATTTATTACTTTTAAAAATAATTAAATTCTTGTGATGAATATATTGTTATTTATGAAAATAATTGAATTTTGCAAAGAATTTTATCAAAATTCCTCAAAATAATTGAATTTTCGGAAATAATTTTGTAATTTATCGACATAATTGAATTTTTTCGAAGAATAATTTATGTAAATAATTGAATTCCTCGGAAGAATTTTATTAAAATCTAAAAAAATAATTGAATTATTTAAAAAAAATTTAATTAAAATTGAATTTGAAATATTTGATTTCTTTCAACCATTTTATTAAAATATTTAAAAATAATGAATTTCTGTGAAAAATTCTAATATTTTTGTAAATAATTGAATTCTTCCAAATAATTTTCAAAAAACATTTTTTAAATAATTGATTTTTTCGAGGAATTGAAATTAAATTTTTAAGAATAATTACATTTTTTTGAGCAATTCCTGTAAAATTGACTTGTATTAAAAGTACATAATTGAATAATTGCTTAGAATTTTATTAAAATTTCCAAAAATAATTGAATTCCTGAGAAGAAATTTATTAAAATGTTTAAAAAGAATTGAATTTCTGTGAAAAATTTGGTTATTTTTGAAAATAATTAAATTTTTCGATTAATTAATTAAAAATGTTATTAAAAGTAATTGAAATTCTTCGATTCGTTTTATTCTTTATGAAAATAATTGAATTTTTGCTTAGAATTTTATCAAAAAATTTTTTAAGAAATTAAATTCTATGAAAAATATTATTATTAATGAAAGTAATTGAATTATTGTAAAGAATTGTATAAAAATTTTGTTAAATAATTGATTTTTCAAAATTTTTTTAGAAAAATTCTATTCTGAATTAATTGAATTCCTGGTGAAAATTTAAATATTTATGAAAATAATTGAATTTGGGATGAATTTTATCAATTCAATTTTTTATTAAATAATTGAATTTTTTTGGAGAAATTTTATGAAAATACTAGATATTGAAAATAATTTGAATCGTTTTAAAGAATTCGATTATAATTTTTGAGAATAGTTTTTTGATTCTAGTATTAGCGAATTTAGAGTAGTGGAAATTTTCAAAAAAAATTAAAATAGAGGCTTTTAGTAGCTGAAATCTAAAAAAATACCCAAATAGTAGCATAACGTAAAAAAGTAGTAAATATTAGGTTTTAGTAGATGAGTGCGAAGCCTGCTATAAATATATTTTTTGTATCAGTAATATTTATTTATTTATTTATTATATTAATTATTAATATAATATTTATTAAATATTTATATTAAATAATAAATATTTATATTTATATTAAATATTAAATATTTATATTAAATATTTATTAAATTTACATTAAATTAATATTCATGGGGTATTAATTTGCGGGAAAATTTCTTTATTCACAAACTATATTAATTAAATAAATTTAAAGTTTAATTCCTTTGACATAAATTTTTTTTTTTTTAAATCCGCTTCGGAAAAGTTCTTAAGAATTTATAAAGTCTCAAAATTAAAAGAAAAATTGAATTCGGATGAAAATTACGACCTGTGAAGTATTTGGAATATATGTCCGCAATATATGTAAATAAAAGTGCTTGCTTTCAAGAAATAATACTATTCCTTTTTTAATGACATCTAATAATTAACTGTCCGCTGATTGAATAAAACTATTAACAGATATTAACGAATGCGAGAAAAGTCCTTGTGGAGAAAATGCAGAATGCACAGATACCATAGGCAGCTTTGTATGTAGCTGCAAAGCAGAATACACCGGTGATCCGTTCAAGGGATGCAGTGGTTAGAATTTTTTTTACATTCTCTTTTTTTCTTTTTCTTTCTTCTCTCACTAATTTAATCTATCCGGTTATTCACTATTGACTTTCATAAGAAAAATTGCTTTATTTTTACTAACTTTCTTTTTTTGCATTTCCTTCGAATCAATGCAGATATCGATGAGTGTACAGCTTTGGACAATCCATGCGGAACGAATGCTATTTGTAAGAACACAATTCCAGGATATACTTGTCTTTGTCCACCTGGATTCAGTGCCAATCCCAGCCCGAAAGTTGCTTGTGATCAGGTAAAATAGTTTTTTATTAATTTCAGTTTCAGTATCTGCACAGATTATAATTTCTAATTTTATGTTATCAATATTTCAAGATAAATGGGTGAAATATCATCGCTCGACTATAAAAACTTGGTGCATATTATACTTTATGCAATTTTATATAAATTTATGTAATTTACTGTAAAAATATTGCCTTTCAACAATTTTCATAATCATAAACTGTACAAATTTAAAAAAAAAAAAAAAAATGTTTGACTATTATTGCCCTAGGGCAATAATGGGCCCTTTACTGATGGTTGTGTTATAAGTGGGAACTTAGCCTGATTTGCATAAAAATAATTGTCGTCGAGTAGATGAAAGTAAATTTTTTTTATTTATAATACTTAGCGATTTTTTTACATCTATTGTTGATTTTTTTGTTATTCTATTTATTGTCGATAGAAAATAGGGTTTTTTTAAAAAAATAATTATAATTATTAATTGTTTACTAATTTTGCGTATAAAATTAAGACGGACGTTGCAACACTCTGCAAATCTAATTTCGACTGCGTCAATAACGCTGAATGCATCGAAGGTCAGTGTTTCTGCAAAGAGGGCTTCAAGGCCATCGGAGCTGAATGCGAAGATATTGACGAGTGTTTCAAAAATCCGTGTGGACCAAATTCTGTCTGCACCAATACGAAAGGACACTTCCATTGTGATTGTGAAACTGGATTCATCGGAACTCCACCACATTCTCCGTGCAAAGGTGAGTGCATCTAATATGTTGTTTTTTACTTGTTTGAAAATTAAATTGCAACTTATTATAACTAAAGTAAAATAAAAATTTTATTTTTAAATTTTTTTTTTTTAATTTTTATTCTTATTCAATTAAGAAACAATATGAATTTTTTCTAAATATTTTAGTTTCTTTAAAATTGATTAATTAACAATTTATTAAAAATGAAAAACCCTCTTTTTGTCATTTATCATTTAAATCGTAAGTTCCAAACAGATAATTAAATTTAAACAATTGATGGAACGAAAAATACCTGCCAAGTAAAAAATAAAAAATTAAATAGCAATACTTACCTTTTTATGAAAAAAGAATGAATTATTTTGAGTAAATCCGTTGCATTTTATTTTATAAACTTTATATGGAAGATTGCAGTAAAAACTTTTGTTTAAAACTCGTAGAGTAGAATTTTATCTTGTGTTTGCAAGAATCGAGAATAAACGAATAAAAGAACGAATACCAGGATTATTATATACAACATTCTCAGAATTTCTCGCGAGTTGGACATAATTTTTTTATAAATTTTTGCTGGATAAAGATATCGACAATTTGGAATATTTCTACATTATTCTAAAGGAAGTTTTCAAAAGCGGACATTTTAATATGTTATAATGTCCCAATAGAATTAAAATTTTTCTATTTATGACAATAATTTCTTTCAAAATAATTTAATTCTTATTTAATTCTTCCTAATTTAATTTAATAATTTAATTATTACTTGTAAATTATTTAATTAATAATTTTACTTCAATATTTAAAAATTAATTTAATTTTAAAGAAATTGCGTTTACAATCTTCAAAAATAATAAAAACTTCACAGAAATTCTATTAAAATTTACAAATTTTTTATAAATTTCTTCACAATAATTCCATTGTATTCATAAATAATAAAATTCGTCGCAAGATTTCAATTATTTTTCATATAATTTTAATCGAGTTCAATAAATAATTTATTTTAGTATTTAAATAATTGAATTCTCGTAAAATTTTGTAATAAAAATTGATTTAAATGTGAGGTTTGGTTAAAAACACTAAAGTAATTGAATTTTGGAGAAAAGTTACAAATGATAGCAGAAAATCAATTATTTAAAAAAAAAAAATTCTTCGCAAAAATTCAATTTTGTTTAAAATTTTTTTTAAAATTCTCATCAAAATTTTAATTATCTTTAGAAATAAGATAATTCTTTTCCAAAATCAAATTATTTTTAAAAATTTCAATAAAATTCTTGACAATATTTCAAATATTTTCGAAAAATTTCCTCAATTCAATGATTTTCAATATCTACTATTTTGATAAAATTTTCCATAACAATTCAATTATTTAAAAAAAAATTAATAAATATTTCACAGGTATTCAATTATTTTTTGAATAATTGAAATTTAATACAAATTTTTGTAAAAATTTCTTCGCATAATAATTCAATTATTTTTATGAATAATACAATTTTTTACAGGGACTCAATTATTTTTATAAATAATAAAATGTTTTACATGCGTTCAATTATTTTTAAAAATAATAAAATTCTTTAATTAGGAATTTAATTATTTTCATAAATTAAACTCATCGCAGAATTTCAATTATTTTAAATACAATTGCAAATAAAAATTCCTTAAAAAATGCATTTCTTAATAATTTTACTAGAATTCTTCTAAAGAATTCGATTATCTTCATAAATAATTAAATACTTTAAAGGAATTGATTATTTTAATAATTAATTATTATATATTAAATTGTTTATAAGAATTCAATTATTTTTAATACAATTTATATTAAATTCCTTAAATAAATTTATTTATTTTTAATAGTTTTAATACAATTATTCGCGGAAATTTAATTATTTCCATAAAAAACAACATTGTTTGTAGAAAGTCGATTTATTTTTAAAAATTTTAATAAAATGCTTTGTAAAACTTTATAAACATTCATAAATAATTTATTAAATTCTTCGCAAAAAGTCAATTATTCTTTAAAATTTTATTAAAATTATTTGAAAGAATTGAATTATTTTTATTTTTAATACAATTTCAATCGAATTCATTGAAAAATTAATATTTATTTAAATAAAGAAGCTATTGATGTTTTATTATAATTTTACAATTAAAGAAAGTCGCAAATAAAAGTATTAGAACATTTTTCTGAATGTCTAATAATTTTTAGACTGAATCAAAATATTCTTTAGGTTTTGGGAAAAAGTGAAAATTTTGTCTGGAAATCAGGGAAGAACAAAATTTAATTTTTGTGGCAACACTGATTTTTTTTAAACCTGGAAAAATTTTGTTTTTTAACCTGGAAAACTCATAAAAATTACGGAATTTCGAATGATCTAAAGTGTGGCATTTCTGTATCAAAAAATAATTGCTATTAATAAATCATTTAAATTTTTGGAGATACGACTAAAAGAAACTATTCTTAACTGTTTGTGACTAAACCTCATTTGTGTTTACAGTTACGAAACCCTTATTTATTTTATTCTTATATGTTGATAATTATTAGCTCCATGTGACGAAGTAACCTGTGGCGAACACGCCTTCTGCAAACCTGATGGACAAGAAGCCTATTGTATTTGTGAAGATGGCTGGACATTTAATCCCAACGATATTGCAGCTGGATGTGTTGGTATGATATATCCCCTCTCGTACTTTCTTTTTTTAATGCTTCCAATTTGTCGCATTTTTCATTATTAATTGCATGCTATTTATCTTACTCCATCAGACATCAACGAATGTGATGAAATTAATGGACCGTCTGGACGATGCGGTAAAAATGCAATTTGTTCAAATTCTCCTGGCGGATTCAGTTGTCAGTGCAAACAAGGATTCTCTGGAAATGCCTTTAAACAATGTTTGGGTAATTTGGAAAACTAAAAATTACTTATAGAATAAAAATTTTACCAATAATTAATATTTCATATTTAATACATTTATAACTGTGAATTTTAATTCTGTATTTAATTTTCACGTAGATATTGATGAATGTGGTCGACCTGACGCCTGTGGCCATGGAGCAACTTGCTCGAACAAAGAAGGCTCTTACAGTTGTTCCTGTCCTCCGGAAACTATTCCAGATCCCGATCCTCACATCAAGTGCGTTGGGGTTGTCACCTGCGATGTGGATAATGACTGTCCGGGAAATGCTATTTGCGATCCTCAAAAGCGATGCTTGTGTCCAGAACCGAACGTTGGAAACGACTGCCGACGTAAGTTAAACAATTTATTATCTATTTCTGGACATTTATAATTTTATTCTAAATATAAATTCCTGTGAGTAATCCCAACAAGAACATCTTTGATGCAAAACGTTTCGCCAAGTAAAAACTTTAAAAAAAAATTATAATTAAAAAAAAAATTTTTTTTAATTTTGCAAATGTCCAAACAATTAGTGAAATAAAAGTTTACCAAGTAAAATTTATAACTAAAGTTTTAATATTAAACTAGCAACAATCGCTAACTTCTTGCTGCCTTTTTTAAATAAAATTGAGGGGCTGGATGCTATAAAGTGTTACGCGCCATGTTAAGTGAATGGCGCGTAACACATTATAGCATCCAGCCCCTCAATTAGTAATTTTAAAAATAATCTAATTTAAATTTTTGTTAAAAACACTAAAAAAATCAATTTTGGATAAATTACAAATATAATTGCAGAAATTCAATTATTTTCAACAAAAAAAAATAAAATTCTTCTTATAAAATTCAACTATGTTCAAAATTTGAAAAAAAATTCGTAAAAATCCCAATTATCTTTATAAATAACAAAATTCTTCTCCAAAGTTCAATTATTTTCATAAATGTCAAAAAAAAAATTCTTGTCCTAATTTCATTATTTGAAAAAAATTTTCTAATTTTAATGATTTTCAATATCTACTATTTTCATGAAATTTCCCAAAAGAATTCAATTAAAAAAAAAAAAAATTTAATAAAATTGTGTGCAAACTTTTAATTATTTTCATAAATAATAAAAATTCCACAGGAATTCAATTATTTACAAATTTTCTATAAATTTCTTTGCAATATAATAATTTAATAATTTTCAAAAAATAATAAAATTTTTTAAGGAATTCAATTATTTTCATACAAAAATAATTTAAAATTCTATAGAAAATACTAATTTAATTAAAATGATGAAAATAATTTTGATAAAGTTACAATAACAATATTTTTATAATATAAAATAATGATTTTATCTGTCGGTCATCGCTTTAATTATTAGAATTTAATTATTTTCTAAAATGTTAATAAATCCTTCGAAACAATTCAATTATTTTTATAAATAGTAAAATTCAATTATTGTTTTCAACAAAAATTTGATAAAATTTCTGTAAAGAATTCAATTATTTTCTAAAACTTTTATAAATTCTTCAAAACAATTCAATTGTTTCTTTAAATAGTAAAATTCTTTGCAAAATTTCAATTATTTTCAATAAAATTTCACGAAAGAATTTAATTATTTTCTAAAATTATTATAAATCCTTCAAAACAATAAAATTATTTTTATAAATAGTAACATTCTTTGCAAAACTTTAATTATTTTGAAAAACATTTTGTAACTGTACTATTTTCAAAAAAACTTTAAAAAATTCTGCAAAAGAATTTAATTCTTCACAAAAACTCTAATAAAATTGTTTAAAAAAGTTTAATTTTATATCAATAAAATTTTAATAAAATTTTAATAGTGAAGATTAATTACAATTATTAAAAAAATCGATTAATATTCAATAAATTAAAGAAATTTTTTGAAAGAATTTAATTATTTTCTATATTTCAATAAAATTCCTTGTATGAATGAATTAAATTATTTTAGAAAATTGAAAATTGCAATAAAATTCTCAGAAGAATTGAATTATTTTTTAATAATTTGAAAAACATTCTTTTGAAGAGTTTCTTTCAATTTTTTCAAGTTTGTTAAAATAATCGTGTTTCTTAATAAATGAAAATAAAGATTTACTTATTGAATTTTATTCATATTTTTAAAAAATAAATAAATTCTTCTGAGAATTTTATTACAATTTTCAATTTTCAAAAATAATTTAATTCATTAAAAAAATTTTATTGAAATATAGAAAATAATTAAATTCTTTCAAAAAATTTCTTTAATTTATTGAATAAAATCAATTTTGTTAATAATTGGAATTAATTTTAACTATTAAACTTTTATTAAAATTACTGATAGAGAAAGTTAAACTTTTTTAAACAATTTTATTAGAGTTTTTGTAAATAATTAAATTCTTTTGAAGAATTTTTTAAAGTTTTTTTGAAAATAGTAGTTACAGAATTTTTTCAAAATAATTAAAGCTTTGCAAAGAATTTTACTATTTATAAAAATAATTTTAGTTTTTTGAAGGATTTATTATAATTTTAGAAAATAATTAAATTCTTTCTTGAAATTTTATTGAAAATAATTGAATTTTTGCAAAGAATTTTACTATTTAAAGAAACAATTGAATTGTTTTCAAGGATTTTTAAAAATTTTCAGAAAGTAATTGAATTCTTTACAGTAATTTTATCAAATTTTTGTTGAATACAATAATTGAATTTTCGCAAATTTTACTATTTATAAAAATAATTGAAGGATTTATTAAAATTTTAGAAAATAATTAAATTCTTTTGGAAATTTTTAAAATGAATATTAAGAAAAAATGTGAACTCTTTCTTGAAATTTTATTGAAAATAATTGAATTCTATTGGAAATTTTTAAAGCCTAATTAAGAAAAAATTTGAATTTTTTCGTGAAATTTTATTGAAAATAATGAATCTTTGCAAAGATTTCACTATTATATAAAGAAATAATTGAATTCTCTGGAGAAAATTTATTAAAATTTTGTTGAAAATAATTGAATGTTTGCAAAAAATTTTATTATTTATAAAAATAATTGAATTTTTCCGAAGAATTTTATTATTTATGAAAATAATTGAATTCTTGGGAAGAAATTATAATTTTTGAAGATATAAACAATAATAATTATGTACTTAATAAATGAATTTTTAAAATTATGATTATGAAATTATTCAAAAAAATTGTATTTGTAAATAAAAATTTTTGTCATTTTCTTAATAATAATAATAATAATAATAATAATAAATTGAATACCAAGTTCCACGCGCGTAACATTTGCTAGTATTGAATAAACTTAACAGAATTCTTTCTTTTATCATTCTGTATCCAACAAAAAAAATTGAGCAAAATCGTTTAAGATTTACTAGAGTTATTCAATTTTATCTATAAACAGTCGATATTTTGAGAATCGCGGCTTTTAATGGGCGACGATTCTCTCACTGAAAAAACGATAATCTAACTTTAAGAAGCGCCTACCTAAATAGGAGCCAAGAATATTCCCTTCTTAAATTAAGTGCCCCACTTAATTTAAGTCGGGCCACTTAATTTAAAAATGGAATATTCTTGGCTCCTATTTAAGTAGGCGCTTCTTAAAATTAGATTATCGATTTTATTTGTGCTACCGCGAATCTTGATTCCCGAGTAATTAATTTCGATTATTAACATTGAATTTCAGATCCATGTGAAGATCTTTCCTGCGGTCCAAATGCCCACTGCATGTTACTGAATGACGTGGCGAACTGCCTGTGCAGTAACGGTTACACGGGCAAACCAGGAGTCAAGGGAGGCTGCAGAGATATTGATGAATGTTCAACTAATCCATGTCCACCAGGCGCTGTCTGCTACAACGAACCCGGAAGTTTCTCTTGTCAATGTCCGAGTGGAATGACTGGCGACCCTTACAGTGGTGGTTGTGAGAAATCACTGTTACCACACGTATGCGGACCCAACAGTCCATGTCCACTTGGAGAACAATGTATCAAGGACGAATTTGCCGGAAGCAGCGTTTGCATCTGCCAAAGAGGATACACTCGTGACGCTGAGACTCACAAATGCAGAGATATTAATGAATGCCTCGAACTGAGGGACAAGCCCGCTTGCGGAGTGAATGCCATTTGTAAAAATCTCCCCGGCAGTTACGAGTGTCAATGTCCAACTGGATTCAATGGAAATCCTTTCTCTCTTTGCGAAGGTAATTTCTTTTTTCCATTACTTTCATTTTAACAGATCTGTTCATTGTCAAGTTACTTAATAGTAAAGTTAGTTACACTGAAAAAACGATAATCTAACTTTAAGACGAACCTACTTAAATAGGATCCAAGAATATTCCCTTCTTAAATTAAGTGCCCCACTTAAATTAACAGGGTCGCCACGCAACCTGGAAACCTGGAAAACCTGGAAATGTCAGGGAATTTTCATTGGAATCCTGGAAAATTATTGTTTTCTAAAGTTATCTAAAGTTATCTTAATTCAATTTTAAAAGAGTTGCCTTTACAATTTTCCTTCGCAATAATTCAATTATTTTCATAAATAATCAAAAAAATTTATAGATTTACAATTATTTTCATAAATAATAAAACTCATCGCAAAATTTCAATTATTTTTAATACAATTTTAATGGAATTTCTCGAAAAATGTATAATTATTCTTAAAAATTTTATTCAAATTCATCAAAGAAATTCAATTATTTTCAAAAGTAATAAAATTCTTCGCAGAAATTCAGTTATGGTCAAAAGTTTCAAAAAATTTATCGTCAAAATTTCAATTATCTTTATAAATATTAAAATTTTTCTCCAAAATTCAATTATTTTCAAAAATTTTAATGAAATTCTTTTTAACAAATTCAATTTTTTTTCAAAAATTCTCCTCCAGTCAATGATTTTCAATATCTACTATTTTAATAAAATTTTCCAAAAGAAATAAATTATTGTAAACATTTTTTATAAATTTCTTAGCAATAAATCTATTATTTTTAAAAATATTCCATTTTTGTTTACAGGGATTCAATTATTATTTTCATAGATAATAAATGTCATTGCAGAATTTCAATTATTTTGGATACAATTTTAATCAAATTCCTCGAAAAATGTGATTATTCTTAAAATTTTATTAAAATTCGTCGAAAGAATTCAATTATTTAAAAATTTGTTAATAAAATTCTTTATGAGAATTCAATTTTGAGAAACATTCAATTATTCAATACATTATTTATTTTTGTATCAAAAATAATTAGGTATTTAAAAAGAAATATTATTAAAAAATTCGTCTCAAGAATTCAATTATTTTCAAAAATAATAAAATTCTTAGCAGAAATTCAATTATGGTCAAAAGTTTAAAAAAATTTATAGTCAAAATTTCAATTATTTTTATAATATTAAAATTTTTTTCTAAAATTCAATTATTTTCAAAAATTTTAATAAAATTCTTGGCAATATTTCAATTATTTAAAAAAACTTTTTCCAATTCAATGAAATTTTTTTACAGAGATTCAATTATTTTTAATACATTTTTAATCTAATTTCTCGAAAAATTTTTATTGAAATTCGTCAGAAGAATTTTCATTACCTATTTAAAAATTTGTTGATAAAATTCTTTAAATGAGGGTTGAATTTTAAAAAACATTCAATTATTCAATAAATAATTTTTTTTTATTTAAATAATTGAATTGTCGTAGAATTTTCTAATAATAATTGATTGAAATATGAATTTCAGTTAAAACTTTAGATAATAATTGAGTTTTGAAAAGCAGGTTTCAAATTATAATCTTTGAATGTTTGAATTTTTCATACTTTTAACTTAAAGTTGTGTAGATTTAATTTTTTTTGTAAAAGTTGAATTGAATTTTTTAAAAGTTTTTATTTTCTAATATATATTTGATTGAAGAATTTCCGAGTACTTGAATAATCGATGAAATTTCGTAAAATTGAATTGTAAACAAAAGGATTTGAAAATGTTGAAAGAAATTTTTTAGAAATTATTAATAATAATTAATTTACACTTTATAAAGAAGAATTTGAGTTAAAAATTGTGGAAAACAATAATTGAATTAAAATAATGAAAGTAATTTTGAATAAGTTACAGTAACAATATTCTTATAATATAAAACATGAAGATATCGATTGCATTGGAGTGATCGATATTTTTATGTTTTATAACAATTTTTTATAAGATGTTTAATTTCAAAAAGGTTTGAATGAAAAATTTTGTAAAATATAAATGTAGTTTTAAAAACCTGGAAAAGTCAGGGAATTTGAAATGAGCAAAAGCGTGACAACCCTGATTAACTGATTAAGTGGGGCACTTAATTTAAGTAATAGTCAAGTTAGTTAACAGTTAGTTAACAAGTGGCTTAAATTATTCCTAGAATGCAACAGTATCGAGTGCCAGTGTCAACCTCCTTACAAGATCGTAAATGGAAAGTGCATGCTGGCTGGTTGCTCAAAGGGCGAAACTTGTCCGGCCGGTGCCGAGTGTATCACGATAGCGGGTGGCGTCAGTTACTGCGCCTGTCCCAAAGGCTTCAGCACTAAACCCGATGGATCTTGCGAAGGTAATAAAAAGCGAGATAGAATTATTTATCAACTAACTGAAGAAACACACTTGACCAATAAAACTTGTTCTTGCAGACATAAACGAGTGTATCGAAGGACACCAAGTGTGTGGATATGGTGCCGAGTGCATCAATTTACCAGGTTCTCATCGATGTGTCTGTCCCCGTGGGTACGGTGGTGATCCGTACAACGGTCTCTGTTCTCCAGCTCAAAAACGATGCACCAATGATAATGAATGTAAAGCCAATGAGAAATGCATACAACCCGGAGAATGCGTTTGTCCTCCGCCATTTTACACAGATCCTATTGACGGCAACCTCTGCAAAAGTATGTTTTTATTTATTATTTACTCACTGTTCATATCCTTCGGTTTTAAATTATATGTGACCGCGTCTGAGAAAAGGACCTAACGACCAAAAAGAACTATTTTTAGATTTAGACGGTTTCTTACACTTTAAGGACCTTAAAATGTAATGCAATTAGTCTAGAGTTAAAAACTTTTTTTTGCAATTGTTTAAACAAATTAAAAAAAAAAATTTCACTTCAAACAAATTTTTTAATTAAAATATACTTTTTTTATAAATCTTCTTTACTAATTCTGATAAAAGAAATGTTTCTGATCGTTTCGAAAAATCCGATTATATCTCGAAAGCGTATGACTTACTATCTAACCAATGCACAATATACAGAAGTTTCTACCCAAAATATTTTAACTAAATTACCTACAATGCGAAACCTACAAAATTCTTCGTAAGTTAAATGACAATAATTTTCAATATCTAGTATTTTCATAAAATTTCGCAAAATAATTAAAAAAAAATCCGCTGCCAAGTTGTATATTATTTTGTATAATTTTGGTGCTTATTTCATGAAAGAAGTAAATATTTTTCATGAAAATTAGGAAAAAGTCAGAAAAATAAGATAGGTACAGAATGGAATTCTTGTCAGTTTTGTGAAGTGTCTAAAATGATTTTTTTGGTCGTCAAGTTTAATTTTTCGACAGCTACTTTGTTACAACTTTTTTTTAGATTGAAAGCTACTTTTGAAAATTAATTATCGAGTCCAAAGTCTGAATCTTATAATTTGGTTTCTACTTACCGGCAACTTTCGAAAGTTTGTATTCCTTTTAATAATATTTATTTTCAATTATCGAATATTCTCAAAAAATACAATTTTTTAACTATTCTAATGGTTCAAAAGAGTTTGGTTTCGGTTATAAAATTGGAAAAAGTATTGACAAAAAAAAATGTGATAGAACCAGTATTGTTTAAAAGTTTAATTGACATAATTGCCCAGCTAATTATAAAGGTGAATCTAAACGCACTTTAGAAAAAATAATTAAGGAACTAAGTAAAAACAAAAATCCTGATTCAGTTGTGAACAAACATGAAGCAGACTATAATCATTCTTTTAATTTTGATGATCAGAAAATTTTAGATTACGAATTTTTGTATAAAAAAAGATTGATTTCAGAAGTGACTCATATTAAAAGAATCGATTTTACTATTAACAAGAAGGACTATTAACAAAGTTCAGTTCCTCAGTCCTAATATTTATTTCTCTACTAAGCGTTTTTAGAATATAAAAAGTTCTTAAGATGTTATGTAGTGGATATAAAACGTTCTAAAAACGTTTCTAGAACAAAGAAGTTTTCGTGCCCAGAGGGCTTCTTTTAATTAAATTTATTAAATTATAAAAATTTAATAATTTTTTATTGAACTGTGCCTTATTTTCAGATCCTTGTGACCGATTTCCATGCGGACTTAACGCGAAATGTACACCAACTGATCCACCAAGATGTATGTGCGAAGCAGGCTACGAGGGAGATCCACAGCACGGCTGTGTCGATGTCAACGAGTGTATTAACAATCCTTGCGGACGCGGAGCCTACTGCTTCAATATCAAGGGGGGACATGTTTGCGAATGTCCAAAAGGAATGTCCGGCGATCCTTATGGAGCCGGATGCTCCGGAGCACCAACAGCCAAACAAGAATGCTCATCAAACGATCATTGCGAGAACTACTTGGCCTGCGTTCAAGGCAGCTGTGTCAACCCCTGCGATAATGTTCCTTGCGGACCAAACGCTTACTGCGAACCCGACAAGCATGCTCCTTGGTGTCGATGCGTTATCGGATTCACCGAAGGCAAAAACAACGAATGTGTTTCTCGTAAGTCTTACCCTTTTCTGAAAATTTCTCCAATTCCTGATTATTTAAGAATGACCTTTCTTCTTATATAACTACTTTCGATCGAGTCATTTATACTTATACAATAACTAGCAAAAATTCTAAACTTTCTTCATACTTTTTTTAAATAAAATTAGCAATTTTAAAAAATCGTCCGCCATATTGGATCCGCCATTTTGAATTTTGAAAATTTTGAAAATCTGACTTTAGATTCGTAATCAGCGACACCAAAAACTAGGAAAAACGTTACACTTCTGTTTTTTTAACCGGACAGTTTTGCCTGGGAGTAAAAGGAATAACAACAATAATAATCATATATTCTGAGACAGGGGATTCAAACAAAAGACAGACATTTTTATTAAAAGTACTGGAAAAAATTAAATTTTTGGAATTTATAAGAAAATTCTCAATTTTTGTATCTTTTTTTAACTATGAAATCACCACGAATTCTAATACAAAATATTCAAATTTTTTTATTTCTGACATTAATATTTCTTTTTAAGTAACTTCATTCTTGAAAAACAATCATACAATTATTACTTATAAATTATTTAATGAATAATTTTAATTAAATATTTCAATATTAATTGACTTTGCAATTTTCATAAATAAATGAACTTAAAAAGGTTTAAATTTGAAATTTTATAAAATTTCAATTCTTAATGAATTGAATTAGAAATTTTTAAAAACTTAGATTTTTGCAAAATGTTAATAATTCAATATCTTCTTCAAATTAGTTAAATTTGTCAATATAATAATATTTTCTTAATTATTAAAAACAATGGATTTATAGAAAAATTTTATTTAAAAACATTTTAAAGAATTGAATTTTTGAGAAGTTACAAATGATTGCAGAAATTCAATTATTTACAAAAATTAAAAAAAAAATTCGTCAAAATTTTAATTATCTTCATAAAAAATAAAATTCATACTGGAAATTTAATTATTTTCAAAAAATTTTCCCCAATTCAATGATTTTCAATATCTACTATTTTAATAAAATTTTTCAAAAAAATTTAATTATTTAAAAAAAAATGTTGATAAAATTCTAAGCAAACATTAAATTATTTTCATGAATAATAAAACACATCATAAATTTTCAATTATTTTTAATACAATTTTAATTGAATTCATCGAAAAATTTAATTATTCTTCTCTCTAAATTTGAATCAGTTAAGAATAACTGATTTAAAAGCAGAAAGTCAGTCACTAATTGAAATAGTAATATTTCTACTGACAATTAGTTAAAAATAACTGAAGTTTCAGTAAATTTTTTTTGACTGATTCAATTAGTCAAGTTTAACTATTTTTTCAGTTATTTTTTTACTGAAAATTAGTTATTTTTTCACTGAAAATCAGTTATTTTTAACTGATTCAGAAACAAAAAGTCAGTCACTGATTCAAATTACAAGAGTTGAAAATTTTATTATAATTCCTCGAAAAAATCCAATTTTCTTGCTAAAATTCTTTATAATAATTCAATTTCGAGAAACATTCATTTATTCAATAAATTATTTTATTTTTCTATTTAAATAATTGAATTCTCGTAGAATTTTCCAATAAAAATTGATTTACAAATGAATATCAGTTAAAATTTTAAATAATAATTGAATATTAAAAGTATTATAGCATGAATTTTCAAAAGTAATTGATAATTGAATTCTTTTGAAAAATTTTAATAACATTTTTAAAAATAATTACATTTTTCGAAGAATTTACTTAAAATTTTAGGTATTAAAAATAATTGAAATCCTGTGAAGGATTTCATTAATTTATGAATGTAATTGAATTTTTGCAATTAAATTTTTCAATTTTTTTTAAATAATTGAAATAATGTAAAGAATCTTATTATTTATGAAAATAATTGAATTCTTGCAACGAAGTTTATTACATTTTTTTAAAAATAATTGAATTCTTTTGAGAACTTTTATTAATATAGTAGATTTTGAAAATATTTGAATTTCAACGAAGAATTTCATTATATTCGTGAAATGTAATTAAATACTTACAAAAAAATTAAGAGAATAATTCCATTTTTCTAGGAATTTACTTTAAATTGTATTATAAATAATCAAAATTCTCAGAAAATTTTTATAATTTATGAAAATAATGGAATTCTTACAACGATTTTTATAAATTTTTTTTTTAAATAATTGAATTCATGTTAAAATTTTATTACTTGTAAAAATAATTGAATTTATGCAACGAATGTTATTACAATTTATTTAAATAATTAAATTCTTTTGAGAACTTTTATTAAAATAGTAAATTTTGAAAATTCTTGAAGATAATTTCATTTTTCGAGAAATTTATTTAAAATTGTATTAAAAATAATTGAAACCCTGTGAAGAATTTTATTATTTATGAAAATAATTGAATTCTTACAACGAATTTTATTATAATTTTTGTAAATAATTTAATTTTTTTTTTAAATTTTATGGAAATTTAAATTTTTATAAAACATGAAGATATCAATTACTCCGAGTCGAAGACTCGGAGTATGATTGGTATATCTTTATGTTTTATAATAATATTCTTATAAGTTGTGGAATTTTAAAAATGTTTGAATTTGAATGTTTTAAAAGAATTTTAATTCCTATGTAAAAATAATAATTAAATACTTATTTAAAAAAGTTACTGATGTTTGCGAATAATTTTACAATTTAAGAAATTAGTAAGTTAATGTAATAGAATGTTTTTTGAGTATCTAATAATTTTTAGAGTGAATCAGAATATTCTTTAGGGTCAGGGAAAAAGTCAAAATCAGTCAGAAAAAAGTCAGGGAAAAACAAAATTAATTTTTTGTGGCAACCCTGATTATCCTGTTACAATATAAGATTGACCTTTCTTATAACTATTTTCGATCGAGTGATAAATTCATACTTATACGCTAATGATAATTATTTTTGCAGAATGTGATGGATATGTTTGTGGTACTGGAGCGCAGTGCATTGTCAGTTACGATGGACCAACTTGTAAGTGTATTGAAGGATTCATGGGCAATCCTTTCCCAGGAGGTCAGTGTGTTCCAGATGTTTGTTCTCCGGAAATTCCTTGCGCAGAGCCAAGCGTGTGTATAGGCGGACGTTGCAAGCGCCGATGTGAAGGCGTTGTCTGCGGAATTGGAGCAAGCTGTGACCCCGTAAGCAACAAGTGTGTCTGTAATCCGTATTTCGTGGGAAATCCAGATCTTCTCTGCATGCCGCCTGCTCAACCACCCCAATGCAGTCCACCCTGCGGATCCAACGCCCACTGTGAATATAGTCTCCTCGATTCTAAATGTGTCTGTAATCCTGGCACCAACGGAAATCCCTATCACGGATGTGGAATACAACACAAGTCCGACTGCTCCCAAGACTCTTGCGGAAAGGACGCCCACTGCATTGCCGGAATCAACGCTGTTGAATGCCTCTGCCCACCGGGTTTCGCTGGCAATCCTTACATTCGCTGCTTTGACATTGACGAATGCAACGGGAACGCGTGTGGAAATAACGCAGTTTGTATTAATACGATCGGTAGTTACGACTGTCGGTGCAAGGAAGACTTCTTCGGAAATCCGTTCGTCGATTGTCAGAAGTTACAAATTGGTCCGTGCATAGATCCCGCGACTTGTAGATGTAATTCCGAAACGCCCTGTCCGGTGGATTTCTCTTGCGTCGGTGGAAAGTGTGTTGATAGGTGCAGTGACGTTCACTGCGGTCCGAGGTCAGCCTGTCAAGACGGAATCTGCGTCTGTCCGCCGGGATACAGTGGAAACGCCAACGATCTCTCGAAAGGTTGCCATCCCCAAGGGCACTGTTCGAACGATCTCGACTGTGAGACACAGGAAATCTGCTTCTCCATCGGCAAGGGAGTCAGAAAGTGTGTGGACGCGTGCAGCAAACTTCAGTGTGGACCGAACGCCCTCTGCGTTACACAAAATCACGCGTCCTCCTGTCTCTGCATTGATGGTCACTTCGGGAATCCAAGCGATATGCGTGAGGGTTGTCAACCGAAAAAATCGATCGATCCGGCTTCTTGTGATTCTAACGAGGACTGTAGACACGGAACCTTCTGTATTCTCGGAGACTCGGGGATTCATGAGTGTACTAATCCTTGTGGTAAAGTTGCTTGTGGTACGAATCAGAGGTGCGAAGTGGACGCTACCGGTCATGCTAGTTGTAAGTGCTACGACTCTTACGAATGGAATCCGGTTCTGTCCTCTTGTGAGAAGCCTTCGGTTCCTGATTGTATTCACGACCACGACTGTCATCCGAAAGCAACCTGTCGGCCTGACGCCTTAGGCGTTCTCAAATGCGTATCGCTTTGTGAAACCTTCACCTGCACCGTCAACTCCCAGTGTGTTGCCGACAACCACCAGGCTCATTGTGAATGCCTCCCGGGCTTTACCGGCAATCCGAACGATCGCTACGGCTGTCAAAGTACTCGCAAGGATCAATGCACTACTGACACCGATTGCGCTGAAGAACATACCTGTAAATCATCTCTTGAAGGAGTTTTGTCCTGTCAACCGGTTTGTAACTTCGTTTCATGTGGTCCTAACGCACTCTGCGTCGTTAATAATCACGTAGCTAATTGCGAATGTCCTCCGGGTCTTTATGCCGGCGACCCCAATGATCCCAGCAACGGTTGCAAAGCAGTCCCCTGTGTCTATAATATCGACTGCCCTCCGACTCAACTCTGTAACAGACTCGAACACAAGTGCTATGACGCGTGCGACAAAAGCGCTTGTGGAGTAAACGCGGTTTGCATCGCCGATGATCATAAGGCCATCTGCCAATGTCCCCCGGGTTTTAAAGCCAATCCCCTTCCAGATATCGAATGCACAGCCGTTGAGAGTTGTTCCCCCAATCCGTGCCATTCCTCAGCAATTTGCATTGCCGGTGCTTCGAGTAGTCCCGTGTGCCAATGTCCACCTAATCACGTCGGGGATCCTTATAATTCGGGTTGTCAAGAAGAAGGTCAGTGTAAGAGTAATAAAGATTGTCCGGTTCATTCAATTTGTCAGAATCATCTTTGCATTAATCCTTGCGAGAACACTTGCGGTTCGAACACACTCTGTGAGATCGTTAACGGAGAACCGATTTGCCGATGCATTCACAAATTTGTACCGTCGACTAAGGGGATTCAAGAGGGTTGTGTTCGGGATTCTAATTATTGCTCAATCGATGCTGAGTGTGAAGATGGCATCTGCCTTGAAGGGCAATGCAGAGCTGTGTGTCGGTCGTCTGACGACTGTGCCAACGGGGAAAAATGTATTAATAATAAATGCGCTATTTCTTGCGCTTCCCACAGTCAATGTCAAAACAACTTGGCATGCGTTAACAGCGTCTGTATGTTGGGCTGTCGCAGTAGCAGGAATTGTCAGTCGGATCAATCTTGCATCAATCACAAATGTCAAGGTATGTTACCAACTTATTATAAGTACTAGATTATAAATCATTCATGATGTCAGGGTTGACCCTCATCCTCAAACTAGAAACGTGGAAAACCTGGAGATGTCAGGAAATTTTATAAACCTTGAAAAAACCTAAAAAAGTCAGGGAATTTTATAAACCTAGAAAAAATCTAGAAAAGACAGGGAATTTTATAAACCATGAAAAAACCTGGAAAAATCAAGAACTTTTATAAAACTTGAAAAACCTAGAAAAGTTAAGGGAATTTTGATCGAAATCCAGGAAAATTTTTGTTTTCTAAAATTATTGTGTTTATTCTTGAATTCTAACTATCGAAAGTGAAAATTTCTTAAACTATGAAATTACCACGAATTCTAATACAAAACCTTCAATTTTTTCTATAGAAGAATTTTACTCAAAAAAACCCCGAAAAAATTGATTTTTGGAGAAGTTGCAAATAATTGCAAAAATTCAATTATTTTCAAAAGTAATGAAATTCTCCTCATAAAATTCAAATATGTTTAAAATTTTAAAAAAAAATCCTGGTCAAAATTTCAATTATCTTTATAAATAATAAAATTCTTCTCTGTAATTCAATTACTTTCAAGAACTTTAATAAAATTCTTGGCAAAATTTCTATTATTTTCAAAAATTTTCCATGAATTCAATCATTTTCAATTTCTACAATTTTATAAAAACTTTCCAAAAGAATTCAATTATTTAAAAATTTTTTAATAAAGTTCTAAGTAAACATTTAATTATTTTTCATAAATAATAAAAATTTCACAAGAATTCAATTATTTACAAATTTTTTATAAATTTCTTCGCAATAATTCTATTTATATTCATAAATGATAAAATTTTTTACAGAGATTTAATTATTTTCATTAATTACAGAAATTCTTTTTAGGAATTCAATTATTTTTATAAATAATAAAACTCATTGCCAAAATTCAATTATTTTTTATACAATTTTAATTGAGTTGAATAAATTATTTATTTTTGGATTTAAATAATTGAATTCTAGTAAAATTTTTTTAATAAAAATTGATTTAAATATGAGTTTTAGTTCAAAACAGTAAAATATTTGAATTTTGGAGAAAAGTTGCAAATGATTGCAGAAATTCAATTATTTTCAGAAAATTTAATAAAATTCTACTCAAATAATTAATTATTTTCAAAAATAATAAAAACTTCACTGAAATTGCATTATTTACAAATTTTTTTTATAAATTTCTTCGCAATAATCCAATTATTTTTTTAAATAATAAAATTCTTTTCAGGAATTCAATTATTTTCAAAAAAATAAAAATAAAATAAAATTCTTCGCAAAAATTCAATTATGTTAAAAAATGTAAGAAAATTCTCGTCAAAATTTTAATTATCTTTATAAATAATAAAATTATTTACTGAAATTCAATTATTTTCCAAAAATTTCACAGGAATTCAATTATTTTTTTAATAATTTATTTTTTTATTTTTTTATAATTTAAATTTAATACAAATTTTTTATAAAATTCTTCTAAAGAATTCAATTATTTTCGATAATTTTAATAAAATTCTTGTCAAGAATTCAATTATCTTCATAAATAATTGAATTCTTAGTAAAAATTCAATTATTGTAATATAATCATACAAAATTGTTTACAAGAATTCAATTATTTTTAATAAAATGTAAATTATGTTCCTTAAAAGAATTTATTTATTTTCAACATTTTTAGTACAATATTATTTGCAGAAATTCAATTATTTATATAAAAATAATATTGTTTGTAGAAAGTCGATTTATTTTTTAAAATTTTAAGAAAATTCTTGTCAAGAATTTATATGTATTCATAAATAATTATATTCTTCGCAAAAAGTCAATTATTCTTAAAAAATTTATTAAAATTCTTTAAAAGAATTGAATTATTTTTAATACAATTTTAATGGAATTCCTCGAAAAATGAAATTATTCTTAAAAGTTTTATTAAAATTTGTCGAAAGAAGTCAATTATTTAAATATTTGTTGATAAATTTCTTTATAAAAATTCAATTCTAAGAAACATTCAATTATTTGATAAAATATTTATTTTTGTATCTAAATAATTGAATTTTCGTAAAATTTTCTAATAAAAATTGATTTAAAAATTAATTACAGTTAAAATTTTAGATAATAATTGAATATTAAAAGTATTATAGTGTGAATTTTTCGAAATAATTGAATTTTGAAAAGATTTCACATTAAAATGTTTGAAAATTTGAATTTTTCATACTTTTAACTAATAATTCCGTAGAATTAATTTTTTGAAAAAGTTTAATTGAATTTTGAACCAATGGAATTGAAAATTCTTAAGTAACTTTTTTAAAAATTATTCAAAATAATTGATTTATAAAAGAACTTTAGTTAAAAATATGCAGAAGATAAGAATTGAATTTAAATTATGAAAATAATTTTGAAGAAGTTACAGTAACAATATTCTTTTATTTATATAAACTAATGATTTTATCACTCAGTTATGTTTTATATATAATATTATTCTCCAAAGTTGTTGAATTTCAAAAAGATTTAAATTTGAATGTTTTGAAGAATGTTAATAACTCCTGTAGAAAAATAATAATGATTAAATATTTATTGAAAAAAGAAGTTATTGATGTTTTCGAATAATTTTACAACTAATGAAATTCGCAAATAAAAGTATTGGAACAATTTTCTAAGTGTCTAATAATTTTTAAAGTGAATCACAATATTCTTTAGGTTTAGGAAAAAATTCAAAATTTTGTCTGAAAATCAGGGAAAAAGAAAATTAAATTTTTGTGGTAACCCTGATTGAGTAATAAATACTAAATATAATACAGAATACAGTATTTTGTGAAAGTTCCGTGTATTTGTAAAAATGTGTTAGAGTTATTTAATGTGGTAAAAAATAAATGTAGTTTTAGAAACCTTGAAAAATTCCGTTTTTTAACCTGAAAAATTCAAGTAATTTTGAATGATCAAAAGTGTGGCAATATTAATCCCCTTTGTTTCAGATCCCTGCAAACGAGAAAATGTATGCGGTCCCAACGCCGTCTGTAGTTGTCAAGATCATCGAACAGTTTGTGCCTGTCCAGAAGGATTCCAAGGCAACCCCACACCCCAACAGGGATGTGTCCGATTTCCAAGTCCATGCGATCCATCAGGCAACTGCCCGAATCAACACGTGTGCATTTCCGGATCGTGTCAATGCCAGTGCAAAGATCAGAGTAATTGTGCCCAGGGAGAACGCTGCAAGAACGGATTGTGCGTGAAGATGTGCTACGGCGACAGCAACTGTCTGCCTGGTGAATTATGCATTGAAGGAAATTGCGAAATTGGCTGCACCTCCGATGCCGGTTGCAGTCCAGATCAGATTTGCATTAATCACAGGTGCAGATGCAGTCAAGGCTTCATTGCCAGTCCAGACAAATGTCTCGATATTGACGAATGCGACGATCACCCCTGTCATCCCACTGCTGAGTGCATTAACCTTCAAGGATCTTATAAATGCTCGTGTCCCACTGGAACAGCAGGAGACCCGGTTGTTCTGGGCTGTCTTCTGCCCCATCGCTGCAACTCAAATAGTAATTGTCCAGATTCTTTGGCGTGTGTGCAACACAACTGCACTGACCCATGCTCGCGAGTTGATTGCGGACCGAACACGGTTTGCTCTGTTTTCGATCACGCAGCTGCTTGTCAGTGTCAGGCCGGATACATTGGCGACGCGTCTGGATGCTTCAAGGTCGAATGCCTTTCGAACAACGACTGTCCAGTGGATAAATTCTGCAATCAAGATGTCAACAAGTGCACGAGCCCCTGCAATCAAATCAATTGTGGATATGGTAATTGCATAGCAATCAAGCATGAGGGTAATTGCAAGTGCTACCCTGGATTTACTCTCGTTGGTGACACCTGTGTCGATATTGATGAGTGTCTGCAGAATCCATGTCACTCGACAGCAATGTAAGTAAATTTTTGCAAATTACTTGTGAAAGTTAGTTTGATTAAGTTAAGTTACTTCCTTGTATTATGTGAAGAAAGGATTATTTATAGCGCTATCTTCATTGATAACAAACCCAGGTAACGAAATTGCAAGAATTGCAAGTACTTCTGTGTATGTACTTAAAAATCCTCACGCATTCTCTTATATCACTATTTAGATGTGACCGCATTTGAGGGAATTGCACTTACATAGCGCACGTAGCATTCATATGAAGCATATACTTAAAGTTGTACCGATTACATGCGTGATTGTCTCTGGCCTGCGATATTGCAAGCACGAGTGTCATTCACATCGGATAAATATCATGTGACATGACGCTTAACTGTTATTCGGGAGTAATTTTAAGTTAATCAAACTTCCAACAAATAACAATCTGAAAATGAAAACCTAATTAATTTCGTTCGACAGTGTCTACTAGCCGGAAAATTTGAAATAACTGAGAAAATAGACGAGAATTAAAATAAAACCGAAAAAGAGACTGTAAAGTAAGAAAGTATTTTTTTATTTGTCGAAAAAAAATTTTTTTCGCTGAGTTTTATGAGTATTCAAAAATTTTAAGGCATATCATGATTTTAGAGCTAAACAGCTGACAAAATATTTTCTAATCTTGCTAGTTTTTACAAAAATAAATATTTTTCAATTTTTTTCTTGACTTTAGTAGTGTTTTTGATACTTTTTCTTTGCAAACTTAAAAATTTGAAAAATTTTGAAAATTAACAAAATGGAGGCCATTTTCCGAAAAATCAAAAAAGTCAATTTTCTCAAAAACATCATTTTTTATTTTTCTGAAAATTTTTTTGTTATGACTAGATGAAAAAAGAAACTTTTTCCAAAAAAGAACCGCACATAATTCATTAAGAAAAGTTAAGTAACTAAAATGTAAGTTAATTTTTGAACTTTTAATTGGCTGATTCTATCTCAATTAATGCAGAGCGAATAGGTTAAAAATTCTAAATCAAGTTAAAGGTAATTTTTCTTGTTCTTTAGGACAAATAAAGAGACACGTATTTTTTTATTTAGCGAAAAAAAAATTTTTAGCTCAGTTATGAGTGTTTGAAAATTTTAAGACATATCGCGATTTTATAGCTAAACAGCTGACAAATTATTTTCAAATCTTTCTAGTTTTTGCAAAAATGAATATTTTTTAATTTTTTTCTTGATTATAGTAGTGTTTTTGATACTTTTTCTTTGCAAACTTGAAAATATAAAAAATTTTGAAAATTAACAAAATGGAGGCCATTTTCCGAAAAATCAAAAAAGTCAATTTTCTCAAAAACATCATTTTTTATTTTTCTTAAAATTTTTGTGTGATTACTAGATGAAAAAAGGAACTAATTTTAAAAGGTTTCATGTCCGCCAAAACTGTTTGGAAGTCGCAATAATTTTTTTCAGAAAATAACAAATCTCATTATTTTCTCTCTAAATCTGAATCAGTGAAATTCCACTGAAAAGCAGTGAAATTTGACTGAGAATCAGTGACTCTATTCTCGCGATTTGAATCAGTGAAATTTCACTGAAGATCAGTTAAAAATTATTGAAATTTCTGTCATTTTTCACTGATTGACCAATTAAATAATAACTACTAAAATCAAGAAAAAAAATTGAAAAATATTTATTTTTGCAAAAACTAGAAAGATTTGAAAATAATTTGTCAGCTGTTTAGCTCTAAAATCACGATATCAGTTATCCGTCATGTTGGATCCGCCATTTTGAATCTTTGAAATTCAATACAATATTCGTAATCAGCTACTTCAAATGCAAAGATTCGTTAAGAACGATGGCTTTAAAAGTTTTGTAAAATATATATCCTTCCTGGCGTGAAAGGATAGGAACGTTGAATCACTCTTGGAAAAAATATTAGACTCGTAAGCAGTTGTACTTTTTTGTACACATTTTTTTAAAAAAATGCTGATTACGAATTCAAGTTCAGTTTATAAAAATTCAAAATGGCGAACAATTTTTTTTAAATTCATTGAATTAACCTGAAAGTTAATACTTGGGGTTTTTTGGGACACTGATTACTAATTTGATGTTACTTTTTCAAAATTTAAAAAGTTGGGTTCAATATATGGAGGGCGACTTTTTAAAAAACTAATGCAATTCGCTTGTAATTTTTTTCAGAAGTGTTTTGTGTTACTGATTACAAATCTGATGTTGGTTTTTAAAAATTTATATTATATCCGCACCATTTTGCATTTTTAAAAAGTTACATCAGATCCATAAGCAGCGACCTTATAAACCACCGGATCAAGAGTTTCATGCGAATCCAAAATGTTTTTAAAGTTCGTAAATTAACAATTTTTTTATATATTTCTTAGCCCTTTCGTGACTCTGGGACATATATGTCCCAGTTAAAAAGTTGTTTGTAATTTTTATAAAAGTCAACCAATTAATTTGCGGTAAATTTCTTTCTATTCCAAATTGATGCTGCTACAATTAAAAAAATAATAAATTACAAAAAGTAGTTATATTTATTTTAAACAATAGAATGAACATTGACTGTTTTTAAAAAAACCGTTATGTAACAAACTATTTCATTAACATTTAGTGAATAATTTTTAAGAACACTTCGTTTCATGATTCACATTCGCCACGCTAAATTTGCTTTCGCCACTCTGTTCAGAGAAGTTGAGAAAAGTTGTACTTTCGCCACACTTTCTTAATAATGAAAAGTACTCCTTTCAGAGCAGGCGTAGGAGAATATTACTTATACTCAATTTCTGATTTCAGTTGTCAAAATATAGAGGGTTCGTTCACTTGCACCTGCTCCCACGGCTTAGTGGGTGATCCTTTCAAAACTGGATGTAAACAACCGGGCGATTGCTTCACCCATGGCGATTGTCCAAACTCTGCAGCTTGTATAGACAATACTTGTCGTGACCCATGCAACACTCCGTCCGTGTGCGGCAGGAGCGCCCAATGCCTCGTTAAAGATCATGTGCCGCATTGTAAATGTCCTGGCCAAACAAGAGGAGACCCACTGGTATGAAGCATTCAACTCAATAATAAAATCTTCCTAACATTATCTCTCTAGCATTTAAATTCAAATATCATTATCTAACTTTATTGTTTCAATAAATAATTATTTTAGGTGGAGTGCATTCATCTGGAATGCAACTATCATAGTGACTGCGGTCCATCGAGTTCCTGCTTCGATCACAAGTGTGTTGATCCTTGCTCAGTGCCAAATGTCTGTGGTTCGGGAGCAGAATGTTCCCCCTTGAACCACAGCGCAGTTTGCACTTGTCAACCGGGTCACACTGGAGATCCAAACCTCGGCTGTACACCTGTTCAGTACTGCAAAGTTGATCATCAATGTCCAACGGGTTCATCCTGTAATGGAGGAATCTGCACATCATTGTGTGCTAGCACCAGGGACTGCATTGGAGACCAGTTGTGCATCAATGGTCTTTGTCAACCAACCTGCAGACACAATGCCACCTGTCCCGATTATCAGTATTGCCTAAACAGCATCTGCGTACAAGAATTGAAATGCATTTCCAACGATGATTGCGACTCTTCGGAGAAGTGTGTCAAGAACAACATTGGACAAGTGAGTACTCTAGAATAATTTAATTAATTCATAATTAATTTTGGCCTTTAAGTACGAATTCTAGTTTTACAACTAACAAAAATATTTCCATCTTAAGGCTGAATGTCAAAGAGTCTGCAACCTTGCATTCTGTGGACGTAATGCAATCTGTGACGCCGTTAACCACAAGGCCAGATGTACTTGTCAAGAAGGATTCTTTGGCGATCCAAATGATGATAAAATCGGCTGTCAACCAATCGAATGCGACACAAAAGAACAGTGTTCCGAGGAAAAGATTTGCGAGGATCATGTTTGTAGAATCGCTTGCTTAGCTCATAACCCGTGTGGAGTAAACGCTCTTTGCTCAACAGAACGACACCTTCAGGTAACAAATTTGAAATTATTTCTATTTTTAAATTAATTTTAATCATTCGCTAGATAATTACAGACATCACAGATTTTTTTTCCTTTTCTTTTTCCCATTTTGTTCCCTTTTTCACAATTTTTGATGATTTGTCACCTTTTCTCCTTTTTTTGGTGATTTGTCCCCTTTTTCACCTTTTTCTAATCAAAAGTAAACAAGTTTTTCTTTCTTTTTTAAAATCTTTTTCAAACTGTACCTAATCATAGAATTTACATTCAATGAGAATTCAAAGAGTTTTATGTTTTATTTAGATCATTAACAGCACAACATAATAATTATAAATATGTTTTTTGTGTTAATGATTTAAATAATATAACGTAAAGAATTTAATAAATTATAAGGTCGTTCATTCAATTGAATGCAGACCTAGAGAAAAATAATTAATTAACATTCAAATAATTAAAATATTACTATTTTTGTTTTTTTCTCGAAAAACAAAAATTGACAATCAAAATACTTATTTATTTTTATACAATTTAAATATGATTTAAATTTTTTTGTAATATCACCTCTCGCCTCTATAAATTTCTTTTAAACTACTGACTTTTTTTTTAAACAAATAAGTACATTTTAAACATTATTTTTTGAAGAAAATAGAGAAAGTAGAATTAATCAGGGAAAAGTCAGGAATCTTTACTGAAAAAAATTAAATATTTAGAATTCATAAGAAAATTCTGAATTTTTGTGTCTTTTTTGTTTGCCGTATAAACTATTAAATTACCGCAAATTCTAATAAAAAAAACTTCAATTTTTTCTATTTTCAACAATAATTCTTATATATTATTGAAATTTGAAATTTCAAAAACTTTCAATTTTTAATGAATTTAATTAGTAATTTTAATGAACTTAGACTTTTTAAAAATTTTAATAATTCGAATTCTTCTGAAATTAGATAAATTTTTTAATCTTTATTTAATTAATTATTAAAAATAATGAAATTATAAAAGCATTTTAGTTAAAAACACTAAAAAAATTTAATTTTGGAGAATTCAATTATTTCAATTCAATTCAATTATTTAAATTAAATTATTTCAAAAGTAATAAAATTCTTCGCAAAAGTTCAATTATGTTAAAAAAATTTTGATATTTCAGTCAAAATTTTAATTATCTTTCTACATAATAAAATTCTTCTCCGAAATTCAATTATTTTCAAATATTGTAATAAAAATCTTGGCAAAATTTTCATTATTTTCAAAAAGTTCCCTCATTTCCATACATAATTTTTAATATCTACTATTTTAATAATATTTTCCAAAAAGAATTCAATTATTTAAAAAAAATGTAAATAAAAATTTAATTATTTTCGTAAATAATACAAATTTTACAGGAATTCAATTATCATTTCAATTATTTGAATTCTATTATTTTTATAAACAATGAAATTCTTTTCAGGAATTCAATTATTTTCATAAATAATAAAAATTCATCGTAGAATTTAAATTATTTTTAATAAAATTTCAATCGAATTCCTCGAAGAAAGTAATTTATTATTCATAAAATTTATTAAAATTCGTCAAAAGAATTTAATTATTTAAAAATTTGTTGATGACATTCTATTCTATATGAAAATTCAATTTTAAAAAACATCCAATTATTGAATAAATAAATTATTTATTTTTGTATTCAAATAATTGAATTCTCGTAGACTTTGTTAATAAAAGTTGATTTAAAAATTAATTACAGATACAATTTTAAATTATGTTCAAAATTATTTAAAAAAGTTGGTCAAAATTTCAATTATCTTCATAAATAATAAAATTCTTCTCTAAAATTCAATAATTTTTAATTTCTACTATAATAGTTTATTTGTTTCGAATCATCGATTCATACAAAGAAGTTGGATTGAGCTATAAACAATATTCAAAATACATTATATAAAGAAACCTAATATTATTATACACTTTTAAACATATTTATGACGAAGAGAACCATTGAATTGATTTCTTCTGGTTGGGGAAAATTCAAAAAATCAAACCACGTATCCCTTACAACTGAGTGTTCTTCGGTCGTACAAATAAATTTCTTTCTAAAGTCGCTCAGCACACTACATTCAATTAGAACATGATACAATTCCTTTCCTGACAACTCGTCGTATCCGCAGCAATACTTCCTATCAAATCTGTAAACTTCGTTTTTATGTATAATTCTCATATTGTGGTTATTTAGTAAACGCATTTGTGCAATAATTTTCATAAATGTTAAAGGAACTTTACATTTCAAGTAATTTTGTACTCCATCACATAAAGTCAAATGAGGAAGGATTTGCAGAGACCTCGAGTTTGTCAGGGAATTAACGTCTTCCGCACGAAGAAATGCCTCAAACGCCTCTATTAATCTAATTTTATTTGTTTGTATATATTGTAAGTCCCATAAAATAGTTTCACCGATAAAATCAAAAATTTTTTCTACCTGTTTACACCAGTTATATTTCGAAGGCACATTCTGTGATTTAGCTAAACAAACGAGTCTTAAGAGGCATATTTTCGGAAATCTATTATTGCTCATATTTAAGATTCTCTCAATCAAATTCAGGGTAAACTTCAAAACTCTACTTGCAAGTTTAATTGCACCGACTTCTAGTCGTACCGCATAGTTAGGAGTATTTTTTGGAGCTAAGAGTAGTTTTTTAAAAAAACCCGTTTGTGTTTTTTCAATCTCCTCTAGAAATCTTAATCCCCAAACCTGAATTGCGTAAAAAAGAGTACTCACAACTAGACTATTAAACAATTTAGGAATCGGACGCCAAGTATTTAAATCCATTCTATTTATAAGAGACAGTGTTGAATCGGTAGCCAATCTAGAAGACGTAGTTGCATTTTTTAGCGCTTCTTCGAATAACCCGTTTTGAGATTGAGAGACTCCCAAATATGTGTAGTTTTTTACAATTTCAATCAGAACATCACCATAAAAAAATTTTAATTTTTTATCGTGCGCGTGTCCACCTTTTTTGAAAATGATAATTTTAGTTTTTTGTTCATTTACTTTTAATTTGTTCTCTGTACAATATTTTCGGAGAGCTTTTAAAATATTTTTCAATCCAGTCTGCGAATCAGAAAATAAAACGATATCGTCGGCGTACGCAAGTAAAATAATCTCGTGTCTAGGGCCAATAGAGACCCCTTCGATACCTTCAGACTTTAAAAAAGTTTCTAAATCCGAAATAAAAAAAGTGAATAATAAAGGGCTACTAACCTCACCTTGTAGCACTCCCTTTGTCACCACAATTGCTTTCGTTTTTTCCCCATTATTTAAAACAGAGACCGTCGCTTTCGAGTAAAAATCTTTTAGGACACTAATTAATTTGTGACCAACCCCCAGTTTATACAATTTCAACCAAAGGAGAGGGTGAGAGACCGAAGGAAAGGCATCACTAAAATCAACGAACAAGGCATACAACTTTCCTCCCTTCACACTAAGATGATTTTGAATTAAGGCATTTAAAACAAATATGTTATCTACACAGTTTCTACTCTTCCTAAATCCCGATTGGAATTCAGGAAGTAATTTATTTTTTTCAGCCCAAATTGTTAATCTAGTAGTTATTATATTTGTAAGTATCTTAGTAATGCAGTTGACTAATGCTATGGGGCAATAGTTGCATGGCTTGTCCCTCTCACCTTTTTTATAGACCATTCTTAAAATTGTTTCTGACCAAGTCTTCGGAACTTTTCCCTTTTGTAAAATTAGGTCAAAAAGGAATACTATAAAATTAATCCAATCACCGGGCAAGTTTTTTAAAAATTCGAATGAGATCTCATCTGAACCAGGACTTTTATTATATTTACAGTTTTTGAGGGCAGAGATAACTTCTTCTCTAGAAATTGGAATTTCCAGTTCAGGGTTATTTTTCTCAACTGATATTTCGAGTAACATTTTTTCTTCTTTGGAAGAGGGTTCTATTATTTGATAAAAATTGCTAAAAAAATCATGCCAAGAATTTGAATCTATATTATTTTTTATAACATTGTAACGATTTCTAAACCCATTTATTACATTCCAAAATGCATTTGAATCACTACACTGGGATAATAGATTAAGAGTTGAATTTTTATAATCATCTTTTTTTTGTTTTAAAACATCGCGATACATTTTTTTCTTATCATCATACTCCATAATACTCTTACTATTTTCAAATTTCTCAACTTTACATTTTTTCAATAATTTTTTTAAAATTTTCTTTAGAGTCACGCATTCTGAGTCGAACCAAGGTTTTGATAAACCAGTTTTATTATTTATCTTGGTGATCATTCCGATAGACTTAGCATTAGTTCTAATTGAACAAGTTAAAAATTCCGCGAGATCGTCGACATCGGGGGGAGAAGTCGGCACGTTACATGGGAGAACACTCATTATCTCAACATATTTCTCCGAAAGATCGTTTTTCCATTTTAACTTATTCAGAATCTGTGGTAATTTTTCATTTTTATTTAAAATAATTGAGAGTGGAAAATGATCAGAGCTTGTAACCATATGACATACTTTGAAGTTTTTTATTATAGAGGTTGCAGAATGATTAACCCAGACTAGATCATTTGTTGATTTTTTATTGTTTAAAAAATATGTATAATGACCTGTAAAATCTCCGGATGTCCTACCATTCAAAACTAAAAGTCCACTTTCCTCCATGAAACGTACCAACTCCCTCCCTCTTTTGTTTACAGTTTTGTCCATATTGTTTCTGACAGAAAAGATATTGGAATTTTCCGCAAGAATATTATCTTGCAATTGATTTTGATTCCCTATTCTAACGTTAAAATCTCCGCCCACAAACAAAGGGAGTCCCGGAAATCTATTATTAATTATTGAAATTGTCTCATCAAGATCGGAGCAAAAAAGATTTACATTTGCATCTGGCTTTAAATAAACGACACCAAGAATGAAATTAAGAGAATTGGAATCAATTTCGACAAATATACTTTGAGTAGTTATTTTTATTATTTTGTACCTGTATTTGCTAATATTTAGTGCAATCAGCAAACCTCCGCTTGCTCTTCCTCTCTCAGCTGTTTTAACTGCTAGACTGTTTATTACTTCAAAATGATGAGGTGGGCAGGTTGATAGGGGTGAGGTCCTCCATGTTTCGGTAACACAAGCTATGTCTATGGTGTTGAGAAGTGGTGCTAGATCCTGCCAGTTAATCCATCCTTTAGAATTCCAAAAAAATATTTTTGGATTCTCTTCGTCTGGTGTAAGTTATAATTTGTTGTCTTGCTTTGGTTTCCCTCCTTGAGCCGTTGCAGAATTCTGAGATTGTGGTATAAGGAATGAATTGAGAGTTCCAGCGGGATTTTTGAGTTTTATAGTTTTTTGCTTTTTTATTTTTCTAGTTTTGGATCCCTTTGGCCTTCCCCGTGATCTCTTAGTACCACTGGCAGTAGAAGCCAGCGAGGTAGATGATTCTTCGCTTTCAGAGTCGGAGTTAGATTCCTGCTCCTGAGTTGGATTTTCAAGAGCTGATAATAATTTTTTAACTTCCTCTACATGTATTATTTCGTCCTCCAAAATTATATTCGAGCCTCTGATGGTTGCATTCTCTCCATTTTTTGATAAAATTTCTCTATATTGTAGTAGAGTATCATAATTTTTTCGGCGTTTTTCTCTCTCTTCCTTGGTTAAATCATTGGCAATACTAAGATTCATATCTAGAATTGCTTTTCTGTTTTGAAATATCAAGGTTTTCGAGTTAGAATTGTTGAATGTAATTAAAATTGGTCGAGAACCTTCCTGCTTTCCAAGCCTTTTGACATCGGTGATACTGTCTTCGGGTATATCAGTGTTTACTTTGCGAATAATATCCTTGACTGTGTTGAAAAGATTGTTATTCTCTTTTGTAGTGTCAGGGACGTTATATAGTATTAGATTCTTACTTCTTTCTTTGTGTGTAATAAAGTCTATTTTCTTCTCACACTGAATTAATCTGTTCGTTAAAATTTTGTTCTCCTCACGCAGTCTGTCATACTTCCGATTGCAAATTCTCAAATCCGATTTTAGAGTTTTGTTATCTCGTTTTATCTCTTGAAGATTTGTGTCCATATTATCAAGCTTATTGTTGGTTTGTTTCAGCTGTTCTTGGATCGAGAGTAACATCTGCTTAGTGAAACTTTCCTCCTCTTGTTCCATACTCACACTTTCTGAATTGAAGAATTTCCGAATAATTCAAATTCCACGTAGAACTGAATTGTATAAAATTGTATTGAATTGTATACAAATAGATTTGAAAATTCTCAAAGAACTTTTTCAAAGTTATTAAAAATAATTGCTTTAAAGAAGAATTACAGTCAAAATTTCTGGAAAATAATAATTGAATTGAAATGATGAAAATAATTTTGAAAAAGTTAGAGTTAAATATTTTTAATTTTTATAGTATAAAATAATGATCTTGTCACTCGGTCATCTTTAATTTTTATGATTGTCATAAAACATGAAGATACTGATAACTTCGAGTCTCCGACTCGGAGTGATCAATTTCTTCATGTTTTATGATAATTCTTCTAAGTTGTTGAATTTTAAAAAGGTTTGAATTTGAAATTTTTTGAAATCTTAATTCTTATGGAAACATAATAATGATTAAATTTTGATTTGAAATGGAGTTATTGATGTTTTCGAATAATTTTACAATTAAAGAAATTCGTGAATAAATGTTGTTTTCTATCAAAGAATCCAAAACTGTATGAAATTTGAGTAGTAATATCTAAATTGTTAATATAACTTTTAACACATTTTAATTTGTTGTTTGGTATATTTTTTGTTTTTTTGTCCCCTTTTTTAGGAAAAAATTTCCCTTTTTGTCCTGCCTGCACGGAAAATGTGTTATTTCGTGCACATGAAAGGGGCGCAAAGTAAGTGATTCCCGCCCAGAGGTAAGGTGAGCGGGCGCAAAATACATTCGCGCCCGCTGACGTCATAGGAGCGGGCGCAAAGTACATTCCCGCCCGCTGACGTCATAAGAGCGGGCGCAAAATACATTCCCGCCCGCTGCCGTTATATAGATGCGGGCGCAAAATATTTCTTTGCTCATTTGTGCATCCAGTGACCTTAACTTTTAGAAAATGACATCACAAGTCATTTTTAGCCATATGGAACAAACAAACAATTCATCCAAATGTGTGTGCACTTAATAACACACTTTCCATGCAGCAGGACAAAAAATGTTGTTCGCAGCACGGGCGCAAAAGGTGATAGTGTCTCAGGCGAGATTATGGGACAACCTCGGCGACCCTACGCATCCTCGGCTTCGCCTCGGTGCTTCAGGTCCCCTCGGTTTCCCTAATCTCGCCTTCGCCAAAATCACCTATTTTGCGCCCTTAATACGAAAATAACTATTTTCACCTTTTTTGAGGATAAAGTGTGATGCTTGTAATTAAATTTCGAACCGTACACAATTTTTGCAGTTTACAATATTGTTTGCTTATGTTAGAAAAGTGGTTTGAGTTAAAATATCAATTTATTCAAGATATGTACATGTCAACCCGGCTACACTGGTGATCCATCTCTTGGATGCGAGTTGATTAACTTTTGTGCCGATATACCATGTGCACCTGGCGCAGTTTGCGAAAACTCGAAGGGATCCTACAAGTGTTATTGTCAACATGGAACGGTTGGTGATCCTTACAACAGTGGCTGTCAACAACCAGTGGAATGTCTGCACGATGAAGACTGTCCAGATACTGCTAATTGCCTCAGTTTCAACAATGTTCCCAAGTGTAACGGTATGTTCTGACTATTATCAAATTTTCCTAAAATAAAATCTACATTTTCCCTCTGCTAAATGTATAAAATTTATTGAATCTTCACCAGATGTCTGTGCTCGCATCAAGTGTGGTCCAAATTCAGATTGTGCTGCTTTCCATCATATTGGCTCTTGTAAATGTCAACCTGGTTATGAAGGTGATGCTAACGAATTAAGTATCGGATGTCGTCCAACGCCTGTTGTATGTTCTTCTTCTGCGGAATGCGGTTTGAATACCTATTGTTACGAAAGCATTTGTCGACGTAAGTTTCTCCTCTTAAGGGCCGGTTTCACCAACACCGATAATTAACTTTCAATCGAAGTTGGTGAAACTGGCCCTTACTGTCTTAATCTTTTTGAAATTTAAATTCTTACCGACTCATACTTTCAGCATCATGCCAATCTGACAATGAGTGCACCTTGTCTGATGTCTGCTTAAGCGGTCAGTGCTTGGACCCATGTCAAATACGAGCAGCTTGTGGAATTAATGCCGAATGTACAGTTCGAAATCATTTGAAGCACTGCAGTTGCCCGCCAGGATTCACCGGAAATTCCGAAGTGGAATGCGTGAGACGTTAGTATTTTCTCTAAATATTCAATGAAAGAAAGAATTCAAAAAATATATCCAAGTTATTTTATATTTTGCATGCCTCGGATATTATGATTTTTTCGACTTTTTTGAACTTATATTAAAAAATTGCGACTTTTTCGACTTTACTTACAAATTTTGCGGCAAAATACCACAATTTTAGTATAAAATGCTGCAACTTTTTTCGATTTTTACGCGCAGTATAAAAAATAGCTGTAGATAAATCTTTCGAAAATTATTTTTGAATAATTTTTCTAATTAAATTTTGGAAATATACAATTAAAAAGATTTTGAATAATTGAAATTTAGTAAAATTTAATTGTTAAATACTGTTTTTTGATTGTGGCCTTAGGTCCAAAAATAAAAAAAAATTTAATTGAAAACAAATCCGTTTTTTCAAGTATTTTATTATAATTTTTGAAAATTAACTATCATAGAATTTTTATTGAAAATTTTAGAAATAATTGAATTTTCAAAAATTTTAATGAATAATCTTCAAGTGTAAATTTAATAAAAAATGAAAATTAATGAAAATTAGGTTCTAAAAATAATATTAAAATAGTTTTGAAAAAAGTAATTCTCTGAATTATTTCGTTCAAATTTTTTAAAATTTAATTATTTTCAATATATTCGATATTCAATATTTTAAATATTTCCGAAAATTCAAATACATACACAAAATAATAACGTTAATATTGTTTAAAATTATTTTTTAAATTCTGGATAAAATAATTATATTCAAACTTTTTAATTAAAATTCTTCAAAGAATATTCGTTTTTTTAAATCATACAAAAATTCTTCAATTATTTTCGAAAAATTACATTACAATATTTTATACAAAACTAATTCTTAGAATTGTTTTATCATAATTTTTTAAGATTCAATTACCTTCGGACAAAGTAATTTTTAATTTTTGAAAAATTTACTATTTTAGAATTTTTGAGAAATTATTTATCATTAAAATTCATCAAAAGTTTAATTTTTTTAAAAATATTTTTTAAAAACTTAATTATTTATTTGTTTAATAAATTTTTTTCAAAATTTAATTATTTTAAGGAATTTTATTAAAATTCGTTGCAAAATTCAATTATTTTCATTGTATTAATAAAATTGTTGTCTAAATTCCATTTTTTAGGAATTTTTAAAAAATTATTTTCAAGAATTTTAAAAAAATTTTTGTTTAAATTCGATTTTCAGGAATTTTTAAGAAATTTATTGAAAAATTCAATTTTATTTTCAGGAATTTTTAAAAAACTTATTGCAAAATTCAATTATTTTCAGGAATTTTTATAAAATTTTTGTCTAAATTCAGTTTTCAAGATTTTTAAAAAAATTATTGAAAAATTCAAATATTTTCAGGAATTTTAATAAAATTTAAAAAATTTTTTAAATTTAAATTCAATTATTTTCAGGAATTTTTTAAAAATTTATTGAAAAATTCAATTATTTTCAGGATTTTTTTAAAAATTTATTGCCAAATTCAATTATTTCCATGAATTTTAATAAAATGTTTGTCTAAATTCCATTTTTTAGGAACTTTTAAAAAATTTATTGCAAAATTCAATCATTTTTAGGAACTTTAATAAAATTTTTGTCTAAATTTAATTTTCAGGACTTTTTTAAAAATTTATTGAAAACTTCAATTATTATCATGAATTTTTAATAAAACTCTTTACAAAATTTAATTATTTTTAGAAATTTAAAAAAAAATTTTGCCAAATTTAATTATTTTAAGGAATTTTATTAAAATTCATTGCTAATTTAAATTATTTAATTTCAAAGATTTTACTAAATTTAAATTATTTTTTAAAAAGATTTTACCAAATTTCAATTTTTAAAAAAAAAGCTTTTTTAATTGTTATGTAATTGTAAAACTATTGCGTCTTTCAAAAATTATTTAGAAATATTTTTAAAAAGTTAATTTTACGAATTTATTTATTAAAATTTTTGAATATATTCTACCTTAATATTTTTAAAAGGAAAAATAAACGGTTTCAATAATTATAAAAATTGAATTTTTGTAAGGTAATTTTTTTAATTTTTAGAAATGATTAAATTTCAGAGTTTGAAATTAAAAAAAATTTTTTTTTCTGGTGAAAAAAGAAATAAGAAGTATTTAAATATTTTATTTAGCAAAATTATACATGTTTTGATTAATTGAATTTAGAAATCAGTAAAGAATCAGGGAAATGAAAAATAAAATTTTTGTTACAACAGTAAAATAAATAAAGGACTTTTTCGACTTTTTTTCTATTTTTAATCGACTAAAGCGACTTTTTTTGTTCGTTAAAGTCGATCCGAGGCCTGATTTTGTGATACATTTCAATTAAAAAAATTTCAGTGCCAGTGTCTTGCACGACAACAAATGATTGCAATGAGGGAAACACTTGCCGAGACAATGTGTGTCTACCTGTTTGCCAAGTGGATAATGAATGTGCCTTCAACGAGAAATGCGTAAGGGGAAATTGCCTTCTGACATGCAGACTGGACAATGATTGCTTTTTGGGTCACATTTGCTTGAACAATATGTGCACTTTTGGCTGTCAAGCTGATGAAGATTGCAACGCAAATGAAGCGTGCCTTGTAAACAAGTGCGCAAATCCTTGCGAGGTTACACCTTGTGGTCCAAATTCGAAGTGTACGGTTATTAATCAACGAGCCTCGTGTTCCTGTTCCGCAGGTTTTATTCCAAATCCAACCGCGAAAGTAGCGTGTCTCCGTGCACCGGGTCCGTCGTGTCAGTCAAATAGAGATTGCTCGGCTGGAACCAGTTGCATTTCTGGAATATGCACCCCAGTCTGTTCATCGAATGCAAATTGTTTGAGCAATGAACGTTGCGATTCAAGTGGAGTCTGCAGAGGGCTGTGCAGAAGAGACGAGGACTGTCAGAGTGGTGAGATCTGCGAAGGATTGGTCTGCTTCAATGGATGTAGGGCTGATATTGAGTGCCAGGAAAATCTCGCTTGCATTAACAACCAGTGTATAGGTATTTGACGACTCTTATATCCTGAATACTCTTAAATATCAAACTAATACTGATTAATCGTTAAGAAATTAATTCAGGGTTGCCACGCAACCTGGAAACCTGGAAAAGTCAACCCTCTGGGCACGGAAACGCCTTTGTTCTAAAAACGTTCCTAAAACCTTTTTTTTAAATTTTTTTTTCCTCCACATAACGTTTTAAAAACGTTTCATGTTCTAAAATCGTTTTTAGAACATTGGACGTTCTTAAGCCTTTATGTAACGAACATGAAACGTTCTAAAAACGTTTTAGGAACGTTTCTAGAACAAAGACGTTCCCCTGCCCAGAGGGAAGAAATTTCGAATGATCAAAAGTGTGGCAACCCTGTTAATTTTATTTTCTTAACTATATCTCAATTTAAATCCCAAAAGAAAGTTAAATTCGAGTAAAACTTTAGCAACATTCGATCCGAATTAAAGATCCCATTCTTTGAATTCCAGACCCATGCAGTTTGCCAAATGCCTGTGGTATTAATGCGGATTGTTCAGTTGTTAATCATTGGAAACGATGTAGATGTCCGGAATCATTGATAGGAGATCCACTTATTAGCTGCAGACAATCTTTCCTACCCTGTTCAGATCTGTCAGACTGTTCGCCTGGTCAAACTTGTTACGTCAAGTCTTGTTATTCAACTTGTAGAAGGTAAGATGATAATTTCCCTGAAAACTTTGCCAAATATTCAAAAAATTGTTAAATTAAATTAATTCCAGCGATGTGAATTGTTTAAATGACGAACGATGCGACGGAGGAATGTGCAAGACAATATGTAACACTGACGATCAATGTTCGTCCAACCAAATTTGCGAGAATCGTTTATGTGACATTGGATGCCGCAGTGATAACGCTTGTCCTTCCGATGAATCCTGTATTGAAAATAGATGTAGAAGTGAGTATTAATCTATTTCTAGTATCTACTGTAAAAATTTTAGGAGTCGTTGACTGTATAGAAGATTTTTTTGGGAAAGTAAATTGACAGCGTACTTAATGATAATCTCGATGATAACAGGCTTAGCACTCATCTACTAAAATCTACTATTTACTACTTCTTTTACGTTATGCTACTATTTGGGTATTTTTTTAGATTTCAGCCACTAAAAGCTACTATTTTTGTTCTTTTTTGGAGAATTTCCACTACGTTAAATTCACTAATACTTGAAATAAAAAAACTATTCTCAAAAACTATAATCAAATTCTTTAAAACGATTCAATTATTATTTTCAAAAAAATTTTCGAAATTCAATTATTTTCAATATCTAGTATTTTCATGAAATTTCGCAAAAAAATTAAATTATTTTTAAAAAAAATTGATAAAATTCATCCAAAATTCAATTATTTTTATAAATAATAAAATTTATACAGGAATTCAATAAAATCAATTATTTAACAAAATTTTTATATAATTCTTCACAATAATTCAATTACTTTCGCTAATAATAACATTTTTCATTGAAATTCAATTTTTTAAAAAAATTTTTGATAAAATTTTAAGCAAGAATTCAATTATTTTCATGAGTAATAAAACTCATGAATTTCAATTATATTTAATACTAAAAAATTTTAATTTCATTAATCGAAAAATTCAATTATTTTCACAATTAATGATTCCCACAAGAATTCAATTACATATTTAAAATAAAATTTCCATAATATTTATTATATTTCGAAAAAATTAATTATTTAAAACAATGTTTATAAAATTCTTATGAAGAATTCAATTATTTTCAAAATTTTCACAGAAATTCAATTCTTTTTAAACATTTTAATAAAATTTTTAGCAATAATTTAATTATTTTTATTAATACCTAATAAAACTCCTTTCAACTATTCAACTTTTTTTAAACATTTTAATACAAATTTCCGCAATAATTCGATTATTTTAAAAAATAATAAAATTCTTCTCAGGAATTCAATTATTTTTGAAAATTTTAATGAAACTCTTAGCAATTATTCAATTATTTTCAAAAATTGAATTGAAATATGATCAATTATTTTCAGAAATAACAATATTTATCACAAGAATTTAATTATTTTTAAAAGTAATAATTTTCTTCTTGGAAATTCAATTATTTTAAAAAATTCTAATAAAATTGTTCGCAAGAATTCGATTCTTTTCATAAATAATAAAATTCTTTTCAGGGTTTCAATTATTTTTGAAAATTTTAATAAAGTTTTTAGCAACTTTTCAATTATTTTCCTAAATAGTATAATTCTCCATAGGATTTCAATGATTTTTAATACAATTTTACAGGAATTGCTCAAGAAATGTAAATATTATTAAAAATTTAATTTTAATTCCTCGAAAAAATCAATTATTTAAAAGAATGTTTATAAAATTCTTATGAAGAAATCAATTTATTATTTTCAAAAATGTAAGAAGTTTTCACAGGAATTCAATTATTTTCAAATATTTTAATAAAATTGTTCGATAGAAATGTATTATTTAAAATAAAATTTTTATAAAATTTTTTTCAAATAATTCAATATTATTCTTTTAGATTTTAATAAAATTCTTCTCCAGAATTAAATTATTTTCAAAAATAACAAAATTATTCCTGAAAAGTCAATCATTTTGAGGCTTTTTAATAAAATTCTTTGCAAAATTCAATTATTTTTATAAATAACAATATTCATAACAAGAATTCAATTGTTTGTAAATTAAGTAATAAATTTCTTCTTAAAAATTCAATTATTTTTAAAAATTCTAATAAAATTGTTTGCAATAATTCAATTATTTTCAACAAAATTTAATAAAATGCCACACAGACATTCAATTATTTTTAAAAACTTTTCGCAATTCAATGATTTTCAATATCTATTTTCTTAAAATCTACAAACAGAATTCAATTATTTAGAAAAATTTTTGTATAAATCTTGGTAAGAATTGAATTCTTTTCATGAATAACAAAATTTTGTCAGGAATTCAATAATTTAAGTTAGAATTTGCATAAAATTAGTCGAAAGAAAATTAAAAAATTTTTATAAAATTCTTCGCAAGAAGTACATTATTTTTCTAAATATTTAAATTCTTTTATGAATAATAAAATTCGTTGCAGGAATTCAATTTATTAGCAGGATAAGAAAGAAGTCTTGTGAAGTGTCTAAAACGAGAATTTTGGTCGTCAAGTTTAATTTTTCGATAGCCACTTTTTCACTACTTTTTTTTGAGTGAACTGAAACTCTGCTAGATTATGAACATAATAATTAATTGTTAACTGTACAGATCCTTGCGAAGGAGGCAAATCCTGTGGAAAGTGTGCTGGATGCCGTGTGGTAAACCATGTTGCCCAATGCAGTTGTCCTTCGAATTATTACGGCGATGCACGCATCAGTTGTATAAAGTCGATGATTCCATGCGATGGTTCCTGTGAGTGCGACGAAACAGGATATTGCGTTAAAAGCTGTCGATCACAAAATCAATGTTCCTGTGGAGAGGTTTGTCATGAAGGAAAATGCCGAGTAAACTGTGATCACAACAGCGAATGTTCGAAGGTAAGACAATTGTCAACTTAACTCTTATGCATAAATTTACTAAAAATATATTTAAGGCTCCGGATCTTAAAAGGGCACTTTTACCATTTAAAATCAATGGCTCATTTGATTTTCATATCAGCAATCACTTATTCATTGCTTAGAATCTGTTTTCATTTTTTTATACTTTTGCACATTTTTTTTCGGGAGATAAATACATTGAGAATATTTCAGGGCTACATGTGTGAGAGTGGATTATGTCTCTTTGGTTGTCGATCTCACTCGGATTGTCCAGACTTGTTGTCTTGCATGAATGGCCAATGTACGGATCCATGTTCCTCGGGATCAGCACCTTGTGGTCTGAATGCACTCTGCAGAGTTTCTAATCATCGAGCAGTGTGCTTATGCCCAGAGGGCTACCAAGGCGAGCCAAGTCGGGAGTGTTACCAGTTGGAATGCCATAGTCACGATGATTGTGAACCAACGAAACATTGCAGTGAATTTGGAGTTTGCACAGATCCCTGCATGCAAAATGGTGTTTGCGGTATTAATGCTCAGTGTCGTGTGGCGAACAGACAAGCTCAATGTTCATGTCCACCGGGTCATATAGGAAATCCAAAACTTTTATGCAAACAAGGTATGGAAGCAAATGAATTGTAAATTTTTTGTATTGTAAATTTTTTGTATGGTAAATTTTGAATGCTAAATCTAAACTAAACTGAATTTTTCCCAATGGTTGATGCAGGCAACGAGGAATGTCTTCGAAATCCTTGCGGATCAAACGCAGATTGCCGAGAGACTTCTTCCGGTTACGAGTGCACTTGTAAATCCAGCTGTTACGGTGATCCCTATTTAGGTTGCCAGTGTGATGGTAATCATTTTTTCAAGTTTCTTCGCCAGAATTATGGATCCTACAATCAATATTGGAGGGCTAAGTGATTTTTAAACTAAGACTGATATTATTTTGTTCCAATAGGTACACGCCGCGATTGTCGAACTGTGGGTTGCGGTAAGAATGCAGAATGCATCAGGGACAGATCAGAGTTCGTTTGCAGATGCATTCCGGGTACAACGGGTTCTCCGGATATTGAATGTGCCACAGGTAAGTCACAACCTACTTGCTATTTATGGTTTAATGAACGTATTAGTTAACTTTGTGTACAGCATTTGTGACTAGAGAACAGTACTGACGATAAAACATAAAGGAACATGGTCAGTAGAATGTGTCGTTTGGTAGGAACCAAATAATAGTATTGATATAACCGAAATAATATAACAATAATATAATAATAATTAGTATAATAATAATAATAATAAATAATATGATAGTAATTAAAATAATCACAATAGCTAGAGATGTAATAATCTAGCAGTCGTTAACACCGAGAGACAGATGTGATTGGAGCATTGCCAGCTGACACTACTTTATAGTCATTTGTAGTGTTGGAAACCAAAGATAGTAACTTACTGTGATAAAAAGTACGACAAACGAGTTGTACGAGTTGTACTTTACTGAAATGAAGTGATCTTCCTTAAATGATTTTTTTATTCACTGACGGTTTGACTTCGAGTTTTAGCGATGTGTACCCTTTTTTAATTATCTTCTGCAAAAACGGAAAAATAATACTACGTTCTCTGTAAATATTTTAAATTTCTAAATTTTATCATTAGATTTGTACATCAGTCTTAAATTTTGATATTTGATTTCGAAATGGAAAAATTAATGAAAAGTGACACTAAACGTCTTCTATATAACAATTGATAATTTCAGACTTCGCATTCATCTACTAAAACTTACTATTTACTACTTTTTTGCGTTATCCTACTATTTGGGTACTTTTTTAGATTTCAGCCACTAAAAGATACTATTTTTGTTCTTTTTTGGAGAATTTCCACTACCCTTTAAATTCGCCATAACTGGAAATCAAAAAACTATTCTCAAAAATTATAATCAAATTCTTTAAAACGATTCAATTATTTTCAAAAAAAAATATTCGAAATTCAATTATTTTCAACATCCAATATTTTCATAAAATTTCGCAAAAGAATTCAATTATTTCAAAAAAAAAATTTATAAAATTCATCCAAAATTCAATTATTTTCATAAATAATGAAATTTCCAGAAGAATTACATTAATTTAGAATAGCATTTTCAAGAAAATTTCGAAAAAATCAATTATTTAACAAAATTTTTATACAATTCTTCACAATAATTGAATTACTTTCACTAATAATAATATTTTTCACGGAAATTTGATTTTTTAAAAAAAATTTTGATAAAATTCTAAGCAAAAATTCAATTACTTTCATTAATAGTAAAACTCATCGAAAAATTGCAATTATTTTTAATACTATTTTACATTAATTAATCGAAAAATTCAATTATTTTCATAAATAAAATTTTGCACAAGAATTCAATTATTTGAAATAAAATTTTCATAATATTTATTATTATATTTCGAAAAAATTAATTTTTTTAAACAATGTTTATAAAATTCTTATATGAAGAATTTAATTATTATTTTCAAAAATAACAAAATTTTTCACAGAAATTCAATTCTTTTTAAACATTTTAATAAAATTATTCGCAATAATTCAATTATTTATTTTCATAAATTCTAATAAAATTCTTCTCAGGAATTTCATTATTTTTGGGAATTTTAATAAAATTCATAGCAACCATTCAATTATTTTCATAAATACTTAATAAAATTCTTCTCAAGATTTCAATTATTAGAATACAATTTTACAGGAATTGCTCGAAGAATGTAAAATAAATGTTTTTTTTAAATTCTTTGGAAAAATTCAATTTGAACGCGAACAAGCAAAATAAAAAGCAAAATAAAAATAAAATTTTACGAAGGAATGAATTATTTTAAATACACTTCGAATTAAATTTTTTTAAAATAATTTATTTTTTTAAATTTTAATAAAATTTTTTCTAAGAATTTAATTATTTACACAAATAATTTTTCGAAAGAATTTAATTATGTCGATAAATAACAAAATTATTTCCAAAAATTCAATTATTTTGAGGCATTTTAATAAAATTCTTTGCAAAATTTAATTATTTTCATAAATAATAATATTCATTACAAGAATTCAATTATTTTTAAAAGTAATTTTCTTCTTGGAAATTCAATTATTTTAAAAAATTCAAATAAAATTGTTCGCATGAATTCAATTATATTCATAAATAATAAAATGCGTTTTAGGAATTTAATTATTTTCAAAAAAATGTAATTTTTCGATAGCTACTTTTTTACTACTCTTTTTAGTTTGGAAGCTACTTTTTGCTACTTTTTAAAATTAATTATCGAGTGCGAAGTCTGTCATTTGTTCTAAATTATTTATTCCCTTTAAAATGCCTTCGTGCCACGAATATACAAAATAAAATTTTTAAAATACCTTCCGTTCCAGATTGTATGTTCTTCAAGTCGCTAATTACGAAATAGGCATCAAATTTTACATTAGCTTGAAATTTGTAATTTGGGTGTTTCTTGGGGTTGGTGATGATGAATTTAATGTTACCTTTTCAAACTTCAAAATGGCGGATTCAATATGGCGACATTTAAAAATTTGGTCGCTATATTAGATCCGCCATTTTGAATTTTTAAAAACGAAAATGAAATTCGAATTTAGAGGACTTCAAAAACCCTCGAGCAATGAATGTTGATCGAATCGCATCAATCTTAAAACTAAGCGCCATATTGGATCCAATATTTTGAATTCTTAAAATCTGACTTCAAATTCGAATTTTTTTTTCGAGGTGGCCATTTATGACTGCTGACACAAAGATTAGACGGGAAACAAAATTCATAAAATATTTAAGATTTTTAGTAATTTAACATTTTTTTAATACTTGGGATAAAATTTTCTTACTTTACTTATTTTCCAGTATTTAGAATTTCTAAAATCTGACATTAAATCTAGATTTAGTAACTCCAACAACCCGCAAATTTTTAAATTTAGTGAAACCGACATTTTGAATTTTCAAAAAGTAACATCAAATTAAAGTCATAATTAGCGACGCCAGAAATTACTAAGTAACCAATTTCAAACTAATACGTTTAATTTGTTTGATTTGTTATCCGCCACATTGGATCCGCCATTTTGATTTAAGATTTCTATTCGGAAACTACAAAAACCTTAGAACAGCTATTGATATTCATATATAAAACTCAATGAGTGGGTTAAATTCCAAAGAAAATTATATGATCCTGACTGTATATCGCTATTACTCGATGTCGAAATTCTAATTGTTTGATTCCTTTACTTTGACTGAATGCCAAAAATGAAAAATGCAAATACTCCTAATCTAAGTTTGTTGACACACATCGATTCTATGATTATAAAAGGTTTAAACATTTGTCGATATATAAAAAGTCGAATATGTTTTTAATGAAAAATAAATTAACAGTATTAGTCACAATGTTTTGTAAAGAATTTGAATTAGGCTCTTAAAACTAAAGAGAAATGATAAAAGAGAATGAATGTGAGATTAGAAGTGAAGAATATTGTAAATGTACATACTGGATAGGTAATAAATAATTGTACATAAATTGAAGATGAAACACACCGACACAAGTTCTTAGTCTCACGCAAGAAGACTAGTCTTCTAGAAGACCAGTCTCAGTCTCACACATGATTGCATATGTAGAATGTTTATTTCAGTATCCAATCTGTCTTTTGGAAATAATTGTTGATTTGAAATCAACAGTCGATGGTACGTAGAGTGCCACTTGCATAATAACAGGAGGTACACGATGCTACACTGTTTTTTATATTGTCTCACATAGTTTAGGTTTAATATACAGATTGGGAACTGCGAAAGGGACATTCTCATATACCCATGCTTGATATCTGCTGAGTTTGCAGGTGATTTTCTTCTTTCTAAAGTCTTTTGGGGGCTTAAGTGTAAATATTGCTGCTTTGTTGTTGTTGTGTTATACATAGTTTTATATTCCGTATATATATATATATATCGAAAGTGTGGTAAAAAGATCTCTTTGCCGTGCTACTCTTATTTTTTGTCATTTTTATTACAATTATATAAAGCATGTGGTTCATGTTATTTGTGAGAAAGTTTCTTTTCACAGTTCTTATAAAATGCTTTTTTTCTTTGTTTTCCTCCTCCACCAATTCCACCACGCCGTTACCATCCATATGAAATCGTTTTCCTTTAGAGCAAGAGTGCACCAGTGATTCAGAATGTCCCAACGACAAAGCCTGCATAAATCTACAATGTCTGGATCCTTGTACATTGCGGGGAGCTTGCGGCATCAACGCACTGTGCCGAGTGGTGGTGCACAAGCCACGCTGCTCCTGCCCTCAGTGCTACATCGGAATGCCCCGAGCAGTCTGTCGACCGGATCCGAAATGCGACCTCACGAATCCGTCTCGACCCTCACCGTCAAACATCGACTGCTCCTCCGATAGCGAGTGTCCAGAGAGTCTGTCCTGTCACGCTCAGACCAGAGAATGTCGAGACCCGTGCTCGAGCTCAAAGCCAAGGTGCGAGGTCAACAAGAAATGCCAAGTGCGAAATCACAAGCCAGTCTGTGTCTGTAAATACGGATTCGTTGTTAACGAAATGGGGGAGCTGACCTGCGCCCCGGACACTGTGGCTTGCTCGAAAGATTCCGATTGCCCGTCGAACGTCGCATGCCTCAATGGAAAATGCCAGAATCCATGCAACATGAGAAAGAAACCGCCGTGTCCGAATGACAAGGCTTGCGAAGTCCTCGACCATCGTCCCGTTTGTATCTGTATTAAAAATTGTAATCCTTCCCTATCCATTTGCCTGCGAGACAGTGGCTGCTCACCAGACTTGGCGTGTCGCAAATATCGCTGCGTGGATCCATGCGCCAACTCCACGTGCCCGGCTGACGCCCCATGTTACGTCGAGGAGCACAAACCCATCTGCAAGTTCTGTCCCCCCGGCTTTGTGCCCGACACTAAGTACGGATGCATGAAAGGTAAACACCATTTCTCACCTGCTATCGAGTATCTCCTCTTCATATCAAATTTTTACGCGACACACTAAACGCATACATCACACATTTACATCCACAGGGTGTCGTAGGATTAGTCAAACATTTCGCAATTAGAAATTAACGCCACTCTTCAATTCAAGAGAATTCAAGAGAATTGAAAAATTCCATTTAGTCAAAGGAATTTTGCAATTAGAAAATTGGAAATGTCTTTTTCATTTGATTTAATCCGAAACACCCTGTTATTACTTTATTATATGCATCTTCAATCTTTATAGCGCTTCCTTAGCCGCCACCATCGCCGCCAAAAGCCTTTTTTTACGATTTACCTAATGCTCTTCTTTCAAACCTTCAGATCAAACAATCGACATCATTTATCAGTTACATAACCCATTTGCGCTTGATTATTTCTGCTACTCGACTTATCTTTAGAATTTACTTTTACTGTTAGAGAAGATATCGCTGATAATTTTTCAAAGTTTTCAAATTTTTTTATGACATTTAAAATAATTATAACCCTTTTGGAACGAAAACGTTTTTGTTCTGGAAACGTTTTTAGAACGTTTCATGTCCGTTACATGACGGCTTAAGAACGTTCAATGTTCTAAAAACGATTTTGGAACATGAAACGTTTTTAAGACGTTATGTGGAGGACATGAAACGTTCTAAAAACGTTTGAGGAACGTTTCTAGAACAAAGACGTTTCCGTACCCACAGGGAATGGTTCAGTTTTGAGGGTATATTCCGCGTGGAAATGGAAGAATTGGTAAAAGATGGCGAAATATGGTATTTGACTAAATGTGGCAAAGTATTTATTGCTAATGACCGAATCCCATGGTTAATAAGAATGGCAACAAAAAAAATTGATTTTTCATTAAATAAACTGAAATAACCACAAACCTTTCAATTTTTTTTAATCATAGGCAAAGTATGGCAATACATGAGGAGAAGAAAATAGGGTTTTTTTGACAGTTACCAAACTTTTGTGTTGTGTTCATTTGTGTTGAAAAAAGTCCATGGGCCTTTTTTCATATTTTTAAATTTTTTAAAATTAAATTTTTTTTTTTTTAATTTTGAACTCTGGGTAAAATATGGTAGATTATGGGAAGAAGTATAACTATTGTTAGTAGGTTTTTATACTATAAGTATTGTAAACCATGGACAGAAAAAACTATTTTTTAAATATTTTCAAGTCATCGGCAAAGTATGGCGAACCTTGGAAAGAAAAAAAAAGCGTTTTTTATATTTTCAAACTGTGGGCAAAGTATGTCAAACCATATTTTCTTCCCAAGGTTTGTCATACTTTGCCCACAGTTTGAAAATGTACAAAAAATAGTTATTCTTTCCATGGTTTGCCGTACTTAACAAAAAAAAAAAAAAAAAAAAAAAAAAAAAAAATTGACAATGAGCTTTAAAAATATGAAAAAAACCTCATTTTTTCTCCTCGTGTATTGCCATACTTTGCTCATGGTTTAAAAATAAAAAAGGGTTTGTGTTGATTTCAGTTGATTTAATGAAAAATCAATGTCTGTTGTCGTCATTCTTAAACCATGGGATTTGGTCAATAGCAATACTTTGACACATTCTGTCAAACTTGATGCCACTTTACGCCATCTTTTACTTATAGTTTCCCACATTTTCGCCATTTTTTACCCATACTTTCATTTTTACGCGGGATCCCATTGAAATTTGAAGGAAGTTTCAAATGTCCGCACTAAGGGACCTTTCACTGGAACATCAAGGGAAGCTTCCACAGAAAAATTTAAGGATATTTTCATCGAAGCTTAAAGGAAGCTTCCACTAGAATTTCAAGAGTTGTTTTCATGGAAAACATAAGTAGAATATAAAGCATAAATCACATTAATTCCGTAATTATAAGAAAATGAAACTTCCACTGTAATGTTTAGGGAAGTTTTGCCTAAAGTTTCCTAAACTGAAAGTTTTAAGATGGACTTTCTTAAGGTGGACATTTTAAACTACCTAAAAGTTTCGAAAATAACACAGGTTTACAAGGTTTCGGACCCTAGCAGCGAAAACCTGTTTTTAATGTAAATTTGAACGCTGAACTCGAATCAACAGTGCGTATTTTAACTACACGTCAAGTTTTTTGAGATAATTTTAATTATTTGCTATTTTAAACAATTGTTACTGAAAATCGAAATTTATGACTTAGAAAAAAATCGTAACTTACTTGAAAGTTTTCAGGGTCGCTGACTACGAATTTGAAGTCATATTTTGAAAATCCAAAATGGCGGATCCAAAATGGCGGACGAAAATATTAAAAATCTAACAGATTTGCTTGAAACTTATTACTCGGGGGTTCTTGGGGTTACTGATTATAAATTTGAAGTTTTTTAAAAATTAAGAATGTCGGATTTAATCAAACTTGTTTTTAAAAAGTTTTTTAAAAAAAGGCTATATTGGATGGACCATTTTAAATTTATAGAAATATGACTTCGTATTTGTCATCATCAACCCAAAAAACCACAGTAACAAGTTTCTAGTAAATCAAATTAATTTTTTATTTTTTCGTCCACCATATTAGATCCACCATTTAAAATTTTTTAAATCTAACTTTGTATTCGTAATCATCGACTCTGAAAAACCCCGAGTAACATGTTTCAAGCAAATGCTATTGATTTTTAATCTTTTTCCGCCATATTGCATCCGCCATTTTGAAATTTGAAGTGTTGGAGAAAATTAAACGACAGATTCGAATTCAGCGAAAAAATACGTTAAAAACGTTCTTACTTCTCCGGGTCGAAAAATTGACTGAAATTTGTTTTCCTGTGTAATTTCCTCGCCAAATGTAATAAGAATATTTGAAAATATAGTTTAAAATGTTTTAATTTACTTATTAGTTAAGATTGTCAGAAATTTTTAGAAATAAATTTTTTTAAATGTAATTACACCTATATTTGACATCTTTTAATAAAGATGTGTTTTGGTGTTTTAATTATTTACTATCTTTAATATCCAAAAAGAATCAGCAATATCTTTGGATGAAAAAATGTCAACTAAATAGGATTCCATGAGATAAAACTGCATATTCGCATGGAATGAAGCAAAATAAATCTAAAATATGTTTTCCCCTTCGAATTTTCAAGTAGAAAAAAAATGTAACTCTTATATTTCTCATCAAATCTGAAAATAAGTTAACCATTTCAAGCAAAAAGTAAAAATTATTTTTAATAATATTAAATAAATTCTATAGTATATTCAAAATTCTCTTAAGTAAAATGATTGTATGTTCATCGAATTTGTAAGGAACGAGTATTTTTACCTTTAAAAAAAATCTTATCTGGGCTTTATTTGAGTATAAAATGAATCGCAAATACAATCTGCAGCGTACCATTTAACAATCTAAGTAAAATAAGAAAAATTGAGAATGCTCCTTGAATCCTGAAATTCCTACTATTCACAAACCAATATTCCTTTTTGACTATTAGAAAACTTTTTTCCGATACATCTGTCTCTGTATAATTCTAATGAGTATATTTCTTGTTTTATAACTTCTCTATTGCCTAAGCATGTTATCTTTTCTTTGTAGTTAAAAGTAAACTAGTTTAAAGTTTGCAAATTAGTGGTGAAACTTTTCTAAAAGTATTTTAATCATTTTCTTTGACAGTATAGTCGTACCTCGTAACTGCAAGATTTCTACTATATATAAAAAATATGAAATTACATAGTACCATTACAATTATTAAAAATAATAGAATATTTGTTAAAAAAAATAGCAAAATTTAATTTTCTCATAATTTGCTTAAAACTTCTTACCCAGGGTGTTTCGGGGTCGCTGATTACAAATCTAAAGTCAGATTTTCAAAAATTTCAAAATTCAAGTCAGTCGGCATTTTTTTTTTAAATTGTTCATATTCTCCTGAAGCTTCTTATTTGGAGTTTTTCGGCGTTGCTATTTTGAATTTTGAAAATCTGACTTCAGATTCGTAATCAGCGTCCCTGAAAACCCTTGAGTGACAAATTTTATCCAAATTTGAGCAATTTTGAAAAAAATGTCCGCCATATTGGATCCGCCATTTTGAATTTTGAAAATTTTAAAAAGCTGACTTTAGATTCGTAATCAGTGACCCTAAAAACCCTAGGAGTAACGAGTTTCAATAAAATTCACTGTCTGGGTATTCCCGGGGACACGAAAGAGTTAAAAAATTGTATTTTGACAGAAATTGTATTTTTTTTTCTTAAAACCGCTTTTTTTCTTGAAATAAAAGGTTTTAAGAAAGGAAATTTAAAACAAAAAGAACTTGTAAATTCAAATTTTATTTCGAAGGTGTAGTATAGAATGTTGCTTGCTAGATTACTAATTCTCTTAATCTGTTGTTATATTAAAATCTCATGTTTACTAATTTGCATGTTCTTATCGGTGATTATTTTAAATGTAATATAAATCGTATTAAGAACTGTTAGCTTCTAGATAAAATTTATAATTGTAATTTACTGAAATTTTTTCCTTTTCAGCCAGCTGAGAGTGTTAATCAAATTAACCATTTACTGAAAAATTTGTTATTAATTTTATTTAAAAGTTAGCACGTTTCTTTAATTTTATTGCCTGCTTATTATTATATTTGTTCTGACAATTATTACCTATCCGACTGCAAATATCTTTTGACTTCTATTTTTTCTTAATTTTGAAAGCTTCTTTAAGTAGAAAAACTATTCTATTAGGTAATAAATTATTATTTACTATTAAAAAATAATTTATATCGAGGCGATAAAAAATTAGTTCTTTCAAACTTTTAGATTATTATTTATCTATTTCATGGAAAGTATTTCTCTTATACCATCAGCTTTGCTGCTTTGCTTTTTCTTTCAGACTATTATATATTTTCAAAAGCACATAAAACTTGAATAAATGTTAATCGACATTAAGTTAATAACAAAAAAAAATTATAGGATTTATTTAATGAAAAAGATTCTATTAAATGACAATATTTTCATTCATAATATAATTTTTTTAACGTATCGCTTATCGTTAATATACTGTTTTCTGCTTAATTACGTAGCATATAGATAAATTTGATAGGTATGAAATTGTAATGAAGATGATTGATTTTGTCAGATGTAAAATGTTCGTCAAATACCGATTGTCCATCAAAATCGGCTTGTGTTAATCATCAATGCTTGAATCCGTGTACTTATCGGAATCCTTGTGAAGACGCTAAAGAGTGTACTGTTGAAGACCACAGAGCATTCTGTATTGCAGGTAAATTTCTATTATCCATAAACTTTATTATCCATAAAATTGCCCTGAATATTTTTCTTTGATAGCCTCAAGGCTCCCTCAAAGTTATCTTAATATTATCCCAAGGGTACTTTAAGATTAGCTTAAAGTTACCTTAATTGAAAAACCCTAGTCTCAAAACGTTTGAATAATGCTCATTTTGAGTTATAACAAAAATGATTTTGGCGCATGTATCATGTACAAGCCAAGATAATTTACCTAGATTCGGCAAAGGTCCTGGTGGTATGTAGACTAACTACAAAATCCCATTAGTAAAAAAGGACTAGTACGTCCACCCTTTTCCTACTAATGGAATTATTTGGTTAGTCCACATGCCACCAGGGCCTTTGCCGGACTTAGGAAAATTATCTTAGGTACAAGTTCACGTACAGAAACTTATGCATGTTCAACCACTTGTATTAGTTTAACAATATTTAAATTCACGTTCATGTAAATCAACACGCAATCAACACGTTCATTAATTCCTAATTTTAATAAATAGTGAAAACTTTAGAGGCTATTGCCACAAATGCTCGAAACGTCATTCCGTATTCCACTTTCCGAAATCCACATTACCAATTCACATTCAGGATTCCAAATTACACATTCCAGATTCCACATTTATAATTCCACTTTTCAAAAAAACGGACTACATATACTGGATTGCATATTCTAAATTCCGGTTTGTTCATTCAGAATTGAATTCCATATTCTGGATTCCATATTTCGAATTCCACAATTTCGATTTCACATTCCAAAAACAACTTTCCGAATTGTACATTTAGGACTACAGATTCAGGGTTGCCCAATCAGAATTCTGTATTCCACATTCCATATTGCTTATTCAGAATTTCACATTCCAAAAACAACTTTCCGAATTGCACATTTCGGACTACACATTTAGAGTTGCCCAATCAGAATTCCGGATTCCATATTTCGAATTCCACATTCCAAAAACTACTTTCTGAATTACACATTTCAGACTACACATTCCGCGTTTCATATTCTGTAACGGGGAATTAAAATCGCGATGCATCGACCTCCAGATTCCTTGGACTCAGTAGACAAACTTTAACTGCTTCTTTGAAATCTCGTAACGACGGCGTCTTCAAATCTTCAACGAATTTTGAGAAGCAATAACGTCAACCACAATAGGAAATTTACTCAAATAATCACTCACAAATTAATAACAAAAAAGTAGTAATAATTTATTAAAAACAATAAAGCAAGTTAAGTAATTAAAATTGAAACGTACAAATATTAAAATATTGCAACAATTCTACTTTCAAATCTTTCACATTTTCGTACACACGAAAATACAAATTAAAACCAATTACAACTCAACTCTCTCAAACTCAACCAACTCGATTGATATCTAGGCGACGAGTGTTCCTCCGATCCGCGACTTTTCTGGAAACCAGTTGTGAATTTGGGAAAACTCCTTCCTTATCACACCTCATGATTTTTCCTATGAATCCTTCCTTGTCGAATTTTCAACGATACCTATTAGAAAGAAGGGAAAGGGTCGCTAAAAGCCATGTGACATCTCCCTCTTATCAAACAGACGAGAAATCATTCAGGGAAGGGGCACTAGGTGAGATAGACACAAGACGCTGACCAACGGACTATACCAAAATTGGGAAAAATGCGACGGAACGATAGAAAAGACGGAGACAAAGTCACTAACTATAGCACTGGACTCAGAACGAAAATTCGCCTATATAAGTAACGATTTACTTCGTTACAATACCAAATTCTGGATTGCCCATTCAGAATTCCGTATTCCATATTTCAAATTCCACAGTCGGATTTAACATTTCAAAAACAACATTCCGAATTGCACATTTCGGATGACAGATTCCATATTTCGGATACGACATTTTCGAATTCCACATTCCAAAAACAACTTTCCGAATTGCAAATTTCGGACTATACATTCCGGATTGCCCTTTCAGAATTCCGTATTTCATATTCCGAATTTGGAATACGAAATGTGGAAAACAAAATAAGTTACGTAATCGACTCCCTGTCTACAATTTTTATTCTGACGTCACCTAGACTGATAACTTTGATTTTCATCCTACCTCACACGTTAACAAAATTAGGTTTTCGAGCATTATGTGGTCTAAAGATATTTATGACTCTAGGATGTCCCGTCCCAGAGATATAATTTTTTATTAACGGCGCTTTGGATATTCCTATAGGATGATCCATGGTTATTCATTGACGTCTCTCAGTGGGGCAAAAATCTGCCACCACGTCAATTTTAAATGAAAGTAAATTAAACTTGGTACACTTACTTATCAAATACTGCAGAATTAGAATCTATTGCCTGCAACGAGAATAAGGGGGAGAAAATATTTAATTTGAATTTTCTGACTCTCTTACTGTTTACGTTACCTTGACAACTTGACAGGCAACCGAGCTGTGTCAAAAAACCTCAAAAATGGTTTTCGTTTATTTGGGAACAGTTATATAGATTCAAAGTACAGTTTATGCACTTTTAGAAAAATTTAACAGTCTTTAGTCACTGACTCTCAACTTGACACTTTAAATTTTAAAACAAGTGCAGCAATAGATTTAAATTCTGTAGTATTTTATAAGTAAATGTACCAAGTTTCATTTATTTACATTTAAAATTGTCGTAGTGACAAATTTTTATTCAAAAATTTAGGTTTTTGCTCCACTATGCTTCTTTGGGATTTCCAAAATATCGCTATATTACGAGAAAGTTCCCTAACAGCAATGGATATCACAGAACATCTTACTTTTCTTGCAATATTCAATCAACTTTTGTGCCCAACATTAAAAAAATTCGGACATTTAAAGATTTATTTCAACTTTTAGAAAATTATCGGTGCTGTGTGGGAACTCAGAGGTTTTGGAAAACGCTGAATGAAAATCCATAGTCAAAATTCAAAAATTCAAAATGAAGACCAGCAAAATTATATTTACAACTAATTCGTTAATGTATTAGCAGTCATTTTTAATTTTTTAATTTTGACTATGGATTTAGATTCAGCAACCCCAAAAACCCCCGAGTAAGAATTTCAAAATAATTTCGTCCATAAGATATCCTGAAATGTACGTTGCTGTTAGGGTCTTCTTTGTAAAAAATCTGGTACATATTTTTTCCAAACCTGCAACTTTGTGTATAGGGAATCAAGACCTTGTACGAGTATTTCTCACAATTTTTAAAAAAATACCCTTGATTTAAAAATGATATTATTAACTTTCAGGATTAAAGAACGTTTGTCCTCTCTGCGAACCAGGTGAAGAATGCGATCCAGTGACAAATCAATGCGTCAAAGGTTTGTATTTTGCATGCAAGACAATTTCTTTTTAAACTATACGTAAAAGAAAATTGGCTCATTGTAAATATGTAAGTACTGTAAATAAAGACAAATTATAAATAAAGTATTTAGCATCGAATGTCAAGTTGATGCACTAAAAACTTTTTAGAAATTCTTTTGCACCAGAAGGACTTTTGTAATTCTGAAAAATCAGAATCTCAAATAAATTTCTTGTAATAATTTAGAAGAGTGGGGTGAGCAATCGATAATTTAGTTAAAGGGTTTAAATTTAAGGGAAGTTTTTTTATGATTTGGTTAACAGTTATTTTTTAGCTGGGAAAATTATTATTTTCTCAGTGTAAATACAATGTTTTGATTGAGAACTTCTTAAGCTACTATTCAGAATTTTCTTTGAAAGTACTTACACTCCGATGCAATGACTATTTTTACTATTTCTGATATTCATGCACAACATCTCTGGGTTATATGGGCTTTTCTCACTCTTTCTTTAGTGGGTTGCACTAGCAACAGGGATTGTCCTCTGACAGAAACCTGCGTCGGCCGAATTTGCCAGGAGCCATGTCAAATTAGAAATCCATGCGCTGCTCATGCCGTTTGTGTTAATTCCAACCATGGAACGGATTGTGTTTGTGAACAAGGATATCAAGGAAATGGATATGCCGCTTGTGCCTTAGGTGAGAATTTCTTCATATGCTAGTTTTCGGATGAAAGATTTTTCCCGGGTCTGATGAAAATTTAATTTCGTCACTTTGTACTTTTGTTTCACTAAAGGAGACTCTTTTTCCCTTTCAGTTGAAGTCGATAGAAATGTTTGTCAGTACAACGAAGATTGTCCGCCTCATACATACTGTGATCGTCTTAATAGACGTTGCATTAATCCATGTTCTGATGATATTTGTGGAGACAATGCTGAATGTTACACCGAAGAACATGAACCAAAATGCAGATGTCCACCTGGATTTGAAGGAAATCCACAAATTGGGTGCAATGGTGCGTCAAATGATCCTTGCCTTCCAAACCCATGTGGAATGAATGCAGCCTGCGAGAATGATAACGGAAATCCCATTTGCTTCTGTCCAAAGGGCCTAACTGGAAATCCGTTTGAACAATGCAGTGAGTAGAATTTTCGTAATAAATTAATTTGATTAATCCCTATTGATTTTGCGGACAAGAAGTTGAAAACTCTACTTTTAGGAGTATAGTAAATCTAAAAGATGAAAACATTAGTTTTTTTAATAAATCATCGATCTTGTCAACAATTGCATGGTTTTTATTTCAGTTCCCGAAGGTGATCACTGTCATAACAATCCTTGCGGTGGTAACTCTGGTTGTCGGTTGATAAAAGGACAAGCGAACTGCTTCTGCTTGCCAGGTTTCCAAGGAGAACCACCAAATACACCATGCGAACCTTATAACAATCCTTGTGGTTCATCTCCTTGTGGTCCAAATACACAATGTTCGGCATTACCAAATGGAATCTTTAAGTGCATTTGCTTGCCCGGATTCATTGAGAGTCCAAACACAATCCGAGGCTGTGTCCAGCAAGTTAATCCTTGCGAGCCAAATACTTGTGGACATAATGCTCTTTGTGATTCGAGAAGAGTTCCTGCCTGCTATTGTCCTGAAGGTACATCTGGAAATCCCTACAAGAGCTGCACAGGTACGTTCAAATCTCTTGTTTTTCAGTTCATGTGGATTTGAATATAATTCGCTTATCCAAATGTTATCCAAATGAAGATTTAAATAAGTAATTATTCTGGTCAGGGACGAATTCGTCAACTAGATAACCCCAACCCTTGAATTTTAGATATTCGATCAATAATTCACGCGTTAACGTCACATAATTATTTTCCCGCCACACCTAAGATAATTCACCTAGGTCCGGGAAAGGGTCTTGGTGGCACACTACAAATTACATCAAGTAATTTTTTTCCCTTACATTTTCATAGAAATAATTGTCAGACCCTTGTGCCAACCGGGTCCTTGCGGAGCCAATGCCGACTGCTACATTACAGCAAATCAAGAACACTGCTACTGTCGTTATGGATTCTATGGCGATCCTTACCTCGATTGTCATCCACCAGCTGTCAGTGCCTGTCAACCTAGTCCCTGTGGACCAAACGCAATCTGCACCGTGTCAATTAAAAACGAAGCCACCTGCAAATGTGTACCTGGAACAACTGGCGATCCCTTGAGTCATACAGGTTGCGATAGACCGGAATGCACCCAGGACGTAGACTGTGATGAAACCCAAGCTTGCATTGGTTATAGATGTCAAAATCCCTGTATGGGAGGCTGTGGAATACACGCCGAGTGTCATGTCGAAGTACATCATCCAGTATGCCGCTGTAGGGAAGGTTTCATTGGGAACCCACTGATTAGATGTTCGCCTCATGTTGTCACAACTCAAAATCCCTGCGAGCCCAATCCTTGTGGACTCAATACTGCCTGTCAAGTACTGAATAACCGAGCGGTATGCTCCTGTTTAACAGACTTCCTCGGAGATCCTCAAACAGGTTGTCAACCAGAATGTACCATCAATTCGGATTGTTCAAACGATAAAGCCTGTATTAATATGAAGTGTGTCAATCCCTGTACACTCGGAACTATTTGCGGTTCAAATGCTGAATGTTCTTGCTCTTACCACACTCCCAGTTGTTCTTGCAGACCCCACTTTGTTGGCAATGCTTTTATTCACTGTTATCCGGAAAGTAAGTTAATTATCAAACACTATTCTACATCTTTTACTTAATTTAATTAATTATCATTAATTATCATTTGTAGACTATCATAAGTAGAACATCACTTATGTATTATGAATTTTAGCTCCAATCACAACCGACAATCAACGTAACGTGACACTGCCTTGTAAACCATCGCCTTGTGGAGAGTATAACGTCTGCGATCCTTACATCAATCAAGTTGCAATGTGTGGCGGTTGTGCCGCACCGGAAAATCAAGACAGCATCTTCTGCAAGCCGGAGTGTCTCAGCGATAGTGATTGTGCATTGGATAAAGCTTGTATAGGTTGGAGATGCGCTGATCCTTGTTTAGGTTCCTGCGGTATTAATGCAAACTGCGAAGCCATCTATCACTCTCCAGTCTGTAGTTGTCCTACAGGCCTCTTCGGAAATCCGTATCAAAGTTGCGCTCCAGCATCAATAGGTAACTCATTTTTGATACAAAAAAACCCCTTCAACTAATTCCATAAATACGCAAACAATGTTCGTTCTTTCAATGTTCGTCTTCAGAAACATTTCAATATATTTAAAATCTTGCAGAACTTCCAGATTCCTGCAGTTTAACGCAATGCGGAGCGAATGCCTATTGCGAAGATAAACACGGCGTCACCATCTGCAAATGTTTACCGAATTTCTCAGGAAATCCTTTAATAGCCTGCCATCTTGAATGCGTTCAGAATTCCGATTGTGATCTAACGCAAGCCTGCTCTAATCATAAATGTGTGAATCCTTGCGACAGAGCTTGTGGAAACGGAGCCTCATGCGATGTGGTCAATCATAATCCCGTTTGTTATTGCTCAAACGGAATGACAGGAGATCCATTTGTTTATTGTTCAGAACCAAAAGAAGTGATTCCATTTTCGCCATGCAATCCATCGCCATGCGGACCGAATAGTAGATGTATAGTTTCGCCCCAAGGTTATTCCACATGCTCCTGCATTCCTGGATTCAGAGGGTCTCCTCCACTCTGCTCACCCGAGTGTATCGTATCTTCAGATTGTTTACACATTCAAGCCTGCATAAACAACAAGTGCATCAATCCGTGCACAGGAAGATGTGGACATGGTGCTCTTTGTTCCGTGATTCATCATAATCCAGTCTGCAGTTGTCCTGGTGGTTACGAAGGCGATCCTTCCATACAATGTGTTAAGCAACCTGGTAAGTTTTTACACTTTTTACTAATACAGAAGTTTTATGAAGTATGTACTTGAAAGAATCTTTAATGCACAGAGTACTTGCCGCCATCATCTTGCAATCCATCGCCATGTGGTTCGAATTCTGTGTGTCAAATAAAAATGGGTCGACCTGTTTGCTCCTGTCAGAGTAACTTTGTGGGAACGCCTCCGAATTGCAGACCAGAGTGTCTCATTAACCAACAGTGTCCTATTGATCAAGTTTGTGTTTCAAATAAATGTGTTCATCCATGTCCGAGCAGTTGTGGCGATAATTCAGAGTGTACTGTTATCAATCACACACCTCAGTGTTATTGCAAGGAAGGCTTCGAGGGAGATGCTTTTATAGGTTGCACGCACTTACCAGTGAGACCTCCAGCGCCATTAGATCTATGCGACCCGTCACCTTGCGGCAACAACGCTCTCTGCACTGTTCATGATGGATCTGCTAGGTGCACATGTATTCCACCCTATGTAGGAAACGCTTATGTGGACTGCAAACCTGAATGTCTTCTAAGTTCGGAGTGTTCCAGTGACTTGGCTTGTTTGAACCAACATTGCAGGAATCCCTGCCTTGGAGTTTGCGGAGCTAATGCCCAATGCGAGGTTATCAATCATGTTCCAATTTGCTCCTGTCTTCAAGGATACACTGGTGATCCATTCGAAGTTTGCCAAGTCGACGGTATGGAATTATTTTTTGACTGAATTCTTTTTGACAATTTTTCCTTTTCACTAACAATTTTGGATAAGTAGACACACGACTTTGATTTACTTTTGTCTTTACAGTCGGGCCAAAGGAAAACCCTTGCTCATCATCCCTTTGTGGACCCTACAGTGTCTGTCGAGTGATGAATGACCGAGCGGTTTGTTCCTGCAGTCCAGGTTTCTATGGCGTTCCTCCAATGTGTCGACCTGAATGCGCAGTGAATTCTGAGTGCCCTCAACATTTGGCTTGCATTGATCAGAAATGCAGAAATCCTTGTGAAAACGCTTGCGGCCTACGAGCCCAATGTCACGTCAACAATCACAATCCACTCTGCAGTTGTCCGGCAGGTTTCACTGGCTATCCACTTGTAGAATGTACCGAAGGAGATTCGAAGGGTGTCGGTCCCACTCCATGTTTGCCCTCACCTTGTGGACCCAACGCTGAATGTCGTGTCAATGAAGATAGACCTGTTTGCTCGTGTATTGCCGGTATGTTTGGAGCCCCTCCAAACTGCAGGCCCGAGTGCATCATCAATCAGGACTGTCCCAATCATCTTGCCTGCATACAATCCAAATGCTCAGATCCATGTGTGGGCTCATGTGGTTACAACGCCAGGTGCAGTGCTCAAAATCATCGACCGGTTTGTGAATGCTATGAAGGCTACGAGGGAAATGCCCGTTTCGGATGCAATCGCGCAGGTATGTATTTCTGCTTAAATGTGTAAATGTTCACATTCTAAAATATAATAAATAAACTTTTCAGTGACTACTCCAACGGAACCGTCAAGCACACCATGCAGTCCTTCGCCTTGTGGATTGAACGCCATCTGTAATGAACGTAATGGCGCAGCATCTTGTATCTGTTTACCAGACTATATAGGAGATCCGTACAAAGGATGCAAACCGGAATGTGTACAAAATAACGACTGTCCTCACACACTCGCCTGCATTGTAAATAAATGTAAAGATCCATGTACAGGAGTTTGTGGTTTGAACGCCCAATGTCAAGTCTTCAATCATCAACCAACTTGCACTTGTTTGTCTGGCTTTACAGGAAACCCTCAAGTTTCGTGTCACGTACCATCGCCAGGTAGGTTCTTTGTTTCAACATCTTAACAATTAACTTATCTTAACAATTTACATTTTATACATTTTATACATTTCATAAATTGTTTTAAACTTTAGATCTTCCGACATATACCGACCCTTGTCAACCATCTCCTTGTGGAGATTACAGCAAGTGTCAAGTAATAGACGGTCATCCAGTTTGCTCCTGTCAGCAAAATTATATTGGAACTCCGCCAAATTGTAGACCTGAATGTCTAGTAAGCACAGACTGTGCAAACAATAAAGCTTGCATTTCACAACTCTGCCGCGATCCATGTTTCGAAACTTGTGGTCTTAACACCGACTGTCATGTCATTAACCACAGTCCTGTGTGTTCTTGTAAATCTGGATACACCGGAGATCCATTCTATGGATGTACGAGGGAAGGTAGGAGTAAAATTATAATATTGATTCTTAATAATTAATTATGTATAATAATCTTCGTATTCTTTTATTTTTTATATCTGTACGACATTATTCGAGAAAATTAATAACATCTTTTTTTAATAAATATTTAAATATTATTATTTTTCCACAAAAAAATAAGATTTTAAAAAATTTAATAAAAAAAAAAAAAATTTCAAATTCATATCTTTTTAAAATTTAACAACTTATAAAAATAATAAAACATGATGATATGATAAAATCATTATTTTATATTATAAAAAAATTGTTACTGTAACTTCTTCAAAATTATTTTCTTTTTCAATTATCATTTTCTAAAATTTTTAACTAAAATTCTTCTTTAAATCAATTCATTATTAATAATTTTTGAAAAAATTTTTTGAGAATAAAAATTGAATAATATTCTACCGAAGAATTCAATTATTTTTATAAATAGTAATTTTTTTTTTTTTGAATTCAATTATTTTCAACAAAATTTTAATAAAATTTCACGAAATAATGCAATTTTTCTAAAATTTTAATAAATCCTTTAAAACAGTTTGATGGTTTTTTTAAATAGTAAAACCTTTGCAAAAGTTCAATTCTTTTTAATAAGATTTCAAGAAAGAATTCAATTTTTTTCTTTTACTTCGTTACATAATTTTTCAAAGGAATTCAATTATTTTGTAAAATTATAATAAATCCTTTGAATCAATTTGATTATCTTTTTAAATAATAAAATCCTTGCAAAAATTCAATTATTTTTAATAAAATTTCACGAATCAATTAAATTATTTTTTAATAAAATTTTTCAAAAGGATCCAATTATTTTTTACAATTTTAATAAATCCTTGAAAACAATTCAATTATTTTTTAGTTTTTAATAAAATTTTTCAAAAGAATCCAATTATTTTCTAATATTTTAATAAATCCTTGAAAACAATTCAATAATTTTTGAAAGTAGTAAAATTTATCACAAAAATTAAATTATTTTTTATAAATAATAAATAATATTATTAAATAATAATATTCTTCTCAGGAATTCAATTATTTTCAATATAATTTAAATGAAATTCTTCAAAGAAATTTAATTTATTCTATAATTAATAAAATGATTTCAAGAAATTAATTTTATTTTAAAAATTCTAATAAAATTTATTCTTTATAACTTCAAATCCTTTAAAAAAATATCAATAATTAAACTTTAAAAAAAAATTAATTTTACAGAATTGCTTGTTAAAAGTATAAAAAATTAAAATTTTCAAAGAATTTAATACGAAACCTTTTCGAAATTCAATTAATTTTAAAAATCCACGCTATAATGCTTTTAATATTCAATTATTTTCTAAAATTTTAACTAAAATTCGTTTTTAAATAAATTTTTATTCAGAAATTCTATGAGATTTTCATTATTTAAATACATAAATAAAAAATTTATTGAATAATTGAATGTTTCTTAAAATTGAAGTCTCATGAAGAATTTTACCAACAAATTTTTAAGTAATTGAATCCTTTGACGAATTTCAATATAATTTTTAAGAATCATTACATTTTTCGAAGAAATTCGATTAAAATTGTATTAAAAATAATTGAAATTCTGCGATGAGTTTTATTATTTATGAAAATAATTCAATTTATAAAAATTATTTTATTATTTATGAAAATAATTGAATGATTGGGAATGAAATTTAAATAAAAAATTTGTAAAATATTGAATTACAGTCAAATTTTTATTGTTTTGAAAAATAATTGAATTTTTGAGAAGAATTTTATTCAAATTTTTTTTTAAAAATTAAATTTTTTTGGAAAATTTTATTAAAATATTAAACATTAAAAATCATTGAGTTGAAAAAATATTTTGAAAATAATTGAAATTTTGACTAAAATTTTATAAAAAATTTTGAAAATAATTGAATTTTAGAGAAAAATAATTGTAGGTATAAAATTGTAATTTTGAAAATAATTGCAATTCTGACAAGATTTAAAAAAAAATTTTGAACATAGTTTTTAACTAAAATTCTTCTATGAATTCCTCTTTTTTATTAATTTATTGAATAGATATTAAAAAATTTAACTAAATTCAGAAGAATTTGAATGTTGAAAATTTTTCAATAATCTAAGTTCTTGAAAGGTTTTAATTAAATTTATTCAAAATTGAAATTTTATAAAATTTCAAATTAAAACCTTTTGAAGTCATTTTACAATAAAAATCCTGTTGGAGGGGTAATAATGGTCGGTCATTTTACAATAAAAATCTTGTTGGAGGGGGAATAATGGTCATTTTACAATAAAAATCCTGTTTGAGGGGGAATATTTTTTTTATAGTTCGTCAAGAATTAAGTATTTAACGTAAAAATTATTGTCAGAATTAGAAAAAATTGAAGAGTTTGTATTAGAATTCGTGATAATTTCATAGTTTATGAGACAAACAAGAAAGATACGAAAATTTAGAATTTCCTTATGAATTCTAAAAATTTAATTTTTTCCGTATTTTCAATTAAATTAAAAAGTATAGTATAGTATTATTACTTTTAATATTTAATTAAAAATCCCTTACTTTTTTCTGAATTCCCTGTGTCAGAATATATGATTATTATAGTGATAATAAACTATAGTCCAATTTATATTTTATTTTTATGAAAAAAAAATGTAAATAAAAAATGTTGACATTCTATTATTTTTAAAATTGTTATTTTTATTTTAAAAAGTGATGAAGAAGTTAGCTAGTAATGCAAACTATCGAAAGTTTATAACTAATTTTAACATTTTATGTCTAGAATCACCGACAACGACTCCAATAATTCACAACGATAATCCATGCATTCCATCTCCCTGTGGTTCATACTCTCAATGTCGAAATATCGATGGATTCCCTGCTTGCTCTTGTATGCCGAATTACATAGGAAAACCACCAAATTGCCGACCTGAATGTATTATAAATGAAGAATGTTCCGGAAATCTCGCTTGTCAAAATGAGCAATGCATTGATCCTTGTCCGGGATCTTGTGGCATCAACACCTTCTGCAATGTCATAAAACACAATCCTCTTTGTAATTGTAATTCCGGATTCACTGGGAATCCTTTCACTGAATGCACTCCTATTATAGAAGGTAAGCGAAATATAACATCAATAGAATTACTAATAGTTGAAAATAGAAATGAACCGCTGGCGACCAAGAGGGTTTCGCAAGGTTTTCGTTGGTCCCTCGAGTAGCGGGGCCAACGAAAGTCACGCGTTATCCGTTTTGGCCGCTGGCGGTTCAATTACTATAGTAAAATTAATAGGCAACGCTAAAATACGTTTGTAATTTTAGTTCCAAGTACAACGGAACAACCAAGAACACCTTGCAGTCCATCGCCTTGCGGCGCGAACGCAGTTTGTAATGAACGAAACGGAGCCGGATCGTGTACCTGCATGCCTGAATATTTCGGCGATCCTTACACAGGTTGCAGGCCGGAATGTGTCACCAATTCGAATTGCGATCGTAGCAAGGCTTGCGTGAACAACAAGTGTATCGATCCTTGTCTCAATGCTTGCGGAGAGAGTGCTTTTTGCCGTGTTACGAAACACGCGCCATCCTGCTCTTGTCTTCCAGGCTATACTGGAAATGCATTGAGTGGCTGCGTATTGATAGAAATAGAGGTTCCGAAAACACCAGCGGATCCATGTGAGGCTTTGCCTTGCGGACCATTCAGCAACTGTCGAACACTCAACGGTCATGCGGTCTGTTCATGTCAATCCGGATACATTGGTGCACCACCTGGATGTCGACCTGAATGCACAGGCAGTTCTGAGTGCTCTCAAAACAAAGCTTGCATTAATAACAAATGTGCCGATCCCTGTCCAGGATCTTGTGGCCAAAATACAAAGTGCTTAGTCGTCGGTCACAATCCAATTTGTAGTTGTGCGAACGGATATACAGGCAATCCCTTCATCAAGTGCGAGAAGGAAGCTGTCACTCCCAGTCCTCCATCACCGAGAGAAAGTCCTTGTACATCTAATATTTGTGGACCAAACTCTCAGTGTCGGGAAATTAACGGACAAGCCGCGTGTTCGTGTTTGAAGAACTTTATCGGCAGACCACCAAATTGCCGACCTGAGTGTTCGGATAATTCGGAATGTGCCCCGTCGTCTGCCTGCATAAATCAAAAATGCAAAAACCCCTGTCCAGGTGCTTGTGGAGAGATGGCCAGATGTTCGGTTCTTAACCACTTACCGGTTTGTTCCTGTCCAGAGGGTTACGAAGGCGAAGCGACCATTCGATGCTCAATTCCTTTACCTCCTTGTGAGTTAATTCTTATATTCTTAATACAGGGCTCGGATTGTGCGACTGTTTCGACTTTTTTCGACTTTTCTAAGGAAATGTCACTTTTTTCGAATTCTTTGTGAAAAAATTCGACTAATCGACTTTTTCGAAATGTTTTTTTTTGTAAAATGCGACTATTTGGCTTTTTTCACATCTTTCAATTACTCTACTTAAATGTTAAATAGCAGAAATTTTTTTTCTTAAACAATATTGTTCACAAAATCATTCTTCTCTTTATTATTTTATTATTTATTATTATTTATTATTTATTTTATTATTTATTTATTATTTATTTTATTATTTTTCTCTTTATTATTCTCTTTATTATTTATAAAAATAATTGACATTTTTAAAGAGAATGTTTAAAAAAATGTTAAAAATACCTAATTAAAATTTTGCTTTGAATTTTATTAAATTTTATTAAATTGTATTCCGGATTGTTTGAAATTAAAGTATGTGTTGTCAAGAAATGTGATTTTTTTACCATTTTTACAATTTCGTGTTTCTTTTTTACGACTTTTTCGGAGATTTTATGCGACTTTTCGTGACTTTTGTTGTGAATTTTTGCGACTAAGGCGCCTTTTTTTGAGTCTTAAAGACGATCCGAGCCCTGTTAATACTATCATTTTAATATTTTTTAATTCAATTACATTTTTTGAGCGATAAGAGTTAAATCCTTCCATAGTTTAATTGATATTAATAGAATAAATCAATTACATTTTTTATATTTCCATTTTCAGCAACGGAACGTCCGAACCCTTGTGTACCGAATCCTTGCGGACCAAACGCCCTTTGCCGGGAAAGAAGTAGAGCTGGAGCATGTGTATGTCCTCCAGATTTTATTGGCGATCCTTACGATCAGCAAAGAGGTTGTCATCGTGAATGTGAAATAAGTAACGACTGTCCGACAAACTTGGCATGTGTTGGTTTCAAGTGCATTGATCCTTGTCCTGGCGCCTGTGGAACTTTATCTTTATGCAACGTTCGAGATCACGCTCCCTTATGTTCCTGTCCACCTGGTTACATTGGAGATCCAACTTATGCCTGCGAGCAAGAGAGAAGTAAGTTTTCTTTACATTTTGTCACTGTCTGGTTGGTAAGTTCTGTTGCTTTCTATAAATCCGAGAATATTCCTTAACTAATATCTCCATTACCGTTACAGCTGTAATTCCAAGCAATCCATGCTCACCATCACCATGCGGTCCGAACAGTAAATGTCGAGAAATCAATGAACAACCTGTTTGCACGTGTCTACCAAACTACATCGGTTCACCGCCAAAATGCAAACCTGAATGTCTCGCCAGTGGAGAATGTCCAGTTCATCTCGCCTGTGTAAACAAAAAATGCGCCGATCCATGTCCCAACACTTGTGGCTTAAGAGCAAACTGCGATACGAAAAATCATATTCCAATTTGCACTTGTCCTGGGGGATTGACGGGAGATCCATTTAAATTCTGCTTCCCGGTTGAAGAAGTTCTAACAACGGAGAAACCACCTTCATGCACTCCATCGCCATGTGGTCCAAATTCTCAGTGTCAAGTTATTTCTGGAATCCCTGCATGTTCATGTCTGCCAAATTACATTGGCATACCTCCAAAGTGTCGACCTGAATGCGTTATAAGTTCGGAATGTCCTAGTCAATTGGCTTGCATCAATGAAAAGTGCAAAGATCCTTGTGCTGGTTCTTGCGGCATCAATGCTCAGTGCCATGTTTTAAATCATATTCCCGTTTGTAATTGCATGGAAGACTACACTGGAGATCCGTTCAAATCCTGTTCACCAATTCCAGCGAGTAAGTAGTTCAATTTTATTTGCAAACAATAATTGCTACACACTTTGAAAAAAAATTAGTCAATAAATAATGAACTTTTGAATTATAATAGCTTTATATTGTTTCTATTTCTGAGGATTCTTTTTATTAATGGTTTTTCAGTAAAGTGTAACAATTGTAAAAAGAAAAGTCTTGAAGAAGATTAATTACTAAACAACGTGAATATTTGTTTCTTTCTTTCAGCTACACCAGTAGTTAAAGACTTTAATCCCTGCAATCCTTCACCTTGCGGTGCGAATGCCATTTGCCGAAATGGAGAATGTACATGTGAACCGGAATATTCAGGAAATCCTTACGAGAGTTGCCGTCCAGAGTGCACAATCAGCACGGAATGTCCTCGCGACAAAGCATGTTTGAAATTCAAGTGCAAGGATCCGTGCCCTGGAGTCTGTGGACAATTTGCTCGCTGCGATGTCATCAACCATATTCCTGTTTGTCTGTGTCCTAACGATTATATTGGAGATCCTTTCGTAAGCTGTCGTCCAAAGCCCAAAGGTTGGTTTCTATTTTTTCGATTGTTCTAAATTGTCTGAAATTGGTAGTAAACTTTTATTCAATTAAGCTAAAAGTACCAAAACATGTTTACCAAATATATGCATTAATATTGTTTCAGAACCAATCAGAACGGATCCATGCTCACCATCGCCATGCGGTCCGAACAGTGACTGTCGCAATATTGCCAACAACCCAGTTTGCTCTTGCCTTCAAGGCTATTTAGGAACGCCACCATCTTGCCGACCTGAATGTATAGTAAGTCCGGAATGTCCACCCACGAGAGCCTGTGTAAACAAAAAGTGTACAGATCCCTGTTTGGGAGCTTGTGGAATCAACGCCCGATGTGAAGTGATAAACCATTCGCCAATTTGCGGTTGTCTTCCTGGACAATCTGGAGATCCCTTCAGAAGTTGTCAGAAAATTGAAGGTACTATTTCTTTAATCAGACCTCGAACTAAGTCCGAAAATCCCGTAAAGGTCCGTAAAATTACCTGAAATCCGTAAAAGTCAGTTTTTCTGAAAAAAGGTCCGTAAAGTCCGTAATTTGATAAAAAAAAAAGATCGTAAAATAATTGGCATCTAATAGATGTCACTATTTGCTGATAAAATCGAAATCTTTCTTCGTAATTAAAATTCTCAATCAGCGAAAAATTCTAACATTAACTAGATCGTAAATTGTACGATATAATTTGGAAAATTTTAGAGAAATTATAAATTATTGCAGAAATTCAATTATTTTCAAAAGTAATCAAATTCTTCGCAGAAATTCAATTATGTTCCAAAATTTTTTCAAATTCGCTTTAAAGTTTCAATTATCTTTAGAAATAATTAAATTCTTCTCCGAAATTCAATCATTTTCAACAAAATTTTAATAAAATTCTTGCCAAAATTTCAATTCTTTGAAAAAATTTTCTTCAATTCAATTATTTTCAATATCTTATATTTCAATAAAATTATCAAAAAAAAAAATTCAATTATTTAAAAAAAATTTTATAAAATTCTACCCAAATCTTTAATTATTTTCATAAAATAATAAAAATTTCACAGGAATTCAATAATTTACAAATTTTTTATAAATTCCTTCGCAGTCATTCAATTATTCTCATAAATAATAAAATTCATTGCAGAATTTCAATTATTTTTAATACAATTTTAATCAAATTTCTTGAAAAATGTAATTATTCTTAAAAATTTTATTAAAATTCGTCAAAAAAATTCAATTATTTAAAAATTTAATTAAAAGAAAGGAATTTATCATTTGGTATTAATTATATTTTTCGGAGATTGTTAACTTCTTCCATACTTAAAAATTTATTGATAAAATTCTTTATAAGAATTCACTTTTAAGAAACATGCAATTATTCAATAAATTGTTTCATTTTTGTATTTAAATAATTGAATTCTCGTTAATTGTATTTTCTAATAAGAAATTCATTAAAAAATGATGTTGAGTTAAAATTTTAGATAATAATAATTGATTATTAAAAGCATTACAATGTGAATTTTTTTTAGAAATAATTTAATTTTGAAATTAAGTTTTTTAATAAAGTTTAATTAAATTTTTTTTATGTTAGTTTAAATTAAAAAATGTTATATTTTCAAAAATTCAGTTAAAATCCTTCAAAACAATTCAATTATTTTCAAGAGTTTTCATAAGAATTCAATTGTTTTCAACAATTTTGATAAAAAATTCTTCGAAACAATTCAATTATTTTTATGAATTGTAAAATTCTTGTCAAGAATCCAATTATTTTCATAAATAATAAAATGTTTCGGAGAAATTCAATTATTTTCAATAAAATTTTAATAACATTTCTAGAAAAAAATTCAATTATATATTTTAAAATATTCAGTAAAAATTACTTTTAAAAAACTTCTTTATTTCCAATACAATTTTTAATTTTAATTTTCTTGAAAGAGTTCAGTTATTTAAAAAACAATTTAAATAATTGAATCTCGGCGAAAATTTTTTTTTATTTCTACAAATAATTAAATTTTTGCAAAATTTAAAAAAATAAGTGAATTTTTGTTAAGAATTTTATTAAAATTATATTTAAAATAATTAAATTCCTGTGAAAAATTTACTATTTATTGACATTTTTGAATATTCTTTCGATGAATTTAAAAAAAAATGTTGAAAAATAATTTAATTTTCCCTGGAATTCAATTAAAATTGTATTTAAAATAATTGAATTCCAGCGAAAATTTCAGTATATTTTTAAAAATAATTTGATTCTTGAATTGTATTTTATTAAAAGCTTTTTTAAATAATTGAACTCCTGTGAAAAATTCAATTATTAAAATTAAAATTCAATTATTTTTTTAAAATAATTGACTTTTCTCAGAGAATTTTTACAAGATTTAAAAAAAAAATTGAAATTTTCGAAGAAATTAATTAAAATTGTATTAAAAGTAAGTGATAAATCCTGATACCTAAGAATTCTATTATTTTTATAAAAATAATTGAATTTTTTAAGAAGATTTTTATTATTTATAAATTGACTAAATAATTTTATTACAATTATTAAAAATAATTGAATTTTATGAAGAATTCAATTATTTTCAAATTTTTTTATAAATATTTTACTAGAATTCAATGATTTTCAGTAGATTAATTTTAAAATGTTAAACACTTAAATAGAAAAATTATTTAAAAAGTTAGGAAACAAAAACGCAAATAGCAATTAACTTGAAACTGCGAACAGATTATCGAAATACGATTATTAATATAGAAGAAGATAATGGATTTAAAGAAGAATTTTAGTTAAAAATTCTTGAAAATAATAATTGAATTAATAATGATTTTATCACTCCATCATGTTTTATAGTTATGAAAAATTTAATTTATAGTTTTAAGTAAAATTTTTTTTTTTTTGAGTCGGACTGGTTATATTTTTCTCAATTGGTCTGTAAATGGTCCGTAATTTTTCATTTTTAGTTCGTAAATTCCATATTTTTAAATACTTTAACTGGCTCGAGTTCTGCTTTAATTCAAAACTTGTTGTACTACATATAAGAATACAAGAAATAAGAGTAAGGTTTGATTGATTGTCTAATTATTTTTCCAGAAATACCAGCGATAAAATCAGATCCCTGCAACCCATCACCGTGTGGGCCAAATTCACACTGTCGAAATGTCAACAATAATCCAGATTGTTCTTGTCTTCCATCGTACATTGGAACTCCACCAAACTGCAGACCGGAGTGTGTCATAAACCCCGATTGTCCATCAACAAGATCTTGCATTAATTCAAAGTGTCTGGACCCTTGTCCCGGATCCTGTGGAGAGAATGCCGAATGCAGAGTTATCAACAATGCTGTCAGCTGCTCATGCTCTCCTGGCTTCACCGGAAATCCGTTCGTTCAGTGCATACGACAAACGATAGACCTCAATCCTTGCGAACCATCGCCATGTGGAACCAATGCCGTGTGTCAAAGACGCGACAATGTCGGTGCTTGTATTTGCATTGAAGACTATCACGGCAATCCATACGAAGGTTGTCAACCAGAGTGCATCCTCAGTGCTGATTGTCCAACAAATAAAGCTTGCATTCGCAACAAGTGTGCAGATCCTTGTCTTGGAATTTGCGGAACTGATGCTCTTTGCTCGGTTGTTAATCACATTCCAACGTGCACTTGCTTACCGGGCTTCAGTGGAGATCCATTCATCACATGTTCGCGGCAAACAGAATGTATGACTCAAACATATTCTTTAGATGGAAAAATACTTCTATTAGTAATGTTTTCTTTGAGTAATTTCGTAACTAATTGATACACTAATTATTTTAGATCCTCCGGATGTGACGCCTTGTGCTCCTTCTCCTTGCGGACCGAACAGTGTTTGTCGAGCGATTAACGGACAAGCGGTGTGTTCCTGCGAAGACACTTACATCGGTCCTCCACCGAACTGCCGTCCAGAATGTGTCGTCAATTCAGAATGTCCTCAGAATCGAGCTTGCTACAAATACAAGTGCGCAGATCCTTGTCCCGGAACTTGTGGTCTTGGAGCCCATTGCCGAGTTATCAATCATAATCCACTTTGCAGTTGTCCTCCGGATATGACGGGAGATCCGTTCATAAGATGTTATCTTGAAAACCGTAAGTTTTCGAAATTATTCCTTTTTGGGTTCTGTGGTCAAAGGGGCCGTTACGTTACGCAGTCTTTTACTGAAATTGAATGCTTTCAGGTGAAATACCTCCTTTGACAAATCTCACCTTAAATCCATGTGTGCCAAGTCCTTGTGGACTGTATTCGGAGTGTCGTCAAATTGGACAGCAAGCTGTTTGTTCTTGTCAACGTGATTACATAGGATCGCCTCCGAATTGTCGTCCGGAATGTTCTGTCAATACGGATTGCCCTTCAAATCAAGCCTGCATTTCTGAAAAATGCAGAGATCCTTGTAACGGATCTTGTGGACAGAATACTGACTGTCGTGTACAAAATCACATTCCCACGTGCCTTTGCCAAACCGACTACACTGGAGATCCCTTCAATCTCTGTACGCCCATCATAAATGGTAAGTCCTTTACACTAATATGGTGATAACAATCTTGATAACAATCATCAAATTGTTACCGAAAATTTTATTAAACATATAATACTATATATATATGTTTAATATTATTTACAATATGTTTCAAGTAAGTAGTGAGTAGGGAATGTAAAATCTTTTGTTTATTTTTGCAGAACCACCACCACCTCTAAATCCATGTAGTCCATCGCCTTGTGGAGCAAATGCTGATTGTAATAACGGAATTTGCACCTGTTTGCCTAATTACTTTGGCGATCCATACACGAACTGCAGACCAGAGTGCACACTTAATTCCGATTGTCCTCGAACAAAATCGTGTATTAATCAGAGATGTGTGGACCCATGCGTAAACACTTGTGGATCTGGTGCTGAATGCGATGTTGTCAATCACATTCCCACGTGCAGTTGTTCTTCAGGAACAACGGGAAATCCATTCACTGGTTGTAGGAAAATTGCTCCACCAGGTAAACATTTTTCTTTACAATCGAAATTTTTATTAAATAGTTACATTGGCATGGACTGGAGGATTCAAATAAAAATGTTTAATCTATTTTCAGACTTTGCACTCGATAATTAATTTTGAAAAAGTAGCAAAAAGTAACTTTCTTGTAATGAATATTGTTATTTAAAAACATAATTGAAATTTTTTTGAAGAATTATTTATGTAAATAATTGAATTCCTGGGAAGAATTTTATTAAAATCTTAAAGAATAATTGAATTATTTCAAAAAATTTTATATGAAAACATTGTTTTAAATAACTGATTTTTTCAAGGAATTAAAATTAAATTTTTAAGGATAATTACATTTTCTGAGCAATTCCTGAAAAATTTTATTATAAATAATTAAAAATCCTGTAATGAATTTTATTATTCTATGAAAATAATTGAATAGTAGCTAAGAATTTCATTAAAATTTTCAAAAATAATTGAATTTCTGTGACGAATTTTATTAGTTTTGATAATAATTGAATTTTTGCGAACGCTTTTATTAGAATTTTTTAAAATAATTGAATTTCAAGGAAAAAATTTATTACTTTTAAAAATAATTGAATTCTTGTGATGAATATTGTTACTTATGAAAAAAATTGAATTTTGCAAATAATTTTATTAAACTATTATTTATGTACCTAAATAATTGAATTCTTGGGAAGAATTCTATTAAAATCTAAAAGAATAATTAAATTATTTCAAAAAATTTAATTAAAACTGTATTTTAAATAATTGATTTCATTCGAACAATTTTATTAAAATATATTTGAAAATAATTGAATTCATGAGAAAAATTTAAATTTTTTTGTAAATAATTAAATTCTACCAAAGAATTTTAAAAAAATATTGTTTTCAAATAATTGATTTTTTTGAGGAATTGAAATCAAATTTTTAAGAGAAATTAATTTTTTGAGCAATTATTGAAAAATTGTGTTAAAAATAATTGAAATCCTCCCATGAATTTTATTATTTCTCAAAATAATTGAATAGTTGCTAAGAATTTCAATAAAAATTTCAAAAATAATTGCATTTAAATATTTAGTAAATTCTTCCACAATTATTTAATAATCGAAAAATTAATTTATTAAATAATTGCATTTCTTAGAAGATTTTTATTATTTTTGAAAATAATTGAATTATTTCGATTAATTGATTTAAAACGGTATTAAAAATAATTGAAATTCTTTGATGAGTTTTATAATTTATGATAATTGAATTCTTGCTTAGAATTATATCAAAATTTTTTTTAAAAAATTGAATTTTCATGAAAAATGTTATTATTAGTGAAAGTATAAATTATTGTGAACAATTGTATAAAAATTTTATTAAATAATTTTTTTTTGAAATTTTTATAAAAATGCTATTCTAAATTAATTGAATTCGATTATGTACGAAAATAATTGAATTTTGGATGAATTTTATCAATTTTTTTAAAATTAATTGAATTCTTTTGCGAAATTTGATGAAAATACTAGATATTGAAAATAATTGAATTTCGAGTATTTTTTGAAAATAATTTAATCGTTTTAAAGAATATGATTATAATTTTTGAGATCATACAATGCAACTAATTTTCAAAACTATTATAAATTATTAATTGTCCATATTTCGAATTGCTTTTTCTAGAATTTATGAATCCATGTACGCCATCACCTTGTGGTCCGAACAGCAATTGCATTGTAGTTAGCGAACATCCGGTTTGTTCTTGCCTAGCCAACTTTATCGGTAGTCCACCAAATTGCAGACCCGAGTGTGTTTCCAGCGCTGTTTGTCCACTAACGCAAGCTTGCCTAGCGAACAAATGTCAAGATCCTTGCCCTGGCACTTGTGGTCAAAATTCAAAATGCATGACTGTTCAACACAATCCGATTTGTTCGTGTACTAATGGCTTCACTGGCGATCCATTCATCAGATGTTATCCGGATGAGAGTAAGTAAACTTTTTTGTATTATATTCCTTCTCCTTTTTTTTATTTTTTTAATTGATTTATAGTATAAAAAAATTTAGTGATTTCATCCAGTAATTAAAATTGTATTATTTTCAAAAAGAAAAGAACTCTTCAAATTTAAACATGTCCTGATTTATATTCTTAAAAAAATTTTGATGATTTTGGAAAAACAATTGATTTCGGTACCGATGTTGGTGCGGAAACGTTGTGCCAGTCACGTTTCTAAAATAAATCTGTTTTGATTATTGAGCACAATGAATTATATTAATTATCCAGTGTAATTCTGATTTCTAATTTTCTTTTTGAAAATAATACAATTTATAATGTATTTTTGTCTTTTTGAAATATTTATTTCTACGAAGAAAATTGCTTCTGTTTAGAAATTTCTGTGCCAAGTGAACCATGCAAACCATCGCCTTGCGGACCGAATGCCGAGTGCCATGTTCGTGGAGAAAGACCAGCATGTTCCTGTTTGCCGAATTACATCGGACTTCCACCAAACTGCCGACCCGAGTGCACAATTAATCCAGAGTGTCCATCGAATCTTGCCTGCATTCAGTTAAAGTGTAGTGATCCGTGTGTGGGACGTTGCGGCTCCAACTCTCAATGTTACGTCGTCAATCACAATGCAGTCTGCACGTGCAATGAAGGTTTCAGCGGCGATCCTTATAACAGCTGCCAACCTTCCATCAAGGGTAAGTGCTTGTTATTTCTAGAAATTTTGCATGATTTTAATTCTTTTCATTGCATGCCATTCAGGTAAGTTCTGTTCTGACTTGAGAACTTTAATCAAAATGAATTGTTAATCACATTTTTCTACTACGAATTGATTACTATGTCATTCTTTAAAGAAAACTTGAAAATATACTCCGAGATTCATTCGAAGTTTGATCCGGCATCAGATTTTCAAAATTTAAAATGGCGGATACAAGATGGCTGACGACAAAATTAAAAATTGATCGGATTGACTTGAAACAAAATTAATTGAATAGATGAACTTCAAAAGGTTTTAATATAAAATTTTGTAAAATTTAAATTTTTCAATGAATTAATTAAATAATAAAAATTTCACAGCAATTGTATTATTTACAATTTTTTTTTAAATTTCTTCTCAATAATTCAATTATTTTTATAAATAATGAAATCTTTACAGAGAATCAATTAAATGTATTTTCATAAATAATAAAATTCATTAATTAGGAATTCAATTATTTTCATAAATAATAAAATTCTTTGTATAGGTTTTCAATTATTTTCATAAATAATAAAACTCATCGCAGAATTTCAATTATTTTTAATACAATTTTAATGGGATTTCTCGAAAAATGTAATTGTTCTTAAAAATTTGATTCAAATTCATCAAAAAAATGCAATTATTGTAAAAAGCCTTTCTATAAATTAATTATTAGAATTTAAGTATTATTGTCAATACATTTTTAATTAAATTATTTTTAAAAAATTAATTTCAATAATTTATCAAAATTCAATTATTTTCAATATCTACAATTGGAATAAAATTTTACAAATGAATTCAATTATTTTAAAAGAAATCTTATTAAAATTCGTCTCAAAAATTCAATTATTTTCAAAAAAAATAAAATTCTTCGTAGAAATTCAATTGATTGCAAAAAAATTTTTTAAAATTCTTATCAAAATTTCAATTATCTTTATAAATAATAAAATTAATCCTGGAAATTTAATTATTTTCAAAAGTTCTGATAAAAATCTCTGCGAAATTCAATTATCTTTAAAAGTAAGAAAATTCTTCGCAGAAATTCAATAATTTTCAAAATTTTTTTTAAAATTCTCGTCAAAATTTTAACTATTTTTATAAATATCAATATTCTTCTGCAAAATCCAATTACTTTTAAAATTTTTTTTTAAAATCTGTTTATAATTTCAATTATCTTTATAAATATTAAATTATTTCTCCAAAATTCAATTATTTTCAAAAATTTTAATAAAATTCTTGGCAAAATTTCAATTATTTTCAAAAACTTTTCTTAATTCAATTAAATTTTTTTATAGACATTCCATTATTTTTAGCAGACGTACAATTTTAATCTAATTTCTCGAAAAATGAAATTATTTTCTAAAATTTTATTAAAATTCGACAAAAGAATTTTAATTAGTACCTTTTTAAAAATTTGTTGATAAAATTCTTTATTAGAGCTCAATTTTAAAAAATATTCAATTCTTCAACAAATTATTTATTTTTGTATTTAAATAATTGAATTCTTCTAGAATTTTCTAAAAAAATTGATTTAATTGTGTTTGCTTTACTATTCTTTTATTTTGAAAATTTTGAAAGCAATCGAATTTTATGATCGAAGAATTTATAAAAATTTTAGGCAAAAATTGAATTTTTTTGAAGAATTTTATAGAAATATTTGAAAATAATTAAATTCTTTCGAGATATTCAATTAAAGTTGATTCGAAAATAATTGAATTTCTGCAAAGAATTTTATTAAAATTAAGCATATATTCAAAACAATTGTATTCATCAGAAGAATTTTATTATTTTTTGAAAATAATTGAATTTTTTTCAATTTTTGTGATTATATTTAAAAATTTTCATTGAAAGTAATTTAATTATCGTACAGAATTTTTTTAAAAATATTTTGAGAATAATTGAATTATTTTTTGAGAATTTTATATTTTAAATTCTTGTTATGAAATTGAATTTTATGGAAATGTTTGAAAATAATTAGATTCTTTCGTTTAATTTTATTTAAATTGAATTAAAAATAATTTAATTCCTGCAAAGAATTTTAGTATTTAAATTTAAAATAGTTGAATTGGTTCGAAGAATTTATTAAAATTTTAGGAAATAATTGAATTTTATGGAAATATTTGAGAATATTTGAATTCTGACAAGGAATTTAATTAAAATTGTTTTGAAAATAATTGAAATCCTGCAAAGAATTTCACTAAGTATTTTTATTTATAAAAATGATAGAATTCTTGCGAATAATTTTACGATTTATAAAAATAATTGAATTGTTTCGAAGAATGTTATTATTTATATAAAAATAATTGAATTCTTCCGAAGAATGTTATTATTTATATAAAAATAATTGAATTCTTCCAAAGAATTATATTAAAATGTTTGAAAATATAAACTCAATAATAATTAATTTTGTACTTAAGAAGTAAATTTAAAAAATTTTGATTTTGAAATTATTTTAAAATTTATATTTGAAAATAAAGAATTTTGTAATTTGCATAACAGTAGGAATAAACTGAAGATCGAGTATCATTTGTTATTTAGAAAATAATTCTCCAAGTAAAGAAATTTCAAGCCAATCCAATTACTTTTTATTTTTTTTTCTCCGCCATATTGGATCCGCCATATTGGATTTTTTAAATTTGTCATCGGTTTCGTAGTCAGTTGCCCCGAAAATACTGGTGGCAGTACTTTTTTTGCCTCTGTAGAGGTCACTTACGGATTAGAAGCAATTATTATATTGAAAAATGGAGCGAATTAAAAAAAGATTTTAGATTTCTATCACTTTTCGTGAAAATTCAAGAGATATACTAAATGACAGGTGATCAATTCGGAAAGGAAAATTTTACAGTGAAAACAACATCAAGAGTCAACGCAACAATTTATGTCCTTGCTTTTGTTTATTTTAAAACTGCGAATTGATTAGTATGTAAGAAGAGATGACTTTATTTCTGCATAAGATATTTTCTGCTTGTGACCAAAATGCGAAGAATGAAGGTCAACTTGTAATTTCCTATGATTGAAATACTGTCCCCTTTCTAGCAGAAATCTACCCTCCTGAGATGTTGACCCCCTGTTCACCATCCCCCTGTGGTCCCAATACCGTTTGCAAAGATCAAAATGGAGTAGGTTCCTGTTCGTGTGTACCTGATTATATTGGAGACCCGTACGAAGGATGTCGCCCCGAATGTACAGTCGATTCAAACTGTATGTCAAACCTCGCCTGTATGCGATCAAAATGCCAAAATCCCTGTCCCGGAACGTGCGGTCAAGATGCCCAATGCCAGGTTGTTAATCACTTGCCCAGGTGTTCATGTATCCCTGGATTTACAGGAGACCCATACCGTAATTGCATTGCCCCGCCACCAACTCGTAAGTCATCAAAAGATTAATAAAGCTCGCGCACTATTAATATATTGACTGAGCCAACCACGCATAACAAACATTTCCCACCAGCATTATGAAATAAGTAGAACTTGAGCACATTAACAAATTACTACTATACCCGCTCCTGCTTTGAATATGGAAGTCTGGTGCAAAATTCCTATTTTGAAAAACAATAACATCGTCACATTTGCATACAGCTTCGATTCCTCCTGATGGAGGATTAATTATTAAATTTACTATAACAAACCAATTGACAAAATCATCGTTCACATTAATTTTTATTAACTCCTTAGAAAGATATCATGTAACTAAAGGAGTGCAAAAATTTCGAAAAGTTGAATCAAACTCAAAACTTTTTTTATGTATAGAATAATTGTTATTATCGATTTTTGGAAGATAGGTGAATAGAACACGTTTACTTATATAACGACGATGTTTTGGAGGTACGGTTCGTTACCATCATCAGGACGCTTTATTAAAACCTAAATCAATTCAAAAACATACGGAAATGTGACTTTTTTCGACTTTTTTGTAAAAAAATGCGACTAATCGACTTTTTCGAGATGTTTTTCTTAGTAAAATGCGACTAATTGACTTTTTTCACATCTTTCAATTACTTTTCGACTAAAATTTTAAATAGCAGAAATTTTTTTTGTAAACAATATTGTTCACAAAATCATTCTTCTTTTTGCAAAGCTTTGGAGAAAAAAACATAACATATTCCTGTTTCTTAATATTTTTGAAGGAAATTCTCAATTTTCATAAGGAAATAATTTACATTTATTTACAAATTTCTTTCAAATTTTTCGAAAACATCAATAACTTCTATTTTAAATAAATATTTAATTATTATTTTTCCATAGGAATTAAAATTTTTCAAAAGATTCAAATTCAAGCCTATTTGAAATTAAACAACTTATAAAAAATTGTTATAAAACATGAAGAAATCGATCACTCCGAGTCTTCGACTCGGAGCAATCGATGTCTTCATGTTTTATTACAATTAAAGATGACCGAGTGATAAAATCATTATTTTATTCAATAAGATTTAATAAAAAAAAATTTTTTTTGATTTAATTTAATTTAATTTTAATTTTTATTTTTAATTCATTTCTTATGAAAATAATTGAAATATTGCAAAGAAATTTATAAAAAATTAGTAAGTAATTGAATTCCTGTGAAATTTTCATTATTTTATAAAAATAATTAAATGCTTGCGTACAATCTTATTGAAATTTTTGCAAATAATTGAATTTCAGAGAAGAATTTTATTATTTATAAAGGTAATTAAAATTTTAAACAGTTTTTTAAAAAAAATTTTAAAGTAAATTGAATAATTAAATTTCCAGGATGAACTTTATTATTTATAAAGATAATTGAAATTTTGACACGAATTTTATTGAAATTTTTGCAAACAATTGAATTTCAGAGAAGAATTTCATTAATTATAAAGATAATTGAAATTTTGAACAGATTTTAAAAACAAATTTTAAAAGTAATTGAATTTTGCAGAAGAATATTAATATTTTTATAAAAATAATTGAAATTTTGAGGAGAATTAAAAAAATTTTTTGAAAATAATTGAATTTCTGCGAAGAATTTTCTTGCTTTTAAAGATAATTGAATTTTGCAAAGAATTTTATCAGAACTTTTGAAAATAATTAAATTTTCAGGAGGAATTTTATTATTTATAAAGATAATTGAAATTTTGATAAGAATTTTATTAAAATTTTCGCAAATAATTGAATTTTAGAGAAGAATTTTATTATTTATAAAGATTTTGACGAGAATTTAAAAATAATTTTTGAAAATAATTGAATTTCAAAGAAGAATTTTATTATTTATAAAGATAATTGAAATTATAAACAGATTTTTAAAAGAAATTTCAAAGTAATTGAATTTTGCAGAAGAATATTGATATTTTTAAAGATAATTGAAATTTTGACGAGAATTTAAAAAAATTTTGTTTAAGATAATTGAATTTTGCAGTAAATTTTATCAAATGTTTTGAAAATAATTAAATTTCCTGGATGAATTTTATTATTTATAATGATAATTGAAATTTTGAACCGTTTTTTAAAAAAATTTTATTAATAAGTAATTGAATTTTGCAGAAGAATATTGATTTTTTTAAAGATAATTGAAATTTTGACGAGAATTTAAAAAGAATTTTTAAAAATAATTGAATTTCTGCGAAGAATTTTCTTACATTTGAAAATAATTTCGAATTTTTGCAAAGAATTTTATCAGAACTTTTTAAAATAATTAAATTTCCAGGATGAATTTTATTATTTATGAAAATAATTAAAATTTTGACGAGAAATTTAAAGCAATTTTTGAAAATATTTGAAGTTCTGAAAAGAATTTTATTACTTTTGAAAATAATTGAATTTCTAGGATGACTTTTATATTATTTATAAAGATAATTGAAATTTTGAAAAGAATTTTATTAAAATTTTTTCGAATAACTGAATTTTGGTGAAGAATTTTATTATTTATAAAAATAATTGACATTTTTGAAGAGAATTTTTTAAAAAATGTTAAAAATACCTAATTAAAATTTTGCTAAGAATTTCATTAAAATTGTATTCCGGATTGTTTGAAATTAAAGTATGTGTTGTCGAGAAATGTGATTTTTTCACAATTTTGACAATTTCGTGTTTCTTTTTTGTCGTTTTTCTAAAATTTCATGCGACTTTTTCACGACTTTTTTGGAGATTTTTTGCGACTTTTCGTGACTTTTGTTGTGAATTTTCGCGACTAAAGTGACTTTTTTTGAGTCTTAAAGACGATCCGAGCCCTGTGTTATGAAAATTGTCACCGCTGTACTCAGTTTGACTATAATAACTTACAATAGTCATGATTTTCAATTTTACTTTTTTACAATTTTACTTCGATTTTATTTATTTAATTTTTTATTCCTTTGACGACATGTTAGTATAACCACTTTTAATCAGGTAGATATTGTTTAAAATTTATTTTTATAATTTTATTATTAAGAAATTTTCTATTAATTACAGTTTACTGCTTATGTTTTTGAATTGTAAAGATTTTAATAAAGTGTCCTGATGATAGTGACAAACCGTACCTCCAAAAGCGTTGTCGTTATATAAGGAAAGGTGTTTTATTCACCTATCTTTCAAAAATCGATATTAACAATTATTATTCTAACTAACGTGACGAATTGACGATTCCCGATGACAAGGACCTTACGCGTAAAAAATTATAAGTTATATTTATAAATGATTTTACTAAATAAAAGATTCCTTTTTAAGTACCTAAAGTGAAAAACAATATTTATTAATTATTTCAGTATAAAAAATAGTTAATAAAAATTGTTTTTCCCTTTAGAAATTTAAAACTCAATCTTAGATGAAGTAAAAACTTTCCTAAACACAACATATAATTCTTTGTCGCGTAAGATCCGTTTCATCAAAAGGAGTCATATAATATGCATTTAAGAATTTAGAAATATTGAGCTTTTTAAGAAACTCTTTTCGATTCCAACTTGACTTTTAAACTTGAACTGATCTATCATTAATCATGTGAAAGTTAAAACACTAGAAGTTAGAAATAAACTTCTCAAATTTCGAGTTTTTTGTACAACTCCAGAATTAACCCTTTAATTTTGCATACAATTTTAACAATTGTGTGTTCATCATTATTTCATTTTTATTCATCGAGCAAAATAATTATTTCGCCAATTATTCAACTCTTAATTTAATAATAAATTAGCATTTTTATTTTCAATAATAGTTAAATAGAAAATATTTTAAGTTTTATTTTAAAAATTTTAAGTTAAATCATTTTCAATATATATTTTTATGACTTAAGATATAATTAAATGTTCTAGTCAGATTACAGTAAATTAAACGTATTTGTTAAAGTATCAAAGTTATAAAATTCTAGTCTAGTTCAGCTTTATTTTATACATAATATCTTCATTTAATTATATTTATTTATTTAATAACAGAATTTTTAATTAAAATTTTTTTGGTAATTACTATATTTATTTGATTATTTTAGTCGTATTTGTCTAAGTACCAAAAATTATATAGATTTCAAGTTCAGTTAGGTTAGCTTTATTTTACTTAACATTTACATTTAAATACAATTATTTATTTTTGACGAAACTAAAATTTTTATTAGTACCTGAACCAATCATATCTATATTCTCGTCAAAATCAATTAAATTCTATCATCTATTTATTACAGAATTTCTCACATAAATAATAATTATTTTTCAAATATATTTGTTTTGAAATAGTCGTTATATAGTTGAAATATTTATTTGTTAGAATTCAGTACATTTTTTCGTATATAATATGCATCAGTTTCATTTAATTTAATTTTATTAACACAAATTTTAATACGTTAATACATGCTTAAAAATCAAATTAGGAAATTAGTCAAATTTTTGTTCGCATTAATTAATGGCTTTTGATAAGTAGCATCAACATTTATGCTTTTGGTTTAACTTGAATACTAATGTTTATTTGTTACTTTTACATTTTTACATGTTTTAAAGTTTACTTGAAATTGTTTTACATTTTTTTTTAATGATATGACAATTTATCGTTGTTAATTAATCGAATTAATTTCATTTGTCATATTTTATCATCATAAAATATTTTACATTCTGACACAATGTTTATTCAAGCTTTTAATGTTGCAATCACGTAATAATTTTAAGGGCCAGTTCCACAATTGTTTTGACCAGAGTTCAAGTCGTTGAACTCGATCTAATTACATTACTAAACCAAGTTCATCGACTTAAACTTCGGTTAAAAAAAGTTGTGGAACCGTCCCTTAAAGTGTTATTTTAACTGGCGTTAAAATCACATTTAACGACCTTCAGCCAAAGGAATGCAGACCTTCAAAAATTTAATTAATAGCATTAAAGAAATTCAAATTTTATTATTAATAGTATTTTTTAGAAAAATTTTCTAAAAATATCATTTTTTAATAAGTGAATTTTAAACCAACAAAATTTATTTTTTGGTTTTAATTTTTGTTCTTGAAAATTGATATTTGTGTTCTTCTAGAAAATACTACTACTCAGTGAACACGAAAAAACTGTTCCATAACTGTTGCAGATTTGTTCCATATCTTTGTCATCCTAAAGTTGTAGCATCCTCTGTTTGGATGCTACAACTTTAGGATGACAAAAATATGGAACAAATCTGTAACCATTATGGAACAGTTTTTTGGTGTTCACTGGGTAGGTACTAATAATATTTTAATTATTTAAATGTTAATTATTTTGCAGAAGTTAGCATTCTCTTGGATGAACCATAAAACGCAGATTTTAAAAAAATACTTAATTAATTTACTTCATAAAAGCAACTAGCATTTAATACATTAATTGCAGCTATTGAAAACGATGATCCTTGTGAACCTACACCATGCGGACCAAATAGTCAATGCCGAGTTGTTAATAAACAGGCAGTATGCAGCTGCCTTCCTACCTATTTAGGAAGCCCACCTGGATGTCGTCCCGAATGTGTTATCAGCTCTGAATGCGCCACAAACAGAGCTTGTATTAATCAAAAATGTGCAGACCCATGTATTGGTCTTTGCGGTTTAAACACAGTTTGCCGAGTTGTAAACCATAGTCCTATTTGTGCCTGTAATCCAGATAACACAGGAGACCCCTTCACCAGATGTTTCCCTATACCAAGTAAGATTATTCTTTTAAATTGCGAGCCTACCAAATATTCACTTCATAATGTTGTACAATATCAACGTTGTCAGTCTAAAGCGAAAAAAGTACTTCTTACCTAGCACACTAAATGATTAAGCAAAAATAGTACCACGAGAAATAAAAAATCACTTTGCTATCACTATGCCATCATTCATCATCATCATTGACCATGTCATCATGCTTGAGAAATTCCGGTAGCAAAAAAGTGCTTACTGTGAATTTCATTTATTAAGTTATGTTTTAGTAATAAGTTGTAAATTTTACAGAGCCCGTGATAGACCCAACACAAACATTAAACCCATGCCTACCTTCTCCATGTGGATTAAACGCCGCATGTCAAAATAATGGAGGTATTCCTTCCTGTTCTTGTTTGCCCGACTACATTGGAAGCCCACCTAACTGCAGATCAGAGTGCACCATAAACTCTGATTGCCCAAGTGACAGAGCTTGTATTTTGCAAAAATGCAGAGACCCGTGTTTAGGTTCCTGTGGCGTTGGTGCCATTTGTAATATTAATAACCACATCCCGGCCTGTACATGTCCTGAAGGTAACACTGGAAATCCATTTAGCGACTGCCAACCTCTACCAACAGAGCCACGTAAGATTTGTCACAAAATATTGCACATTAATTTAGCCCTTAATTGACACCAATTATTTTAAGCCCCCAAGTTACAATGACAAATATTTTACCGATAAAATCTTTACCATTGATGCCCTAGTAAAAAAAGTCTATTGAATGTCTGCAAACCTTTTACGGATCTTCAATGGATTTTCGCCTCTCTAGCAAGTCCGCAGAAAATAACAGTTTTATATATTTTTTGAACCACCAGACTTTCTGCAGACAAGAATCCGCTGAAGGTCCACGAAAAGTTTGCAGACACTCTGTGAACTTTTTTACTTTGGGTATTCACAAAATTAATTTTAACAAAAACTATAAAGATTACACAATTGAACCCCTTGATGCAAGAACCAGATTTAATTTCAATGGTCTATGTCTGGTTATTGCATCAAGGGGTTGAATTATATAGATGAATATTGATCACAATGATAAATGACGAATGAATATTTCCAGTAGTCAATGAAATCACAACAGATCGTTGTAACCCATCCCCTTGCGGACCAAATTCCCAATGTGATAACGGAATTTGTACATGTTTACCCGACTATCAAGGAGACCCATACAGCATGTGCCGCCCAGAATGTATTCTAAATACAGATTGTGCTTCAAATCAAGCATGTATTCGAAACAAGTGTACCAATCCATGTCCTGGAATGTGCGCCCAAAATGCCCAATGTACGGTTTATAATCATATAGCAATATGCAACTGCCCAACGGGAATGACAGGAAATGCATTTGTCATGTGTTCAATATTGAGAGGTGTGTAACTAAAAAAGATATTTTGATAACTTTTTATTTTTCACTTATTAATGGAAATTAAATTATTTTTTCTCCATAATAAGGGATCACCCATAAACTACGTAGTACTTCAAAGTGGGGTCGAGCCATTTTCTAACCAGGAAAAAAACCGGAGCTTATAGGGGGTAAAAGTTTCCAAACATTGAGGCTACGTAGTTTATGGACGTTTCCTAAGTAATAAATGAAAATTCCATGATGGAAGATGGGATTGAAAATAGTTAAGATAACTCTGACTAATATGAAATTTTTTAGAACCTATTTCAACAAATCCATGTAATCCAACACCGTGTGGACCAAACAGTCAATGTAAAGTCGTAAATGAGCAACCAGTTTGCTCGTGCGTGCCAACTTTCCAAGGAATTCCACCTACATGTAGACCTGAATGTACCATTAGTTCTGATTGTACCCGCGATCTCGCTTGCAGCAATCAAAGATGTATAAATCCTTGTTCCGGATCTTGCGGAATTAGAACTCAGTGTCAAGTGATCTCCCACAATCCAATTTGTAGTTGCCTACCAGGAAACACCGGCGATCCGTTTGTCCAATGTTACCCTATGCGTAAGACTTTTGTTTTAGATTACGAAAATCTTCTTTTAACCTTAACATAATATCGGGTGCAACAAAATTCCTCAAAATCAATTTTCCAACATTAATAGAAAGCTATATTTGACTGAATTGACGCTTTTAAGTATTTTTATGGTTACACTTGATTGACTTGATAGACGCAAACTTAATTTCCATTTGACCGAATTTTTCAATTATAAAATATACATTTTGTTATTTTACATGAGTAAATTTACGCTTAATGACAGTGAACTGAATTTCAATTCAGACTAAAAGCAACATAATCAAGTTATTGAAATTAAGTTCGGTTAAACCAAACTTAATTTCAATAACTTGATTATGTTGCTTTTAGTCGAATGGGAATTCAGATTTAAATAATGTCCACACGCTTCTTTCTCTTTTCTTTACTTATTCTACATATTATTCTATAGCTGATAATCCACCTGAAGATAATGGAGATCCATGTTCTCCATCACCTTGCGGTCAAAACTCACAATGCAGAGTTGCAAATAATGCGCCATCGTGCTCCTGCCTACCAGAATTTTTAGGCACACCTCCAAATTGCAGACCTGAGTGTATTAGTAATAGTGAATGTCCCAATCAGCAAGCTTGCGTTAACAGAAAATGCATTAACCCTTGTACTCAGTCTTGCGGTGCAAATACAGAGTGTCGTGTTGTGAGTCATACACCAATGTGCATCTGCAGTCCTGGATTTACTGGTGATCCATTTACACAGTGTATTCTTGAACAACGTAAGACAATTTTTTATCAATAGAGTTTCTTTTTCAAATTCGATAATTTGGGTTGTTCTCTTGTCCCTACAAATAGTTTATTTGTTTGGATATTGGAGATCAACTTGAAGCTAATTGAAGTTCTTTAAATTCTTAGGATAAGAGTCAGTTTTAATTATTATTCAAAAAAGTAGCAATGACCTAATAAGAAACATCAAATTAGTTGATGCTAATACTTTTTACAAAATTAGCTCCCTCATCCCGAGTAAAAATGGAAGTATGAGTAAAAGATAGCAAACTATAGGCAACTATGAGTAAAGGATGACGAAATATGTAATCAAGTTTGACAAAATGTGGCAAAGTATTGCTAATGACCGAATCCCATGGTTGAAGAATGACAACTCGCTCTCTTCGTGCCGCGACAAAGTGAACCTCTTATACCTCGCTGCACAATTCCAACTCCTCAGTTCGTGGTCTGACATGCTCGAAGTGCTTCTCGGGAAGGAAGACTACGAACTCACTTCTTATCCTCATTTTACTTCAACATTGAGACTTCTTTATAGGTGCTACTATGTAAAGACCTCTGAGACCTCTGTTTAGATGCTACTATGAGTGGTCATGGAGGCAGGTAATCCAGCATCCTATCTCTGCACCCAAAGTGCATAAAGGTGATACTTTTACATCTGAGGCTAAGAGACGGAGATGAATTCCTATCTCAGGGTGCTACCTGGTTAAGAAATCGCCGTCGAGTTTCTAATTCACAAATCTTTCGCGTCGGGCAAGAATATCGGCAGCGTTCTAATATTAGAATTTTGATTCTCCCTTAACGAAGATCAGATTCAACTCCTCAGAGTGCACTTTTTGGTCGCGTCAGTCACGATAGATTATGAAACAAATTATAGACTAGTCTCGTAAATTATAAACCCTACAGAATGCAATAGATTCAGGCGGAAAGGAAAACGTATGTAATCTGATTATCGAATGTTTCCTTACTCGCGCTCTCAGTCGTTTTTATTGTTAATAATTATTTCATTAGTAAATGTTAATTTACTCGCGTTTCGAAATTATATTGTTAATATTATTTCTCGATTATATTCTCGATCATTATTATTGTACTATCGTCGTACGTTATTTATTATTATTATTTTCTACAATATTATTGTTGATTCTAATTTCTAATTCACGCCATTAATTACGGACAATTAATTATTTAATTAACCACGGGATTCGTCCATTAGAAATACTTTACAACATTTTGTCAAACGTGGTGCCATATTCCGCCATCCTTTATCCATTATTTCATTTTCACGCGGGATAATACAGAATATCTCAATGCGGAAAAAATGTTCACCTAAAACAGCAATGGACTTCATGAAAGTATCGACAACTAAACTTTTGCTACTCCAGTGAAATATTCTGCTATTCTAGGTGATCTGGTATTCTAGTAATTCTGGTCTTATGAAATACCGAAGTCACGTAGATCAGGTGATAATTAGAAAGGAACTTTTTCCAAAGATTTATAGAAATTCGATTAGACCAAAAACCAATACGTAATTTTTAAACAACACCCTCGCACCATCTGGATATTCAGGATATTATACGAACGTCTTAGGTATAACCATCGGTAGGTGGAATTTATGGTAATAGACGTCCTACCGACACCTTAGGAATATCCTAATTTCCGGATACGCCTACGACGTCCAAAGATTATCCTTAAATATCCGATGCTGTTGGGTCTGTGAAATAAGACTAGTGAAATTAAAAAAAATATATTTTAACAGCTGTCGTCGTTGACAATCGAACGCCATGTACACCATCCCCATGCGGATCAAATTCCCAGTGTAGAGAACAAAATGGTGCTGGAGCATGTATATGTTTACCGGAGTATATAGGAAATCCCTATGAAGGATGTCGACCTGAATGTACAATTAATTCTGATTGTCCACAAAATTTAGCTTGTGTAAGATCTAAATGTCAGGATCCTTGTCCCGGCACATGTGGACCAAATGCTGAATGCCAAGTAATAAGTCACAATCCCTCGTGCAATTGCATTTCTGGTTTTACTGGAGATCCGTTCCGAATTTGCAGTCCATATAAACAACCTGGTAATTATTCATTAAGAAAACTGAATACAAGATTTCTTATCAAATTTTAGAATATAATTGAAAGGTATTTATTCTCTAATTGATTTTAAAATTTATAAATCTTCTAAAATTTTATCATTCGTAACTCCATAAATGTAATATTATGAATCTTCATCTTTTAGTCGTGGCAGACAAAGTAGATCCATGTTCTCGTTCCCCTTGTGGTCCGTACAGTCAATGTCGGAATGTAAACGAACAAAGTGTTTGTTCATGTCTGCCTGGTTTTTCTGGCAGCCCACCTGGATGTCGACCTGAGTGTGTTGTAAGCTCTGAATGTTCACTAGACAAAGCATGTGTAAACCAAAAATGTATAAACCCGTGTCCAGCCTCCTGTGGTCAATCAGCGAACTGTAGAGTTATTAACCACAGTCCCTTGTGCACTTGTAGAAACGGATATACTGGAGATCCTCTCACAATATGCTTTATTTTGCCAAGTAAGATGGCTTCTTTTTCACTTACAAAAATATGATAAACTTTCTATTAAATTTCTTCAAATTTCTTTTTGGATTTAATCGATTTGTCACATATTTCAATTAAGTTAGTTAAAATTCAGTTAAAAATATTGATTTACGAATTTGAAAACTAATTTTTCCATTAAATTGCCTTTCAGAACCGATAGTAGATTCGATTGATCAAAATCCATGTGTACCTACACCATGTGGACCATTTTCAGAATGTCGAAATGTTAATGATTTACCTGCTTGTACATGTTTGCCCTCATATATCGGATCACCGCCTAATTGTAGACCTGAGTGTTCTATCAATTCAGACTGCCCAAGTAATCAAGCTTGTATAAATCAGAAATGCACAGATCCATGTCCAGGTTTGTGTGGAGTATCAGCACAATGTACAGTTCTTAACCACATACCATCTTGTGTTTGCATTGAAGGATTTACTGGTGATCCTTTCGTGAATTGTCTTCCAAAACCTCCACCTTGTAAGATTATCCTTTTTAAAGAATTTTTTTTTATTTTTTTATTTAGAATTGTCAGAGTTATAATATTTATAATACCGTTTTAGCAATTGAACAACCGATATCAGATCCTTGTAATCCATCTCCTTGTGCAACAAACGCTGTATGCAACAACGGTATTTGTAGCTGTCAAACAGATTATACAGGAGATCCTTACACAAGTTGTCGACCAGAATGTGTCCTAAATACCGACTGTACACAGAATAGAGCATGTCTTCGGAATAAGTGTATTGATCCCTGTCTTGGAACATGTGGTCAAGATGCGCTTTGTAACGTTTTCAATCATGTTCCAATGTGCACTTGTCCACCTGGCATGGCAGGGAACGCTTTTCTAATGTGTTCTCCTCAAAGAGGTATGTTTATGACAACAAAAGTTTTGTTCAAATTGAGAAGAAATTAAAGTAATAATAACTATTGTAGATCCAGTACAAGCTGACCCTTGTAATCCATCACCTTGCGGACCAAATAGTCGATGTAGACAAATAAATAGCCAAGCGGTTTGTACTTGTGTTGCTGGTTTCATAGGAAGTCCGCCTTCCTGCAGACCAGAATGTGCCGTTAGTTCAGATTGTCCCAAAGACCGAGCTTGCAGCAACCAAAGATGCGTTAATCCATGCGAAGGATCTTGTGGCCTCCGAGCACAATGTCAAGTTGTCAATCATAATCCAATTTGTAGTTGTCCCGACGGACTTTCTGGTTCTCCGTTTTCTGTTTGTGAAGTGATCCGTAAGATATTAAGATTCATTTAATATATGAAAATAAAATTGAATATCTTGTTAATTATGTCTCCTCCCTTTTAGCTGTTAGACCAATTGTGAATCCATGCCAACCATCTCCTTGTGGAGCGAACTCCCAATGTAATGTTATCAATGATGCCCCATCCTGTGCCTGTATGTCAGGATTTTTAGGTTCGCCACCAAATTGCAGACCTGAATGTGTCAGTAATAGTGAGTGTCCTAGTCAAATGGCCTGTATTAATGAAAAATGTAGAGATCCTTGTCCGGAATCTTGCGGTACGAATGCGGAATGTAGAGTTGTAAGTCACTCTATCATGTGTTTGTGCTCTACGTCATTTACAGGAGATCCGTTTACACAATGCACTCCCGAGCAACGTAAGTTAACCATTTGCTTTTCGCTTCACTCAGGAAAATGAATTTTTACACAGAATTTTATATTTGTAATTTGAATCCTACTTCTAGAAATGATTGTTGAAAATGTATCCCCTTGCACACCATCTCCTTGTGGTGCTAATGCCATTTGTAAAGAGCAAGGAAATGTCGGATCTTGTTCCTGTCTACAAAACTATTTAGGGAATCCTTATGAAGGATGTCGACCAGAATGTACTATAAGTTCCGATTGTCCTTCAAATTTGGCTTGCATACGATCAAAATGTCAAAATCCGTGTCCTGGAACCTGTTCTCAAAATGCTGACTGTTACGTTGCCAATCATCTACCTCAGTGTGTTTGTCTCACCGGATTTTCTGGCGATCCATATCGTTTATGTTCTCCTGTTCAAAATTCTGGTAATCAGATATATAAAGTATTATCAAGTCATAGTAATTATCTAAACTCATTAGTTCAGTTAACTACTTAATAATTTTGAAACAACTAATTCTATTGATAAAATTTTTGTCCTTTAATAGTAATAGCAGAAGATCAAACAGATCCTTGTACTCCAACACCTTGTGGCTCTAACAGTTTATGTCGAAATAACAACGGACAAGCAGTTTGTAGTTGCCAACCACAATATTCCGGTAGTCCACCTTTTTGCCGTCCTGAGTGTACAATTAGTTCAGAATGTCCCATGAATACGGCATGTATAAATCAAAAATGTCAAGATCCATGCTCCAATACTTGTGGAAGAAGTGCCGTTTGTACAGTAAGAAACCACAGTCCAATTTGTAGTTGTCAAAATGAATTCACTGGGGATCCATTTATTAGATGTTTCCCTGTTCAAAGTAAGTTTAATAAAAAAATGTAAGTAATGTAAGATACATTCTTTTACATTGTAAATTTTTGTATAAATTGTGTAATAGAACCAGCCACACCATCTACTGCGCAAAATCCTTGCTTATCATCCCCCTGTGGACCATTTTCGGAATGCGTAGCAATAGGAGAGATAGCATCATGCGCTTGTCAGCAATCTTACATTGGAAGTCCTCCAAATTGTAGACCTGAGTGTTCTATAAACTCAGATTGTATAAGTAATCAAGCCTGCATACGAGAAAAATGTATAGATCCTTGTCCTGGTTCCTGTGGAATTTTAGCTCAATGTTCAGTAAATAATCATGTGCCCATTTGTACTTGCCCAGAAGGATACACGGGTGATCCATTTACCAACTGTGTATTGCAACCTGTCACACGTAAGATGTCAATAAATAATCCTTTTGTCACCTTAATTAACTTTATTAACTACAAAAATTATTAAACCATTATAGCTGTACAAGAAAATCCGGTGGATCCGTGTAGTCAATCACCTTGCGGATCTAATGCTATTTGCGATAACGGTTCTTGTGTTTGTCAAGAACATTATTTCGGAGATCCATTTTCTGGTTGTCGACCAGAATGTGTCCTAAATACCGACTGTCCGCAAAATAGAGCATGTCTTCGGAACCGATGCATTGATCCCTGTCCTGGCACCTGCAGCCAAAATGCCTTATGTAACGTTTATAACCATATTCCCATGTGTACTTGTCCCACAGGCATGTCAGGAAATGCTTTCATCTCCTGTTCACCAATTAGAGGTAAGCCCTTTTTGTTACCTGCGGTTCAATTTACAAATTACAGTAATAGATGATAGAATTTTTTACAAGAAAAAATTTTTGTGTAATAGTATAGAATGATAATATTTTAACAGATCCCGTAGTTAACGTACAACCCTGTAACCCTTCACCATGTGGTCCTAATAGTCAATGTCGAGAAATAAATGGCCATAGTGTCTGCTCCTGCCTTTCTGGATTTATCGGAACTCCGCCAACTTGTAGAGCAGAATGCATTGTCAGTACCGACTGTCCTCCAATAGAAGCTTGCATTAATCAGAAATGCAGCAATCCATGCGATCGAACATGTGGCATTTCTGCATTATGTCAAGTGGTCAGTCATAATCCTATTTGTAGTTGTCCTGAAAGAATGACTGGCAATCCATTCATCAGATGCATACCAATGCGTAAGGAATTTTCACAATATTTTCCTAACAATAATATTATGTTTTTAATTTATTCCTTTGAAATCACCTATTCTAAATTCAAGCACAAAATTAACTCCACTTTTGCATTTTTCCTTTTATTTTGTAACAAAAAGCCATGCTCGTGTTTCAAAAATAAATAAATACTTTAAGCATAAATAATATTTTAGCAATTGAGCAACCGATTCAAGACCCATGCCAACCATCACCATGTGGTCCAAACTCACAATGTCAAGTAATTAATAACCAACCCGTGTGTTCCTGTATGCCGGAATTCTCTGGCTCTCCACCATATTGTAAACCAGAATGCATTAGTAATGATGAGTGTTCAAACAAACTTGCCTGCATCAATCAATCATGTAAAGATCCTTGTGTTAATTCTTGTGGCGAGAATGCAGTTTGTAACGTTGTCACCCACATTCCAATTTGTAGCTGCGTTGCCGGCTTTACAGGAGATCCATTCACTCAGTGTAACACTCAACAACGTAAGCTTTTTATCCAAATTATTGTTATTCCATAATTTCGATTGCAATCTCAAGACAATAAGGATATTTTTAATTCTTTATAGAAATACCAATTAATTTACCACAACCGTGTATGCCATCACCATGTGGTGCTAATGCCATTTGCAGAGAGAGAAATGGTGCTGGTTCTTGTTCTTGTTTACCGGATTATATTGGAGATCCATATCAAGGTTGTCGTCCAGAATGTGTATTAAGTACAGATTGTATTCCAAGTAGAGCTTGCGTTAGATCCAAATGTCAAGACCCTTGTCCTGGTACTTGTGGACAAAATTCTGTTTGCCAGGTTATAAACCATTCTCCAATGTGCACTTGTCTTCCTGGATTCACAGGAAACCCGTTCCGTTATTGCATTGAAGAACGAGAGCCAGGTATATAGATATTTCAAATAAGAAAAAAAATATCATTTTTGGTGTAATAAATAAATAAATTTTTTTGACATTAGTAGTAGCAGTTAATCCCTGTCAGCCTTCACCATGTGGACCAAATAGTGTTTGTCGAGAAAATATGGAAAGTGCTGTGTGTTCGTGTCTGGCCAATTTCATTGGAACACCGCCTGGATGTAGACCAGAGTGTGTTGCAAATTCAGAATGTCCTCTTTCGCAAGCTTGTGTCAATCAAAAATGCGTCAACCCTTGCCCTGCCTCATGTGGCACGAATGCCGATTGTAGAGTTATAAACCACAATCCAATTTGTGTGTGCAAATCAGGTTTTTCTGGAGATCCTTTCACGTTCTGTTTCGCAATTCAACGTTAGTATATAACTTTAATTCTAAATTATATTGTTAATATCATACTTTAATTTAGCAACCTGATTTAACGAAAATGACTCTAGGCCCAATGGATACACAAAGTATAACTCCGCTCAATGTCTGCCTCCCATCGCCTTGCGGACCAAATTCTCTTTGCCGAGATAATGGAGGTAATCCATCATGTTCTTGTGCAATGAACTACATTGGAGTGCCACCAAACTGTAGACCTGAATGTACTGTCAACTCGGATTGTCCAATGAACCTTGCCTGCATACGAGAAAAATGCAGAGACCCATGTCCTGGAGCATGTGGCGTCGATGCAAGATGCAGTGTAGTTAATCACGCTGCTAATTGTGTATGTCCTGAAGGATTTAACGGCGATGCCTTCACTGTGTGCCTCATGAATTCTGCAATCAGTAAGATAATTAAAAACTTATTCAATAGCAAACAAATGCTGGGAAGAAATAAGCAAAATTGTTTTCTGTAACAAGTACTATTAATTAAGTTTTGTTACGAAGGAAAACCATCCTTTGCTTACAAACTCTATTCCCGTAAAGAGAAGTTTGAAATTGAAGATTTTTATTCCTTTATAGCTACTGATACCCCTGTCATTGACGCATGCAATCCTTCACCATGTGGACCAAATACTATCTGTCGTGATGGAATTTGTTCTTGTTTATTCGAACTCAGAGGCGATCCTTACAGCGGATGTCGCCCTGAATGTATTGCTAATGATGAATGTCCACTTAACCAAGCTTGTATTCGAATGAAATGTACTGATCCTTGTATTGGAACTTGTGGACAAAATGCTCAATGTTCGACAATAAATCATTTACCAATATGTTCGTGTCCTTCCGGCACGGAGGGAAATGCTTTCGTTCTTTGTTCCTTGCGTCCAGGTATTTAAAATTTTTTGTTCTCCCCGTCAATCTGACTAAATAAATTAGGAACTTATTTTTATATAATTTTATATGAAATTAATAAATATTTTCTTTTCATTAGCTACTTCTGTAACAACACCATGTTCCCCTAACCCTTGTGGACCAAATAGTCATTGTCAAGCTGTTAATGGTATCTCTGTATGTAAATGTATTGAAAGTTACACAGGAAGTCCACCATTATGTCGTCCTGAATGTGTCGTATCTTCTGACTGTCCTTCCGCTGCTGCATGCGTAAACCAAAGATGTACAAATCCTTGTTTAGGTTCCTGTGGCTTAAATGCCGAATGTACAGTAGTAAATCACAATCCAATATGTAGTTGTCGTCAAGGTTTAACTGGAGATCCCTTCAGATCTTGCATAACAGCCACAAGTAAGCGAAATTAAGTTACTTAAGAAAGAGAAAATGTAAAATAATAAGCAATCAATTTAATCACCAAATGACACGAGGTGTAAGTTATTGTTAATATTTTCAGCCGATGTGACTGTTAGACCTACTGATCCTTGTAATCCATCGCCATGTGGTTTACAATCTCAATGCCAAGTTAGGAACGGTTTACCATCTTGCGCTAATTTACCAGTTACAGCAGATTCACTAGAATGCATTAGTAACAATGAGTGTAGCTCTAGAGAGGCTTGTATTAACCGGAGATGTTCAGATCCATGTCCAGGTTCCTGTGGCCTCAATACGGAATGTCGCGTTTTTAGTAATACTCCAATGTGCTTATGTAACGCAGGCTTTACTGGAGATCCTTTCATTCGATGTACCCCTATTCAGAGTGAGTTTATACCTTACATTTGTACATTAATTGAACTTCCCAATTCAATAACTCATAATTATTCCAATAACAAGAATCATCTGCGTATGGTTACACTTTCTTATAACAGTTAGCAGAGGCACTATTACTCGATTGATAACTTATTGAATTGGGAGGCTCAATTCTTGTTATTTTTTGTTACTGAACTTAACATTTCCTTTACTCTAAACAGACACGGAATCTAAACCATGTACACCAACACCATGCGGTGCAAATGCCATTTGTAGAGAATCAGGACAAGCTGGATCCTGTTCTTGTTTACCAGATTATATTGGAAATCCTTATGAAGGATGCAGACCTGAATGTGTAATAAATTCGGATTGTTCGGCAAATCTAGCGTGCACGAGATCCAAATGTCAAGACCCTTGTCCAGGAACGTGTGGTCAGAATGCCCTCTGTCAAGTCATAAACCATTCTCCAGTTTGCACTTGCATTCAGGGCTTTGTAGGAGATGCTTTCCGAATTTGCACCCCAATGCCTATTAGTAAGCCTGTTTTCTTGATTCTTTCCTTTGGATTTATTTACCAATGTATATATTTCTTAAATTATAATCATTTTCCTATAGCTGCAGAAAATCCAACAAACCCTTGCAGTCCTACTCCATGTGGACAAAATAGTGAATGTAGAATTAATAATAATCAAGCTGTCTGTTCTTGTCTACCTACATATATTGGTAGTCCGCCTCTTTGTCGTCCGGAGTGTATTGTTAGTGCTGATTGTTCAACATCGTTAGCCTGTGTTAATCAAAAATGCTCCAATCCATGTACCCAATCTTGTGGGTTGAACACTGACTGTCGTGTTATTAATCATAGCCCTGTCTGCTTCTGTAAGAACGGATTTACTGGAGATCCATTTTCGAGATGTTTCTTTAATAACGGTATGGAGTTATTTAAGATTATATTGTTTTACTATTATAGTTCAATAATACAATTATATAATTTCTATGTTATTAGATCATAAAGATAGTTTTAAAATAATTGAAAAATATTCTAGAATCCACACAAGCGGTATTGTCAGATAGAGATCCTTGTGTTCCATCTCCTTGTGGTGCTAATGCTTTATGTCAAAGAGTAGGAGCCACACCAGCGTGTTCATGTGCAGCGAACTATTTCGGAAGTCCTCCCAATTGCCGCCCAGAGTGCACAATAAATACCGACTGTCCTAGCAATAGAGCGTGCATGCAAGAACGTTGCAACGATCCTTGTCTGGGTTCTTGTGGGTTTGAAGCAGAATGCTTGGTTTTAAATCACATTCCAAATTGTAGGTGTCGTGATGGTTTTACCGGTGATCCATTTATGCAATGCAATCTAATACCTCCACAGCGTAAGTTTTTTGAACAAACAATTTAATTGTTGTTATAATAACTGTTTAAGTAAGTTTTTTTATCCTAATGATATGCATCTACTCATAGAACCTGTAATTGAGGAAAATCCCTGTCTACCATCTCCTTGTGGAGCTAATGCAAATTGTAACGATGGTGTTTGTACCTGTTTCTCAAATTACATTGGAAATCCATACACTGGATGTAGACCGGAGTGTATCATTAATACAGATTGTCCTCGAGACAGAGCTTGTTTGCGTAATCAGTGTCAAGATCCTTGTCCAGGAACTTGCGCGTCTAATGCAGTATGTAACGTTATAAATCATATACCAATGTGTAGTTGTCCGACCGGATTCGAAGGAAATGCTTTCGTGATGTGTACATCTGTTCAAGGTAGATACATTTTTATTGTCTGATTACCTTTTTTACTGACCTATCTTACACAAACAATTGTTTACGTAGTACCTGCTGTATCCCCATGTGCCGTATCACCTTGTGGACCGAATAGTGTTTGTCGAGAAAACAATGGTCAAGCAGTATGCTCTTGCATCTCAGGATACTTAGGAAGTCCACCAACTTGCCGACCTGAATGTACTCTGAATTCTGATTGTCTTTTAACTCAAGCTTGTGTTAATCAAAAGTGTCAGAATCCATGCACAGGAGCATGTGGCTTAAGAGCAGACTGTAGAGTTATAAATCACAATCCAGTGTGTCAATGTCCATCAGCATTTATTGGAGATCCATTCATTCAGTGTATACCCAAACGTGAGAAAAAATCTTTTACAAGTAATCAGTTTCTCGATTTACCAGTAAATAAATCAACTTTTTTTTAAACAGCTCCAGAGCCAGTAATAATTAATCCATGCCAACCATCACCTTGTGGACCAAATGCACAATGCCAAGTTGTTAATGGTATCTCCTCATGTTCTTGTTTACCAAACTTTATAAATTCTCCACCAAACTGTCGACCTGAATGCATCAGCAATAGTGAATGCCCGACAAATCAAGCGTGCATTAACCAGAAGTGTACAGACCCTTGTCTTAACTCTTGTGGAACTAATGCGCAATGTAGAACTGTGAGCCATATTCCAATGTGTTTCTGCAGTGAAGGATTTTCAGGAGATCCATTTACACAGTGTACTCTTCAAACAATTCTTCGTAAGAGAATTTTTACTATTATATAGTTTCCCTATTTAAATAATTTTGCTCTGAAAGAATATTGAAATTAAATTTAAAACACTTGTAGCAATAGAAATTAAACTAACTCCTTGTACACCATCACCTTGTGGTTCCAATGCCATGTGTACTGAAGAGAATGGCGCGGGAGCTTGCTCTTGCCTTCCAAGTTATTTCGGAAACCCATATGAAGGATGTAGGCCAGAGTGTGTACAAAATTCGGACTGTTCCTTAAATCGTTCCTGCGTCAACTCTAGATGCGTCGATCCATGTCCAGGAACTTGTGGCTTAAATGCCGAATGCTTTGTAACCAATCATCTTGCAACATGCTCCTGTATTGCTCCTTTTACTGGAAATCCGTACAGTAATTGCATTTTGAAAGAAGATGGTAGGTCATTACGTCTTTTTTTAAAAGAACACTAGAAAACCTTTAAATTTTGTTTATAATTTGAATTATTTTTTCAAAAGTTCAACCAGATAACTCAGATCCCTGTGCTAGTTCTTTCTGTGGACCGAATAGTCAATGCCGAGTGAATAACCAGGTGGCAGTTTGCTCATGTCTTCCCGATTTTCGTGGAACTCCACCCGGTTGTAGGCCGGAATGTGTCAGTAGTTCGGAGTGTCCCACAGACAGATCATGTACAAACCAAAAATGCGTTAATCCATGCCCGGCTTCTTGTGGACAGAATACACTCTGCAGAATAATAAACCATGCACCACTATGCAATTGTGCTCCAGGATTTACTGGAGATCCTTTTACAATATGTTTTGCTGTTCCCAGTAAGTTTACACTTATTCTCTATTTAAATTTGAATAAAATTCATTTAAATAACTCTAGCATTTACTTAAAATTTATTGAAAACTTTATTTTAGATGCCCCCGCCATAATAGACGATAATTCTGACCCTTGTACTCCGAATTCTTGCGGATCTTTTTCGGAATGTCGAAACATAAGAGGAATAGCATCTTGTACTTGTATGCAAAATTATATAGGTTCTCCGCCAAATTGCCGTCCTGAATGTACAATAAACTCTGAATGTCCCAGTAATCAAGCTTGTATTCGGGAAAGATGTAGAGATCCTTGTCCGGGATCGTGTGGACTTTCAGCGCAGTGTAATGTCGTTAATCACATTCCAATTTGTTCTTGTCTAGAAGGATATACTGGTGATGCTTTCCAACAGTGTGTCTTATTAACTGTAGAACTGCGTAAGATTTCTTTAATTTAAAATTTAAAGTAACGAGTAGTAATTGTGGAATTTTATTCTTATAGTAAAACTTTATTTTGCAGCATCAATTTCTGAAACAAACCCTTGTATTCCTTCGCCTTGTGGAACAAATACACGCTGTGACAATGGACAATGCTCTTGCTTACCTGAATATCAGGGTAATCCCTACATAGGTTGTCGTCCGGAATGTGTCATGAATACTGATTGTCAAATGAATTTAGCTTGTATCAGAAATAAGTGCACCGACCCTTGTGTCGGAACTTGTGGCCAAAGAGCTGTTTGCAATGTTTTTAATCACATTCCTATGTGTACGTGTTCCCCAGGAATGACAGGCAATCCATTCGTGTTGTGTTCAACTCTTCGGGGTATGTTCCAAAACAACGGATTCTTTATATTTATCAGTGTATTTATAAAGTATAACTACGTGTAACTAGTCAAATTTTATAACTTTTTTTTTCCTTTTTGATGTTGAATTTATTTGTGTTATCAATGCTGTAAACAGTTCCAGTCAGAGACGATCCTTGTAATCCATCTCCCTGCGGTTCCAACAGTCAATGTAGAGAAAACAACAATCAAGCCGTTTGTTCATGTCTCTCTGGATTTATTGGAGCACCACCCACCTGTAGACCAGAATGTTCCGTTAGCTCAGATTGCCCTCAGAACGAAGCATGTAACAATCAAAGATGTATTGACCCTTGCCCTGGCTCTTGTGGTATTCAAGCCGAATGCAAAGTCATTAATCACAATCCAGTCTGCAGTTGTCCCGAAAGAATGACAGGCAACCCATTCATTCAGTGTTTTACTAATCGTAAGCATATTATCAATGGATTTAAACGTAAATAATTTAAAAGACATCATTTTATCTTATTCACGTTTCGAATAGTTTTTATAATTGGAATAAATAATGGTTTTTATTTTAAAGCGCCTACTCCTCCACCTGTTGTGAATCTTTGTGATCCTTCACCCTGTGGACCGAATTCACAATGTCAAGTAATCAATGAATCTCCCTCATGTTCATGCCTTCCGGAATTTATCAGTTCACCACCAAATTGTAGACCGGAGTGCATTAGCAACAGTGATTGTGCAAATCAGCTTGTTTGTGTAAACAGCAAGTGTCAAAATCCTTGTCCGGGATCTTGTGGTTTGAATGCCAGATGTCACGTTGTCAGTCACACGCCAATGTGTGTTTGTCCAACGGGATATACCGGAGATGCATTTACTGCATGTGTCCTGATGCAATGTGAGAGAATTATTAGTAATTATTATTATAAATATTATAATGAAAGTTGTAATTAGATATTAATTATTTGCCAACACTTAAGATATTTTACCTAGATCCGCAAGGGTCCTGGTGGCATGTTGACTAACTAGAAAATCTCATTAGTAAGAAAAGGATGAAGATACGCGTCTATTCTTTTCTTACTATTAGGATTTTCTGGTTAGTCCACATGACACCAGGCCCCTTGCCGAATCTAGGTAAATTATTTTAGCTAACACTTAGAATATTCATAGTAAAATTATTTATCACTCCGTGGTAATAAATAATAGAGATGATAATAAATAATGAGAATAGTATTTTTTTGTTCCTCCTGACTTGGAGTGTTTGATATTATCATCTCTATTAAAATAATTATTATATTTGATATTTAATCTAGATTCATTTTACTTAATACATAATACTAATAACTTTTTTTAGTCGAAAGACCAGTGGAATCAGTAAATCCTTGTATGCCATCCCCCTGCGGTACCAATGCGGAATGCAAAGTTCAGCAAAATGCTGGATCCTGCAGTTGTTTAGCAAATTATATTGGAAACCCCTATGAAGGATGCAGACCCGAATGTGTCTTGAATTCCGATTGTCCATCAAACCTCGCGTGCATTGGTTCTAGGTGTACAGATCCTTGTCCTGGAACTTGTGGGCAGAATGCGCGATGTTATGTCCTTAATCATTCACCCACTTGCCTTTGTATTGAACAATTTACTGGAAATCCACTTATCCGTTGTCAACAAATTTTACCACTACGTAAGATTTTACTTGAAATACATAATTCCAAGATAATTCACCTAGATCCGGCAAGGGTCCTGGTGGCTCGTGGACTAACAAAAAAATTCTATTAGTTAGAAAAGGTCGAAGATATGTATATCTTTTTCTTACTAATGGGATTTTCTAGTTAGTCAACATGCCACCAGGACCCTTGCCGGATCTTGGTAAATTATCTTAGATAATATTTAAATTAATTCCAAAAAAATAAAGTTATCTAAAAACTACCTCTGTAGGTAGTATTAATTACCTACGTATTATATTTTTGTATTAATTTTATATTTGCTTATAATATAAGTGTATCCACTTCTCACAAAAATTTGCACCAATAATGACAACATTTCCTCAATGTTTCTAATATTAAGAAAGTGTTGTCAATATTGACTCACATTTCGATAATGGGAGGATATACTGTGTATTTTATTTATAATTATATTCTTTATTTAAAATATTGTTTTAAAAAACGAAATCAGAATCTACGATTATTTCGTTAAAACATATATTTTTAAATGATTGTTAACAGAAACGGAATCGGAGATGAGTTTATCTTGTCAAACCTGTGGACCTTACAGTCAATGTCGGGTCATAAATTCCCAATCGGTCTGCTCTTGTCTGCCTACATTCATGGGAAGTCCACCAAATTGTAAACCTGAATGTAGCGTGAGTGCAGATTGTGCAGCAAATCGAGGCTGCGTTAATCAAAAATGTGTTGATGTTTGTGCAAACACTTGTGGTCAAAATACCATATGCAGAGTATTAAATCATAGTCCATTTTGTTCCTGTAGATCAGGATTCACAGGCGAACCATTCTCAAGTTGTTTCCCCTTACCAAGTAAGAAGTACTTTTTTCCCAACAAGACTGACAGCGAATAAAGATTTATTGCAAAAAAGGTTAAACTGAAAAGCATTTTAAAAAATCATTTATTGCGTTTTCTGATTCAAAATGCGAATCACTATTTATTAACCTTTTATGCAGCTATGATATTTACTTTATCCCTGAACAACAAATAGTTGTTCAGAGCAAAAACAATTTTTTTTATTACAGCTAAATTTACCTATTATTAATATCTATTTTATATTTTATCATTTTTCATTGTTAACCCCAAAAATATTTCAGTTGTGCAATCACCTCCGGATGAACCAAGAGACCCATGTTATCCATCTCCATGCGGACCATTTTCACAATGTCAAAATATTAACGGAATACCTTCCTGTTCTTGCCTACCCTCTTACATGGGAAGTCCACCCACTTGCCGTCCAGAATGTACAATTAATTCAGATTGTCCCAGCACAAGAGCATGTATTAACGAACGTTGTCAAGACCCGTGTCTAGGATCATGTGGATTGAATGCAATTTGCAACGTTTTCAATCACATTCCCAGTTGTAATTGCATGCAAAGTTATTCAGGAGATCCATTTACAGGCTGTACTTATCAACCACCACGTAAGCTATCTTAATATCCATAAGCAATTTTACCAAATATTAAATTAAACTTTTTTTTAAATTAATTACTAAATTAATATTTTTATAAAGAAACGAGCCCAATTGAAACTGATCCATGCAACCCATCTCCTTGTGGAGCTAATACAAGATGTGATAATGGATCATGCTCATGTTTACCGGAATATTTTGGCAATCCTTTAATTGGTTGTAGACCAGAATGCGTACTAAACACAGACTGTGCGCAGAATAGAGCATGTGTTCAAAATAAATGTGCGGATCCCTGTACAAATGCTTGTGGATCAGGTGCTCTTTGCAACGTTTTCAATCACATACCAATGTGTACTTGCCCTTCAGGAACGACTGGAAGTGCCCTAATTATTTGCCAAAACGTGAAAGGTACTTTTTATAAAAGTAAAATGAATACATTTTACTAATTTGTTAATTTCTTCCTTTTACTGTAATCGTTAAAGAGTGCGAACCTTAACTTTGGATTTTGTATTACATTAGCCCCATCTACTGTCCAACCATGCAGCCCGTCACCATGTGGACCCAATAGTGTATGCCGTGAGGTGAACGACCACTCTGTTTGTACTTGTGCTCCCGGATATTTAGGAAACCCTCCGATGTGCCGACCTGAATGTATCGTAAGTTCAGATTGTCCCAGAAATCAAGCATGCACCAACCAGAAATGCGTTGATCCTTGTCTTGGAACGTGCGGCTTACAAGCCAAATGTGAAGTGATCAATCACAATCCAATTTGTTCGTGTCCTGAACGTTTCACTGGAAACCCCTTCACCAGATGTTTTGTACAACGTAAGAAAAAAGCGAAAAAAATTTATTTAAGAATTCAATACATGAAACAGAAAAGATATTAATTGTCCTTAAATTCCATAGCGGAAGCACCAGCGGAATCGAAAAACCCTTGCCAACCATCGCCTTGTGGTCCCTATTCGACTTGCCAAGTTGTAAATAATGCTCCTTCTTGTTCATGCCAACCACAATATGTCGGATCTCCTCCAAATTGTAGACCTGAATGTATCAGTAATTCTGAATGCCCCAGTAATCAAGCGTGCCTTAATGAAAAATGCAGAGATCCTTGCCCTGGATCTTGTGGAGCGAACGCGGAATGTAGAGTAGTCAGTCACACGCCTAATTGTATGTGTGTCAGTCCCTTTAGCGGAGACCCATTCGTGCAGTGTCTACAATTACCAAGTAAGTTATATCGTAAAAATCTGCTTTTTTAAAAACATTGCCCATCAGTAAGTATTATTAAATTAATGATTTATCCACCATTTGTTACAACTATTTTAGCTGCAAGGCCCAACGAACCTCCCGCCTCTCCTTGTATACCATCTCCATGTGGCGCAAATGCCATTTGCAAAGAATCAAATAACGCAGGATCATGCACATGTCTCCCTGACTATATTGGCAATCCTTATGAAGGTTGCCGACCCGAATGTGTAATAAACTCTGACTGTCCATCTAACCAAGGATGCCTACAATCGAGATGTAGAGACCCATGTCCTGGAGTTTGTGCTCCAAATGCTGAATGCGTAGTCATTAATCACTTACCAACATGTAGCTGCCGTGCACAATTCACGGGCGATCCTTTCACTTTCTGTAATTTAATGACAATCGGTAAGTTTTATTTAAGAAATTACAAAACGATTGTTTTGTAAACGAGATTTTTAATGCTACTTAATCTTTAGCCGATGAACAAAAAGATGTCTGCAACCCAACGCCTTGTGGACCAAATAGCCTATGTAGAGATGTCAATGGTCAAGCAGTTTGCATTTGCCAACCTAATTTTGTAGGCAGCCCACCAGGATGTAGACCTGAGTGTCTTTCAAGTTCGGAATGTACAGCAGAACTAGCGTGTATCAATCAAAAATGCGCTAATCCTTGTCCTAGTCCTTGTGGTATCGGTACCCAATGTGTTGTCGTGAATCATAGTCCTATTTGTTCATGTAACACAGGATATAGCGGAGATCCATTCACTAGATGTTCACCTATTCCACGTAAGGCTAATGAAGAAATAGTTGACTTTCTTCCACAAAAATAATAAGTTAGTTATTTATTATAACTTTTATAATTTGTCCTTTGCAGCGCCAATGATAACGAATCCTGTTAGATCAGATCCATGTGTACCTTCTCCTTGCGGTAGCTTCTCCCAATGTCGAGACATTGGAGGAGTTCCCGCTTGTACATGTCTACCAAATTACATAGGACAACCACCTAATTGTAGACCGGAGTGCACTATTAATTCTGAATGTTCAAGTAACATGGCTTGCATGAATGAAAAATGTAGAGATCCTTGTCCGGGATCTTGTGGCTTTGGTGCCAGATGTATGGTCACGAATAACATACCAATATGTAATTGTCTTGAAGGATATACTGGAAATCCGTTTGAGAATTGCAATGTGCTAGCAATATGTAAGCAAATTTTTTCAAGTTAGATTTACCTGTTACTGAAGACCATCTATCGAAGTTGATTATTTAAAAACAAAATTCATTTTAGCCGCTGTGGCAGCTCCAATAGATAGATGTAATCCTTCACCTTGTGGTGCCAACACCCAATGCAATAATGGAGAATGTACTTGTTTACCGGAATTCCAAGGAAATCCTTTAGCCGGTTGTCGACCTGAATGTGTCTTAAATTCTGATTGTCCCAGAGACAGAGCCTGTTTACGAAGTAAATGTGTAAATCCCTGCATTGGTGCTTGTGCAAATGTTGCTCTTTGTACAGTAATTAACCATGTGCCAATGTGCAGTTGTCCAGCAAATATGACTGGAAATGCTTTCAGTCAATGCTCACCTTTGATGGGTACTAAAATATTCCACATTTCTAATAAAAAGTCATCACTTTTAGATTTATTTACTCAATCTTTCAAATTTATTTTAAATAGATCAAAATCCAGTTAATCCATGCAGTCCATCACCTTGCGGATCCAACAGTGATTGTCGTGTGGTAAACGGACACGCTGTGTGCTCATGTATTTCAGGCTTCTTAGGAAGTCCTCCTTTATGTAGACCAGAGTGTGTAGTTAGTACTGACTGTCCGCAAAATGAAGCCTGTTCTAATCAAAAATGTGTAGATCCTTGTCCTGGTACTTGTGGAATAAGAGCCAATTGCGAAGTTGTAAATCATAGTCCAATTTGCAGTTGTCCGTCTAGATTCGAAGGAGATCCATTTATTAGATGCGTACCAACACGTAAGAAAATTCTAAACCTATTAGCATTATTTCAAAAATAATCTAAATTGAGTTTGTACCTCTTTAGAGGCTTTCATAAAATCACTAAAGACAATATGATTATTTGTAAAACAACTTACAAAGACTATTTTTTCTAACTTTTGTAAAATTCTAGCTGATGAACCAACAAAGCCAATAAATCCTTGCCAACCGTCACCATGCGGTCCAAATTCGCAGTGCCAAGTAATAAATAATTCACCTACATGCACATGCATGAATGGATTTATTAATTCGCCACCAAATTGTAGACCAGAGTGCGTTAGTAACACTGAATGTTCTCGTCAATTAGCATGTATTAACCAAAAGTGCAGAAACCCTTGTATAGATTCATGTGGTGCAAATGCAGAGTGTCACGTTGTTAGTCACACTGCGATGTGCACCTGTTTGCCTAATTACACTGGAGATCCTTTCACGCAATGCGTTATTAGAGACAGTAAGTAGATGCTTAATAAATGTTTAAATAAAAAAAATTGAAAATTGAATGATCCTCTTTGCTGACAAGTAAATTTTTAGCTTCAGTTGCTCCACCTGTAAGACCTTGCAGCCCCTCTCCCTGCGGATCGAATGCCATTTGTACTGAGCTTAATGAAGCTGCATCATGTAACTGTATTTCTAATTATATTGGTAATCCGTACGAAGGATGCCGACCAGAATGTGTATTAAATTCAGATTGCCCCTCGAATCAAGCATGTGTAAACTCAAGATGTAATGATCCCTGTCCTGGAACTTGTGGAATGAACGCGGAATGTCTAGTCATAAACCATCTACCAACGTGTTCCTGTAATCCACAATTTACGGGGGATCCTTTCACTTATTGCAGAATTCTTCCCGCAGGTACTTTTGCAATTAAAATGTGTGGCTAAAAGATTTCTAAGGGTTCTTATATATATCGATGGCTCCGAACGATACTATCTCAACTCTGGCGCTTGTGATTATACTTTAATATTGAAGTTCGAAAAAGATTTTTAAATTCCTCCGCAATGTTTAATAAGCGCATTCTCAAAATGCTCATTTCACAGTTATTACATTATACAGCGGATCTCTAGATTTGAGACAGAATACAGTGCGCCGTTCGGGTCAAGACAGTTTTCACGAAAGTCTCAGAGTTAACACAGAATTACTTGTTTATTTATTATTTCGTTAATTATCTAAATTTAAATAAATGTCACTGTCAATTCTTATTATTTGATTCATATTCAAATAGAATTTCATGAGATATTCGTTCTTATCGGTACTATGAGATTATCTTTTAGCCAAACATAAAAGAACATTATTTAAAATTTGCATAATAATTTAATTTACACTTTGGTATCAATAGAACCAGTTACAGCATCTCAGCCATGTAGTCCGTCCCCCTGCGGTCCTAATAGTCAATGTCGAGAAATAAATGGACAAGCTGTCTGTTCCTGTTTAACAGGATTCCTAGGTCAACCACCAGGATGCCGACCTGAATGTACCATAAACTCTGAATGTGGCTCTACCAAAGCTTGCATAAATAGAAAATGCACCGATCCTTGTATTGGAACATGTGGCCTAAGTGCCAGATGTGAAACAATCAACCACAGTCCCATTTGCTCATGCCCGGCTAGATTCACCGGTGATCCATTTGTTAATTGTTTCCAAACACCAAGTAAGTTTCAACCCTATAATCTGTAAATTCATAAATTGATTTCTTGTAAAAATTGAGAAAAAAATTATTAGTCTTATAATATAGACTAATATATTATATATAGTCAAATAATATTTATTTATAGATATTTTATTAGAAAATAATATGTTCTAGTTGACATTCAAGTGGCACAAGGAAGCCAAGTAGATCCGTGTATGCCATCTCCTTGTGGTCCAAATTCTGAGTGTAGAAATATAAACGGTCAAGCTTCGTGTGCTTGTTCAGTTAATTTTATTGGCAGCCCGCCAAATTGTAGACCTGAATGTACTATAAACTCCGACTGTCCCAGTAATGAATCATGCTTCCAATCGAAATGTAGAGATCCTTGTCCTGGCTCTTGCGGGTTAGGTGCAGAATGCACAATCGTTAATCATACACCAAATTGTGCTTGTCTAACCTCGTACACTGGAAATCCGTTTACTAGGTGCACTCCAATTTTGCAAACTCGTAAGTCTATGATTTTAATTAAAATTATTATTTTTAGAGACAATTATCGTAATTGATTTACTTCCCATTTGTAGCTGCAGAACCGAAGCCTTTCAGTCCTTGTGATAATTGCGGTGCAAACACTGAATGCGTTACAGGAACTTGTACATGTTTACCGGAATTTAGAGGCGATCCTTATTCAGGTTGTCGCCCTGAATGTGTCATCAATTCTGATTGCCTCAGATCTCAGGCTTGTTTAAGAAACAAATGCGTTGATCCATGCATTGGTACTTGTGGATTCAATGCTTTATGCTCAGTCGTCAATCATGTTCCTATCTGCACCTGTTCGAGTAACATGACCGGAAACGCTTTTGTATCATGTTCTCAAATCATAGGTAATGTTCCCAACGTAACTAGAAAAAAATTACAATTTACATTTATCTTATCAACTTCAACCTCACGAATTATTTTTTAGATTCTCCTTTACAAGATCCATGTAATGTGTCACCTTGCGGACCGAATAGTCAATGTAGAAAAATTAATGAACAAGCTGTATGCACTTGTGTCCCGGGATTTTTAGGAGTTCCACCAAATTGTAGACCCGAGTGTACAATCAGTTCTGATTGTCGTGCTGATTTAGCTTGTAGTAATCAGAGATGCATTGATCCATGTCCTGGAACTTGTGGCATTAGAGCCCAATGTAAAGTTATCAATCACAACCCACTTTGTACTTGTCAGGGAGATTTGACAGGCGATCCGTTTATCGCTTGCTTCCCTCAACGTAAGTATTTAATCTTATTAACAAAAATTTAGTATGAAAAAAGCTTGAAATATTAGAATTAAAGAAAATGCATTTTTTTCTTTAGCAGTTAGACCGCCAGTGACTCCTACTAATCCATGTGATAATTCACCTTGTGGTCCGAATTCGCGATGTGAAGTAGTGAACAATTTATCTTCTTGCTCTTGTTTAGCCGATTTCTCAGGAACACCTCCAAATTGTAGACCAGAATGTGTTAGCAACAATGAATGTGAAAACCAATTAGCTTGCATTAATAGAAAATGTAGAAACCCATGTCCAGGTTTGTGTGGTTCAAACACTGATTGTAGAGTGGTTAGTCATACGCCCATGTGTGTTTGTATAGCAGGATATACCGGAGATCCGTTCACCCAGTGCTCTTTAAGACCAAGTAAGTCAATATAAAGTGATGTGATTATTACCAACGATTTTTTATTATTGTCGTTTATCAGAATAATGTTAAACAAAATTGAAACACCATTTTCTAGTGGATACACCTATTGAAAGACCAACACCGTGCATTCCATCACCTTGTGGTTCTAATGCAATTTGTCGAGAATCAAATGGAGCAGGATCCTGCTCCTGTGTAGATAATTATATTGGAAATCCTTACGAAGGATGTAGGCCCGAATGTACCGTAAATTCCGATTGTACCTCAGATCGAGCCTGCATTAGATCAAAGTGTCAAAATCCATGTCCAGGAACTTGTGGCACAAACGCAATCTGCCAAGTCATTAATCATTTACCAGTTTGTTTATGTCAATCCGGTTACTCTGGTAACCCTTTTACTTACTGTAGCCGAATTATCGAAAGTCGTAAGTTTTTCGTTCATATTTTTAATTTTATATTTAACTTTGAACTTTTTTATCGTATAAATAACTTTTCGTTCAATTATTTTTCTCACAAACTTTTATTTAGCCCTAGTCAATGATGTGTGCAATCCGTCTCCTTGTGGACCAAATAGTCAATGTCGTGTATCAAATGGTCAAGCTGTTTGTTCTTGTATGCCTACATTTAACGGAAGTCCCCCGGCGTGCAAACCAGAATGCACTGTTAGTACCGAATGTCCTGTGAATCGTGCCTGCGTTAATAGAAAATGCAGTGATCCTTGTCCCGGAGTTTGTGGAATTGATTCTCAATGCGTCGTTAATAACCATAGTCCAATTTGTAGTTGTAATGCTGGATCAACTGGTGATCCCTTCATAAGATGTTTCCCTCTTCCTCGTAAGTACTTTATACATTAGTTTTAATAGGCAAGTTTAATTTCTCCAGTTTTCTAAAATAGTTTATTTGATACCCCTTTAATAACAAATCTAAGATAATTACCTAAATCTGGTAAGGGTCCTGGTGGCACATGGACTAACTAAAAAATCCTATTAGTAAGAAAAGGACGAAGATGAATCTATCCTTTTCTTACTAATGGAATTTTTTAGTTAATCCACGTGCCACCAGGTACCTTGCCGGATCAAGGTAAATTATCTTAGAACAAATATAGAGAATTGCTGAGACTGTCAAACTAAATTAAATTTTGTAGCTCTATCAACGAGTCCTGTAGTTGTCGACCCATGCGTTCCATCGCCATGTGGTTTATTCTCAATGTGCAGAGATATTGGAGGTTTGCCAACTTGTTCGTGTATGGCTAATTATATCGGATCTCCACCAAACTGTCGACCAGAATGTACAATTAATTCCGAATGCACCAGTAATATGGCTTGTTTACAACAGAAGTGTTCAGATCCATGCCCTGGATCTTGTGGACTTAGTGCTTTTTGTAACGTTGTGAATCATTTAGCTACTTGTTCATGTCCTGAAGGCTACTCTGGTGATCCATTTAGAAGTTGTACTCCAACGCGTAAGATTTGAATTTTCTAAATTTTTATTTCCTTTTTAAATTATTTTTTTAACGAATGTTATAATTTTAACGCTAGCTGTTACGGCAGTGAGACCAACTGATCTCTGCAATCCATCTCCTTGTGGATCGAACGCTATATGTCGTAATGGATCATGTTCTTGTTTGCCTGATTATCTTGGAGATCCGTATGTATCCTGTCGACCGGAATGTGTCCAAAGTACAGATTGTGAATCAACTAGGGCTTGTATTCGGAACAAATGTACTGATCCCTGTCCGGGTGCTTGTGGACAAAGAGCTGAATGCAATGTTTTCAATCGTATATTAATGTGCTCTTGCCCTGTCGGTATGACAGGAAATGCATTTATCGCTTGCAGTCCAGTGGAACGTATGTTTCTTTCAGTTAAAATATTTACAAAGTTTCCATATTTAAAACAATGCGTGACAATTGATTAATTTTGCAGCGACAATTGTAAAGAGTCCTTGTAATCCATCTCCGTGCGGACCAAACAGTAGATGTCAAGCGATCAATGAACAGCCAGTTTGTACGTGTATTGAAGGTTTTACTGGTAGTCCTCCAGGTTGTCGTCCAGAATGTACAATTAACTCTGATTGTCCATTAAGTCAAGCTTGTGTTAATCAAAACTGCAGAGACCCTTGTCCTGGAAGTTGCGGTATATCAGCTAAATGTCAAGTCATAAATCATAATCCCATCTGCAGTTGTCCTTCAATCTTCACTGGTGATCCATTTATTCGATGCTTCCCAAGACGTGCGTATTTTTACTTAAGTGTTTATATTTCATTAAGGTTATCAGTTTAAATAAACAATATTTATTTTAGCCGAGGAACCCGTAGAAGCAACAAATCCCTGTCTACCAAATCCATGCGGTCCCAGCTCACAGTGCCAATTAATTAATAATTTACCGTCTTGCTCATGTCTTCCCAATTTTATCGGATCGCCACCAAATTGTCGACCAGAGTGCATCAGTAACGGCGAATGTGCGAGTCGACTAGCGTGCATCAATAACAAATGTAGAGATCCTTGTCAAGATTCATGTGGGTCCAATGCTCAATGTAATGTTGTGAATCATGTTCCCGTGTGCTCATGTATTGCCGGATTCACTGGAGACCCATTCGTGCAGTGCAATGTCAGACAACGTAAGAATTTTTGCTCCACAAACTATTATTTGCCTAATTTGATCTTATTATACTGATTCTTCTATAAATATAGAACAAACAAATTTATTAAAATATTCCCAAGCAGCAGAAATAGTAGCACCAGTTCAGCCTTGTGTTCCATCCCCCTGTGGATCCAATGCGGAGTGTAGAGTTCAGAATAACATTGCCACGTGTTCATGCATAACAGAATATATCGGAAATCCATACGAAGGTTGTCGTCCAGAATGTACCATAAATTCAGATTGTCCCGCGAATATGGCATGTATCAGATCTAAATGTCAAAATCCTTGTCTTGGCTTGTGTCCTGGAAGGAACTCCTACTGCCAAGTAGTATCGCACTTACCAATTTGTAGTTGCCTGCCAGGAACCACTGGAGATCCGTTCGTTAGTTGCGCATATCAGATCGAGGATTGTAAGTCAATGAAACAATAAATACAGTAAAATATAATTCAAAGAAAAATAGAGGAACTATTTAACAAAAACTAAATATTTCAGCTTCAGTAACACCTTGTGAACCTTCACCATGTGGACCAAATAGCGTTTGTAGAGTTAATCAAAATCAAGCCACTTGTACTTGCTCACAAGGATTCTTTGGAAGTCCTCCAAATTGTAAGCCAGAGTGTCTTGTTAGTTCTGAATGTAGATCGAATCTTGCCTGCATCAATCAGAAATGCGTCAATCCTTGCAATGGACTTTGTGGAATTGACGCCGAATGTAGAGTTATAAATCATAGTCCAATGTGCAGATGTTTGGAAGCTCAGACCGGTGATCCATTCATTCGATGTTTTCCTGCACAAGGTAAAACTATCGCGATAAGTATATAAAAATTTCTCGTCACGATATTTATTATCTTTTTGCAAAATTAAAAAAGTTGAAAACCATAATTCATTAAAAAAAATATTTTTTAATGCAATAGTTACAATGGAGGATGTTACTAGAGACCCTTGCTTGCCTTCTCCTTGTGGACCAAATGCTATTTGCAGAACTGTTGGCAGCAGCGCAGTTTGTGCTTGTCTTCAAAATTACATGGGTTCACCTCCCAATTGCCGCCCGGAATGTTCCATTAATTCTGATTGTACATACGACAAAGCTTGCATGAGGGAAAGATGTAGAGATCCTTGCCCGGGATCTTGCGGTTTTGGAGCTCGTTGTGCTGTTGTAAATCATACACCAAGTTGTTCTTGTCCCGAAGGTTTCACTGGTGATCCTTTCACCAATTGTATTTCCACACCACCACCACCAAGTGAGAATAAATTACATTTTTTTAAAAATAAAATATTTTCAAACATTAAGTTACTAAAACATAATTTTTTAGCAAAAACACCTTCTGATCCATGTAATCCATCACCTTGTGGATCTAATACACAGTGCCGTAACGGATTATGTACATGCTTGTCAGAATATTCAGGAGATCCTTATTCTGGCTGTAGACCTGAGTGCGTCATAAATCCGGACTGTCCTCGTAATCGAGCATGCATAAGAAATAAGTGTATAGATCCCTGTGTCGGTACTTGCGGTACGAATGCAGAATGTATCGTTGTAAACCATCTTCCAATGTGCAGTTGCCCACAAAACATGTCTGGAAATGCATTCAATCTTTGTTCACCAATAGGTTTGTTATCAGTTCAAGAAATATTCTTTCGCTCGTTTTATTTGATATTTATGAGCATTCCCTGGAATAAAAACTAATACTTTTTATCTAGAACCTGTCGTAACAGAACCGTGCAATCCATCACCTTGTGGACCTAATAGTCATTGTCGGACTGTTAATGGACAACCTGTTTGTAGCTGTATTTCTGGCTATATAGGAGCACCACCTTCATGTAGATCTGAGTGTGTCGTTAACTCAGACTGTTCTCGAGACAGAGCCTGCGTTAATCTAAAGTGTATTAATCCTTGTCTAGGATCTTGTGGTTTTGAAGCTCTATGTTCGGTTATTAATCAGAATCCTGTTTGCTCTTGCCCTGCAGGATTCACTGGAGATCCGTTTAAATATTGTTATAGACAACGTAAGTTACCCATGTCATTAATTTCAGAGATTGTTATTAAACAAATTTTCTTATCTTCAGCTGCTCAACCAGTTGTGCCACGAAACCCATGTCAACCGAATCCCTGTGGTCCGAACTCACAATGTCGAGAAATTAATCAATCTCCCTCTTGTTCATGCTTACCTAACTTTATCGGATCACCACCAAGTTGCCGACCTGAATGTATCAGCAGCAGTGAATGTTCCAATAATCTCGCCTGCATAAACAATAAATGTGCTGATCCATGTCCAGGAATTTGTAACGTAAACGCCGAATGTAAAACGATTAATCATATTGCAATGTGTACATGCCTACGTGGGTTCATTGGAGATCCGTTTATACAATGTTCCCCAGAAAGTAAGATTATATTTATTAAATATTTTTAAACCCCTTCACTGGCAGGGCGTTCCAAATGGCGTTCCTGCCAGTGAAGGGGTTAAGTATCCTGATGTATGGTCTTTAATTTTCCGTGATTTTTAGGAATACAGACTCAGGTTAATGTTACAAGTGCCTGTCAAAGAAATCCCTGTGGCGCAAATGCCATTTGTCGAGAACTTTCAGGATCTAGTATTTGCACCTGCTTGACAGATTTTTATGGAAATCCGTACGAAGGTTGTAGACCCGAATGTGTAATTAATTCCGATTGTCCATTAGATAGAACTTGCATTCGTAGCAAATGTCAAGACTCATGTCCGGGAAGCTGTGGACAAAATACCATGTGCCAAGTTGTTAATCATGTGCCAAGCTGCACTTGTATTCCTGGATATACCGGTAATCCCTTCCAATACTGCAATCTAATACAAATGCAACGTAAGTTATTCAATGAAAATAGAAATAAAACCCTTAAATTCGATTACATTAAAGGAAATTTCTGTTCTTTATCAACAATATTAGGTCCTGCTGATGTGTGCAATCCATCACCTTGTGGTCCCAACAGTCAATGTCGAAATAATAATGGACAAGCCATTTGCACATGTTTGCCGACATTTATAGGTAATCCACCGGCTTGCAGACCGGAATGTACTGTCAGTGCGGAATGTCCAGTTTCTCGTGCTTGCGTCAATCAAAAGTGCGTTGATCCCTGTCAAGGAATTTGTGGTATAGGCGCAGAATGTAGAGTAGTATTCCACAGTCCCCTTTGTGGTTGTAAATCTGGACAAACCGGAGATCCGTTTGTTAGGTGCTTCGAATTGCTTCGTAAGTATTGTTACATTAACAATTCTTTGTTGGTTTAACAGGATACAGTAACTGCAATGATATTTATTTTATTAGAGCCTTTGAGAGAACCTGTAAGTCCATGTCTGCCGTCACCCTGTGGACCATTTGCTCAGTGTATGGATAGAGGTGGCTACTCTTCGTGTTCCTGCTTGGACAGCTACGTTGGATCGCCACCCAACTGTAGACCTGAGTGTACAATAAATTCTGATTGTATTAGTAATAAAGCATGTATCAACATGAAATGTCAAGATCCGTGTCTAGGCTCTTGTGGCCAAAATGCCAATTGTCTGGTTGTTAATCACGTACCCATGTGTACCTGTCCGGAGAAATTCACAGGAGATCCTTTCAATAATTGTTTCCCTCTACCTCAAATAGCACGTAAGCAATTACTTTATTCCCAAATGTTTAGTTTCCTAATTGCAAAAAATTAATCCAACCTCATGAAAACTATATTTAAATTATAGCAAGACCACCAATACAAGACAAGTGTAATCCTTCACCTTGCGGACCAAATGCCCAATGTCGCGATGGAATTTGCACTTGTTTGCCTGAATATAGAGGTGACCCCTACTTTAGCTGTCGACCAGAATGCGTCCAAAACACAGACTGTCCCCAGAATAGAGCCTGTGTGAACAACAAATGCACCGACCCTTGTCCTGGAGTTTGCGGGCAAAATGCCGAGTGCCAAGTTATTAATTACCTCCTTACCTGTACCTGTAATCCTAATTATGAAGGAGATCCGTTTACAACTTGTCAACCTGTGAAGAGTAAGTCCCTTGAAAATTTATTCTCCCAACGGATATTTTTAAGTTTAAGTGAAGATACAACATATATTTACTTTATTTCCATTGTACAGAACGAATAGATCCCTGCAACCCTTCACCTTGTGGACCGTACAGTACTTGCCAAAAAATAGGTGATCAAGCCTCTTGCTCGTGTATGCAAACCTACTTTGGTACCCCGCCCAGCTGCCGTCCTGAATGTGTCGCAAATACTGATTGTCCTCAAAACAAAGCCTGCATCAATCAAAAATGTGAAAATCCATGTTTAAACGCCTGTGGCCAAAATACGTTATGCAATGTGCATAATCATAATCCCCTTTGCTCATGTCCTCCGGAATATACGGGTGATCCTTTCGTCAACTGCTTCCCTGCCCGTAAGTAAATTCCAGACCAATTAATTCTGCATAAACGATGAATTGAATGAATTGAATAAATTGAATAAATTGAAATTTTAATTAATATCAACTCTAGATTGCAATCTATGTTGCTGTCAGTATTGTGGGCAATACTTAAACTTATGATAAAGATTAAAATATTGCTCATGATTATTTTTAATGAACGGTACATGGATTGGAAAATTGAGTAACATGAATTGCATTGGAGTAAAAATTTCTGAACTATGACACCTAAAAAAAAAAAATTTAAATTTGCATTATTTCTATACATAATTTGTTACAGCCGGGTGGTAAAAAAACATTCCCGGAATGCGTTTTAAAAAATTTTAATTTTTCAATTAGTTATAAACAATTAAACTTTAAAGTACCTTTTTAGAAAATTCACTATTGCTTCGTTGCTTTTAATAATATTTAATAATATCACAGGTCAACAAAAAAAGACTTACTTTAATAGAGGCATTTTCTTGTATATCTCTACCAAATATTATTAAATTCTATTGAAAAAGAACGAAGCAATAGTGAATTTTCTGAAAAGGTACTTTAAAGTTTAATTGTTTATAACAAATTGAAAAATTAAAATTTTTGAAAACGCATTCAGCGAATGTTTCTGTACCACCCGGGTACACCCGGCTGTAACAAATTATGTATAGAAATGCAAATTTAAAAAGTTTCTTTCAGGTGGTCTAGTTCAGAAACTTCGACTCATTGCTAAGCCCGAACAAAGAACAAATGAAAATTTTGCTAAATGTTATAACAAATGAAAATTTAAAGAAGTAAATTCGGCACTTTTAAATTTCGTCTACAGTAAATGTGACCATACTCCATGATTAAGGAATGAAGTTAAGAATAAATAAAAAAGTGACATTGATAATAATTTGTTTTTTCTCTCTTAAATAGCAATTGTGACCAAAGATCCATGCAACCCCTCACCATGTGGACCGAATACCCAATGCACACCCTCCGCAGAAAATATGCCCTTGTGCTCTTGTTTGCCCACGTTCTTAGGATTTCCTCCGAACTGTAAACCCGAATGCCTTATTAATAGCGAATGCCCAAATCAACTCGCCTGCATTCGGCAAAAATGCACCGATCCTTGTTTAGGAGCCTGTGGAACCAATGCCTTTTGCCGTGCAACATTACACCGAGCCCAATGCTCTTGTCCCGAAGGATATATAGGAAATCCTCAACAAATTTGCGTCCTGTCTCAGAGTAAGAAAACTCGCAAAGTTTCCCAATTTTTTTTTTTTTTGCTTTGCAGTTTACTAAAGCATCGATATAATTGCTATTGCTTTCCATAAAGTTTTGTTGCTATATTTCAGAATATTATATTTTATAACTAAAAACGTTTTACTTTTGAAACAGTAAATCTCTGCGTTAATTCTTGAATTTTCAGTAACTTCAATAATAATCGTTTGTATGATTTATATAATGTTTGTAAAAAGTTGACAATACTTTGTAATAAACAAAACTTATTGATTGCTTTTTCAAAGTAAAACGTTTTTATTGAATTTAAAAAAAAATTAATTTACCGCCTGTATGGTTTACTTGTTTAATACAGCTGATTTTATTGTTCCAGGGTTAATTTGCGCTTCGGTGCAAAAAAAATAGTTGTGTACAAATTGCATGATGTTGTATATAGTTTACAGAATTTTTATTATATGATGATTAGTTTTAGTTCCTAGAATTATGGCATGGCTTTTAGTTTTAGAATCACTTATGTATAAGTATTATATACACTTGAATGTAAAGCAACGGTATATTAAAAATGTTTTTATTATTTCACAAAAGATATATGATAATTAGAGCTGTTATAAACTGCATGAAAGCTTTTATAAAGAAATTTTATAATTTTTTTATATTAAATTTTAGGCTTGATGATAGAAGAAAGCTTATCACAATTTAAAATATTTAGAGGAATTTGGATAAAAAATTCTTACCAGCACTTTTTGTACTGAATATAAAATTTTCCCACACAGCATCGAAACTTTACTAAAAGTTACTATAAAATTAGCTTGACTTAGGAATCTTTAGTTACGAAGCTCATCAAAGTTGAAGTAATTCTTTAAATTTCGACTGCTTTTCAATGTTTGACACGAAAGTTGACTGAACATTGCATAAAAGTTTAAAATGTCTTAAACTCTCATGCAATGTTCAGTCAACTTTTACGTCAAATATTAAATAACATCGGACATTTAAAGAACAACTTCAAGTTTCATAAGCTTCGCAACTATAAAGATTCGGAAGGTTGCAGTCAAGTTAATTTTAACTTTCAGGAAATTTTCGGTGATGTGTGGATTGAGTACTGAATTATTTTTACCACACAAAATTTATTTAGCACTTCACGGATTCAAAATGGAATTATTTTTATAAATAGCGTTAAATAAGAAAAAGTATTCATTTTTACCATGTACATAGAGCCACTTAACATTATTTGCATACTTAGATTATAGAAATTGACCTGAAATTGACCTTACAAAATCATGATTGACATAAATTTGTCCATAATATCCAGATAATTAATATTCTCAGTTTATTCAAGAGATTACCTCGAAAAATATTTCCTTATATTCAAAACCATTTACAGATATTCTTTTATGGAAAATTTACGTCATGGGCATAATTTTAGTAAGGTTTTATTGTATAATGATTTACTGATCGGAATTTTTTATGTATGTAGGTACACCAGCACCTCCGTCAAGTCCTTGTAGTCCATCACCATGTGGAGTCAACGCATTCTGTCGAGAACGTTTCGACAATGCAATCTGCGAGTGCCAAGAGGAGTACAGAGGAAATCCCTACGAAGGATGTTATCCCGAATGTTTGGTTAACAGCGACTGTCCTAAATCTCAGGCTTGCATCAAGACCAAGTGCCAAGATCCTTGTGTCAGGACTTGTGGAATCGGTGCAATCTGCACAGTGTCAAATCATTTCCCAGTCTGCTCGTGTCCTCAACCAACAGTTGGAGACGCTTTCACTCAATGCCAGCTAGAGACAGGTAAGAAGTTTTCTAATTCTAATTCAATCTCATTTATTTAATTTAACCCTTTAAAGCCCGACCTTTCTTTATAAAAGTGCAATGAAATCAGTTTTTCAAAATTCATAATGTCGGATTCAGTATGGTGGACGAATTTTTAAAAATGGTATCAAAGTTCTAATACCTCCACGTTGTTAATCTCGGTAACTACAAATAAGTAGGCAAATTACAGACCGTCGGAAACATATTTTTATAAAAATCCAACAAGTTCATTTAAAAATTCGTCCGCCATATTGGATCCTCCATTTTGAATTTTGAAAAACTGATTTTATATTCATAATCCGCGACCTCAAAAACCCCCGAGTAACAAGTTTCAAACGAATTCGATCAATTTTTAAAAATTCGCGCGCCATATTGGATCCGACATTTTGAATTTTGAAAAACTCATATCGGATTCGTAATTAGCGACCTCGAAAACTCACAAGTAGTCATTTTCATCAGCTTAGTTTTATTTAATTTTCGATTTTGTAATTTTGTTGTAAATCTTGCTATAAACATTATTTTTTTATTATTGTTATAATTAAAAAATGGTTAATTCTTTATTGCAACATAAAATTTTTTTTCACAAATTAGAATAAATTTGTGGGTGTTGAGTGTTTGGAAATCAAAAATATTTTAATTTTTGTCATAGTTATGAAAGTTTAGAGTTAGGTTAGTACCAAATTAATTTATATTGTTTGTTTTTGTTATTGACAAATTTATAGAAACAACTAATCATTTTGGATTAAACTTAATTGTTATAGAATTAAATTAGTAACATATAATCTAGAACATGGGTTTTTTCTATATTTTTTGGGTTCGCTAATTACGAAACTGAAATCAGATATGCAAATTCAAAATGGGGGATCCAATATTGCCGATAATAAAAATTAAGAATCATAATTGGATTCGGGGATTTTCGAGGTAAATGATTACGAATTTTATGTCAGATTTTCAAAATTCAAAATGGCTGATCCAATATGGCGACAAAAAGTCTAAAAATTAAATGGAAATTTTTAAAAGCCATTGAAGTATGATTTAATCAACACAGGGCATATTATTCTATGAAGCTATTTGTCTATAATTTTTTAGACCGAATTTTGTATGTCAAAATTTTTCTTTAGCCGAAATTTCTTTTCTACAATATTTTAATTTTTATGATTTTCATTTTATCGATTTTCTATAACTTATAATTTTTTTATAATCAAAATTTTATTTGACAGAATTTACATTAGGTCGATTTTTAATTTATCGAAATTTTTTTTTGCTAGAATTTTTATTGAACAGAATGTCATTTATACAAATTTTTAATATACTTAAAAAATATTAGAATAAATAATTATTTCTTACTCGAATTTTTATTTTTTAGAAACATTGAACGGAAATTCCATTTGAGTAATTTTCTATATTATATAAATTTGATAGAATTTCTATGTTACCGAATTGTCATATTGGCAAATTTTCACTTAACCCACATCTCAAACTTAAGAAAATTAATTTATAACAGGAATTTAAATTATGCGACAATACTAGTAATAAAAAATTTGAAAAAAGGAAATTTTTGTTACTTTAGTGTCCGCCATATTGAATCTCATTTTTAATTTTGAAAATCTAATATGATATTTGTAATCAACTACCCAAAAAGCCACAAGTAACAATTTTTAAGCAAATTTTATTAACTTTAAAATTTTATCATCAACCATTTTGAATTTCGTAAAGACTTTAGATTCGTAATTAGTGACCTCGAACCTCAAGTACTGTTCCTTTTATAGATATTTGTCGAATTTCTAAATTATGAATGACTGATAAACTTAACTAATTTTAATTTAAGTTAGTTTATTGCTGGTTGTAATTGAGTTCCAGTTGGGGACCTGTATTTTACAGTTTTTAACCCTTTCGTGCTTCCGGGGAATCTAATTGTTGGATTTTGTTGTTTGGGGGTTTTTAAGGTGGCTAATAATTACGAATCCGATGTCAGATTTTCAAAAATTTCAAAATTCAAAATGGCGGATCCAATATGGTTGACTAGATTTTAAAAAATTGTTTCAATTTGCTTAAAAACTGCTACTTGGGGGTTTTTTAGGGTCTCTGATTACGAATCTGATTTTAGAAAAATAATCTGATACAAAATACGTCCTTAAATTCATTATTATTCATAAAAAGAACCTAACTTTACCAATATCTCCAGTATGATTAATATAAACTTATTATTACTGGGCATTTACATAAAATATGTTTTCATTTTCATCATCTACTTTAAAAATCCCTTTTTTCTATTTTAATTCATTTTTTATTTATTAAATTAATTCAATTAATTGAAAAGAGAGAAAACATAATTTTCAATTTTATATTATTCATTACATTATTTATACTGTTTGATACAAAAAAACTTGAAATACAAATTATAAATTTAAATTTAGTACCACCTAAACTTGATCCATGCCATCCATCACCTTGTGGACCAAACACTATCTGCGAAAGCATCGGAGGAAATGCACTTTGTCGATGCTTGCCAGGATTAAAGGGAGTGCCTACTGATCCTTCCGGTTGTAGGCCAGAGTGCATCGTCAGTTCAGATTGTCCAGGCGATTTGGCTTGCATCAACAGCGAATGTTCCAATCCTTGTTCTCAAGATGTTTGTGGAGTCAAAGCTAATTGTGCAATTATAAATCATAGCCCTCTTTGCAGTTGTCCCTCTCCTTTAGTGGGTAATCCTTTCGTCGAATGTTATGAAGAAAAAGGTAAGACATCATTTTATTTACTAAATAAATATCTTCCAGTCCACTTTGACCGATATTTGTTTAATTCTCCGTTGAATCCAGATAGATCCCTACGATTTTTATTTTTTACAAATGAACCGCCGACGACCAAAAGGGCTTAAGCGTGACTTTCGTTGACCCCGCGTTCAGCGAGTCTCAGCTATTCGAGGGGCCAACGAAAACTTTGCGTAAGGTTGGAATAAATATATTCATAGATTAGCTAGTAACTTTTGGCGTCTGTTTTGTAAACTTACAAAAAGCAACCTGGTGAAAAAGTATGTCTTTAAAATGTTTTGAGAATCAAAGAAATATTCTGATCAACATTGGAACATGTGTCCTATGGAGGGTTAAACAAATAGAAAAATTACTTCAGGCATGAAAGAATTAATTTTTTAATTTCTGTTTAGCTGTAAATCCTTGCAATCCTAATCCGTGCACCACGAATGGAGAATGTAGAGTAAGAAACGGAGGACATGTTTGTATCTATCCGGAGTGTCTCATCAACAGCGATTGTCCACGTGACAAGACTTGCTTCTCGCAGAAATGTCGGGATCCTTGCATTAATGCCTGCGGTATCAATTCTCTTTGCCAAACAATAAACCACAAAGCTATTTGTTCATGTCCTAAGGGTTTCTCAGGAAGTCCTTATATAGAATGTAAAATAACAGAAGAAGGTAATTATTTCTTATTCTATACGTACACTTCGGAATAGTTCTCCTAAAATGAATTTTTACATATTTTTTACCCATTTTCCCAGAACCACCTCGTCCCGAATGTACAGACAGCTCGGAATGCTCTAATGATAAGGCATGCATTAATCTTAAGTGCGTCAGTCCTTGTGAACTTGATTCCTGTGGATATAACACCAACTGCTTTGTGCAAAATCACAGAGCTGTTTGCACTTGCAAGGATGGATTTATTGGAAACCCTCAACAACATTGTGTCGAAAGTACGTTCAAGTTTATGCATTAACTTACCTTTTAACGTAATCCCAATTTGTTTTATTATTTTGATCAAAAGGAAATGTAAACTAACTGTACTTCTCTATTCAAGTTGGATGCCGTAGCGATGATAAATGTCCTCCTTCTCAATCTTGCGTCAATAACGAGTGTATCGATACTTGCTTAATAACTCAATGTGGAATAAGCGCGGAATGTAAATCTGATGGATACCACCGAGCCAATTGCTATTGCCCAGAAGGATTCTACGGAAATCCCTACGACAGATGTCAAAGACCAGAATGCAGTGTTGATGATGAATGTGCTTCCTTCTTGGCTTGTCGCAATAATCGATGCGTTGATCCTTGCAATTGTCCATTTTCAGCTCAGTGTCTAGTTGTCAATCACAGACCAAGTTGCAAATGTCCTCCTGGATTCTCCGGAAATCCTTACGAATCGTGCGGAATGGGTAAGTACAAGTTTCAAAATTACTTAGACTCAATACCAAATACAATTGTATTTGGTATTGAGTCTTTTTTTCTAAATACAATTACCTAGCGAAAAATTATCTAGTGAGCGTTATAATTATAACTGAGCCAATTAATAAATTAATAATTGTTTACAGAACCAGTTGGAGTAATGCCCGAGTGTAAAATCGACGCCGATTGTCCAAGCAAGTTGGCCTGCTTTGACGGAATGTGTAAAGATCCTTGCAAAGAGTCGAAACCTTGTATAACGAATGCAAAATGTTCGGTAGTTGACAGTCTTCCAATGAGAACATTGATCTGCGAATGTGCCACAGATTTTATCGGAGATGCGACAGTTGCCTGCATTCCTGTTGAAAAGAAATTAGATTATATTTGTCTATCGAACTCGGAGTGCAGTCCAAATTTGGCTTGCATTAATCAACGCTGCGTCGATCCCTGTGGAGTTAATCCATGTTCTGAATCCGCCGAATGTCACGTTGAGAATCATCGTCACGTGTGTCGCTGTCCCCCGAGTTATATTGGAGATCCTTTCATCAACTGTTATAGAGGTAAGATCAGATCATTTCTCAATGTTGATACAAGATTTCTTAATTTAATTTAATTGAAAAAGGACGAAAAGTTCGTAAACTGTACGATATAATTTGGAGAACTTTAGAGAAATTATAAATGATTGTGGAAATTCAATTCTTTTCAAAAGTAATCAAATTCTTTGAAGAAATTCAATTATTTTCAAAAAATTTCTTCAATATTTAATGATTTTCAATATCTACTATTTTAATAAAATTTTCCAAAAGAATTCAATTATATAAAAAAAAAAAATTTTTTTAAATTCTATGCAAACATTTAATTATTTTCGTAAATAATAAAAGTTTCACAAGAATTCAATTATCTACAAATTTTTTATAAATTTCTTCTTCTTCTTCTTCTTCTTCTTCTATTTCATTATAAATAGAATTTTCTATAAACATTCAATTATTTTCATAAATAATAAAATTTAAAAAAACAATTTTTTTAAAAATTTTTTTTAATTTTGTGACCAACGGCCACAAAATCTACAAAAAGTTTATATATAAAAATTAAGGTCCTAAAAATAGAAAAATAAATAAATAATAAAATCCTTTGTAGGAATTCAATGATTTTCATAATTATAATGAAACTCGAAGCAGAATTTCAATAATTTTGAATACAATTTTATTCGAATTCTTTGAAAAATATAATTATTCTTAAAATTTTTATTAAAATTCGACAAAAGAATTCAATTCTTTAAAAATTTGTTGATAAAATTTTTTATGTGAATTGAAATTTAAGAAATATTCAATTATTCAATTTATATTTTCAAACATTTTAATATTCTTCGCAAGAATTCAACTATTTTCACAAATAGTAACATTCTTCAGAAGAATTCAATTATTTTTAATAATAGTAAAAGTTTTTGTAAAAATTCAATTTTTTTAAACAAAATTTTAATAAAATTTCACGAAACAATTCAATTATTATTTTAAATAGTAAAATTTTTAGAAAAATTAAATTATTTTCCATAAAATTTCACGAAAGAATTCAATTTTATTGTCAATTCGTTATAAAATTTTTCACAAGAATTAAATTATTTTTATAAATATTGTAAACTTCTTTGCAAAAATTCAATTATTTTTAAATTTTTAATTAAATTTTTCGAAAGAATTCCATTATTTTCTAAAATTTTAATAAATTCTTCAAAAAGATTCAATTATTTTTATAATAATATTAAAATTCTTCTCAGGAATTCAATTATTATTTTCAATACAATTTTGATAAACTGCAATAATTAATTATTTAATGATAATTATTAACAGACACAATTATTCTAAAAAGTTGAAAAAAATTCTTTGTTTAAATTAATTATTTTCAATTAAAATTTTTTAAAAAACTACATTATATTAAAAAAAATCTTAAAGAAATTCTTTAAAAAATTAGTATTTTTTAAAATTTTAATAAAAATTGTTCGTCCTAATTATCAATTATTTTCATAAACAATAAAATTCTTTTTAGAAAATCAATTATTTTCATAATTATAATAAAACTCATAGCAGAATTTTAATAATTTTTAATACAATTTTATTCGAATTCCTTGAAAAATATAATATTATTCTTAAAAATTTTATTAAAATATAGATAATGGATTTACAAAAGAATTTTTGTAAAAAACACTAACAAAAATTTAATTTTGGAGATATATGTTACAAATTATTGCAGAAATTCAATTATTTTCAAAATTAATAAAATTCTTTTCAGAAATTTAATTATGTTCAAAAATAATAAAATTCTTTTTAGGCTTTCAATTATTTTCACAAATAATAAAACTCATCGTAGAATTACAATTATTTTTATTCCAATTTTAATTATATTCTTTGCAAAATGTAATTATTCTTTAAATTTTTATTAAAATTCGTTCTAAGAAATTTATTATTTAAAAATTTGTAAATTTGTAATTCTTTATGAGAATTGAATTTTAAGAAACATTTCATTATTCAATAAATCATTCATTTTTGTATTTAAATAATTGAATTCTAATAAAAATTGATTAAAAAATGAATTTCAGTTAAAATTTTAGATAATAATTGAATATTAAAAGCAATATAGCGTGAATTTTAAGAAATAATTTGATTTTTAAGTTAATTTTTTGGAAAAAGTTTAATTGAATTTTTTTTATATTATTTCAAGTTTTTATTTTCTAATATTTAATTGAAGAATTTACGAATAATTAAAATTCGTGAAATTGAATATTGTAAACAAATAGATTTGAAAATTGTCGTAGAACTTTTTCGAAAATTATGGAAAATAATTTATTTAGAGAAGAATTTTAGTTAAAAAGTCTTGAAAATAATAATTGAATTGAGAATTATGTATGAAAATTATTTTTAAGAAATACAATATTCTCATAATGTAAAATAATGATTTTATCACTCGGTCATCTTTAATTATTATAAAACATGAAGAAATCCATTTCTTCATGTTTTATAGTTGAGGCATTATTCCTGAACTGCCCCAAAAATAAAAAAAAGTTCTTGGATTTCCTTTATACTTTGGAAATATGTTACCCTAGTAGGTACAAGTTACTACACCAATTTACAGGTCCAACCCCCCACCCCAATCAAAAGGGTGGGGGGTTGAAATTTCAGCCTAAACTCGAACATGCATTCTTTAAACATTTGTAGTTTCTACTTAAATTATTCAATTAAAAAAAGTAAGTAGTGTTTTAGAAAGGTTTTTTTGTGTACTTTTAAAATATTTTATTTATATAATAAAAAAAAATTTTTTTTGCAAAAATTTTTTAAAATAAATAGTTTTTTGCAATTTTGTGCAAGTTCGGTAGTTTTTATTTTCTTTTTAATAATCTCAAATGAAAGCTTGGGAATTCCCCTAAAAGAAGATATAAGTCTGAAAATGGGCCGAAACAATTTGCCAAAGATATAGTGTAATAAGTAAAATTTGTCCTTCCGCTCGTGCACTCCAGCGCGATGAACAGTGGGATTTTTTTTCAACTTACTATTGAAAATTGTCTAGAAACTACAAATTTTATCGGATGTTGATGTTCTTGATTTAAAATTACTAAGAGATCCATCAAAGTCGATTTTTGAATTTTTAATTGTTTATTTTTTTCTTGTTACTCAAAAATTTGACAAATTACAATATTTTTAGAAAAAATCATGTTAATTTTTTTATTTTTCCATTACACATGATCGAAATCAATTTAAATTAGTCTAGTATGACCACCGGACAATTAATTCCCATTTCATTAAGGAGTTCTTTTTTATGATAGTAAATATAAAAAAAAGGAAAAAATTTTGTTTGATGAAAAAAGCTACTTATTTGTTTAAAAATGAAAAATTTGTTTATAACAAATGTAATTGTTTAAGCAAATAAATTTTTTAAGTTTTTGAAAGAATGTACATATGATATAAATATTTAAAGTTTAAAAAATGACGAAAATGTTTACAAATACAAAGGGAGGTGATTATTGTTTATATAATTGTTAATATTAATGATAATTTTTAACTGTAAAATAGTTTTTTACTAAATTAGACATAAATTTAACCTTGTCTGCAAAAAAACCAATTTTTTTTATGAAGAAGGTCCGAAGTAATCTATTTGTTAATTAACATTGTTTGCAACAATTTAAATAAATTGTATTATGCTTTATTAATTGTCCGGTGGTCATACTAGACTAATTTAAATTGATTTCGATCATGTGTAATGGAAAAATAAAAAAATTAACATGATTTTTTCTAAAAATATTGTAATTTGTCAAATTTTTGAGTAACAAGAAAAAAATAAACAATTAAAAATTCAAAAATCGACTTTGATGGATCTCTTAGTAATTTTAAATCAAGAACATCAACATCCGATAAAATTTGTAGTTTCTAGACAATTTTCAATAGTAAGTTGAAAAAAAATCCCACTGTTCATCGCGCTGGAGTGCACGAGCGGAAGGACAAATTTTACTTATTACACTATATCTTTGGCAAATTGTTTCGGCCCATTTTCAGACTTATATCTTCTTTTAGGGGAATTCCCAAGCTTTCATTTGAGATTATTAAAAAGAAAATAAAAACTACCGAACTTGCACAAAATTGCAAAAAACTATTTATTTTAAAAAATTTTTGCAAAAAAAATTTTTTTTTATTATATAAATAAAATATTTTAAAAGTACACAAAAAAACCTTTCTAAAACACTACTTACTTTTTTTAATTGAATAATTTAAGTAGAAACTACAAATGTTTAAAGAATGCATGTTCGAGTTGAAGCTGAAATTTCAACCCCCCACCCTTTTGATTGGGGTGGGGGGTTGGACCTGTAAATTGGTGTAGTAACTTGTACCTACTAGGGTAACATATTTCCAAAGTATAAAGGAAATCCAAGAACTTTTTTTTATTTTTGGGGCAGTTCAGGAATAATGCCTCAGTTATGAAAAAATTAAATTTATAGTTTAAAGTAAATTGTTCTCATTTGACTCAGACTGGTTATATTTTTGTCAAAAATTGGTCCGTAAATGGTCCTTAATTTTTAATTTTTGGTCCATAAAGCCCGTATTTTTAAATACTGTCACTGGTTCGAGCCCTGGTAATTTCTTAATTAATGTAAATTTCTTTCACTCAGATATACTTCCTGAGTGCACAAAGAATTCAGATTGCGTTTCGGACCTGGCCTGCATCAACCGTCTTTGTCAAAATGCATGTTTAAGTAGCCGATGTGGAGTGGGAGCAGAATGTGTCGTACACAATCACCATCCGACTTGCAGATGTCCCCTCAATCTCGCTGGAGATCCTCAAGTTCAATGTTTCAAGCGTAAGCAACAATATTTAAACATTTTTCGAAAAGTTAATCTTGTAAAGTTCAAGTCTGATAAATTAGTGAATTTTTGAATGTGTCAAGTTTTATTTAAAGGTATTACAATTTCGGGATTATTCTTTATTTCAGAGGAATGTAGATCGGACGACGATTGTCCATTTGACAAGGCTTGTACCAACGGCAATTGCATTGATCCTTGCATCAATGCATTTATCACTTGTGGTCGCGGAGCAGAATGTACAGCTATTGCTCACAAAGCACAGTGCAATTGTCCTCCAGGCACGCAAGGAGATGCTCGCACTGCTTGCATTATTGCTGTTTGCCACTACAACGAGGATTGTGCCGAGGACGAAACTTGCGATAGACTTAATAGAGTTTGTCGAAAGGTTTGCTCCGAAGACAGTTGCGGAGATGAAGCTGTCTGCACTGCTAAAAATCATGAGCCTATGTGTTCCTGTCCACCTGGAACCAAAGGAAACCCATACGTCGAATGCGAAGGTAAAACTGAACAGAAAATAAAATTACTTTAAAAGTTTTGAATTCCTTGCTTCAAACCCTTTTTTTCGGTTATTTCAACAGTTTTGAATACCTTCCTTCAAACCCTTATTTTCGTCAATTTATTTTATTGACATTTTTCCATTTTATTTTTTTCAGGCGAACAATTCAAGCCAGACTGCACGGAAGATAGACAGTGTTCACCAAGTTTTGCCTGTATCAATGCCAGATGTCAAGATCCTTGTTTGGTTGCAAATATGTGTAGCGATGAACAAATTTGCAGGGTTTTCCCGACGGAATATATCCGAACGATTATTTGCGAGTGTCCGAAGGATTCCTACACTGATGAGAACGGAAATTGTATTAAACATGGTAAGAAACTAAATTTTCTTTATCAATTTTAATGAAAATTGAAACACTTAAAATATTTAAGTACTTAATATATTTTACAAATTTGTAATTGTAGAAACGGACAAATGTCATTTGGATGATGAATGCGAAAACCATGAGCGGTGTCTGAGTGGATCTTGCGTTGAAGCTTGTCTTACAGTCCAGTGTGGCTTAAATGCCCAATGTAAATCAACATCTCACTCTGGAATCTGTGCATGCGCTTCTGGTTTCGAAGGAAATCCTTACATAGAATGCTCTCGAGGTACAAATTAAATTTATTACTAAATAAGAGTGTCAACGTAAAATCAGCGCTCGATTAATTATTGACTCGTTCAAATATTTTTAATATTCTTCTCTTCACTTTAGTTTTTTAATCTCTGTTTAATGTTGTAGTTCCTCTTCCACCACCAGTATTTTATCCAGAATGCACATCGAACGATGACTGCTTTTCGGACAAGCAATGTATCAACTCTCGTTGCATCAATCCTTGTCTGGAGGGCAATCCTTGCGGAACAAATTCCTTCTGCCATGTTCGTGTTCATAAAGCCGTATGCAGATGTCCGGAAGAATACTTGGGCAATCCTATTATTGAATGTATTCCACGTAAGTTAATTTCTTTAAGCATCACCTGCTTTGGAATGATCATATAATGGAATTGATTTTTTATTATCTGGATTTTAGCAAAACAAATCGCTGGATGCTTGTCGAACAGTGAATGCGCTGGCACTGAATCTTGTGTCAATGGGTACTGTGTTAGCCCTTGCGATTGCGGACAAAACACCAAATGTTCAGTCGAAAATCATCATCCTTCTTGTGTTTGCTTGCCAGGCTATTCCGGTAATCCTCACTTTGGATGCACCAAGTGTAAGTTTTTATTGATTAAAACTTTATAATTATTAAATTTCAGCTTTTAATATTTTCAAGACACCAATATTCAGGTTTGCTATGCAACCTGGAAACCTGGAAATGTCAGGGAAAATCAGAAACCTTGAAAAAACCTGATAAAGTCAGGGATTTACTGGAAAAAATTAAATTTTTAGAATTCATAAGAAAATTCTGAATATTGGTATCCTTCTTGTTTGCCTCATGAAATATGAAATTACCACGAATTCTAATACAAAACCTTCAATTTTTTCTATTTTTGACAATAATATCTTTTTAAACAAATTATTTCTTGGAAAAAAATCATAAAATTATTTATTCCTTGTAGATTATTTAATAAATAATTTTACTTCAATATTTTAAAATTAATTCAATTTTAAAACAGTCGCGTTTAGAATTTTTATAAATAGATGAGAACTTCAAAAGATTTTAATTTGAAATTTTATAAAATTTCAATTTTCAATGAATTTAATCAGAAATTTTAAAGAACTTAAATTTTTTAAAAATTTTGACTCAAATTCTATCTGTAATTAGTTATATTTTTAATATATATTTAATTAATTATTCAAAATAATGGATTTATTAGAAGAATTTTTGTTAAAAACACTAAAAAAAATTTTATTTTTAAGAAGTTACAAATGATTGCAAAAATTCTTAATTATTTTCAAACATTTTAATAAAATTCTATTCAAATATTTAATTATTTTCAAAAATATTAAAAACTGGATAAAAATTTTATTATTTACAAATTTTTTATAAACCACTTCGCAATAATTCAATTATTTTCATAAATAATAAAATTCTTTTTAGGAATTCCATTATTTTTATAAATAATAAAACTCATCGGAAAATTTCAATTATTCAATAAATTATTTATTTTTGTATTTAAATAATTGAATTCTCATAAAATTTTCTAATAAAAATTGATTTAATTATGAGTATCAGTTAAAAATATTAAGATAATTTAATTTTGGAGAAAAGTTACAAATGATAGTAAAAATTTAATTATTTAAAAAAAATAAAATTCTTTTCCAAAATTCAATTATTTGCACAAATTTTAATAAAATTCTTCTCAAAATTTCAATTTTTTTCAAAATTTTTTTCTTAATTCAATGATTTTTAATATCTACCTATTTTAATAAAATTTTTCAAAAAAAATTCAATTATTCAAAAAAAATGTTAATAAAATTTTACGCAAACATTTAATTATTTTTGTAAATAATAAATGTTTCACAGGAATTCAATTATTTTTGTAATAATTAAAATTTAATACAAATTTTTTATAAATTTATTCGCATAATAAGTTAATTATTTTCACGAATAATAAAATGTTTTACAGAGACTTAATTATTTTTATAAATAATAAAATATTTTGCGGGGATTCAATTATTATCATAAATTATAAAATTCCTTAGGAATTCAATTAATATCATAAATAAAACTCATCGCAGAATTTCAAGTATTTTTAATACAATTACAAATATAAATTCGTCCAAAAATACATTTCTTAATAATTTAATTAAAATTCTTCTAAAAATTTCAATTATTTTCGAAAATTTTAATAAAATTCTGGTCAAGAATTCAATTATCTTCATAAATAATTCAATTCTGCCAAATAATTCAATTTTTCTAATATAATTATACCAAATTGTTTATAAGAATTCAATTATTTTCAATACAATTTAAATTAAATCCTTTAATAGAATTTATTTATTTTCAACATTTTTTTTTTTTTATTTATTTTCAACATTCGCAGAAATTCAATTATTTTCATAAGAAAAACAATATTGTTTGCAGAAAGACGATGTATTTTTAAAAATTATTAACAAAATTTCTGGCAAGAATTTATAAATATTCGAAAATAATTAAATTCTTCGCAAAAAGTAAAGTATTCTTAAAAATTTTATTAAAATTTTTTGAAAGAATTGAATTATTTTTTTTTTAATCAATCAAATTCTTCGAAAAATGTAATTATTCTTAAAAATTTTATTAAAATTCGTCAAAAGAAGTCAATTACTTAAATATTTGTAGATAAAATTCTTTATTAAATTTTAATTTTCAGTAACGTTCAATAAATAAATTATTTCTTTTTGTATTTAAATAATCGACTTCTTGTAGAATTTTCTAATAAAAATTGATTTAAAAATGAATTTTAGTTAAAATGATAGATTATAATTGAAAATTAAATTAATTAATTCTAAATTTTTAGAAACAATTAAATTTCGAAAAGGTTTCAAATTAAAATCTTTGATTTGAATTTTTCATACTTTTAACTAAACATTTCTGTAGAATTAATTTTTTTTTAAAAGTTTAATTCAATTTTATTGAAATTATTTTAAGTTTTTATTTTCTAATATATAATTGAAGAATTTCCGAATAATCGATAAAATTTCGTAAAATTGAATTGTAAGCAAATGGATTTGAAAATTCTTAAAGAACTTTTTGAAAAATTATAAAAAATAATTGATTTAAAGAAGAATTTTAGTTAAAAATTGTAGAAAATAAGAATTTAAATGTTTTAAAGAAATGTTTTGAAGTTATTGATGTTTCCGAATTATTTTACAATTAATAAAATTCACAAATAAAAGTATTAGAACATTTTTTAGAGTGAATCAGAATATTCTTTAGATGCAGGGAAAAAGTCAAAATTTTTATCTGGAAATCAGGGAAAAACAAAATAATTTATTAGAGTTATTTAATTTGGTAAAAAATAATAAATTTTTTTAGTTTTAAAAAGCTGGAAACCTTTGAAAGTCAGGGAATTTCGAATGATCAAGAGTGTGGCAACCCCGAATATAATACGTTAATACATTTTCTTTTTAACTTTCCAGTGGAATGTGAAGCAGACAGCGATTGTCGATTCTCCGACACATGTTACAATGGCCAGTGTATGAATCCCTGTATTCTGGAGAACAAGTGTGCAATTAATGCCGAATGTTTCGGAGCCAATCACCGAGCAACTTGTAAATGTGGTTTAGGATTCTTTGGAAATCCGGATGTCTATTGCGAACGAGCGGAATGTACCACAAAATACGATTGTCCATCAAATTTGGCGTGTCATAACAGCAGATGCGTCAATCCATGCACCCACGATTCTCCATGCGCACAAAATGCCATTTGCTACGTTCAAAATCATGTCGCATCATGTCGCTGTCCAGAAAATCTGCCCAATGGAAATCCATTCTCCTACTGCGAACGCCTTCCACCTGAAGATAAACCCGAGTGCGCGAAAGATTTAGATTGTCCCAGTAAATTGGCCTGTATCAAGGAGACCTGTGTCGATCCATGCGCTGTTATACGACCGTGCTTCGAAAACGCTCGCTGCAGTGTCTTCGATAACGTTCCTGTGAGGACGATGGCCTGCACTTGTCCTGACGGCTGGATTACCGACAAAGAAGGAATCTGCAAACGAAGTATGTTAATATAGTTAATGATAATAATCATTTTTAAATCTTAAAGAAAATTTCTAGGCGCAGGACTCGAATAGGTCCGTAAATCCCGTAAAGGTCCGTAAATTTGCTTCCAGTCTGTAAATATAAGTTTTTTTACAAAAAGGTCCGTAAAGACCGTAAATTGATTGAAAAAGGACGAAAAGTTCGTACATTGTACGATATAATTTGGAGAATTTTAGAGAAATTACAAATGATTGCAGAAATTCAATTATTTTCAAAAGTAAAAATATTCTTCACAGAAATTCAATTATGTTCAAAAATTTCTAAAACTTTTCGTCAAAATTTCAATTATATTTAAAAATAATAAAATTCTTTTCCGAAATTTAATCATTTTCTCAAAAGTTTTAATAAAATTCTTGGCAAAATTTCAATTATTTTTAAAACTTTTCCTCAATTCAATGATTTTTAATAACTATTATTTTAATAAAATTTTCCGAAAATTATTTATTCAATTATTTCAAAAAAATGATAATAAAATTCTATGCAAACATTCAATTATTTTCATAAATAATAAAAGTTTAACAGGAATTCAATTATCTACAAATTTTTTATAAATTTCTTCTTCTATTTCTTTATACATAGAATTTTTTACAGAGATTCAATTATTTTCATAAATAATAATTTTTTACTGAGATTCAATTATTTTCATTTTTTCATAAATATCTAATAAAACTCATAAAAATAATTGAATTTTGAAAAGGTTTCAAACTAAAATCTTTGAAAATTTAAATTTTTTTTCTTTTAACTAACAATTCTGTAGAATTAATTTTTATTTGAAAAATTTTAATGGAGTTTTTTTTTAAATTATTCAAAGTTTTTATTTTCTAATATATATTTAATTGAAGAATTTCCGAATAATTGAAATTTTGTAAAATTTAACTGTAAACAAATGAATTTTGAAATTCTCAAAGATCTTTTTCATAGATTATTAAAAATTAGCAAATGCTAAAAGCGCTATAGTGATATGTTCAAATTATTGTTATTATGCAAATTACAAAATTTTCTATTTTCAGACATAAATTTTTAAATAATTTCATAATAAAAGTTTAAAATATCAGTTTTTAAAATTATTATTGTTTATATTTTCAAAAATTTAAGAATTCAATTATTTTTACAAATAGAAAAAATTTTTTATAAAAATTTATTTTTTTAACAAAATTTTAATTAAATTTTTCGAAAGAAATCCATTATTTTCTAAAATTTTAATAAATCTTTTGAAACAATTCAATTATTTTCCATAAAATTTCTCGAAAGAATTCAATTTTATTCTTAATTGGTTATAAAATTTTCCAAAAGAATTCAATTATTTTTATAAATAGTAAAATTTTTGTCAGGAATTCAATTACTTTTTAATTAAATTTGTCGAAAGAATTCCATTATTTTCTAAAATGTTAATAATTTCTTCGAAACTATTCAATTATTTTTAACAATAGTGAAATTCAATTGTTTTTATAAATATAGTAAAATTTTTTGTAAAAATTAAATTTTTTCAAAAAAAAAAAATTAATAAAATTTCACCATAGAATTTAACTTTTTTTAAAAATTTTAATAAATCCTTTGAAACAATTCAATTATTTTTTTAATTAGTAAAAACTTTACAAAAATTCAATTATTTTCCAGAAAATTTCACGAAAGAATTCAATTTTATTCTTAATTCGTTATAACATTTTTCAGAAGAATTCAATTATTTTTATAAATAATAAAATTCTTTGCAAAAATTCAATTATTTAAAAATTTTTTTAATTAAATTTTTCGAGAGAATTCCATTATTTTCTAAAATTTTCATAAATTCCTCGAAACTATTCAATTATTTTTAAAAATAGTAAAATTCAATAATTTTTAAAAACAGTAAAATTTAATTATTTTTATAAATAATAAAATTCTTCTCAGGATTCAATTCTTTTTAAAAGTAATAAAATTTTTCCCACAAATTCAATTATGTTAACAAATTTACAAAAATTTCAATTTTCTTTATAAATAATAAATTTTTTCTCCGAAATTCAAATATTTCCAAAAATTTTTATAAAATTCTTGGCAGAATTTCAATTATTTTTAATACAATTTTCATTAAATTTCTCAGAAAATGAAATGAAATGGTTACAGTAACCAAGTTGCAAGATTTAATTATTATAAAACAGGAAGATATCGATGTTCACTGTGTAATCGCTTTCTTCACGTTTTATAATAATATTCTCAGGTATAATTATATGTTATTAAAATTAAAATTTTTGAAAATCTTAATTTCTATGTAAACATAATAATGATTAAGTATTTATTTAAAAATTTTTTATTTTATTTTTTATTTTATTTTAAAGACCTGGAAAAATTTCGTTTTTTAACCTGGAAACCTGGAAAAGTCAGGGAATTTAAAAAGAGCAAACGCGTGACAACTTTTTCTATTAATTATTATAAACTTTATTAGAATTCGTCGAAAGAATTCAATTATTTAAAAATTTGTTGATAACATTCTTTATGAGAATTCAATTTTAAGAAATATTGAATTATTGAATAAATTATTTATTTCTGTATTTAAATTATTGAATTCTAGTAGAACTTTCTACTAAAAATTGATTTCAAAATGAATTTCAGTTTAAATTTTAGATAATAATTGAATATTAAAAGCAATCTAGCGTGAATTTTTAGAAATAATTGATTTTTTTTAATTATTTGAATTTTTTATTAAAAAATTTTATTAAAAAATTTTTTTTTTCATTTTGTAAAAATGAATATTGTAAAAAAATGGATTTGAAAATTGTCAAAGAATTATTTAGAAAATTATTAAAAATGATTGATTGAAAGAAGAATTTCTTTTAAGAATTCTGGAAAAGAATAATTGAATTGAAATGATGAAAATAATTTTGAAGAAGATACAGTAACAATATTCTTATTAATAAAAAATAATGATTTTATCATTGGGCAATCTTTAACTATTATAGAACATGAAGAAATTTAGTTTATAGTTTTATGTAAAATGTTCTCTTATTTGACTTGGACTGGTTATATTTTGGTCAGCAATTAGTCCGTAAATGGTCCGTAACTTTTCATTTTTGGTCCGTAAAGTCTGTATTTTTAAATACTGTCACTGGTTCGAGCCCTGTAGGCGGTTGAGAAGTATAAAGTAATTTTAATGAAAAATAATTCTTTTCAGTTGTAATCACAACGCCAAATGGATGTATTTCAAACGATGAATGTCCCGACAACCAGTCTTGCATCAACCGTCAATGTCGGGACCCATGCAGCTGCGGAACGAACGCCGTTTGCTATGTTAAGAATCACCAACCGATATGTTCCTGTCAGAAGGGATATCAGGGTCTTCCTGACGTCGCCTGTTTCCCTGTCGAATGTCAGCGAGATTCGGAGTGCATGCCAGACAAGGCGTGCCACAACGGAAAATGCGTGAACCCTTGTCTTGTGTCCGAGTCCTGCGGCACGAATGCAGAATGCTTTGTTCGTAACCACGAAGCAATTTGCCGCTGCCAGTCAGGTTTCCGCGGTAACGCTCAGGACATGTGTCGCATCATCGGATGCTACAGTAACAGCGACTGTCCCAGTGATCACGCCTGCGTCAATTCTCAGTGCGTCAATCCGTGTCTTCGAGACAATCCTTGCACTTCGCGCGCCAACTGCGTTGTTCACAATCATCTTCCAATTTGCAAGTGTCAACACCAATTGACGGGAAATCCGTACGTCAGCTGCCAACCACGACCCGAACCTGAGTGCCGTGACGATGACGACTGTCCCACTCTGACTGCTTGCATCAACAAGAAATGCCAAAATCCCTGCACTGCCATTCAACCGTGCACTGAGCCCGCTGAATGCAGAGTCCTTCCGAATTATTCCGTGAGATCGTTGATCTGCGTTTGCCCGAGTGGCTACATCAGCAGTGGCAGTGGCACTTGTGAGCCAATTCTCATCGACGCTGTCTGCCGGAGGGACAGTGATTGTCCCTCTGACCGGGCTTGCATCAACGCACTCTGTAAGGATCCTTGTGCATGTGGTTCGAATGCAGTTTGCAACATCAAGGATCATAAGCCAATTTGTTCTTGTCTTCCTGGATATGACGGGAACTCTGAAGTTCACTGCAGCAAAAGTGAGTTACATTTTCTCTACTTACTACTTTATAAAATTTACTAGCAAATAAACATCAATCTTTGAATGTCATTTGACCGAACTGTCATTTTACCGAATTGCATTTATCCGAATTGCCACTTTTGCGAAAAGTTATTTTTTCAAATTGTCATTTTTGCGATTTGTCATTTATGCAAACTGCCATTTTTTCGAATTGTCATTTTTGCAAACAGCCATTTTTGCGAATTGTCATTTTTACAAAATGTCACTGTTGCGAATTGTCGCATAAATGACAATTCGCAAAAGTGACAATTCGTGAAAATGGCGATTCGCAAAAATGACATTTCGTAAAAATGACTATCCGCAAAAGTGACAATTTTTAAAAATGTCAATTTACAAAAGTGACATTTCGTAAAAATGGCGATTCACAAAAGTGACATTTCGTAAAGATGACAATTCGTAAAAATGTCGATTCGCAAAAATGACATTTCGTAAAAATGACTATCCGCAAAAGTGACAATTTTTAAAAATGTCAATTTACAAAAGTGACATTTCGTAAAAATGACAATTCGAAATAGTAAAAATTCGTGAAAATGGCGATTCGCAAAAATGACAATTCGTAAAAATGATATTTCGCAAAAATGACTTTTCGCAAAAGTGGCAATTCGTAAAAATAGCGATTCGCAAAAGTGACATTTCGTTAAAATAACAGTTCGAATAAATGCAATTCGGTAAAATGACAGTTCGGTCAAATGACATTTGGGGAATAATCATGCGCCTCCTTTGAATGATTACAGATTTAAAATTTAAAGAATTCACTTATTAAGAACATAATATTAAATATTCTTGTTTACTACTATTCAAAAATTTTAATAAAATTTGTCGCAAGAATTTAATTATTCTCATAAATATTAAAATTCTTCACAAAAATTCAATAATTTTCAAAACAATTTAAATAAAATTTCTCGAAGGAATAAAATTATTTTTCAAAATATTAATTAAATTCGATTTTTTTCATATTCAATTATTTTCAACAATTTTAATGAAATTCTTTTTAAAAACATAATTATTTTCAAAATTTTCAATAAAATTTTTTCAAATATTCAATTTATTATTTTAAAAATTCTGATAAAATTCATTGAAACTCAATCGATTTTATGAATTCTAATATACTTCTCAAAAATTCAATTATTTTTAAAAATAAGAAAATTCTTCGCGAGAATTAAAATATTTGTATAAATAATAAAATTCTACAAAGGGATTTAATTATTTTTAATATAATGTTCATAAAATTTCTCAAAAGAATACAATTATTATTAAAAATGTTAGTTGAATTCAATTTTTTTCAAGAGTTTTAACAAAAATTATATAGAATTGAATAGTTGAATTCAATTATTTTTAAGAGTTTTAACAAAAATTTAATTAATTTCAACAATTGTGATATAAAATTTTTCGAAACAATTCAATTATTTTTATAAATTGTAAACTTCTTGGCAAGAATTCAATTATTTTTGCGTATATAATTAAATTCTTCGGAGAAATACAATTATTATAAAATTTCTAGGAAAAAATTCAATTATATTCAAGATTGTTTTAATAAAATTTCTCTAACAGGTTCAATTATTTTTAAAAATTGTAATCAAATTTTTCTAAACAATTTAATTACTTATTCTTAAAAGTTTTTAATAAAATTCTTTGTAAATTTCAATTATTTTCAAAATTTTCAATTAAAATTACTTTAAAAATTACATTATTTTTACGAAATTTAATGAAATTTTTCAAGAAAAATGTAATTATTCATAAAAACTCAAATAAAATTATTTAAAAGAATTTAATTTTCTGTGAATAATTTTTACATAATTCAATAGGAAAATCGTTAATTACAATTAATAATAAACACGATTATATTGAAAAAATTTAATAGAAATTCTTCTTAAAGTTCAATTATTTTCAAAACTTTCAGTGAAAAGTAATAAAGAAAACTTTATTATTTTCAAGGAAAATTGAAATAAATTCTTCAAAAGAATTTAATTAATTTAAAGAATTTTAAATACAATTTTAAATACAATAATTGAATTGAAATGAAAATAATTGAATTTTCTCGGAGAATTTTTACAAGATTTTTAAAAATAATTGAAATTTTCGAAGAAATCAATTAAAATTGTATTGAAAATAAGTTAAATTCTGGTAAGAATTTTATTATTTACGTAAAAATAATTGAATTCTTTACGAAGATTTTTATTATATTTATAAATTGATTAAAGAATTATATTACAATTATTGAAAATAATTGAATTCTTCATAAAATTCAATTATTTTCAAATTTTTTTAAGAAATATTACAAGAATTCAATGATTTTCAGTACATTAATTTAAAAATTTTAAATATTTTAAAAGAAAACTTAAGTATTTTTTAAAAAGTTAGGAAACAATTATTTTCATAAATAATATCATTCTTCGTAAGAATTCAATTATTTTTTCAAATAGTAAAATTTTTTGCTAAAATTTAATTATTATCAAATTTTTTGATGAAATTCTTTTCAAAAATTGGATGATTTTGAATACATTAATTTTAAAATAGAAAATATTTGGAAAGAAAAATTATTAAAAAATTTAAGTAACAACAAAGCAAACAACTGCGAACAGATTACCGGAATACAACGATTATTAATATAGAAAGATTGTTATATGCAAAGATTGTCAATGCAATGAAAATTGTTGTTTATTAATTAAGTAGATGTTCACATTAGGTAAAGGAAAAAATTATTGTTGCTTTCTGATGCAAGCAATGTTTCAAAAAATATTTTAATAGCAGTTATTTTATGATTATCACTAATTATCCTATTTAACTTTGTTTTCTAGTTGTTGGTTGTCGGTCTGATAATGAATGTAGTGGCACTCATTCTTGCATCAATCGAAGTTGCGTGCCTGCGTGTGCGTCTTCGCCGTGCGGAAGGGGAGCCGAGTGCCTTGCCTTATATCACAAAGCAATATGCGAATGTCCTGTTGGTTATGGCGGCAATCCGCGAGAAGCTTGTGTTCTCCTCGGTTGTCGAAGTAACTCCGATTGTCCCACAGACAAGGCTTGTATTAATCGAAGATGTGAAAACCCCTGCACTCTCAATCCTTGTACAGGACAAACTGACTGCCACGTTCATAATCATGCTGTCGAGTGCCTATGCCCCGAAGGATTTGTCGGAGATACTAGAAACGGATGCGCTCGAGGTATATTTCCAAATAAAAGATTCTGAAAATTAAAATTTAAAAAAAAAAAAAAATTTAATTTAAATTATAAAATTAAAATTAACTTTTATTTTGAGCAAAGTCTAAATGTTCCGTAATATTTGTCAACAGTGGATATAGGATGCATTAGTGATTCGGATTGTCCTTCACAAACGGCGTGTTTCAATGGCGAATGTATAAATCCATGTGAGAAGGTTCAACCTTGCGGAATTAATGCTCAATGCAAAGTTCTCGATATCATGCCTGTCAGACTGATGATATGCGAGTGTCTTCCCAGTTATCGAGGATACGCAATAGATCGCTGTGTTGGAGGTATTTATTAATATTCAAAATAAATTAATTTAATTTTCATTTGTTCACTAATTCTTAGGAGAGTCAAAATTTCTGAACTGGGCAATCTGATGCAAACTTTAAATTTTTTAAATTTGCATTATATCTAAACATAATTTGTTACAGCCGGGTGGTACAAAAACATTCCTGGAATGCGTTTAGAAAATTTTAGAAAATTCACAAATTTCTTCTTTGTTGTTTCATGAAATTTAATAATATTTGGTAGAGATATACAAAAATAATGCCTCTATTAATAACAAACAAGAATTTGAAAAATTCGAAAATATTTAAGCAAAATCAATTGTTAATTAATTAAACTAATTGTTTAATTAATTAACAATTGATTTTGCATAAATAATCTCGAATTTTTTAAATTCTTGTTCGTTATTAATAGAGGCATTATTTTAATTAAGTTTTAAGTGACTTCGGGAACAGTTACGAAAAAAATTCAAAAACTACAAAAATCTATGTTTTCTACAATTGAATTGAACAAAAAAAATTTTAGTACCTTTAAAAATTGAGCAAATGACATAATTTTAAAAAGCGACGTGCAAGCGTAATAAAAAAATCATAAAATGGTAAAAAATATTCTTTTGGCTTCATTAATTAAAAAAATTAATCAAAAAACGATATTAAAATAATGTTTGAGTGTTTCTGATGTATGAAAAAGTATAACAATTTATTAAATTGTTTAAACAATTCATTGTTATTTTTTTCATAAACTGTACTTAGGGATAGGAATTTCTAGTTTTTTCTCATATTGTGAAATTTTTCACGAGCAGTACAACATCTACTAATGATAAAAAATAATTTATTTATTAAATTTATTAAACAATTAATTGTTATTATTCTTATCATAAAATGTACTAAGGGCTAAAAATTTATAGTTTTTTCTGAATTGCGCATTTTTTGTAATTAAAACATTCAAGTATAAAAGAAACTAAAAATTAATTATTTAAGCATTGTTTAAACAATTTATTTTGTTAATTTTTCAATTGATTGTATTTAGAAAAATATAGAAATTTCTAGTCCTAAGTGCAGTTTATGAAAAAATGATAACAATACATTGGTTAAACGGTTTTAAAATAAATAATTTATTTCTTATCATTAGTAAATATTTTACTCATGAAAAATTGCACAGTTGAGAAAAAACTAGTAATTTCTAACCGTAAGTACAGTTTATGAAAAAAATAAAAAGAATTAATTGTATAAACAATTTAATAAATAAATTATTTTTTATAATTGTTATCATTAGTAGATGTTCTACTTCTAAAAAAATGCACAATTGAGAAAAAAACTAAAAACTTCTCGCCCTCAGTACAGTTTATGAAAAAAAATAATGACAATTAATTGTTTAAACAATGTTTAATTATCTTATTTTTTAATTTTTTTATCTTTCTATGGTTTAATTCTGACAAATTGGACAGTTGAGAAAAAACTAGAAATTTCTAGCCCTAAGTACAGTTCATGAAAAAAAGTAACAATTAATTGTTTAAACAATTTTTAAATAAATAATTTTTTAATTTTTATCATTAGTAGATGTTGAACTTTTGAAAAATTGCACAATTGAGAAAAACTAGTAATTTCTAGCTCTAAGTACAATTTATAAGAAAATAACAACAATTACTTGTTTAAACCATGTTTAATTAATTTAGTTTTTATTTTTTATGATTAGATGTTTTACTTATGACAAATTTCACAATTGAGAAAAACTAGAAATTTCTAGCCCTAAGTACAATTTATAAAAAAATAACAACAATTAATTGTTTAAACAATTTAATAAATTGTTATACTTTTTTCATACATCAGAAACACTCAATTATTATTATTTTTTTTATTAATTCTCTTAATTAATGAAGCTAAAAAAATATTTTTTACAATTTATTTACAAATTATTATTCAATGATTTTCTTAAATAGTAACATTTTTTACAGGGATTCAATTATTTTTATAAATACTGTAAATACATAATAAAACTCATCGCATGCCTACTTTAAATTATTTTTAATTTTTAATACAATTTTAATTAAATTCCTCAAAAAAAGTAATTATTATTAAAAATGTTATTAAAATTCAGCAAAGAAATTCAATTATTCTCAAAATTTTATTAAAATTCAGCATAGAAATTCAATTATTTTAAAAACTTTTGCTACAATTTATTTATTAGCAATTTAATTATTATTTTCAATACATTTTTAAATAAATTTCTTTAAAAAATTGAATTATTTTCATAAATAATGAAATTCTTTGTAACAATAAAATTTTTTTCAAAATAATTTTCATAAAATTCTTTGTAGAAATTTAATTAATTTCAAAAATTTGTCAAAATTCAATTATTTTCAATATCTACTAGTTCAATAAAATTTCACCAAAGAATTGACTTATTTAAAAAGAAATTTTAATAAAATTCGTCTCAAGAATTCAACTATTTTCAAATCGCAAAAATCCAATTGTGTAAAAAAATTTACAAAAATTCTCGTCAAAATTTCAATTATCTTTATAAAAAATAAAACTCCTCTCCGAAATTCAATTATTTTCAAAAATTTTTAATATAATTTTCATGAAATTTCTCAAAAAATGAAATTCTTCTTAAAAATTTTATTAAAATTTGTCAAGAGAATTAAATTATTAAAAAAATTTTTTTGATAAAATTCTTTGTATGAAAATTCAATTTTAAAAAACATTTAATTATTTAATTAAATATTTATTTTTGCAGTTAAATAATTGAATTCTCCTAGAATTTTTTAATAAATATTGATTTAAAAATGAATTTCAGTTAAAATTTTAGATTAAAATTGAATATTGAAAGCATTTTAGCGTGGATTTTTAGAAATAATTGAATTTTCAAAAGGTTTCAAATTAAAATCTTTGAAAATTTGAACTTTTCATAATTTTAATTAAGAATTCTGTAGAATTAATTTTTTTCAAAAAGTTTAATGGAATTTTTTTTTAATTATTTAAAGTTTTTAATTTCTAATGTTAAGTTATTTGAAAATTTTCAAATAACTTTTTCAAAAATTATTTTTAAAAAATTTACCTAAAGAAGAATTTTAGTTGAAAATGCTAGAAATTTAAAATTTGACAAACTTAATATATATGAATATATTAACATTAAAATTTATAACTTATGAAATGATTCTGTAAATTGCACAGTTTTTTGTATTAAAATTTAATCTCTTTGCAAACTTGAAAATTTGAAAAATTTTGAAAATTAACAAAATGGCGGCCATTTTCCGAAAAATCAAAATTGTCAATTTTCTTAAAAACATCATTTTTTATTTTTCTTAAAATTTTTGTGTGATTACTAGATGAAAAAAGGAATTAATTTTAAAAGGTTTCATGTCCGCTAAAACTGTTTGGAAGTCGCAATAATTTTTTTCAGAAAATAACAAATCTCATTATTTTGAGTAATGTATCGGCATATATATATTTTGCATGTTTATGTTTTTCGATGATTAGTAGTGTTTTTGGTACCTACTTTTTATTTGCAAACTTAAAAATTTTATAAATATTCATTTGGAGGTTTTTGGGGTCGCTGAGTTAGAATATTTGGTTAAAATTTTATAATTCAAAATGGCGACCAAAAGAATTTAACGGTCGCCATTTTGTTAATTTAAAAAATTTTTAAGTTTGCAAATAAAAAGTACCAAAAACACTACTAATCATCGAAAAACATAAACATGCAATAAATATATATATATATTTTGATACATTTATACTCGTATCAACTCTCTAAAACTGAATCAGTGAAATTTGACTGAGAATAACTGACTCTATTGTCTATTCTCGCGATTTGAATCAGTGAAATTTCACTGAAGATCAGTTAAAAATGATTGAAATTTCTGTCATTTTTCACTGATTGGCCAATATTCAAGAATAACTGAAATTTTCAATATGTGTGACAGAAATTTTCAGTAGTTTATTAATTGGCGAATTAGTTAAAAATAACTGATATTTCAGTTATTTTTAACTGATTTTCAGTGAAATTCCACTGATTCAAATCGCGAGAATAGAGTCACCGATTCTCAGTCAAATTTCACTGCTTTTCAGTGGAACTTCACTGATTAAGATTTAGAGAGAAAATCCCATGTAGAAATTTCCCTACTTGTCCCTACCAAATGTTGGATTCTGATTAGAACCATCCTAGAAAATCTACTCTAGAAAAATCTGTCTAGAACCTCGCTAGATTCTGACTAGAATCTCTAGTCTACAAAAACTAATCGGTTTCCAATCAAATTCTAGTTAAAGAATTATTATTACTAATTTTGTTTTATAAAGAATTATTATTAATTGATATTATTATTTATTATTTTAATAATTTAAATAATTTAATAACTTTATAATTTTTTAATTTAAATTATTATTAGATTATAAAGAATTATTATTAATTGAAATTATTAGATAATTCAGACTAGAAAAACTCACTAGGACCTTATTGATTTCCAACTAGCGACAAACTAGTGTACAAGTAATATACATAAATTGTCTTTCTATAAATAAATATTTTTATGAATTGTCAAAAACATTTTAAAGTATAATTGCACTTACATATATTTTTAAATAATTATTTTTACGGATAATATTACAATATTTAGGTAATAAAAATTAATTATACTCACATAATTAATATTTATTTGTGTCTTATTCTTTTAATTTACTTATTAAATAAAAGATTTTTATTTAATAAAATTGTTTTATTGGAATTTTATGTAAGAATGTTCTACAATATTAAAAATTGGGTTTCAAATATGTTAAAAAATGAAATAATTAAATAGTATGCAAAATTTTTTAAAAAATAATGCTGGTAAAAATTATTTAACTAGAATTTGATTGGAACCCGACTAGTTTTTCTAGACTAGAGATTCTAGTTAGAATCTAGCGAGAGCCCTACTAGAGATAGGGGCAAATGGTGAATTGCTGCACGGGATGTTATTTAAGCGGAGGTGCTTCCAAGCTATCACGGCCGGGAGGTATGTGTATCCGACTGGAGTCCCCAAGGTCCAAGGTTCGATCCCCCATGGGCACGAGATTTTTCAACTCAAGTTTCAGGTTTTTCGTGTACAACATTCATTAATAATGTTAATATGAATGAAGAATTTAATTATAAATAGGTTAAGTTGAAAAATAATAATTTTTAAAAGTCAACTAGAAAATTCTAGTCGGGGCCCTATCAACACACAGCTAGTTTTAATACTAGTTCCCGACTAGATATTCTAGTCTATACCCCATCTGCCGACCGTTATGAAAGTAGTTGGGTTCTAACGATTTTCTCTAATCAGTTCCCCACTACAGATAGGGAATTCTGGCTAGGACCCCATAAAATTCCAATCTCAATTTCTGCATGGGATAATGAGATTTGTTATTTTCTGAAAAAAATTATTTCGACTTCCAAACAGTTTTAGCGGACATGAAACTTTCTAAAATTAGTTCCTTTTTTCATCTAGTAATCACACAAAAATTTAAAAAAAAATAAAAAATGATGTTTTTGAGAAAATTGACTTTTTTTATTTTTCGGAAAATGGCCGCCATTTGGTTAATTTTCAAATTTTCAAGTTTGCAAAGAAAAAGTATCAAAAACACTACTAAAATCAAGAAAAAAAATTGAAAAATATTTATTTTTGCAAAAATTAGAAAGATTTGAAAATAATTTGTCAGCTGTTTAGCTCTAAAATGTCCTAAAATTTTCAAACACTCATAACTCAGCTAAAAATTTTTGTTTTCCCTAAATAAAAAAATACGTGTCTCTTTAATTGTCCTAAAGAACAAGAAAAATTACCCTTAACTTGATTTATAATTTAAACCTATTCGCCCTGCATGAATTGAAATAGAATCAGCCTATAATCATGAATTTTTTTAATTCTTGCTGTTATTACTAGAAGCATTATTTTTGTACATCTCTGACAAATATTATTAAATTCTATCAAAAAACAATGAAGCAATAGTGAATTTTCTAAAAAGGTACATACTTTAAAGTTTAATTGTTTATAACTAATTGAAAAATTAAAATTCTTTGAATGTTTTCAATATAATATTGTGGATTCTGAACAAATGCAACCTTAAAGATTTTGACTAAATTTGAAAGAATCGAAAAAATGATATTTCCTCTTTCAGTGAAAATATGTCCGATTGAGAAGGGCCAGATACGTGACGAGAATGACAATTGTGTGTGTCCACCTGGTAAGGCTAAGGATGAGAATGACATTTGTGTGATTTGTCGAAAGGAAATTGGAATGGTAATAAACAAAGAAGGTGAATGTGTGTGTGCTCTTGAGAAGGGAATGATAATTGATGAGCATGGAAATTGCCGCTGTCCCGAGGAACACGGATACGTCCTGGACATTTATGGATATTGCAAGCCAGGTATTTATTAATCATTATCCCCCTGTCATTTATTTCTAATTCAGCTTCATTATTCATTTCATCTAATCTGCTTCTCTTTTCGCGTTACGCATTCGAATTCGAATTTTCGAAATTTAATGCAACTTAATTTTAAAGTGAAACAATGCTTCCGGGATGATGAATGCCCTGACGATAAATTGTGCTCGCCATTGAATTTCAAATGCGAAAATCCATGCGAGGATAAGATTTGTTCGAATGCGTACTGCACTGCAGAGAATCATCGAGCAATCTGTAAATGCATCGAAGGTTACTCTGGTATAAATTGCGGTGAGTTCGCTATTCACATCCATTTGGGTTCAGCGAAAAATTCATTCATATTCGTAATAATATCAGCCTCATATCACAATAAGACGATCGTGTTCATCATGTTACAGCGAAATCTTATTTTCATTTACAGAAAACAAAAATACAACAGTTTACCGAACGGACTTCCCGAAATCAGAAGTTGAAGCACACTGTCTGTCTGATGGAATTGAAGTGGATATCAACTTTTACAATAGCACAGTAACGGATGGTTTTGATGGGGTTCTGTACGTGAAAGGTCATAGTAAAGAAGAGAACTGTCGAAGAATTATTTCCCTAGATCGTGGAATGAACAATCACCATTTGAAGTTCAAAGTCAAGTTCGGAACCTGTGGATTAATTCACATTAATGTAAGTTTTTTTAAAAAGTTTTAAAAGTTTTTTAAAAGATAAACAGTTTTTAATTCATCAGGGTTGACACGCAAATTGGAAACCTGAAAAACCTGAAAAAGTCAGGGATTTTTATTAAAAGTACTGGAAAAAATTAAATTTTTAAAATTCATAAGAACATTTTTTTGTTTGCCTCATAAACTATGAAATTACCACAAATTTTAATACGAAACCTTCAATTTTCTCTATTTCTGACAATAATTTCTTTTTTTCTTAATTCTTGAAAAACTATCATAAAATTATTACTTGTAAATTATTTAATAAATAATTTAACTTCAATATTTCAAAATTAATTCAATTTTGAAAGAGTTGCGTTATTACAATTTTCATAAATGGATCAACTTCAAAAGATTATATTTATTTATTTATTTAATATACATTCCCGCAATACAATATTGGACCACAAATGGGTAACTAGCGAAACATAAAACAATTAAGTATTACAATTATTAATAGTAAGAAAAGTTTTATAATTTTATAACAAAAACAATTTTTCTCTTTTCAAACTTAATAGTTTTAAAATAAAAGTATTTTATGGTTGCTCACGAAGTCCGATAACATAGTTTTTTGCGCATTCAGTGAATTTAATTTTGCGACGCCATTTAATTTGAAATTTTATGAAATTTCAATTTTCAATGAATTTAATTAGAAAATTTAAAGAATTTAGATTTCTGAAAAATTTTGTTTTTTTTTAGTTAAAGTTTTTAAATATATTTAATTATTAAAAATAATGAATTTACAGAAGAATTTTAGTTAAAAACACTTAAAAAATTGAATTTTGAAAAAGAATACAAATAATTGAATAAATTCAATTACATTTTCAAACATTTTAATAAAATTCTACTCAAATATTTAATTATTTTCAAAAATAATAAAAACTTCATTGAAATTCTATTAATTACAAATTTTTTATAAATTTCTTCGCAATAATTCAATTATTTTCTTAAATAATAAAATTCATTTTAGGAATTCAATTACCTTTTTTTAAATAATAAACCTCATCGCAAAATTTCAATTATTGCTAATACAATTTTAATCGAATTCAATAAATTATTTATTTTTGTATTTAAATAATTGAATTCTCATAAAATTTTCTAATAAAAATTGATTTAAGACTATTAGTTAAAAACACTAAAATAATTGAATTTTTGAAAAAAGTTACAAATGATAGTACAAATTCAATTATTTAAAAAAAAAATTCTTCGCAAAAATTCAATTACATATGTTTAAAAATTTTAATAATATTCTTGGCAAACTTTTAATTATCTTTATAAATAGTAAAATTCTTTTCCAAAATTCAATTATTTTTAAAAATTGTAATAAAATTCTTGACAAAATTTCAATTATTTTCAAAAATTTTCCTCAATTCAATGATTTTCAATATTTCCTATTTTAATAAAATTTTCCAAAAGAATTCAATTATTTAAAAGAAATTTTAATAAAATTCTACGCAAACATTTAATTATTTTTATAAATAAAAAAAATTTCCCAGGAATTCAAATATTTTTTAATAATTTAAATTTAATACAAATTTTTTATAAATTTCTTCACATAATAATTCAATTATTTTCGTGAGAAATAAAATTTTTTACATGGACTCAATTATTTTTATAAATAATAAAATGTTTTACAGGGATTCAATTATTTTCATAAATAATAAAATTCTTTTTAGGAATTAAATTATTTTCATAAATAAAACTCATCGCAGAATTTCAATTATTTTTGATACAATTACAAATATAAATTCCTCAAAATATGCATTTCTTAATAATTTTATTAAAATTCTTCTAAAAAATTCAATTATTTTCAAAAATTTTAATAAAATTCTTCGTAAAAATTCAATTATTTTTATTTAATGACACAGAATTGTTTATAAGAATTCAATTACTTTTTATAAAATTTAAATTAAATTTCTTAAAAGAATTCAATTATTTTCTATAAAATTTAAATTAAATTCCTTAAAAAAATTTATTTATTTATTTTCAACATTTTTAATACAATTATTCGCAGAAATTCAATTATTTTCATCAAAAGCAATACTGTTTGCAGAAAGTCGATTTATTTTTAAAAATTTTAATAAAAATCCTGGCAAGAATTTATAAATATTTCTAAATAATTAAGTTCTTCTAAAAAAGTCAATTATTCTTAAAAATTTTATTAAAATTCTTTGAAAGAATTGAATTACGTTTATTTTTAATAGAATTTCAATCAAATTCCTCGAAAAATGTAATTATTTAAAAAAATTTTATTAAAATTCATCGAAAGAATTCAATTATTTAAAAATTTTTTGATAAAATTCTATATGAGAATCCAATTTTAAGAAAAATCCAATAAATAAGTTATTTCTTTTTGTATTTAAATAATTCACTTCTCATAGAATTTTCTAATAAAAATTGATTTAAAAATTAATTTCAGTTAAAATGATAGATTATAATTGAAAATTAAATTAATTAATTTTAAATTTTCGAAATAATTGAATTTTGAAAGGGTTTCAAATTAAAATCTTTGAAAATTTGAATTTTCCATACTAAACTTTTCTGTAGAATTAATTCGTTTGGAAAAGTTTAATTGATTTTTTTAAAAATTATTTGAAGTTTTTATTTTCTAATATATTCGAAGAATTTCCAAATAATCGATGAAATTTCGTAAAAATGAATATTGTAAACAAATAAATTTGAAAATTCTCAAAGAACTTTTTGAATAATTATAAAATATTATTGATTTAAAGAAGAATTTTAGTTAATAATTTTAGAAAATAAGAGTTGAACTGAAATGATGAAAATAATTTTTAATCTAATAATATAAACTAATGATTTTATCACTCAGTCTTGTTTTATATAATAATATTCTTCTAAGTTGTTGAATTTCAAAAAGGTTTGAATTTGAATGTATTGAAGAATATTAATTCCTATTGAAAAATAATAATGATTAGGTAAACATTTATTTAAAAAATAAGTTATTGATGTTTTCCAAAAATTTTACATTTAAAGAAATTTACAAATAAATGTATTAGAACATTTTTCTCAGTGTCTAACAATTTTTAGAGTGAACCACAATATTCTTAAGGTTCAGGGAAAATGTGAAAATTTTGTCTGGAAATCAGGGAAAAACAAAATTAAATTTTTGTGTTAACCCTGATTAAATGATTAAATACTAAATAGTAACCCTGATAAATAATTATTAATAATGCGAAATACAGTATTTTGTGAAAGTCCCATGTATTTGTATTAAATTATTTATTTAATTTTGTAAAAAACAAATGTAGTTTTAAAATCCTGGAAAAATTCCATTTTTTAACTTGGAAAAACTGGAAAAGTCAGGGATATTTCGAATGATCCAAAGTTTGGCAACCCTGAATCCATGTACCATCTCTGTATTTATTTTTTCCGTTCCTAAATTAAAATATTTTAAAGAGTAATTTTGATTTGTTAATTTTTTTCAGGGGGAAGCGTCCTTTAAGCTGATTATACAAAAACATCCAAAATTGATGACGTTTAATGCACAAGCATATTTGATTAAATGTTTGTACCAAATTGGAGAACAAAATGTCACTTTAGGATTTAATGTCTCGATGCTCACGACTGCTGGCACCATCGCAAATACCGGACCTCCGCCAACATGTTCAATGCAAATCGTCACTCAAAGCGGAAATAACGTCGAAAATGCAGAAATAGGAGACAATCTCATGCTCCAAGTTAATGTAACACCTAATTGTAAGTGATCTCAGAATTTTTATTTAATTGGATCTTTTTTCTTTTGTTAATAAATTACATGAAGTTGATTAATTTATTAACTTCAACTGTTAATAAATTATACAAAGTTGATTAATTTATTAACTCCAACTGTTAATAAATTACTAGCAACAAATCGCGCGCTAAAGCACGCGGCTAACTTCTTACTACCTTTTTAAAATAAAATTAGCAATTTTAAAAATAATAAAATTTGAAAATTTGAAAATTTAAATTTTTGTTGAAAATACTATAAAAAATTCAATTTTGTAGAATTTAAAAATAATTGCAAAAATTCTTTAAAAAAAAATAAAATTCTTCTTATTAAATTCAACTATGTTCAAATCTTAAAAAAAATTCTCGTAAAAATTCCAATTATCTTTATAAATAACAAAATTCTTCTCTACAGTTCAATTATTTTCATAAATTTTTCTAATTTTAATGATTTTCAATATCTACGATTTTAATAAAATATTTCCTAAAACAAATTCAATTATTTAAAAAAAATTTTAATTTGAAATTTTAGAAAATGACAATTTTGTATGAATGAATTAAATAATGAAAATTTCAGAGGAATTGTATTATTTACAAATTTTTTATAAATTTCTTCGCAGTAATTCAATTATTTTCATAAAGAATAACATTTTTTTAACCAGGAATTCAATTATTTTCATAAATAATAAAATTCTATAGGTACGTAGGTTTTCAATTATTTTCATAAATAATAAAAATCATCGCACAATTTCAATTATTTTTGGTACAATGTTAATGGAATTTCTCGAAAAATGTCATTATTCTTAAAATTTTTATTAAAATTAATTTTCAAAGATTTTAATGAAATAATTTTTAACAATTCGACTTTTTTTCAAAATAATTTGAATTAAATTCTTCGTAGAATTAAATTAATTTCAATAATATCAAAATTCAATTATTTTTAATATCTACTATTTCAATAAGAATTCACAAAAGAATTCAATTATTTAAAAAGAAATATATTATTAAAATTTATCGCAAGAATTAAAGTTTTTTTCATAAATAATAAAATTCTTCTCAGGTATTCAATTATTTTCAATACAATTATTAAAAAATTCGATTGTATTCAATAAATTACAGAAATTTTTCAAAAAAATTAAATTATTTTTAAAATTTTTTAATATCATTCAAGAATTAAATGCTTAATTTCAATTATTAAGAAATAGGATTATTATAAAAACTTGATACAAATTATTCATATAGAATTTAATTACTTTGAAAACTTGTAATTAAAATGATTAAAGAAAGTCCATTACTTTAAAGAAACTCAAAGAAATTCTTCAAACGAATTTAATTAAGATTATGTAAAATTTTTATAAAATTCTTCCTAAATTCAATTATTTTCATAAACAATAAAATTCTTCGAAGAAATTCAATTATTATCAAATTTTTTGATAAAATTCTTTGCAAGAATTCAATCATTTGCAAATGTTTTATAAATTTTTTTGCAATAATTCAATTATTTAACAAAAAAATTAATAAAAGTTCTTCATGTTTTATAAATAATATTTTTATAAGTTGTTTAATTTAAAAAAGGTTTGAATTTTGAATTTTTGAATGTCTTAATTCCTGTGGGAAATCCTGTTCCAAAGAGAAGATTAAAATATAAATTGTGCAAATATTTTTCTTCTTTTTCTAAAACAAAATAATAATTTTCATAAAAAAATTGTGATTGAAAAAGAAAATAATGGAAAATAAATAAATTTTCTATTTCTTAATCACAGTTGTTTAATAATTTTCTAATTTTTTTTGAAGTAAAGAACAAAAATAATTTCAATTTGACAAAACAGAATATTTAACAAAATTTTAGTCTTTTAATGAAAAAAATTAAAAAAAATTCCGATGATTTCTATTTTCTATCTAAAGTTAATAAAAAACAAAAGTATAAACAAAAGACAACTTCAGAGTGTGAGGGACAGAGAAAGTGAATGAAAGAATGAAAGAACATTCAAATTAATATAGTTAATTAATATATATGAAATATAACGTAAATTTTTTCTCGACAGCCATTTACGGAGGATTCGCTCGTAATTGTGTCGCTAAAACAATGGAGGAGAAAATGGAAAATGAATATATTGTGACTGACGAGAATGGATGTGCCACCGATCCAACGATATTTGGTGAATGGGAACAAGATCCTGAATCGCAAGTTTTGATGGCGAGTTTCAATGCATTCAAATTTCCAAATAGCGACAACATACGCTTCCAATGTAACATCCGAGTTTGTTTCGGCCGATGTCAACCAGTAAGTGCTCTCAAAATTTTGTTGTATATGAATATTACGGTATTTACCAAGAAAGGATTTTAAAAATGTATTCAATTCCATAGGTTAATTGTAGAGGATATAATGCTTTCGGACGTCGGCGAAGAGCCGCTGACACTGAACCAAATGACACTGCCCTAAGTGTAAGAGACAGTAATGAAGGTCAACTTCGAGAAGAAATAACAGTAAAATCAAATTTAATTCGTACCGTAGAAAGAGTAGAAGCTCGATATACTGCCGACCCAACAGAATGTAAGTCAAATTTGCAAGATTTAATATTAACAATGCTTAAGATGTAAGGTCAAAAGGATTTTTCTTGAATTCTTTTGCCCAAAATTTCATTGTACAATTCCTAAAGAAGAGTTTTTTAATTAATGCATAAAATTGACTGTCACCTTGTCATTTTTATTCCAAATTGAATGCTTTTAAGAAAAGAATTGAAAGATGAAGAAAAGAGACTTTTATTCCTGATAAGTGCTTTCCAATGTAAATAAAAATAAGGATAGAAAAATAGAAAAAGGGAAAAAAATTGTAAATTTTTTAGCAATTTTTCAACTTTAAATCAAACTATCTGCTATCTCAACTTCAGTTAAAATATTTCTTTCTGATTGTGCTTTTAAAGAGTATTTAATTCCGCGTCGAATGAGATATTTTTAAACAGAATTCGTTAAAAATTAACTGAGTTATTGGATTTTTTGTTTCAACAGTCACATTATTAGATTCTCTTCTTTCTGCTTTCAATTATTATTCAGGCGTTTTTTTTAAATCATTTTTTCAATTCTTTTAACAGTTTAATACCTACATATAATTTTCTAAAAAATTTAAACTTTTGAAAAGTGTTAAAATACAATAAAAAAGTTTTTTTTTTAAATAGAAATGTTTCTAAATCTCAAATTACTATACTAAATTCATACATTTTTTTATTTTCAAACTAAATTATATGGGCAAATCCACGGAGTTAGTCGACATTTACTTACAAAAATGAAAATTTTTAAATTGAAAGCACACCACTCATTTACGGTTCATTTTTTTCAAAATTTATTTTGGAACAATTATCTTCTTGCGTGATTCATTTTAATTTAATGCCGTGCAAAATAAAAATAAAAAACGAAAATATGAGTTTTTTCAGAAAATACCATTAAAAATGTGTATTTCTTTCTTCTTTTGTTTTCTATATTAATATGTGAAAAACATGAATAATTTTATTATTTCTGTTTATTATTCATTATAATTATTTATTTGTGTAAGACAATTAATATTAAAATATATTTATGATTAATATAATAATTTATTAATAACATCATTTTGGCATCTATTTTTTAATTCTGTTAGTTAAATTATCTTAATTTTGACGAAAGTCAAAATAAAAAATAACAGATGAAAAGTTATTCAATTTTTCACATTGACTGATACGTTCATAATGAACTAAATGAATAAATAATGTAAAATTTTATTGTAATTCTTAATTTTCTGTCATTATAAATTAGAGATAAAATTTGGCATTTGAATATAAGAATTATAAAAATGCTTTCTAATAATCACGCACGTTTTCAATTTATTTTATTTCAATCTGTAGATGTGCTCCTAGAAAGAGGCTAAGTTTAGAGTTGTTCACGCTCAAGTCTAAGGTGATAGTTATTGTAATATTTTCTTTAATTCTAAGGGCACATTATTTTAAAATACCCAGATTTATTCGTCTGTTTAAAACGAATAAGTGCGGTTGTCAAAAATTTTAATTGAACAATCGCCACGAAATTTATAATACAAATTTTCCATAAATTTTGTTATTAAAAAATAATGAGTAACGCTATTTTCAAGTATTACAATTTCTTTATAATTAAGAGCACATCTTTTTTTTATCTTTCAATACATTCTACAAAAAGTGAAGTTCAATTCACCATCGTTTCGAATTGTTTCGTTGTATGCCAAAAAAGTTATGCCCATAAGAACAGAAACTTGTACCTAGGGTAACACTGCAAATTTCATGATTTAGATTAATTTACTCTGTTTTATTATTTATATAAGGCAAGTAGGCTAACATTTATTTAATTTTCTTAGTTCAATAGATTCTTAGATCTTTTTTAAAGTAGTAAAAACATGAAAATAATCAGTAGAATACTTTGAAAATATAAAGATTTGCCAGTAACATGAAATCAAACGGTTCGGTGGATTTACCCATATGCCAAAATTCAGTTATAGAAAGATTTTGTAAATTTTTCAAAAATTAAATTTCGTTAAATTTTTTCTATAGAAAATTTGAAAATCTGAAATTTTTTTATTTTCTAACTAAATTATACGCAAAAAATCAGTTTTTAATCGATTTTGTAAATTTATCAAAATTTAAAAATTGTCTTTTTTATTATTTTTTTCCATAGGGAATTTCAAAATTGTGAAATTCATCGATTTTTTCAATTTTTTTTACAGAAAATTTTCTAAATCTTAAAATTCAATTAAATTTGTCATTTTAAAGCTGAATTATATGCAAAAATTTAATTTTTGAACGAATTTGAAAATTTAAAAAAGATTAAAATTCGTCGATTTTTTCTTTTTTTTCTACAGAAAATTTCAAAATCTTGAATTTCGACTATATTTATAAAATTTTTTCATTTCCCAACTAAATTTTAAGCAAAAAATCAGTTTTAAACGATTTTGTAAATTTTTCAAAAATTAAAAATCGTTTTTTTTTTTGTTTTTTTCAATAGAAAATTTTAAAATCGTGAAATTCGACGATATTCATAAAATTTTTTCATTTTTAATTTATTTAATTCATTTCATTTTATTTTTAAATAAATTAAAATTCAATTTAGTTAATAAAATCAATATTTACAATTAATTGATATTTTAGCTTTTTTTTAAATTGGTTAACATAGGTCCGAAAAAATATATTTATTTAGCACACGAAGAGAAAAATCAAGCGTTTGTAGTATGGACATGGTCCATACTTAAAAAGTATGGCGCTGTTTATGCTCGATTTGTAGAAATCTATGTGACCTTGTCCATACTACAAACGCTTGATTTTTCTCTCCGTGCACAGTTAAAAATTTTAATTTCTTATAATTTTAACAAAAGATATTTTTTATTCTGATAAAAATTTGATGTCATTGTTTTCAATGCTTTGTGTTCAGAAAAGTAAGTTGAATTTGAAAAAAAATTATTTTAATTTTAGCCGATCCGTTTGGGAAAGCCTGACCCATTTCCTACTTCTTAAAATTCTAATATTGTATGAAATTATTGATAAATTCTATATTTGCTAATAATGAAAATTATAATTATTGATCTCTCATGTTTCAGCTCCATCAGCTCAACGAGTCGAAGACATATGCGTGTCTATGGTTGGCTTCGTCATCTCACTAGTTATTACAGCATTGTTGGCCCTTGTCGCCGTAGCGATAGCCGTTTCCTGTTGGCTCCTAGCCTACCGTCGCCAACCGAAGACAGCCGGACCACTGCCACATCCACCGGAATTCCCAAACCCCTTGTTCACCACCGAATCAGTGGCCGAACCATCACCTGATTATCACTTGTCGTAAAACTCATAGAATGATTATTTTTTAATTAACCTATTTTTATTATGTAAAATGGAAATTACATCTAGGACAACTCACGTTCTATTGACCAGTCTTGTATTTCCATGCATTTCCTCCATTGACTTATTTTTTCTTCTCAGGGCACGATTGATCATGATGGAAAAAGTATACTTGATATAACGATGAGCATTGTAGCACTTACTATTTATGGTGATGGTACTTTCCATTATCTATGTATGCGTGAAAAGACTTTACACTTACTTTAACATCTTATATTTTCTTATAAGTATCGACTCTAGTCCCTGGAGGATTTGTACCTTTAATATGTAATCAATCGCAAACTTACTTGCTGTGTAAAGTCAAACGAATTAGTCTAATCTAGCTTTCTTACTTTTAGATAATTGTACATTTTTTTATCTAATAAAAGGCTAATGATTTATTTCTATAGTCCATCCGTCCTCTTTTTAGGATAAATTGTAAATAAACTTAATTATCAATACTTATGTAAACGTACATTAAATAAATAATAAAAATAATGCATTATTTCAATTCTTTAAAACCTCTCAAAGTAAATCATTACTATAATATTATGGCAGAGGGACCTAAGACCATCCTTTTGGGGTTTCATTATTGCATACGTCTACTTCAATTTAGGCCTACACTCATTCGGGAAAGAAACAATAAACCGAAAATTGTTGCACAGTGTTATTAATTTAAGTAGAAGAATCACCCATATATTTCTACGTTACATCCACATAAAAAAATAATTTTCTGTTCCTGTGTAAGGTTTTAAAATTTTTGAAAATAATTTAGCCTAACTTTTCAAATGTTTTGCGAAAAAATTGCAAAAATAATCAACTTGTAGAATACCTAAATTTTTTATTACTACTGCATTGCGTCAAACGATAAGATTGTGTAAAACCAAGCAACAGACATTTTCATTCAGTTGACAGCTAAGTAATTCGAATGTACTTCGTTTTTTGGTGAGTGAAAACTGTTATTAATTATTTTTACCTTTATCGATACTTTCAATATTTTTACATATTAAGTATAGTAATAATTACCATATAAAAACTCTTATAAGTTTTCTCTGACATGTTATGATTTCTAAATAACTCTAAGATGCAGAAAAATTATAAACAATAAATTCTATAAATTTAAAAAAAAATTTATTGTTAGATCTACATAGGATTCTACATAGGAATCTATACACGGAGAAAATTTATTCCTGAAATTTTACTGAATTTAGTTCGGTAAAACTGGGATGAAGTGTCAAAACAGTAATTTTTCAAGAACTAGACTGTAAAAGAAATTGCATTGAAAAATAATGTAAAAATCATAAAGCTCACGATACATGTATTAGCGCTTCAGTTACAGTTCGGTAAAACGTAAGCCAAGTGCTCGCTACATTCATATTTATTTTATTGAATAGTTCGGTAAAACGTAAGATAATGTTTTCGGTAAAACTGACGAGTTGCAATTTATTGAATAGTTCGGTAAAACTTGAAGAACAAAAATAAAAAATAATGTTACTTCAGTAGATTTATATTAATACTGCCGTAACTCTCAATTTACCTACTTTAATCACTACCTGAACCCCCTACAATTGTTTACGAACAAATACTAATTGATACACCTGTCTACAGTACAATCTAAACGCATACACTAATACACACATCGCACGCTTTACATTAATGCTTCAGAAAGTTTCAACTGTCCTTATATATTAATCTCAATTTTATTTTACCGCTTGTGAGAAAGATTCAAATTAATAAACTATCGTTGTACAAAATTAAAAATTATTTATATTAATGAATCATTTCTAACTATATTCAAGGTCAATTTATGAAATATTTTTAAATTATGTTTTTATTATTATAAAGAAAAATGTTTAAATTTGTATTTAATGGAATAAAACAATAATTTATGAAAATCCTTATTATTCTCAAATTTTTGTGTTTAAAATTAAAAATATACATATTAAAAGTGCAAGTTGGAAATTATTAAATTAATTAATAGAAAATTAATCTTTCTGAAATATTAAATAATAATTGTGAGGTATTAAAAAGCGAAAAGGAAATAAGCAAGTAAGCAAATAAGGAATAAAGTAAGCAAGAAGGAAATAAGCAAGTAAGAAAGTAAGCAAATAAGAAAGTAAGTAATCAAGAAGGAAATAAGCAAGTAAGAAAAGTAAGAAAGAAAGAAATAAGCAAGTAAGTATGCAAAAAAGAAAGTAAGCTAGTAAGCAAGCAAGTTATTTCCTTTTTGCTTACTTGCTTACCTACTTATTTACTTACTTACATACTTACTTATATGTTTAATTGATAACTTATTTATTTCCTTTTTGCTTACTTACTTATGTTTACTTGCTTACTTACTTGCTTACTTACTTACTATTATTCATGTTTAATTAAAATGAATAAATTATATGTTAAAAAAATAAGTATGTTATTGCTATTTTATATTTTCTTTTTATATGATTTGAAAGCATTTATTACATATTTGGCAATTAATAAGTGTTTAAAATAATTAATTAATTGAATTTTAATTTAAATAATAATAAAATGATTATTAATTAAGTCTAAATAAGTTGGAAAAATCAACTATTAGTGTGAAAGTCTTTCATTTGGCTGCGGGACACTTGAAATAAAGTATTTCAATCCAGAAAACTAAAACTTTAGGCAAGTCAAGGAAGTTTTACCGAACTATTCCTGAAAACTAACACTTTAAGCAAGTCAAGAAAGTTTTACCGAACTATTCCTGAAACGTGAGTGCCCATCAAGGAGGTATTTATTTAATTTACATTAAACGTTCAGTTTCAATTTTTTTTCAACTTTTACAGTACTAGTTCTTAAGGAATAAAGATATCACATTAGATTTTAAATATTGTTACCGAAAAAATAATATAAAAATTATTAAAAATTACGATTATGCTACTATATCCCAACTTTATTGAAAAATTCGGTAAAATATAAGGAACAAATTTTCTCCGTGTATAAATTTTAGTAGGTTATCCTAATAGAAATCCACATAAGACAATATATATAGAAAACTATAGGTCATTCTGTTACTTTATCCTATAGGAGCCCGTTTTTTAATATTTTGTTTCTAGGATGCGTTTTGATGATTTTGAGCCTAAAATGAAAAAAATCGGTTAGGTCGCTTTTAAAAAACCGCACTTTTTGTATTTTTGAAGAGATTAATCAACATGTTTTTGCGGAAAAAATATATAAGGCTGATTCTATCTCAATTCATGTAGGGCAAATAGATTAAAAATTCTAAAACAAAACATAAAGGTAATTTTTCTTGTTCTTTAGGACGAATAAAGAGACACGTATTTTTTTATTTAGTGAAAAAAAATTTTTTAGCTGAGTTATGAGTGTTTGAAAATTTTAAGACACATATCGTGATTTTATAGCTAAACAGCTGACAAATTATTTTCGAATCTTTCTAGTTTTTGCAAAAATTAATATTTTTCAATTTTTTTCTTGATTTTAGTAGTGTTTTTGATACTTTTTCTTTGCAAACTTGAAAATTTGAAAAATTTTGAAAATAAACAAAATGGCGGCCATTTTCCGAAAAATCAAAAAAGTCAATTTTCTCAAAAACATCATTTTTTATTTTTCTTAAAATTTTTGTGTGATTACTAGATGAAAAAAGGAACTAATTTTAAAAGGTTTCATGTCCGCTAAAACTGTTTGGAAGTCGCAATAATTTTTTTCAGAAAATAACAAATCTCATTATTTTCTCTCTAAATCTGAATCAGTGAAATTCCACTGAAAAGCAGTGAAATTTGACTGAGAATCACTGACTCTATTCTCGCGATTTGAATCAGTGGAATTTCACTGAAAATCAGTTAAAAGTAACTGAAATTTCAGTTATTTTTAACTGATTCGCCAATTAATAAACTACTGAAAATTTCTGTCACACATATTGAAAATTTCAGTTATTCTTTAATTGGCCAATCAGTGAAAAATGACAGAAATTTCAATCATTTTTAACTGATCTTTAGTGAAATTTCACTGATTCAAATCGCGAGAATAGACAATAGAGTCAGTGATTCTCAGTCAAATTTCACTGATTCAGTTTTAGAGAGTTGATACGCGAGTATAAATGTATCGGCATATATACAATTATTGCATGTTTATATGTTTTTCGATGATTAGTAGTGTTTTTGGTACTTCTTATTTGCAAACTTAAAAATTTTAAAAATTAACAAAATGGCGACCGTTAAATTCTTTTGGTCGCCATTTTGAATTATAAAATTTTAACCAAATATTCTAACTCAGCGACCCCAAAAAGCTCCAAATGAATATTTTTATTCAATTATTTTTAGTATTTTTAGTTTTCGATTTTTTGAAAAATGGCCGCCATTTTGTTAATTTTTAAAATTTTTAAGTTTGCAAATAAAAAGTAGCTACCAAAAACAATACTAATCATCGAAAAACATAAACATGCAAAATATATATATGCCGATACATTACTAAAAATAATGAGATTTGTTATTTTCTGAAAAAAATTATTGCGACTTCCAAACAGTTTTAGCGGACATGAAACCTTTTAAAATTAGTTCCTTTTTTCATCTAGTAATCACACAAAAATTTTAAGAAAAATAAAAAATGATGTTTTTGAGAAAATTGACTTTTTTGATTTTTCGGAAAATGGCCGCCATTTTGTTAATTTTCAAAATTTTTCAAATTTTCAAGTTTGCAAAGAAAAAGTATCAAAAACACTACTAAAATCAAGAAAAAAATTGAAAATATTTATTTTTGCAAAAATTAGAAAGATTTGAAAATAATTTGTCAGCTGTTTAGCTATAAAATCACGATATGTCTTAAAATTTTCAAACACTCATAACTCAGCTAAAAAATTTTTTTTCGCTAAATAAAAAAATACGTGTCTCTTTATTTGTCCTAAAGAACAAGAAAAATTACCTTTAACTTGATTAAGAATTTTTAACCTTTTCGCCCTGCAAGAATTGAGATAGAATCAGCCATATAAGGGGCCATCCATAAATTACGTAAGTCACTTTTTTGGAAAATTTGACCACCCACCCCCCTTTGTAAATTTTTTTACATACATTAGCGCCATTTTTTCTACGGTTCGTAAGATTTAGCAGACCCACCCCTTTCCCCAAAATGTTTGCTGCCAGACACGACTGGCATCTTGGATATGTTCGGTAGACCTTGCCGTGGTGGCGGGGCTTTTCACTAAAGGACAACCAACAGGGTGGTTCCCTGATTTTAAAACCAAAAGAAATGAATGAAATGGATAAAGAATCACATAAATTACTCCAAGTGGGTACCTCGAAAGAGGGTAATCCCACCACCGATTCTGATCGGGTGCAAGCCTCGATAGTCGGTGCAGATGGCTCCAGGGATTTTGGAGGGAGCCAAATAGATAGCCAGGTGACATGCTACGAATCAAATGTCGCAAATCAGTTCCTGGCTATTCCGGGAATTTTTAAAAGCTTGCGCCAAGGATTCAAGCGACAAAAAAACGTCGGTCGTGACATCCAGGATGGCGTGACGGTTTTGGAAAATGCGTTCGATATAATCTGTAAGAATTTACGTTTTATCCCCGAGCCTTTCAAAGACCAAGAGCCGCAATTTCCAACTGTGGAAACTCCACGGCAGACGAAGAGTGTTATTGCAACCCGGGATAGCGCGGCTGCAGGCGCAACTAAGACGAAAAAGGTTAATACGCGCCCTAGGGAAGGAGTAAGCCCGGATGTGAGTCCACAACGAGCGACTCAAAGTGAAAAGAGGATTAAGCGAAAGGATGCTCCACAGCTTAATCCTGAGTCGCTAGTTGAAGCAAAAGGGGCGTCCTCAAGTAGTCCTAGTAAGACGTATGCCGATACCGTCTTGAAAGACGGAGCGGACATTGAGGATGACTTTAAGGTTGTTGGAGAAAGAAAGAAACGGGCTCCAGGAAGAAAGACCCAAGGCGAGAAAAAAGAGCTCACGAAGCCCCCTTCGAA